GGACACGCTTTTCTTGGGGTAAAATCAGCAAAATCGGTAAATCTGCCAGACAGATATTCTGCCTAGGTCCCATTGCTCGTGGAAAGGTCTTCGACCGCCAAACCAGACATGGACGCCTCTTAGGCTAGTGGTTAACTGTTGAAAACACCGGTACTCCGTACTCCTCCAAGGGGTTTTAGAAGGCATGAAAGAGGAGGCCTCTCTATGGGTGTACAGGCAAGAGAGCCAACCCATAAGACACTGGACGAATGGTCCCCTCGCGTCTCTGCCTTTAGCCAGATGAGTTGAGAATGAAATGAGAAAGCTGCAGGGCCCCAAAGAAAATGAAGAGAATTTGCGGGGACCAAAGAATCAAAATAGACACGAGGCTCGACCTGACGGGACCTTTTTTCTTTTAAAAAAAAAAGAAAAAGAAAGGTAAAATGGTCCTCTGGATGAAGGATTCAGTGCGGAGTAGAAATGTTCGACAGTTAGGATGAGGCAGGCCTCCCATGGTAAATAAGAGAGTCATATCCGTCATGAGCAGTCACCAGGAATTGTTACGAGGGAATTACATTCGCAAGCCAATGCGGATGCTGAAGCCCGAATGGAATCATCCCATCAGAATTAAGCCGTCCAGCGTACAGAGTACTGAACCTGCAGATCAATAGTGTCGATTTGAAAGCTGATGGCCGATCGTGACTGCCCAGAAATATCTTTGCACGGACACAAGAGCTAGGCATCGCTCAGCTGAGCTGTGGTCTAGGCCCGAGCCTGGGGAGCGATCGCCAATTTTCCTTGGGTCTCTTGAGCCATAGCGACCTCTCGCAGATCAAATTAATGTCGTACGCGCCATCTCCCAAAAGGCGTGTTGATTCAATATTGGTGTGGATGGGAATATGCAGTGTGATCATATGGAGTACGAGTTTTGAAAGTGGCAGCGATGGCGGACCAATATGAGCAAGATGCTGGATGTGTCTCTTCGCGGCTCATCAAACATTGGCTTTTGATTGCACTTCGTGGGGGCTGTGATCTCACAAAAGCTGTCTCGCCTCGCTCTCAGGAAGCGGCAGGATGCACTGATAGTACAGATTAAAATAGCTGCTCCCACACAGGAACAAACACCGGGCGCAGGTGAACGAAATCCCGTTCAACTTGGGGCTCGCCATCTTTTATGCAGCTTCTCGCGATCAAAAAAAGAAATCTGATAAGATCAGAAGGGGAAGTTGGCCCATCCAAACAGGTTAAGCCACCACCCTTGCCCTCGAATGTACGGTCATAACTAACCGCAATATTATCACTAATATTGATTTTCAAAAAGCGAGGCATTTGCATGAACGAAGCGTCTTAGACTTGGGGTAGAGAGCACGGGGTGACAAGGGTGGTGGTCTTTGGCCAGCAAAGGAGGCCAATCGAGTCGGTGTAGGGGTCCGTGTGTCACCCGGGCGAGAGATGAAACCGGTTTGAAATGGATTCTGCAAAGCGCAGCAAGCTAAACGAATAATAATTGTGACCTGGGGGGTGTGAAGACTCAAGATTTGATGTGCAGAGAGGGGCGTAATCGAGGGGTTCAGAAGCACGAACGTTGAACAGCCCTGATCCTGGTCGAGACGTGTCTGCCCGGCTGGAGCACTCGGCGGATTCCGAACTGCGACTCTCAGTGAACGAGCGCGCTGACCCTTGTTGTCTCCCCAGCCCTTGCCGTCCGCCATGCGAATTCTGCAAACAAAGCAGCGATCGTCATTTCGTGGCGGAAGACGCAATAACGAAAAGCAAAAATGGCGCTTTGTGTGGGGATCCAACAGCATCCCTGTCCCAGTTCAAGCCTTCTCAACAGGACTTTTTGGACATTGATACCGAATTATTGTCATACATTTAGCTTCAAGCACTACATTCGCTGAGGAAATAATGCAGAGTTCCTCCTCATCAGACTTTTTGTAAATCTGTTAGTAGCCGATCTGGACCTCGGCTCTCTGTAACAGAAGCAGTTCGCAAAATTGTAGAAGTTGGTCGCAAAGTTTTGACTCGTCGCTCCGAAGCTGTGGTCTTTTTGATCTTCCAGCCCTGCTTTGTGCTTCAATATTTAAATACAAACCGATTTTGAACTCTGGTGAATAGCAGCCAATGCCAGCATTAATATGATTTTTCCTTGTCTCTTTTGTTTATAAGATAAATACTCTATGATATGGTCGTATTAGTTATATGGTAAACAATCATCAACGCCGGCCAAGTCCTAGGATTCCTTCATGCTGCTAAGATCTACCATCATGAAATGAACCTGGAGCCAGATACACGACCAATCATTATCAGATTATTGTTGTTCCTGGTGAAATATGCACACATTCTCTGTATTGTTACTCGCGCATGCAACCCGCACCTCTTCCTCAGCATCACAGCCAATCAAGCTGGTAGAGTCAGGGACAAATTTGTGGAAAAATTGAGCATTCGCACTCATTGATGTTTTGTCACAGCTGCAGCTAAAATCAATATCCATGAAGCGAAAGAGGCTGCGTATCATCAACATTTTTGTCTCCCTGTTACTCGAGCCATCGCCTCACAAGTTATACTTGGCCTGCAACTCATCCATTGCAAGCATCCTTTTTTGCATGCTATTTGATACGGACTCTAGCGCAGATGCATGCTAGAGGCTAGAGCCCGCAAACTGGCAAAAGAGCAGGTCAAGATAAGTGCTCTTCTCGATCCAGGAGTTTCTTCACAGGCCATTGTCCCTAATTGGCTTGGCTTCAGTAGTAATGAGATTTGCCTGGTGGATGATACTGTTATGATTACAGATTTGGAGAAGTGTCCGACCCTCAAGTGATATGGCAGTTTTCCGCTCATACACCTCCACTGCCGGAATCCTGTTTCACAGAATTTGGAGGACCAAACAAGCTCCTTCCTTCTCCAGGAGAAATATGAACACTTGCATGCACTATCTAGAATATCTTTGGAATCAGTCCCTCTCCTTAGGCCTTTCCTATCGCATTATACTTGAGCATGCACAGCAACCTTGCTGATCAGTGGCAGAGCAAGTGAGAGGCCAGAAATAATTGGTTCGATGAAGATGGACACAAAGAATATGAGCATTTCATCCATGGTACAACAACAGCACTAGGGACTAGTCCTAGTGATTCATGTGTATATACGGCACCCACAGGAGAGAAGACTTTTGACATTTGTGCTTTTTCAGCAGGGGAGAATGCATTCAGTTGATGTTGATCATTGAGCTGAGAAAAAGAGCCGCGATCAAAGAAGTAGTGGGATGTGATTAAATACAAAGATGGGGCTTGCCAGGGGTGCAGAGAATGCAGGATGCAACACTGAAGAGTTCTTGAGCTACTCTATCCCTCAAGGGACAGCGCTCTTCGTTTTCTCTTGAAGCCAGCTGATATCTATCATCATAACTTTGCGACAAAGTGTCCTGGGGAAAGGTGGCTTGCTATCCGTAAAGGCGAAAAATCCAGGTGACCAGCCATTCCCCTATATCCCATCGGGCTGAAGTTGTGATGTAATTATCACGTTTGTTATCATGGGACCCCGAGATGTAATTATTAGTATTGAGCCTGGCGTCCCATATCAGTCAGTCTAGTCAAAGTGCTCTGGATTAGAAACGAATGATTCCAAGTTAACTACGCCACCATTCCGTAATAAATCGGTGTTCGTTGAATAGCCTCGGGATAGTCTCGCTAATAGTATAGCTCGAGCGCAAAGCTCTCTATGCCTCGGGTCAGCAAAGTCCTCTGTCCCTACGTTAAACTTACCTGCGGTCTGGAGAGGCATTATCGCCGGCATGATTGGCGATGGCATCTCGACCGTAGGGTTGTCCATTTGGGATAGGGAATATTTAATTACGCCGGACTCTAAAGACTGGACGAGGTGCATAGGACGTATGTACGGAACAGCTGGTGGCTGGAGTACGGAGTAACGAGTTGGCTAATTGAACCTCGTTCTGATTATTTACATACGGGGCCCGGTACGATCATCGACAGGGCCTGGGGCCGAGTAATCAGTTAGTTAGTTATGTACTCCGTAGTTGGCGGGTTAATCACCGATCCTCAGCTGGGTGAATGATGCTGCTGCAGCTCGACCGGATGTCGTGTCTTTCTTCCCGTCGACATTTTTGAACGGTTCGCACGCTCGAACGCTTGAAAGTCTTTCCGATCGATGTGATTACTAATTTGTCTCAACGATTTTGACGAGGAAACTGTCACTGACCTAGTCAACTTTTAGGTGGTTACGGATGTAACTTAACGAACATAGGGCAAGCTACCGGCAGGCCGTCGGAGTGGATGTGACTTCATGACTCCACTTCGGTATCAGCATGGGATCTTCCCTTGAACACGGTCGTATTATTGCAACGGCACTCATGGTCAGTGCGGAAGAGATGGCAAAGATGAACCCGGGCTGGCCTAAATTAGGAACGCGGCATTAGTTGGTTAGTTAACAGGTAACTTATAACGACTAACATCGACCGGGAACGCCTGTCCTGCAGCTCACAGAAAGAACGCACTGACAGTGGATGGTACCGGCTGACTGCTGCTGTAGTGCACCTGTTCCCGAGCGGGAATTGAAAAAAGGAGCATCTCACGATCGCATCGTTCGCGAGGGACTGTTCACGTGGATCTGACATCATTTCCGTCCAGCGACCGCCGGACTCGGAAGTTCTCTTTTGCGCTTCATAGACTCGAAGGTTAGTTGGATCATCAAACTGCCTGGGTACGCTGGCAGGAACCGAGTATGTTGTCCAACTAACCACTTTTCGTCGGTTATCCTTCAAGCCACAGTTCAAATACTATTGCTAGACGCTTCTCTGTTTTCTTTCTTACATCATTCTGTCCTCACCTGGCTTAAAAAAAAAAAAAAGGAGAAGATCCTCATCCTCAGACAATAAGAGTGTGAGAGGCCGCATAAATACTCCATCCGAGCTTCTTTGGTTAGTTATCCCCGCTAGTTAACTATCACGATAACCAGCATCCAGCCCCACCACCAGAGCCACCTCAAACACCCCATTGCGACGTCTTCCCGGCTACGCACGTTGACTCAATTTGAACCTCGATTGTTGACCATCTTCATCTCTCATTCCTAGATGCTCCATTGATTTTATCTTCCATAACACACATCTCCTCGACCATCTATATCTCTCGTCTTGCGCGTGTGCCGAACAGTGCCCTCCCCCTCCCCGCCGGCATCCCTCTTTTTTTTTTTTTTTTCCCTTTTGTTTCGTCTTTTGTCATTTCAGCTCCAACCACAGACCTCAATTGCACAATGTCACCTTCACAGAACCACAATGGGGAGCACCAGAATCCTAGGTGAGTGTCTACAATTTTCTTATCCGGGTGCTTTTGCTCCCCAGCCAAGTTTCCCTGGGTCCTTGGGCAAATCTTCCAGAGCTGTTGGCGGGCTACATGTAGTATCCAGTGAACGGTGCTGGGCTGAATGACAAAGATATTCGAAGAGCAAGCCAATATTTGGGAATAACTGTTTTTGATTACTTCAGTCCTGGAGCCTACTGTTACCTTAGAGAGCTGTGATGTCAGTCTACTAAGCTAATTTTCATTATAGCGCTAAAGAGCTCAAAGATGATACGGTCATCGTGGTCCTAGGCGCATCTGGTGATCTAGCAAAGAAAAAAACAGTAAGTCCGACTATGTTGAATATTCGCAGTAGTCACGTATATCGATACTGATTGATGCAGTTCCCAGCCCTTTTTGGCCTCGTAGGTCCCCAGTTTCTTTTCCCAGGACCCCACCATAAGAATCGAAAGCTTACTCCTGAATCTAGTTCCGCAACAAATTCCTCCCGAAAGACATTAAGATCATCGGATATGCTCGAACGAAGATGGACCATGCGGAATTCATCAAACGCGTCCGCTCGTACATTAAAGTTCCCACAAAAGAGATCGAAGAGCAGCTGGCTAGTTTTTGTGAACTCTGCACCTATGTCGCCGGTCAATATGATCAAGATGACTCTTTCATCGCCTTGAATAAGCACCTGGAGGAGCTAGAGAAGGGAAAAACCGAGCAGAACAGAGTATTCTACATGGCCCTACCTCCGAGCGTTTTCGTCCCCGTATCAGAGCACCTAAAAAAGAATTGCTACCCGAAAAAAGGCATTGCAAGGATTATTGTGAGTCCATCGGTTTCTTCACGTTCTTTTTGCCGAGTCGAGTGCTCATCAATAGTGATATAAAGGTCGAGAAACCGTTTGGCAAAGATCTCGAGAGTTCGCGCGAGCTGCAAAGAGCGCTCCAGCCTAACTGGAGAGAAGACGAAGTTTTCCGTATCGATCACTATCTCGGAAAAGAGATGGTGAAGAATATTCTCATCCTTCGGTTCGGAAACGAATTCTTCAATGCTACTTGGAATCGACACCATATCGACAACGTGCAGGTATGCCCTTGGCATTAGGGTGTGAAAATGAAATCTCTCAGGGGTCTAACAGGTTGCAGATTACGTTCAAAGAGCCTTTCGGTACGGAAGGAAGAGGAGGCTACTTTGACGAGTTCGGCATCATCCGTGACGTGATGCAGAACCGTAGGTCACTCAATGTTAAGTTTTACTAATTTCAACTAATAATCGTGAATAGATCTACTTCAAGTCCTCACCCTCCTCGCAATGGAACGTCCTGTTTCCTTCTCCGCAGAAGATATTCGTGATGAGAAAGTCCGTGTGTTACGCGGTATTGACCCTATCAAGCCGAAGAATGTGATTATTGGACAGTACGGCAGATCCCTGGATGGAACGAAACCCTCCTACTTGGAGGACGACACTGTTCCCAAAGATTCCAGGTGCCCAACCTTTTGCGCCATGGTGGCCTATATCAAGAATGAACGCTGGGATGGTGTCCCCTTCATTTTAAAAGCTGGGAAAGGTGGGTCTCAAAGCCTCTGAACCCAATTCGCGTTGGATGCTTACATATTTTACAGCCTTGAATGAGCAGAAGACTGAAATCCGCATTCAATTCCGTGACGTGACGTCCGGCATATTTAAAGACATTCCCAGAAACGAACTTGTTATTCGCGTACAACCCAACGAGTCGGTGTACATTAAGATGAACTCCAAGCTTCCCGGTCTCTCCATGCAAACAGTCGAAACCGAGCTCGATCTCACGTACCGTCGAAGGTTCTCCGATTTAAAGATCCCTGAGGCGTACGAATCGTTAATTCTAGACGCGCTGAAGGGCGACCACTCCAACTTCGTCCGTGACGACGAGCTGGATGCCAGCTGGAGAATTTTCACACCACTTCTTCATTATCTCGATGATAATACGGATATAATCCCAATGGAGTACCCCTATGGTATGCTTTCGTCCCAAAATTTGAACTGGAGTTACTGATTGCCTGTAGGCTCGCGTGGTCCTCCGGTACTTGACGATTTCACAGCTTCATTCGGATACAAATTCAGTGACGCGGCTGGGTACCAATGGCCTCTTACAACTGCACCCAACCGCTTATGAGGCTCCAGAACCCACATTGTTGATGTGCAGAAATATCCTTATTTGTTGATAAATCAAACTCGTTTTTTGCCCCATGTATGAATGAAAAAGGAAAAGAAAAGTGGTAATGGTTTAGGACTTAAGCTTCTCACTTATTTGTGTTATTTTTTTTCTTTCTTTCTTTCTTTCCTTTTAATCTGTATTGTTTTTTTGTGCAACGAATGGGGAGAATGAATTCGGCAGCCAAGGTTTTTGTGGCGCTTCTCCCACTGGTTTCTTAGATTTGTTAAGCATGAGTGATGCAGCTTTTTGCTACCTTTTCTGGATGTATATGATCTGTCTTCTGTTCAATTCAATCCGTACGACGATTCCCTTTTATCTTTCGAATAAATATTTGGGCAATCACAGCCAGGGGGCATGTGAGGTTGGGACAGATTGGCTGAGAGATTATGGCTTTCAATATTTTTTTTTTTTTTTTTTGAAAAAAAAAAAAAAAAAAAAGAAAAAAGAAAAAAAGAAGAAAAGAAAAGAAAAGAAAAGTGAAAAGGATAAAAAAGGAAACCATACGGAGTACGGAGTAGTTACAGTGAAAATTGGGGTCCCAAGGTTTGGCAATTTCAAGTGCTTCACAAGGCTCTACTCCATACGGAGTACGTAGTCATGAAAGCATGCATATAATAACTAGCGCACCATGAAGGAGTAGGGCGTCATTCGATCTGAGCAACTGCCAGGCTGTAACTACGTCAGGCCTGCATGGCTGTGGGCCAAGCTGTCAAGCCACATAGCGTGCAAGCCCCCGCGTCCCTTGCAGTGATTTTCACGAGGATCCTAAAAAAAAAAAAGCGGGACGGGGGTTTTAAGGTCAAGCAAAAAAGAACGAAGAAGAATTGGGAAAAAGCAAGCATGGCAAAGCTTTCCCCAGATTTTTGAGCTTGATGTTGTGGGGAGTTTCGGGAGGGTGCCGATGGGAGAAGGGCGGTTAGGGGGCCTTGGCGAGGGAGGGTTGGGCGGGATGTTGCCGAGGGACGGCCTGGCAGTGATAGCTTGTGATGAGGTCTCTTTAACGCTAGACAATCACAAAAATTAAATCCGACTGCTCAGCGCAGTATCAAGGAGGATCCATAATTTCTGTGCGAGGGATCTTACTTCGGTGCTCAAGCTGCTTAGAAACTACCCTGGATTGGACACAGAGAGGCTCTCTTGCTGCGCGCCATAGAAGACCAGTGTCTTAAGAGACTACTCCCCAAACCGGAAGGATGAGTTGAGGTTTAACAGTGATGGTGTCAATACAAAAGGGACGTCGTCGGTGAGGAGAAGTCAATAAGGTGGTGGCATATGGTGTCAATGAGACCTTCCTGAGAGTCATGAAGTGCCCAATAACAGGCTCTAGAGATACGAAAGCCTTACATCAGAGGGAGAAGGACATGAAATAAGCTGGCATGGAGTCGGAGTAATAAAGCCGGGATATACCTCGTTATGAATGGGTGCCTCCAGATGGTTCATTGGCGCGGTATGGATGACAGCGATTTTCCTTCGACGTTAAATCTAGCAAGGTCTCTAGCAAACAGATTTTTACTGATTACAAGGCCCACTAATGGTAGGTCTAAAGGTATAGTTGTCAAGCATATGATCCTCTACCATGCCCCCAAAATTATAACAGCTTGTTTCAAAAATGCACAATATCTCACATTTATATAGATCTGCAGCACTGATGGCAATTTCTGGATTATTGTTCTTGAGACTCCACCAGAATCAAGGTCCGTCCGCCAGATGGAAACCTGCCTGAAAACATCATCTCCACGTGTGACCTAACATGCACAACCTTGGGTGCACGAAACCGGAAGTTCATCTTCTTCACAGCAGGGCAAGGTTGCAGTGCTGAACCACGTGCCTCAGTTGATGGGGAATATAGGTTTGTATACAGTATACAAGATAGCGGAGAGCATCAGAAGATTCGTCGAATGAACTTGATGAGTCGTCGGACAGTGCTTTATGACTGTTAGGAATACCCTTAGCAATGAAAACAGCCAAAGATTCTGGAAAAGCTTCCCTGTCCAAAAACCCAGCCTTTATCTCCCTCAACTGCGCCATGGCAACTTCTTCATTCTCATAGTCAATAAGGCGTTTCCAGGCCACAAAACCCCAAGCGCTGATGTAGAAAATTCGGCGAAAATTGGGCGGCTCAACTGAACACAGCTAATCCGAAGGACGGGGTGAGAAACAGACACTTGCCGAGCATCTGTTTACCACGAGGCACTGTGGAACTCGAGTTTGGGAGAAGGGAAAGCGTTGGTAAGAAATAGGGGTGAAGGCACGTTGAATTATCACAATGTCCTTTGCATCCTCGATGCAGAAGGCTGGAGGCTGGAACACAGCTAGTTAGCCGTTTTGGATTAAATTCGAGGACCTCAAAATTAAGTAAGAGTTTCGTCACGGAGCCTGGATCTAACTAGTTAGTTAGCTGTGGGAGAAGGGATCGCTGATATCAGGGAACTAAAGGCTGCACGTAGGGACATAACCAGCCATGCGGAGTAGCAAATATACGTTTTCGAATGTTTGCCATGTATGGAGTTATCGCTCTGGTTGTCAGCGCTTTTCACCCAATGCATTGGAGAACTAAACGCAGACCCCTGTCGATTTTTGCCTGTAGGTCGCAGTTCGTGCGGATATTTCCCTGTCCGGTGCCGACGCCGCCTCCTGCGTGGACAAAGGGGTAAGACGTGTATGGAGAACCCGTGTCCCGTACTCCGTTACTCCATACTCCATTGTCATCACCTTCCATTCCACCGTCCATTCTGACGCTCAGTGGATTGATCTCTCCGGGCTTTTCCTCATCTGTTGATGCCGACAACCGTTTTGCTGGGCCGCGACTCCGCAGTTCAGTGCCCTAAATTTAGTGCCTGGAGCTTAGTACACGCAATTAACCTGGGCCGGGAGCTTGGACCGTGGATTGCGCCAAGGGGAGTTCTCCACGCTGAGTTAAATTGATCCAAAACGAAACGTCCTTTTTTGTCTTCCCAGATTTGCCCAACGTGATCTCCCGCTTCTATGCCTGTCTGCTTGTTTGAATAAATTGTTGGGCTTGACATGTTAGTGTGAGTCGTTTTACCTCCAGGTCCTTTGACATACGATGTATAGATCGGCCTAGTTCCACCCCCGATCTTTTTCAACTCGATCCGTCTGATGTTTACGTCGCTCGCTTGGTTTCCGATCTTTCACCAGGACTGTCAAAACTTCCAGACGAGACTCATCTTTTACGAAAAGCCCTGAATGACCAACAAGACATAGTCAGGCGATAACGGAATTTTTTGGCGGTAGCTACGCTCGCCTGGTACCCTTATCTGAAGGGGCGTGAGCCATGCGACAACGGGCATCATGGATGGGGACGCCCTCCATCAAGGGGCGGACAGAGTCCCAGCGCATGGCTCTGTTGACTCTCAGCTTGGTTGGACTACAGTGCGTTGGTTTTCCCCGGATCCTTCGATTCCAATATCTACGCCTGGTTGCATGCTTAACTGGCGTTGGATTGAAAAAACTTGTGCTGATTTTACCGTTCTCATGTGCTGCCTTTCGTTCTAAAGGTTCACTTGGGGAATTGAAATGACATGTAATTGCTCACATTTTCCTTGATTTTTATTTTTATTTCTTTTTTTTTTTTTTTTTTTTTTTCTTTTGGGTTCTCATCCGCCGTCTATCTTCCTTTTATGAGTTTTATCAGAAGATTTGCTTACAAGTTTCCTGGTGTGATTATGATCAGATTGCACGCCGTATCTCCTTCAGCTCGGGTTAACGAAGTCACGCACGTCACTCGTATGGATAGCTGGCCCGCTTTCGGGCTTAATAATGCAGCCGTTGGTTGGAGTAATAGCTGATCGTTCGACGTCGAAATGGGGTCGCCGACGACCGTTTATGATTGGGGGTTCTCTGGTAGTTGCGCTCTGTCTCTTCGTGCTCGGATGGACAACCGAGATTGTTTCGATCTTTATAAGCGATACACAATTGGTACGTCGTCGGATTCGACCCTGCATTAAGACTAGGGTTTTACTTTGAAAGTCTCCTTGAACAATGCTGCATGTAGCTAACCAACAAGTAGAGAAAGTCAGTGACGATAACGGTAGCGGTTTTAAGCATTTATGCCACTGACTTCGCCATAAATGTTGGTGCGTATAATCCTTTAAAACTTTGTTTCGACGTATTCTAATTCTGTCGAACAGTTCAGGCATGTTGCCGGAGTTTAATAGTGGATACACTGCCCATCCCCCAGCAGCAACTGGGGTCTGCTTGGGGTAAGCTCAATTCGCTGATTTGTAACAATGTGAACCTTTGCTCAGTCCTATCACAGCAAGTAGGATGACTGCGGTGGGAAGCCTTATTGGCTATGCAATTGGGTCTGTCGACATGCTGAGCAGATTTGGCACCACGCTTGGAAATACTCAATTCAAGCAAATGACAGTGATAGCTGCCCTGTCACTCATCACAGCAGTATCTGTCACCTCGTACGCCGTTAAAGAGAGAGTCTTAATATCCGTCAGGTTCGTGGAGAACTACCTTGCTCGCTTCAAGTTTCCAATGCTAAAACTTCAACCTTTGTAGAGATACGGATAGTCGAGCCGGCGCGATCAAAATACTCTCTCAGCTATTTAGAACCACTTTTAATCTGCCACCTCGAATCAAGGCGATATGCTGGGCGCAATTCTGGGCTTGGATTGGTATGCACGCCCCAGAAAACCCTCCGAGAAACCCTCGCTAATGCTTTTCTAGGTTGGTTTCCATTCCTTTTCTATAGCAGCACCTGGGTTGGAGAGACATATTTTCGATATGAAGTGCCAAAATCTGCCGTTGAACAGTCAAAAGATACACTTGGCGAGGTTGGTCGCCTGGGGAGTCTGTCACTTGTAATATTCTCCATGATTACGTTGGTTAGCTCCGTTGTGCTTCCGTTTGGGGTCCTCTCACCGGAAAACAAAAGAGGGCGATTCACTCCACGGCCGCCTCGGGGTGTCGTCCGTCTCCTCAAAAAGATCGCTTTTGTCCGGCCGGATTTGCAGACAGCGTGGATGATGTCGCACATCATCTTTGCTGCAACAATGATATTCGCGCCATTGGCAAAATCGGTTCGATTCGCGACGTTCCTCGTAGCCATTTGCGGTATTCCATGGGCTGTTACTAGCTGGGCTCCTTTTGCTTTCATGGGAGTTGAAATCAATCGGCTGGCGATATCCTCTACGTCACGGAATTCCACAATTACCATGATAACCTCTGCAGGAGCGAGCAGCAGACATAGTGCCTACCTACCCCTTGAAACCACGGACGGTAACAATTCCGATCTAGAATTCGATAACGCCAGTGTCCTTCGGCTCAACCACCGTCATGATGGAGACAGCGATTTCGAGAGTGACGTAGAAGACGATGAATCCGCGTCCACTGGCGAATTGGCCGGAATATACCTCGGCGTCCTCAACGTCTACACTACTCTTCCTCAGTTCGTGGGCACGTTTATTAGCTGGATCGTCTTCAGCATTCTAGAACCGAATAGATCATCGACACAGAGCGAACCAGAGCTCAAGGCTAAGGAGACGACCAATTCAAAAGAAAACCAATGGATGAATCTCAATGCTGAGGGACCAAATGGGATTGCGATGTGTTTGTTTATTGGTGCGATATGTGCGATGGTCGCAACCGAAGCCACGAGGAGGTTGAAGCATGTTCGATGAGTAGCCCCTTCAAGGCTACGAAGGCATCAATATGGTGCTCTACCGATGGGGAACTGTTAAGCCGGTTCCCGTGTTTTAATATACATACCCTGACCACTTAGCCTTACATTCAAGGGCAGGGAGTCCGTACTATTCAAGGTATTTCCCCAGCTATACCTAACCAGCCATCAAGATATAGACTCTTTTTAACAAGACATGTGAAGTCCTCTGATGATGCTATGTGAAATCGCTTTATTCCTTTTTAATGTGAATGTTGAATTTCAATTTCTGAAGCCCACAATATGCTTGTTTTACGGTTTTTCTGACGAGAACGCCCTGCGAAAACTGGTATTTTGGATGTACTGTACATTTAATACAACCTACATTCGGAATGTCGTTGCACCCTCGATACTGAGCCGTGACTCGGGATTGGGAGATTCTGGCAAGCAGGTATAAACGGAGCAATCTTCCCGATAGGTTTCACGGATGCACTTTTCGTTCACCCGAAATTGAGAGAATCTATCATCATCCGCCGACCGGCGGTTCCCAAACGAATCCATGAAGTATAGGCCCGGAAGCCCGTTATCAAATTCAAGCCGGTCTCCTCTTAACGAACTGCTCTAGGTCTTCCTTCGTTGCAACCCCAAGCACGAATTTCCTGCTCGCATCCGTCACCACGGCAAAGTCCTGCTTTTCTCTCTTCTCTCCACCACCCATGTCTCCTTCAAAAAATCTCTCCAATTCCTCTAACGGCGTGTCCATCGTGATAACCTTGTAAACATGCCCTTTCCTTCTGAATCTCTGCATGGCTTTCTCTACGGGATCGGATTCGGTGACGGTGCCATCTTTAAGTAAGGATTTTAACCGCGGGATGCTGAGGTAGCCAAGGAGAGAGCGGGACGTGGAGGAGATTACAGTGAGGTGAGTATAGTCGCGTTCGTATGCGGCAAGGAGGGCGGAGGAGATAGAGTCGTGAGGTGAGGTGGAGAGGGCGGGTGGAGGGTCGAGATCTTCTACTGTCGCCTATGGAGTGGCTCGTTAATACTTTTTTCTTCCGTTCTTCTGCGGCTTTACTTCTTGCTGGGCTAAGGGAGTAATGGGAGACGGTGGGTGGGGAGGTCCTTACTCCGCGGTATTTGTCTGACCATGAAGATTGGGGCTGTGAAGCTGAGGATGAAGGCACCCAATTGGTGGGAGACCTTTCGCGTTCGTATGCTTCGCTTGCGGATATGTAGGAAGTCATTGCTCGTTTCTATTATTCCAAGACCAACTGATCGTGTTTGCTATTGAGAGAATAGCATGCCCCTCCTAAGGTTGGCGGGGTGTTTAACAAGCAGGGAGTTCACAAATGAAGTCCCAGGAAGGGTAATAGAGACCACGACCGGGCGTGAAGTGTGCAAGAAGCAACAGTCTCAATGTGCTTAGAGCAAGACGACATAGAATGCCAGCATCTCGAGTCAACACGCAGCGTCACCGTCGCCATTCCGTTAGTTATACGGTGGACGAGGACCACCATTACATAAACAATGATGCCAAGAATTGCGGATGAGGACGGCGTTCCCTATGTGGCCTAGCGCCGCTTCCAACCTTTCCCGACATTCAGAAGCAACTCCCGAACTCCGCCTAACCTCCTCTACATCAGCCTTTGTCCCTGTTGCTGACATTTAGGCCGCAGCATATTATTTCTTGAACCAGCAGGTCTCTTGCTGAACTGGCTGTGTTGGCGAGTGTCTTGTTCATTGGCCCCACGCCTAGAGCTTTACTCGGATATTAGATCACCCTAACACCCATTGTCTTTCCGGTTACCCGGTAGGCCGTGGACGTCATCATAACAAACCCAACTCCACAGGAGTTCATTGCAATCTTGCTTGACTGAGAGGGCGATATCAAGGCTTTAATTGCCAGTATCATACCTAGTGAGATTATGCTTACCACTTTCCTCACATGATCCTGGACTTTTGCAATACCACGACTCCTCACTTATACCAGTATGATCAGTTGCTGGGGATCTCAGCTTATTAACTGTTTTTAGATCAATTTACACCTAGTCTGGGCGCTTGACGTACATTACGTACAAAATGCCTTCAGTCTTCCCTTCGCGAGACACTCTCGCCAGCGCTTTTGCGTCGAGATACGGACTTAAACAGGAAAAGAAGCCGGCAGAGGTCCAGCCGGCGTCTGTTCCTAAGAGGCGTCTCTTTCCAGCATGGAGTGCTGTGGACGATGTCAAACACAAGGCTGAAGCTGTGGGACACGCTGCAGCCCAGGAATTTGATAAAGCTAGCCAGAAGGCACAAGCTAAGACTGGCAAGATCGAGCTGTATTCCCCAAAGTATTATGCGGCCTGTACCTTTGGAGGATTACTCGCTTGCGTGAGTATAAACCAAGGCCAAATTTTAGCCTAACCAACTATTTTTTTTCCTGCCGCGTTCTTAATTTCAAATTATGCATGTTCTATTGAACTTATATTGGGCTATATAATATTTCAGGGCTTGACGCATACTGCCGTGACTCCGTTGGATCTGGCAAAATGCCGCCTTCAGGTGGACCCTACCATGTATAAGGGTAACTTCGATGCGTGGAGGAAAATTGGCCGCGCTGAAGGGATTCGCGGTATATTCACTGGTTGGGGTCCAACCTTGAATGGATATTCTGTACGTTATGCTCTCCCATAGCCGAAAGCCCACGGGGTTTGGCAACATTCTTATCCATCTCTCAAACAGGCGCAAGGAGCGTTCAAGTACGGCGGCTATGAATTTTTCAAGAAATTCTACTCTGATCTCCTTGGGGAGGACGCCGCTATCCGATGGAGAACATCTGTTTATTTAGCTGCTAGCGCATCGGCAGAACTTATCGCGGACGTCGCACTATGTCCGTTTGAGGCTGTCAAAGTGCGAATGCAAACGACAATCCCACCATTTGCCAAGACCACATTTGGCGGAATCTCCCACGTCGTTGGCAAGGAAGGTGTAGCAGGGTAAGATGAACCATTGCTCTAACGTCGAAAATTATTGTGTCTCTAATGAGGTTCCCTCGAGCTAGCCTGTACAAGGGCCTGTACCCACTTTGGGGTCGTCAAATTCCCTATACAATGATGAAGTTCGCCTCCTTCGAACGAATCGTGGAAATGATCTATAATCGACTTCCAGGCCAGAAGTCTGACTACAATAAGGGGGCACAAACTGCTGTTGCGTTTACTGGTGGTTATCTCGCTGGTATTCTCTGCGCTGCTGTGTCCCACCCTGCCGATGTCATGGTCAGCAAGCTCAATGCCAATCGATTGCCCGGGGAAGCCTTCGGTACAGCGATGAGTCGAATCTACAAGGATATCGGATTCAAAGGGTTGTGGAATGGTCTTCCTGTCAGAATTGTCATGATTGGCACATTGGTGAGTAAAGCCTGCCCCGAGCTCTATTTCCGAAGTAAATCTAACTATGGTTCTACAGACTGGTCTCCAATGGATGATGTATGCGTTTCTTTCTGCACCCCCCTCCTCTGTGTTTCAAGAACATGCTGACAGACCGCAACAGCTACGATTCATTCAAGATCTTTATGGGTCTCCCAACCACTGGCGGCCCGAAGGAGACGAAAAAGCATTCCACAGAAGCTTAGAGCTACAACTAGCAATCCTATTTTGTTTCTTACTTTTATCTATCGTCGTTTTGTATGTTATTCGAAAAGGTCTTGTAGATATAGCCAACCCCTCTCATACACTTTGCAATTGGTATCTGCATTCCATGTGGCTTTCGTGTCTCTTGTTGGATTATCTTATCGGTAAGATACGGGGTGGGATACCGCTTGATCGTCGTCTCAGATTGGCCGGGAAGGCGACTTTATCTTATCTCCATTCTCTTGGCAAACGCTCATTGGCCCGGAAAGCTCCCTCTGCCCCCAAAGCATTATCGAGCCTGACCGGAGCCTCTTAGACTGCAGTGATAGAGGACTGTTTTTTGCATCTGCGAGATTTCATTATATATTTGTTGAAATTCTAACTGGAACACGGCAAAGACTGAAATTAGTCCCCGGATATAAAGATCTCGTTTGAGAAGAGCTGAAGGGAACAGTTCTTCCTGCAATTGATATTTATTCGTCATACCCAAGACTCTTCATTCGAATCAAGCAAAACTACATTATCTAAGTCTATATCCTGTACCCATCCCATCCCGCTAAGTCCCAAAAATAGCGATGGGTAAAACGAACAAGCCTACAACCGAGAACCCAGATTATACACTGGTACCTGTCGTGTCTCATGGCCGTGGCGGTATCAATCCCCTGTGTCCTTCAGTTCTATTCATCTCAAACCCATGGATGAAGCCAACTATGATCTCTTCGGGCACAACAACCTGAAACTGACCTGGCCCCCTTGTGCTTCTCTAGGACAAGGGAATATACACCCCGACAGCACCGTGTACGTACCATACCACAATATGGCTGCGTTAACTTACTGATCTTGATAAAACCTAACAGCTATGTCGACAGCGCCATAACCCGTCAAGGCGAGGAGGACGATCAAGGAGACGGTGCCTACTCCGCTGGCGTAAGACTCCCTCATTTCCAACTCGTCTCTCCAGTTTCCCTTTTTAATGACTTTCTTGCAAACAGCGTGGAGGAGCCGGCAATATTGGCCCGCGCGGTGCAAAACCAACCTCTCAAACACCGCACGACGTGGACGTCATTCCGCCGTTGGCGATACGACCAAGTATGGAGGGTGATTATCATGTTGGTGTAAGTGCCTCTTGTGGCAGTCCTTCCCTCCCCCCTCTCCCTCTCCAAAACCAACCTTCACCTTCGCTTTGTTTCCATTTATTTGGGTGACACATTAATGGCCTTGTATATATAGCGTGGTGGTCTGGGAAACATCTCACACGGGTTGGATCGGAAGAAGGAAACTCTCCAGCCTGATTTGCCAAGGGTGCAGGAGAGGAAGGATATGGACGTTCAGATTGATCATGATGATTGTACGGGGTTAGCGGATAAGCTGAAGTACAAGATCTTTGGCTGGAGATAATAAGTTGCAGGGACGCACGAGAGGGCTCAAGTCCTAGGCGGTTACAATATGCGATTATGAGACAAAGTGGAAATACCCCGTTGGCATTGCGAGTTGCAAGTTTCATGGGCTTTTGGATGTTTTAAAATCTTCATATTTTATTAATTTTATTTTTTTGCTAGCTCTGGATAAATTGAAGACATGGTTTGGTCGCTAAGAGCAAAATTACTGACCGTACTCCGTAAAATGATATAATACTGAATATTTGGCTCGCATCCATCGTTCCACAGCCGATGTGGATGATAAATGCTTGAAGAATGTTGACTAAGGTTCTCTGAGAGCCATGGTTGGAACTGAAGAGCGATTACAAGGGGAGTCTGAGTGTAATCATCAAGACAACACAAGGCGTTCCAAGGAAGGGTGGTAAGGTGAATCACAAAGGGGATCCTAGGGAGATTTGTAAGGCAGATTGCAGGGGAGACTTTGGGTGGCGTTGAGGGAATTAATTAAGGACAAGAATTAAGGGCTAGGAAAGAGGGTTCCAGAGGGGCGCTAGGACGGGTGTTTTGGAGGTTAATAAGGGGGAGGTTAGGGAGGAACCGTAGGTAGGCACTGTCACAGCTGGGACCATGTCAGCACTTGTCCCATGAATGAATTCCCAGTAAATGCATACAGGAAGGACTAGGAAAGAGGGTAACGATGCCCAATCAAACGTGCCATTTGTACATGATCAAAAGAAAAGGCACAGATGCATCTCAAGGAAATATTTCAATTGTTTGTGACTATCGAGACATTTAACGATTGAGAGACCAGCCAAAAAAGCATATGACAAGGAGATGGCACAGTTAGCAACGGCTCGGAATTGAAGCTCGGGAGGAAAAGAGGACATATCTAGTCCAAGACCCATGTATAAATCAGTCGGTCACCCTCAAGGAAGGGAGAGAAAACTTGAGAATCCTAGATGTAGTCACACGAACTGCCATCTCATGAGAATCAACTCAGAGCAACTCGAAAAGGTACATCAGTACAGAAGCAGGAGATTCACTAAAATCGTACTAGTAAGACACAGAAAAACACCCAGCATGTGCTAAAATCGCAAATGTGCGTAAATTCAAATCAATTAATGGGTATGTCAGAAAAATGGGTATCGATCCAACGATCCGAGATCAGTCAGGTACAGGAAATAAAAGAAAAAGAAAAAAGAGAAAATAAAAGGCGAAGAGACTATAAATGATAAAAAGTGGAAGCATATTGAGATGGCTATTAATCAATACATCGAGAACGAGGCCAGGTAGGACCTCCAATCAATCCAGGTAACTATCTCGAGGCTTCCATATTTTTTGTTAGTTCAGCAACACGGGCACGAATACGTGCCGCTCGCAATTCAATAGCTAAAAGAAGTGAACGTTAGTGGGAGCCTGGATGAGAAATCTATAAGATATTACTCACATTGCTGTGTTGGGTCATCGGTAGTAGGGTTTTCCGGCACAGTCTTTTTCGGGGTGGGATCTTCAACCACTCCTGCTCTCTCAACAGCATTCTTCCGAATTTGTGCCCAGCGGTCCTGGAGTGGCATTGGTTGTTCACTGGACACAGGGCTAGAAGGAGCTGTACGTCCATTCACTGGGCTGGGTTCAACCGGCTTTTCATTTTGCGGAGTTGGGGACTTCTCGGAGAAAGACTCGGCGGTAGGTGTATCCACAGGCAGGAAAGCAGGCTGGTCAACTATCGGACTCTGGTGGTCAAAATTGGAAAAGTGATGGTCCGCTTCCGCCTGCTCAGCAGTGTTTACGCGGGAAAGATTGTTAAACTCAGCTTCCCGGCGGGATTTCGAGGGACCATCATATGTGTCTGGGGTGGGGTCTGACACGGGCGCTGGTGGAGCAACCGGTGTTGGCTTTCTATCCACGATCGGGGGAGTTGGCGAATTGGGGGTCACAGGGGTAGATGGCTCCTCGGATGACTGCTTTTGGCCATATATCGACAGCCGACGAGCAGCTATCCCCTTGGGAGTCAACGTTCCGGATCGCGAAGGCCGACCTTCAGAGGCAGCAGCTGCAGAAGTGCTGTCTACGGAAGACCTGCTGGCTGTCTCCGACTTCTTCTTCGAAAAGAGCGCCTTGAGTCCTGAGGTTCCTGGTCTCTTCTTCAGTTTTCCATGTTCACGTGTGGATTCACCGGACGATCTGGCGATGCCTGGCCAGGGTATGGGAAATGTGCGCTCACCAGTTTCTTGTTTTGGAGGGGCAGGTTCAGCTACTTGCGTTGCCTTTGGCCTCTCCGGTTGCACCTCCTTAGAAGGTGGAGGAGGCGGGGCAGCCGATACAGGCTCAGGGACTGCACGGGTCCCGTCCTTCGGTGGGACTGTTGGCTCCTGATCCGTAGTAAAGGTGGAATTAGTGGGAGATTTTCCATTCCAGCCAATATCCAAATTCTCAGCAGGGATACCAGTGCCAGCACGAGTATTGCCAAGGTAAGCTGCCCGGACGGCACTTTTATCATAGTTGCTAGCCCATTTCATCGCATGGGAAGCCTCATTCATGATGGACGGCTGCAGAGTTAGTACAGAGTTGGTCCGAGCCGAGTAAGAGTCGGCCTGCATTGATTTGGTGGCCCTAGCCTGGTCCTCTTCTTGCTCTCTATGTTTTCTCTGAAGTGCGGCAGCTGCTGCCTGGATTCTGGCATGTTGATCCGGTCCAATGCTTGTCCTGCTCATTGGTGCGGTGTTGTTAGTAGACTTATATGGCTCGGCGTTCTTTTTTGCGGCAGATCGGCGCCGAGCCAACCGCCCTTTTCTTGTCCTGAAACCGAAAAAGCTCTTTTTCTCAACAATATAGGCGCCAGCATCAGGTTCTGGTGCAGCTCCTTTCACCTGTTCCTCCAAGATAAGCCACTTGCCACCAGCGATGATGGTCTCAAGTAGAGCACAACGTCCGAAAACTGCTTTGCGTGAGGCAGGCTCTTCACCAGCCAAACTGCTGATCCAAACCCACCAGAATGAATCATCAAGATCTAGGATAGAAATGCTTGCCAGCTCACCTGGGTCAAGTGTTGATTCCTGGTCAAATGAGCGCTTGTGGGATTGGGAGCTTTGTCCACGCACAGTTTGGATTGGTGGAAGAACCTTATCTGGCGGCAAGAGAAGAGGAGCGCGGCTTCTATTTTGCTGTTCGTCCGTAAATCCAGTTGACAAGAAATCAGCCCACGAGGGCGTAGTGGGGCGACCTAGGTCAGCGGTACGCGAAGCCGGAGCTGACCTTAAACCAACTTGCGGTGGCTTTCCAAAGGATGGGAGCTCTTCATCTTCTGATTCCTCGATAGAGCCTCCAAATCCAATGTCTTCGAAACGCGACCATGAAGCATCCCGCAAGCTTGTGGATGCTTTGGTCGTTGACACCTCCGATTGGTTTGTGGCTGAAATGCATCGTAAGACGCGGCGACATTCATCGCTTAATGCGTGAGCTGGATCCTCGAAGCCTGCAAAGCTCTTCAAGACGGTGTCGCTATCGCGGTATTCAAAATTCTTTGCCCGCCGTAGTAAGGCAAAGGGAGTAGGGGAAACTGTATCGACGATCATAACAACCTTTGTCGTCTGAGTTTGTAGCAAGGACGGTGATTCTGGAGGGTACTCTGTCCCTTGAACCAACGTTTGGAGGGATAATGGGAGAGTAGCGATGCCATTTGTGCCACGGATTGAATCAGGGGAGAGAGAGCGCAGATAGGCGAAAAATAAGTGACTAGTCGCATCGGCAGCACTAGAAAATAAACTTGTCAACACCGCCAGCACAGAGAACCGAATGAACAAGGAATCTTACTTTGTCCATGTTTTATAGCTTGCTTCAAATCCTTTTCCTGCGTCGGTGTGCTCGAAAGCCCACCAGCCAGCGTATCTCGAAAGTTTTCGACCGCCTAAACCGTTCTTCTTCCCATGAGCTGCAATAGCGGCTAGAAGGTCAAAGAAATCGAAAATAATTTTAGTTCTAGCGTCCGAGTCCACGCTGATCGGAATAAATGTCGAGAATGCATCACGGGCGAGTTGTGAATCTACGAGACGTCAATCCATTGGTCGATGGCGGGGAGTAGATTTGAGTTCTGGAAGCCTATACCTTGTTCACCAACTTTAAAGAGTTCATAAGCTTCCCACGTTACTATACCTCCAGGAAGTCGACTCCAGCACCATTTCATAACACTGCAAAGGACCTAGGGAATGATGCTCAGCCATTTCTGATTCCAACTCGACGATACGGTATATTCATTTTCAAATTAAACGCACCATTGGCTCCGTTAAACGTAACTCTTGCATGAGATTGTCACCTCGTAATAACGCGGCTCTTTCGGGTGGTGGGTTAAAATAATTACGGACGAATGTACGAGCAGCGCTAGGATCTGACGTCGGGCGAAATGGGAGCAGTAAAAATGGAGTGTCAAGAGCTATTCCAGTAGAAAGCAGTGAGCACTATTCGTCAGAACACATGCAAGATGCAAGCTGAACATATAACCCTTACCTCTGGCCTTCAATTCCTGTGTACATCCTCGCAACAGCTCCTGTACTTCCTCAGGATTGACTTCTGTGCGAAGCCATGCGTCCGTCCATTGGGGCTTCGCCGGCCCAGCAACGCTGGCGCCATTCTGCTTTTTCTTGCTACCTCCATCCTTTCGGAAAACTCGCGCAAAGAAAGACATTGTTCTGGGTAAAAGGGTTAAACCTCTCCTGTGATGGGACGCCGGACCTTAACGTTTCGCGGAGATAAGGCGTAGCGAATGTGGCTCAACCCGTGAACGGCTCGGGCTCGCTGTAATTCTCAAACGCTGACGTCTTTTTAATCAAACCGGGCGACGGCTCGACGATGTCCAAGTGGGGTACCAAGAAGGAGTAGTCTTCGAGGAGACGGGCGGTCAAAGGCCAAAGCTTTGGACAGGCACCTATGCGTGAGGGGAAAGAAAAAAAAAAAAAAAAAAACAGTCGCGACCTCAGAGACCGTCGGTCGGGAATTAAAGGGGGGGTGCGTGTATCGGGGTGCCGGTTCCAATCAGCGGGAGGCTGTATGATCTGTGCATGGACAAGGCTTGTTAGAGTTATTTACTGAACGAAGGGAACATTTTAAAGGCAGATATCAGGACCAACCGAGTCAATGTGTCGCCCAAAGTCGGCTGCCCTGCCTAGTGCTGTTTCAACATGCAGGCAGGAGATGCATACGGGGAGAGAAGAAGTACGAGCGAGAAAAAGACAAAGAGGAAAAAAGAGCGACGGGCAAAGGAAGAAACTGACAAATGAATGTGAAGAGGACGAAAAGAAACGCGGCCTTGGTCGTGCAGGTCTTAAACCGGCGGGATAATCGAATTGAAATGATAATAAGGGAGGACAAGGAAAAGGAAAAAGAGAGAAAAAAGGAGTTGAAGCCGTTTCAGAGGAAACACGTCGCTGAAGGATCTTGACTTGGCAGGGAAAGGCGAGCAGACTAGGCCATTCAGGGGCTGCGATGTCGCCCACCCGCCCAATGACAGCCGGCGGCCGCGTTCCTCTGCCCAAAAAGCAATTATAGTGATTTTCCCAGGCCAATGGCTCGTCCTGCGAGCCGGAGAAAATGCAGACATCGCCCTCTGTGTCTGCTCTCCTGCCCTTCTACCTGCGGGTTGTCTAGGTTCCTAGACGCTGCGCCCACATCTCCCATCCGTCGCTCGCCACGCACAGAGCAGCCGAGAAGCTTCTTGCTTGTCGGCGCCCCCCCGGCCTAGCTTCATGGAATACGGGCCATCGCACGGGAGTCTAACCTTGAAATTCGGGCGTGAATGTACCATGGTTGACCTCTGCACAACAACCTTTGCTCTGGCTGATCCATCAATCTCAATGGCTACGGACCTCTCTCCGTCCAGCACTTTACAAAGACTCTTTCGCATGTTCTCCCCAACCTTAATGACACTGGCATGCGCTTCGTCCGGGCTCCTTTGTTCGCCCCAAGCAGCTCAAGGACAAGAAAGAAATTCTGAAGCTAAGGTTTTAGGCTCTGCCCGGGGTACATAAGGCTCATGCACGCGCCGTTCATTCAAGATAGTCGAATCATGAATACTGGACGTTTCGTGGCTTTTTTCTTCTTGCCTGCCTTCAAACAACGACGACAGGTCCGTCCTCTGGGACATGCCGCGTCCTATTTAACTACCCAAAAGCCAGCCCCTGGGCGTCCATATAAGTGACAGGGGCGGTGATAACCACATGGGTGTTACCTTTAACAACTCCCCGGCCTATTTAGCTCCGCATGCCACATGGCCGTGGCGGGGGCAAAGCCAATTTGGTTTGGTATTTTTGGAAAAGAGAGACACTCTTTGGAAATCTGGCCCTGCAGGAATCTTCACATCTACGGAGCGTCGCACTGACATCGCTCTGTCAAAGTGGTCGACGTTTCCTGGGTGAGTCGAGGCCTGGTAGGCATATTTTCATTATCTCTGCAGATGCTGGCCGCCCGAATGTCCACTGAGTGCACAAAGTCGGTTCTCAAATCGTCCGAGGCCGGTGTCACTGTGACATCTCGTCGATCACGGCTTCTTTTGGAAAACACCGTGGAAAACCGTTGGCCATGGCTGTTAATGCTCTCTACCTATAATGTGGTTCATGTCTATACTAGTGGATATTCCTGTCCGCCAATAACCTTCCCGATTCGTCTGAGCGGATACTCGTAGGGTTTCATGTTTTGGGATATGATTTTGATGAGCCTTCTCCGTCCCCAGCCAGACATAAGCGCCAGTCGAAATTTCCGGTACATCAGTACCCTCTGGTCGGAGCACCCAAGGAAAAGCTATTCCTGTCCTTCTTAGCTTTGTGGCTGGAAACGGCCAGCAGTTCCAAACGCGCACGACTATTTAACCCAGACAGACTTTCATAATACTCGATTCAGTTTATTTTGGATTGTCGGTAATAAAGGCTTGCTAGCGTTGTCTTAACGTTAAGAATAGCAGTTCTCGCAGCACAAGAATAGAAAGGAATTCTATTATTTTGTAGCATTACCAGCAAGAAACCGCACATAAATATTGTAACTCACATATCCTCGGAACGCAACCCAATTTTCATCTCGCAATTGCAAGCCGTAAATTCATGACGCGAATAAAATCAACAAAACAGGGAAGAGGGGGAGGGGATAAAAAGGAAAAAAGGTAGGAATGACTCGGGGGAATAGGTCGTAATGTCAACTTCATCGCTTATCTTCTTGCCCTCTCCCTCTCCACCTCATACATAAAGTCAAAGTATGGCTTATCAAAATGATGTACACGGACATATCCGTCTTCTCCGCCAGATGCATAGCCAGTGCCGGCTGGATGCACAGCAATCGTGTTGAGGGGACCGAAGTGACCTCGCACGCGGCCAATCTCGTCCTCGAAAATCTTGTGGTAGAATCGGGCCTCGAATTTTCCTTGCCTGGCTGATGTGGTTGTGACATCCATGGCGGCTTGACCACCACCGAGAATGACAAAGTCTTTTTTTGGGGTTATGGCGGCGGTGTTGAGGGGAGTATCAGCGACAAAAGTTTTCATGACTTGGAGGTCTCGGCAGGAGATGATCTGGTACTTATCAGCAAAGGAATTTCCATAACGATAAAGGGAGCAGGGCTATAGGGACTTTAACGTACTTTGGCGGATTTGTCTTTTGAGGCGGTAATGAAATAAGTTCTATCGGCAGAGAATTGCAGGTCGTTGATTTGATAGTCAAATTCGTGCGCTTGAACATTTTGGAGTTGTTCGCCGGTCTGCTTCGAGTCAGTAAACGCCCTGTATGCAAAATATAAAGTCAACATGCGATGGATTTCTCACCTTTGAGTCATACTGGCTTACACTGCCATCCTCATGACCCGCGATAATGTATTTTCCCAAGAAACTCCATCCCGCGACGGTAGCTTTGCTCTGTTCACAAGTAATCTTCAAGCTAGGTTCGTCGGTCTGGTCGTCCAGATTATTACCCTCTCCGTCTCCGTACCGCACATCAAACACAACGATTGTGCCCAAGTAACCCATACGCTTCTCCGTGACCGCGAGTAATCTCGACCCATCGGGGCTGAACTCGACTCTCTTCACCGCAGTTGGAAAATCCCACACCTTCACACACTCGCCAGACTTTGCATTCCATAGGCGAACCGTATTGTCTGCAGCACCTGTTGCCAGAAGAACCGTGCCGGGGCTGACGTCGACGGTCCAGAGCGCACCTTGATGTCCGTGATAAGTTCCTAGTCTCTCACCGTTCGCCGAGTACCACGCGCATAGGATCTTGTCTTTCGCAACAGAGAAAAGGAGATCGCCGTCATGGTTAAATCTTATCTGGTTGAGGGACCGTTCCTACGCAGATATCAGTCTTGCGAGGCCCATATAAAAATCAAGGGGAGGTAGGCCGTCACTCACATGGCCCTGGAGGAGGATCGGTCTCATTGTCGCTGTCTATAAATTGTTCGGTGTAAAAACGGAACTGCGGGTGAACGGGACTCGTTTTCAGCTTGCTCGGTTTGCTATCTTCGCGGTGCTGTGGGATTGTCAATCCGAGTCGATATCGACCAACGCTGTCTGTGGAGCAACCACACACACACACACACAGAGTTCGATTTTGATGCCAAGATTTCGCCTGCCCATCGCGAAGTTAAAGTCACGTGAAAATTCTCGGATCACGGAGTTATATTGATCCGAGGGGCTATCTGCTACGGCGGGCAGCGGGGACCAACCTTGTAAGGGGGAGCCTAGGGGTTGATAGACACTAGCATAGTTAACAGAGTAGGTACTGGAGGATGGATATTCCGCACGAATGAGTGTGACTGCTGTACATGTCGTACTAGACGAAGACGTTTCTGTCCGACGTGGTTTTGGGGAGGACAAAACGTCTCAGCCCGTGGCTCGCAGAAATTTGGTCGCCATTAACTATTCCTACGGACCGACATTCTCTTACGTCCGGTTACAAGCCGATCCCAGGTGCGGCTAGCCGATATGCATCCGGTCCAGCAAACTGGGGATCCCGAGCGCACCGTTATTGCATATCTGCGCAGCCGAGCGTCTCACAGGTTTCGCAGCATTAAAACGTCTCTGAGGCCAATCACTGCAGTCAGGCTTTTGAAGCAGGTTTAAGACTTCTCGCACCGTGGCTCGCTGCAACGGGATGGTTTTGTGCCATTCATACATCAACTGATGCAGCTGAAAGACAGTTGGCAAGAGCTTGGTTTTAAAGGGGAATGTCCTCTCCCAGTCCCAAGTTCAGAGGTAATACACTTTTATCAGAAACAACTGGACCTCTATGACAAGATATTAGCTTTTAAGCAGGATCTCGTTGAAACTTTGGCAGTTGAGCAGGATGGTGGGGTCCCTGAAGATCGCTGGGAAGAGGTAAAGAAGTCTCATCAGTGTGTTTATGAGGAGATTATGGGAGCTATGGAGAGTGAGAGGAACCGCGAAGATATGAAAATGATGTGGCCATTTGATGGAGTTAAAGTACGTGCTGATAAGGGATAGGATGTGCGTGATGATAGTCCTAGAGATTGTGGAGATCTTGGTGTTAGAGGTCCCGGAGGTCTTGGAGGTTTTGGTGCTAGCTTCTGTACTGTCTTCTAATATTGTTTTTTTTTTATATTTTATATCATTCTATGTAATATTTGGAATTCATTCTCTTCTCTAGACTTCTTCTTGTTTTGATGGGTTTTCTCTGGGTCTATTTAATTATCTCAGATTAATCCGAAGTATAGAGAGAATCTCCGAGTAGTGCTTCGTCTTATTATCTGTACAGCTTATTATAATTTTGGCATTGCCAGATGCTTGATCTGCTTGCTAAGTATATATAATTTGCAGAGATTCAACTTGCTATCTAGCTGTATGCTGAGAAGATGCAAAGATTGACTCACTATCCAGCTGTGTGTCAGAAACCTGCAGAGATTGCATGTACTCCGTATAGAAGATATCTTTCTTAACAGATGTGCCTTTTTAAGTACTTAACAATCCCACTATCCATAATATAGCTACTAAAGATGTTAATTATAAGCCTTAAATAACTAATTAGGCTGTAAAATCAATCCCATACACCCGCTTCTTAGCACAAAGAGCTATAACCTGATGGAGGATTCTGCATGCTTGTCCCACCAAGCTATCTAAAGGGGGATTTTGTGTAATCTATGTGGGTCACGTGAGCGAGATGCCAGTTGGATTACTTAACCAGGGCCTCAGCGCGAAAAATGAGTTCAAATTAAGTTTGGAATTGAAGAGCTGTGGGCAGGTAAAAAATTTGCTGGTTTTTGAAAGTCAATTTTTATTTTGAATTTACCAGTTTTCCAAGGCGATAAAACTAAGACATATTGTCCCTTAGAGCCGTGGTGCGCGGATGGTCAATTTGCAAACCCGTATGTACAAGGCGGGAGTGCAGAGCCTATCGCGGTCAGCACCAGAGAAGATCCCGAGGGTCATGCACAGGCGGCCCAGCTCTCTGCTAATAAAACGCCGACTTCCATTTCTACCCCGCCATCAGTATCCCCTTGCCCACGATCGAACAATCACCTGCTACAACCTACGACCAAACGGTTCTCGAAATTCAATTGCTACAACAAATCCAGCAAACGAACGTTCTCTCGGACTAAATTCCTCTTCGACATTCTCCGGGAGTTTGGGTGCTTACTCACGGCCTCAACTTTCCCTAACTCCGCCCCTCTATAGCACCCCGCTTTGCGCGCAGCGCTTCTTTGCTTCAAGCTCAGTAAACATGGCCGGCACGAAGATTGACGGCACGGCGATAGCGAAAGGTATTCGTGAGAGGCTCAATGCCGAAATTCGGAAGACACAGGAGTCGAATCCAAGATTCAACCCGAGCCTGGTGATTTTCCAGGGTAAATTTACCCCTTCTCCCGGATATCCTGTGGAATGATTGTCGAAGCTAATGCTTAAATGATTGTAGTTGGTGACAGATCGGATTCAAGTATGTTCGAAACATTCTTAAGATCGATTGCATGCTAACATCCCGTAGGTACCTATGTCCGCATGAAGCTCAAGGCTGCGGAGGAGGTAAAGGCCAATACACCCAAGATGCAAAATGAATATGGTCAGAACTAACAAAAGGTTTTTGTGAGTTTAGGCGAATATCCTTTGCAGACTTGCCAAATTCCCAGAAGAGATTACCGAAACAGAGCTGATCCAGGAAATTACCAACGCAAACAACGACCCTTCGGTACACGGAATTTTGGTGCAATTACCCCTCCCCAATCATCTTTCTGAACATACAGTCACATCAGCAGTCTCGAATGAGAAAGACGTGGATGGCTTTGGCGCGGTCAACATTGGAGAATTGGCAAAGCGGGGAGGCAAGCCACTCTTTGTCCCTTGCACACCGCAAGGAATCATGGAACTTCTACGCTCAAGCGGCGTAAATCCGGCTGGGAAGAATGCCGTTGTCCTTGGGCGGAGTGATATCGTCGGCAGCCCAGTTAGTTATCTGCTAAAGAACGCTGATGCCACCGTGACTGTCTGCCACTCGAAAACGAAGAATCTCCCTGAAGTCATCAAAGAAGCCGATATCCTAGTCGCAGCCATCGGAAAGGCAGAGTTCGTTAAAGGAGAGTGGCTTAAGCCCGGTGCCGTCGTTATCGATGTTGGAACGAACTTCGTTCCCGACGCATCTAAAAAATCAGGTCAGCGCCTTGTGGGCGACGTCGAGTTCGGATCCGCCGTAGAGGTGGCTTCTCAGATCACTCCAGTACCTGGGGGCGTCGGGCCGATGACAGTCGCGATGCTTCTTCAAAACGTGGTGAATTCAGCCAACGCGTCTTTTGAGAGGCTCAAGGATAGGCGGATTTCTCCTTTGCCCATCAAACTCCAGAACCCAGTTCCGTCTGATATTGCCATCTCTCGTGCACAACGTCCAAAAGCAATTTCTCAAGTGGCTGCCGAGATTGGAATTGCTCCCCATGAACTTGAGCCATATGGCCATACAAAGGCAAAGGTAAGCCTAGACGTCTTATCGAGACTATCGCATCGCCGTAATGGACGATATGTCCTCGTTTGTGGCATTACTCCAACTCCTCTGGGAGAAGGCAAATCGACCACCACAATGGGACTTACTCAAGCTTTGGGTGCCCATCTCAATAGAATTGTTTTTGCAAATGTCCGGCAACCGAGTCAAGGTCCGACTTTCGGTATCAAGGGTGGTGCCGCGGGTGGTGGCTACAGTCAAGTTATTCCCATGGATGAGTTCAACCTCCATTTGACTGGCGATATTCATGCTATCACAGCAGCCAATAACCTTCTTGCTGCCGCTCTCGAAACGAGAATGTTTCATGAGTCTACGCAGAGCGATGCTGCTCTCTACAGACGCTTGGTCCCGACCAAGAAAGGAAAGAGAGAATTCCAGCCTATCATGTTCCGAAGACTGAAGAAGCTGGGTATTGACAAGACTGATCCTAACGAATTAACGGAAGAGGAGATTCACCGGTTTGCTCGCCTGGACATTGATCCTGATACGATTACATGGCGCCGCGTGTTGGATGTCAACGATCGACATCTCCGAACCATCACTGTTGGCCAAGCAGCAACTGAAAAGGGCCATACAAGACAAACTGGATTTGACATCTCAGTTGCAAGTGAATGCATGGCCATTTTAGCCCTTAGCAACGACCTTGGTGATATGCGAGAGCGTCTTGGGAGAATGGTGGTTGCGACCTCCAAGAATGGAGATCCCGTTACTTGTGATGACATTGGAGTTGGAGGCGCATTGACAGCCCTAATGAAGGATGCAATCAAACCAAACCTCATGCAAAGTCTGGAGGGCACACCGGTCTTTGTCCACGCCGGTCCATTCGCCAACATCAGTATCGGGGCTAATTCCGTTGTAGCGGACAAGCTCGCGCTCAAATTGGCGGGTACCGAGCCTGATGAAGACCATGAAGCTAAGACTGGCTTTGTTGTCACTGAAGCTGGATTCGACTTCACCATGGGTGGCGAGCGTTTCTTCAACATCAAGTGCCGCTCTTCCGGCCTTGTCCCAGATACCGTCGTTATCGTGGCTACTGTGCGCGCTCTCAAGGTTCACGGCGGTGGACCCGACATCACTCCTGGTGCACCACTTCCAGAAGCCTACAGAAATGAGGACATCGAGCTTCTCCGACGAGGCTGCATCAACCTGAAGAAACATATTGAGAACGCAAAACAATATGGCATCCCCGTTGTGGTCGCCATCAACAAATTCGAGACCGATACGGAGGCTGAGATGGCTGTTATCCGCGAGGAAGCCATCGCTGCCGGAGCCGAAGACGCAATTCCAGCTAACCACTGGGCCGAAGGCGGTGCGGGAGCCGTTGAGCTTGCAAAGGGTGTCATCATGGCCAGCTCCAAACCCAAGGACTTCAAACTTCTCTACAGCCTCGAAGGCACGATCCAAGAGCGGATCGAAAAGATCGGCCAGCTCATGTACGGTGCCGACAAGGTTGAGTTCAGCGAACTCGCCCAGAAGAAGGTGGACACATACACAAAACAAGGGTTTGGCAATCTGCCCATCTGCATCGCAAAGACACAGTATTCATTGAGTCACGATCCTAGCCTCAAGGGTGCCCCAACTGGATTTACAGTGCCAATCAGAGATGTGCGATTGGCAGTGGGGGCTGGATACTTGTGAGTATTTCACATCTCCCCAAAAATTTCCATCTTATCAATCCGCTAACGCACTCCTCCCAGGTATGCTTTGGCGGCCGATATACAGACCATCCCTGGTCTTCCCACCGCCCCAGGCTATCTCAATGTCGACGTTGATGCCGAAACCGGCGAAATTGACGGACTTTTCTAAACCCCCGTTTCTGCTCGACTCTTCATAGCCCTTCCCTCTTTCCCCTGTATTTTTACCTTTCCCTGCATCCGAAATTTTTCCAAAAGAACAAAAAAAAAAAAAAAGGAAACAAGGGGACATCTTCCTTTCTCCCTTCAACAGCGCTCATTCTTCCTTTGATATAAGCCTTCGGCGTTTCAGTTTTTTATTGTCATTTTTTTTCTAGGTCCCATTTTCGGGTTGATAGAGCCTGATGGACGTGGCAGTATAGACGGGCAAAAAAGTGTGGCGTGATTTATATGGGCGGCATATCGCGCACCTGTGGGTATTTTCAACAATAAGATTTCAACAGCAATGCATATATGGAATGTAATATCCATACATATATGCAAATAGCTAGCAGATAGATGTTCGACCTGATAGATCCTTTAAAATTCCAAGAGCATTTGTTCAGAAGCTGCGTGTTGAAATCCTGACTTCAAGGTCGAGCCGGGATATGTAAAAGCAACATATTGTCAGCAACCGCTCCAGACCCCCAGAGCGACATGCTCTCGAGGCCGAGGATGCAGCGAAGTAACTGGTTATTGGCCAGTTTCGGAGTCCAGGGGGAAGAGGTTGACCTCACGTCTTTTTTTGTCACGGTTACATCGGCGGGTTCCGAGACGAAAATATCACAGAGGTTATCAGTGATGCTGCAAGGAACAGCAGTCTTGCGGATGATGGATAACTCCGTATCCCATCTCCCTTTTGACCAGTTCGAGCAAGCCCACCCCGCTCGCCTTGACGGCTAAACGAGGCAAATTCGGCAAGGAGAGAGGGGTAGTTTTACCTCGAGACAGGGTCATGTTGCGGTCCCCCCTAGAGGCTGGGCGGTGGGAGAGAGAGAGAGAGAGATTTGAGGAAAGAGTCCCGAGGAGAGGACCATCGGCGCGGGTTTTTTTTCCTTCTTCTTTTTTTTCTTTTGCTTTCCATCGGACTTGCACGTATGGGGTAACCAGGCACGTAGGTCATCCATAAGGAGGAGGAGGAGGAGGAGAACGGAATTGGATTCCGCGGTCGGCTGTCGGATATTCCGGTTCCGGCACAGGTACCTACCTACTAGAGAGATACATACCCCCCCGAGGTGCCTGTAGCTACCTCGAATGCCACGGTACGGGTGGCACGCCGAAGCCGCCGATAAGATAAGGTTTTCGATACTGCAGGCGAGGCTCGGTCGGCCCCAAATAGCCGGCGGATGAACCCGGGGGAATAGTTATTCCGTAGCAGCTTTCCACCCGTCCTACCTACCCATCCATCCATGCCAGCCCAAAGAATTGGGAAACGAGACCGAGCACGAGAGGAGTTGATTTCTGTTATTTTTTTTTTTTTTATTTTTTTTTTGGTGGTTCCTGAGATGGAAAGACGCTCAGCGTAAATTGTTTTCAGCATTTGTCATTGGCCAAACCTGCCTGCGCATAAGTTAGTTACTTTTAAACGGGCGCGATATCCGAACTTGTGGTTATCTTTTGGCGCGACTCGTCCGAGACAAGCCAAGAAGCGTCCAATGTCGTGACCTGCCGCATTAATGCTTAGCGCTGCGCCTGGCGATGTGACGTCGGAGGCGTTGTGACAACTCGCGGAACGTTAACTCCGCTGCATGAGAGGTTAGGAATTGCCCCCAAGTCTGCTGCGATAGCTGTTTGCGATTGCTGTTGATGTATTTATATTTGACGTCGACATCACGTAATCCAGTGGCCGATAAGAGCCCCCCAAGAATGATGCAAGCGCATATGATCCACTTATCAGCCCTGAAAGCTTAAAGGCAAGAGAAGCCGGGCAACAAAGAGGGGAAAAATTGAAACCGCGCAAAGCTGATCGGATTAGTGTTCCTCCGGAGTGGTGAAAGAAATGGATGGAAGGTCCTCAGGTACTGGTCATGTACTCCGTATGTACGTAGGATTTGCGGATGGAGAGTCAGGCTCCGTCTGCAGGACTGCCGGAGGTGGTTTCACTCTGATCGGCCCCCCGGCAAGCCAGGGATTTGCGACTTCGTCTGAGGGCAGCCGGTCCCAAGCAGCGTCTCGCTGATCGTCGACCAGCAGTCGTATTCCTGGCGCTCGCGCCCCCTCCCCCGGTCAGACGAGAGGCTCGAGTGCCGTATGTACAACGCCCGCCCGGCAATTATGGAGGCGGGACTGCGTATCGGTGCTGGGCCCTGGAGCAACGGAAGATGACATAAGCGAGCAAGCCGAGGACCCCGCCGAGGAAAATACTTTGAGCGGAAAAGCCCCACCGGCCTTCTGAGCCCGCCAACTCGCTAGCGCCCCTTGCAGCGCGAGGACGGCCTGCTGGAGTCGCACAGAGCAAGCGGCCATGGCGCCCCAAGAGCGCGACGAGTCCCCGGAAGCCTGTACGCTGGAGTTGGACGGGACATGGGTGCGGCGGTGGTTGGGAGCATGACCTGCTTTTTATTTTGAATGTGCTAAGTTGCTGGTGAGACGGAGGACGGTCATCGGATTAAAAGTGCCCTCTTCTCTCTCTCTTGCCTCCTCGCGCCCGTTTGTTTCTGCTGGATTCCCATCCCACGCCGCCTGTATCTTTTGCACCCTGGGACGTCGAAGGGGACATCGCAGCCGTGAAAGTTTGTACATACACACATAATTTCCCGAGGAATTTTTGTCTAGGACAGCGAGGTTACTATAACCAAGCTTTGCCGCCCTGCACAGGTTCCGCCCACCAATACACTTTTTGCTTATATATCCTGATTAGGTTAAAGTTCCACTGATCGGAAATCTCTTCGCCGCCCCATATTACCCAGAGAGAGAGAGAGAAAATTTCCAGCCTAACAAAGGAGCCCAAGCAGGCACCAAGCGCCAACGCGAAAAAAGACAGAGAGGACGAAAGGCAGAACCCACCGGACACGCCCGACACAGGCAGCTTCATCGCGCTCAGCGTACTCCTCCTCCCCCTGGCGTAATTACTTATCCCCCCCGCCCCCGTTTGGCTCCCCTTCGCCTTTCATCAAACCAGCCCAATTTCCCGGCATTCCAAGACCATGCCTGCTCTTCGGGCGAGTTCCGTCCCATCCCGACTCTCCCTGACCCGCCTCGCTCGCAATAATTCACAGCCCGCTCCCCGACTGCTCTCAACGTTTTCTATCCGTCCTGCCCCTCCTTTGCCTTTGAATTCTTCCACTGCGCGCTCTTGTCTTCCTTCTACTTCCTCTATCCACAACACCTCCGCCGCAACCACTCGTTTCCAATCCTCCTTTGCCCCCCAGAGAGCAGTTAGCTGGACTGCTGCATCATCCCCCTCATTGTCCCATACACAGACGCGCAACATGTCGACCGGACGGAAGAAGATCAAGGTCAAGAACCCCGTGGTGGAGTTGGATGGTGATGAGGTGCGTTTTGGATACCCGCGTTTTTTTGGTTTTCTGGCTGCATCCTCTATCCTCGGGGAGGGAAACTGGGGCGTGAACGCATCGATCGCTTGTTCTCTCTCTCTCTTTTTTTTTTTTTCCGTTGCCTTTGAGAGGGGGAAATGCGGACGGGTTTTTATATAAGATGGAAAGAAGGAACTAACGTCATGCGGATCATCAGATGACCAGAATTATCTGGCAGGATATCAAGGACAAAGTGAGTGAATCTTAAATATCCTATTCTATACCCGTTTTGGTTGGAATTCCCCTGACCCGGTTGGCTAACCCTGAATCAGTTCATCTATCCGTTAGTTCAAACCTCACGCTGCAGGACTGTGCTGCAGATGCAGTGAAGATCAAAATACTAATTGAGACGCTAGATACCTTGACGTTGACCTGAAGTACTATGACTTGGTGAGTTGTCAATTCTAGACCTTCTTTCTCTTCGGGAGGATGCGTCGTTGACGGACTATACCGGAAAACAGGGCTTGGAGTATCGCGACCAAACCGATGACAAGGTCACGGTAGATGCCGCTGAGGCTATCAAGAAATATGGCGTCGGTGTCAAGTGTGCCACCATCACCCCTGATGAGGCGCGTGTTGAGGAATTCAAGTTGAAGAAGAGTATGTCCTGTCACTGGTTATTTGCCCCGAATGAGGAGGCGCAGGATGGAGTGCTGACCCCGCATAGTGTGGCTTTCTCCCAACGGAACCATCAGAAATATCCTGTAAGTATTTCTTTTTGTCCTGCACATGCAATCTGAATGGGGCCCAGAATACTCATACCGGGCAGAGGTGGAACCGTTTTCCGTGAGCCCATCGTCATTCCCCGCATTCCAAGACTTGTTCCTGGCTGGAAGAAGCCAATCATCATCGGAAGACATGCCTTCGGTGACCAATATCGTGCCACTGATCGTCTTGTCCCCGGACCCGGCAAGTTGGAGCTTGTCTACACTCCCACAAACGGCGAACCAGAGCGCATTACCGTATATGACTTCCAAGGAGCCGGTATCGCCCAGGTCCAGTACAACACCGACGACTCCATCCGAGGATTCGCTCACGCTAGCTTCAAGCTGGCCCTTCTGAAGGGTCTGCCCATGTATATGAGCACCAAGAACACCATCTTGAAGAAATATGATGGTCGATTCAAGGATATCTTTGAGGAAGTGTACGAGGCCGAATACAAGAAAGCCTTCGAGGCCAAGGGTATCTGGTATGAGCACCGCCTGATTGACGACATGGTTGCCCAGATGATCAAGGGCGACGGAGGTTGCGTTATCGCCATGAAGAGTACGTTCGATGCCTCAAACATTCCTTGGCCCACCCACGCTGACCCGATCTTTTAGACTATGATGGTGATGTTCAATCCGACATCGTTGCTCAAGGCTTCGGCTCCCTTGGCTTAATGACATCCACTCTCACCACCCCAGACGGCTCTGCCTTCGAATCGGAAGCTGCCCATGGCACAGTCACTCGCCACTACCGTGAGCACCAGAAGGGTCGTGAGACTTCCACCAACCCCATCGCGTCCATCTTCGCATGGACTCGTGGCTTGATCCGCCGCGGTCAACTCGACGAGACTCCTGACGTTGTCACCTTCGCTGAACAACTCGAGCGTGCCTGTATCGAGGTCGTCGACGAGGAGGGCATCATGACCAAGGATCTGGCTCTGTCCTGCGGCAAGAAGGAGAGAGATGCTTGGGTTACCACCCGAGAGTATATGGATGCCGTTGAGAGACGCCTCCGCAGCAATCTGGCCAACGCCAAGCTCTAAATGAGTGTAAAAAACGCCCACCACTGAGCCTTCTGGTTCAAAAAAATCAAACGCAAAAGCAAAAAAAAAAAAAAAAAAAAAAAAAAAAAAGGGAAAAGCGCAAAAGGCTGTGTTTGAATGAATATCCATCTCTGCTCCCCAGCCTAATGTCATTTATGGGCCAGATCCCATCTTCTGGGCCCTTTCCCGTCAGCGCTTGATTTCGGCTATCACAGGGAGTGCTCCATACTCCGTACAATTGGTTGGAAACCGCTAGTCTCCCTCCCCAATTCCCCCGCATTGAATCGCGCAAAAGAAACTAGACAAACCCCCCAATAGATCGGCTTCTAGTCTTGTTCGACGTTTAGAAAAAGAACTACAACGGATAGGGAGGCGGGCACCCTTTCCCGATCTGCTCTTTTACGATTAATATGTTCTCATGATTTGAACCTGTGTATGTAACCAGATTTGGCTAGCTCTTCCTGTGTCCATTGTATCTTTGGCAGAGTTGATGCGAGCAAATTACAGAGAAATTTTCAACATGTAACTCATGGAATTGACATCGATCAGAATAATTCCTTCCCGTCTATTAATTGACTTGACTCCTTTGGGGAAAAAGATAAGAAAAGGTATTAGCTACGGTGGAAAGTATCCCAAGATGTCTGGCTCTCAAGTTTGGACAAAAAACAGCCCGCAAGGCTTCTTTTCAATATTGGCTACTTCGGCTATTTTTTGCTTCTTTAGTTTGTGTTTTGGTTCTTTTTTTTTTGAATCGCCGGGTCGAACCTCAAAATGCAACAAGTTCAAACAAAAAAGAAAGCACGCAGCCAGTCTAAACAGTCGTGATTCGTTTGGCATTAAAAAAAAAAAAAAAAAGGCCACAAATCTAGTGAGCGAAAATCTGTCAAAAGCAGGTAAACAGTAATCGCTGAAAAAAAATAGTTGGACCATGCAAAAATCGTCAAAGTCGGATACAGGAGAAGAAACCCGAGATACAAAGGGAAACTATTTCCCGGCGAAGAAGAAGTTACGCAATTCCAAAAGTTCAATCACTCCTCCCAAAGAACCCAACCCCAAAATCGAAAACAATGGGAGGAAGGGCTAGTGAGGAGAGCAATTAAACAAGAAAAATTTATCTACTTCTTCTTCGCCGGAAATTTTTCTTTCCCGATATCCGACCCCCGCAATTTGACATTGAGCACTCTCTCCATGGCCGAAAGAACCTTCTGATCTGGAGCTGCGGTGCCGCGCTCAAAGTCCTGCACCACGCTGACGGTCGTGTTGCACTTGGTGGCGAGCTCCTTCTGGGACATCTTGTACTTCTCCTCGTTACGGCGGCGTTTGATGGCATCGCCGACCTCAAGACCAACGGTCTTGGGCTTGACGATGTCGTCGGAGCGGTCGACTTTGGTGAGATGCTGGCCTTCGACGGCGGGGCGCGAGGACTGCCGGGAAAGGTGATGTTAGCTCAATGTCTCTAGCCGTTTTTAACCCCTCCCTATTATTGGGTTACGCTGGGGATGGGGAGGGAGGAAAATTCAACTTACAGCATTACCCGTGGAGTACTTTTTTTCGGTGCCGATGATCGCTCCGGCTCTGGCGGCGGCGTTGAGGGCTGAGCGGCCCTTGACAACGGTTTCGCGAGGAGCACCGCCGCCACGGTGCTTGCTGCCAATAACGGTGACGGAGTCCCAGTCAGACATATTGACAGGTGTGCGAATTTGCGCTTGTTCGGATTAAGAAGAAAGAGTGTTGAAGTTTAGGGAGCCAGTTGCGTTGAACCGCTTGCTCGATTCCAGAAACAACTGAGACTTTGGTAGATGAAACGCTCAGGGATAAGTGAACGGCCAGATAAAAAAAAGTATCCCACACAAGAAGGGCTATGCCGATGCAGCAAGGAAGAGACTGGCTGGAGAGAAAGTTGGAGTATGAGATGCTGTGAGAGATGAGTCGTCGTCAATCTTATACTGCTGTTGGTTGGGATGACGGAGCGGCAAAAGGAAGATTCGAGATAAAGCCACCCGCTAGTCCTAATTTGGCATGGTGCGGCTGTAAAACTCTAAATTAATTTATCCGAATCGGGCTCACCGCCACGTGGATTATGTAATTCAGGGTTCATTTGTCATTCAGGGGATGAAGAACCCATGGGAGGAGAATACGGGTGGAAGGACGCCATGCAGCAACAGCTGAGGGCCAAAAGCTGGGGAAATCGCCAGTAGCTGCATGGAGCGGGGAGATCCAAACAGCTCTTTTCAAAGAAACTTGTGTGAATGAATTGAAAAGCTCCCACGGCCACAACAGCTACGGAGCATTCTCTCTTGGGAATTAAGCCTAGCTTACTCCATAGAGAGCCGGAGCCCACAAAGGTATTTCCGTTTCTCCGCTATCCACAAAGAATACCGGAATCGAAAGCACTCCGTATATTGCTTTTAATAAGCAGATGGTTATATCATCTAGTAGCCCCTAGCTATCGCATATTGGCATTTTCCTTCTACTATAACTAAACTATATGCCTGTCTGACTTATAGCTCCTCGATATGTGCGCTCATCAAGATATCAGTTGCCTCATTATAGCATGGACCTGATATCTCATGAAGATGCGCGAGTCCCAAAAGGTGTATTTTGGATAGGCTCCGTGTCCGCTACCTAAAAGTCATCAAAATCGTTTCCCACAGCTTATCTATGAGGAGTTAGTATATTGGTCAACTGCCCTGCAGAAAATACAGAGCAGTGAATTGTGACATGCTCCGGAATTCTCAGGTAAGGCCTCCTTTAGATGGAGTCTCAGGATTGGAGTATCTTGGCGGAATCGAAGTATACGACGATATCTTCGCCAATATAAACTCCCTCACGTTAACGAAACTTCTGGAGGAAAGTATAGACGCGGTCGACACAAGTGTTCTCGGACCGCCGCTTAAGATAGGTGAACTGGCCGAAAACGCCCAGAAAACAATTCTTGATAACTACCTGTTGAATATTTGGTAGCAATCACCGCCCTGCCGAACAGTTATACGGCATAAACGGAACAAGTGTTGAGCGTAGCGAAATGGAATCTCAACATTTCCCATCATGGTCTCTTTCCATATGGCTTTTGGCGAGAGGCCTTCGCTCTTTTATTTATTTGACTATACTCTGTGCAGAGTAGCAATTAGGCGAAAGCCGTCCCAAGGGTTCGAACCCTTGAATTCCTAGACAGCCATTTTCCATGTACGAGGCCTGGGTGGCTGAAATCTGAGGGCGGATTGATAAGAGAAGTCCCATATTGTTAAATTTTTATTTTACTTTTTTATCGCGATGGTTCGTTTCAATCATCACAATGTACGGAGTAATTTTCCGACGATACAGCGAGACGCCCGTCCAACGGGTGTTTTCCCATTTTGGTTGCTCACGGCTGAAGAAAATTCGGCAAAGTCCAATAGAGCTGTGACGGCTTTGTTCGGCCTGTTGGCGACAATCATTGCAGCCTGTCGCCAGTCAGCATCCAAGAGGTTGGTTGATGGCACAATCCACTCTGGGGCCCATGGATAGGGCTGATCTTGAGGTCTCGGCTCCGCCACTAACAATGCCATGACGGTGTTCAATCTCGACAGGAAATCAAGGAAAATACAAAGTAGTAACGGTTCCTTCAGTCCTCTTTGCTGTGCTGAGAATGACGGCTGCATTCCGTATTTGTGTGCGATAAAAACGAAGCTCCAGGGCACACTATGCTGGAATGGTCTTTTAAGAAAAATACGTCTCGTGGGCGAGGGGCTTCCGCTGTTACTTGAAGGCTAAAAAAAGAAATACAAACACTGAAGACCGGACGCTGTCGCTTCGAGCAGCTCTCGAGGTCCAATCAGATATGGACGGGGATTCCACATTCATAAGCACGGGGCGAGTGACAAGGAGCTGCCACCTGCGAGCCGCCGAGTTGGGTGGGTTTTCTCAGCGCCGAATTCGATGATCATGACACAGTTTTCCCTTTACTCCAAGTCCGCTTGCATCCGGATCTCCATAATTTTGAGACTAGTTTCTGGTGATGGGCCTTCTGCTCACAAATTGGCTTGCTCCGTGCGACACTCTTCGAAACCTTCATCGATTTCTCCGTACGCCGTAGTTATTTTGCTCCTCGCCTTGTAATTATATTCCTCCGCTCAGTGGAATGAATGGGCGCGTGCAATTGAGAAAGGAAAAACGCGGCGCCAGGAACCTCCGCCCCCACGTGAGCCGAGCCTTGTAGGTTCACAGCCATCAATCATCACACCCTCAGCACCACCGTATCAAATCACTGCTTCCATTCATTTTTTTTATTTTATTTTATTTTTTTTTTCCATCCATTTCATCTCCCTTTCACCTCTCTCTTCCTTTACGCTGTTCTCCTCAACTTGTTATTATATCCCACCTCTTACCTTTCGCCGGTTCGATCCGAAACGCAGCCGTCAACCATTACTGTAAGATTGCCGTCGGCGTCTATATCCTCGTCCAGCCATCATGGCTCCAAACGATCTCTCAACCGCCATAACCAACAGGTCTTTACGGACCATCAAAACAGTACGTGGGAATATGCTACGACAATGTTTCGATCATGGTAAGCCCGTCTTTGCTAATCCCAAACCCTCCATAGGAACTGGAATTCCTCTGCGACTCATCCGTTATCACACCTGGCCAACTTTCCTCAATTCTTTCACAACTCCCAAGCCAAACACAGCTACACGCTCCCTTGCCGCAGTCGACGGCGGATACCGGCTTCACGCCTCCCTCAGGTCAGCTGGATAAACTGGCATTGAATGAAAAGAGCTCGGAACAAGATCCTTACTCGGATGTAGTACCTCCACCATCTTACGCATCAGCCCCGCCCGTTCTGTGCATGGCTTCGGCACTCTACGCATACACACCAACCGACGCAGGTGATTTGGCCTTACAAGCCAACGACCGGATTCAAGTTCTTGAACACATGAACAACGACTGTACGTTGCAACAAATCTATAGATAATCCTCGCCGATTCTCATGTGCTAACACTCTCGTTCAGGGTGGCGTGGTAGGAACGAGCGAACGAGTATGGAGGGTATTTTCCCAAGAACATACGTTACCATTATCGATGAGAAACCGGCAGCCATCCCTCCACAACCGACAAACTACGGAAACATGCCACTCGAAGTTGCAAACTCCGGCTCAAGCAGCCAGGCAGGAAGGAAACCAAGCAAATTCGAAGAAAATGGAAAGAAGTTTGGCAAGAAGATGGGCAATGCTGGTACGTTTCTCCCATCGAGCAACCCTTTTTTGGAATAAGGAATCAGTTTATCTTACTCTATGCTAGCTATCTTTGGCGCGGGTGCCACCATCGGCTCCAACATCGTCAACGGTATTTTCTAGTCGTATATTTGCCCCTCGACTTTTCTATTTGCTCTATTCCATACTTTTGGTTTCCATACGGGTCGTCTGGTTAATGGGATGGCAATTTGCTTTTCTGTGCCCTTTGTCATACGAGTGGCGTTTACGGTGTGACCGGTATCGAAATACATTTATCGGGTGGTTTTTGAAAACAACGGACCGGAAATCAAATTCCCATGTTACGAAACATGGCTGACATAGGAAGACTTTTTTCCCCCCCCAGAGCCTTTTGAGGTTTACGGGTTGAATATATCTTGCTTACTGTTATTAAAAATCTGGAACAAGGATTCCAATGAATCATGCGAAGTGGAAGGGGTTGCATCGATATTCCTAGTTTAGCGGTGATGGCTATGCCACACTCGACCCCCTGGACAAGTTGTCGCTCCAGCATCTCGCTGATTTGGTTAATCACTCCTCATAAATATTTTCGCCGGATCTCCGCTGCCCTAAGTTAGATTTCTTGAGCCCTTTTATGATCTGCCGATGGTTTATTACGTTGGCTTCCTGCGAAGCCTTCACGGTGTAACCCGGCGTTCAGTCACATTCTCTATCCTTCCTTTCCCTTCACTGATCGATTTGGAATTCTTTCTTCACTCTTGAATTTTATTTTTATTTTTCTTATTTTTTTCTTTTTCTTTTTCGAAGAAGCTACCTTTGAACTAACATCCTTTCGTCCGTTCTTCCCTTTAATCGTGTCTTTTACCTTGTATGTGAGATCATAGAGGAGAGTTTGATTACTACATATGCATTATGTGTACTCCGTATTATTGTTTCCTATATCTACCTAGATGACCTCGTGCAATTAAAGTATAACTCCCGCCCACTCGATGTGAAGATACGCGTACCGAGATATCAATTGTTGTAAGATGGCTATGTACTCCATACTTTGCTGCCCAATGTTCTACGAAAGGGAGCCGGTGTGCAGAACAAGGAACTAATGTGAGGAATTCAGCCCCGGCCGATGACGGACCCCTGGCTATCGTTTGCTACCTCCACTTCGTCGCGGAAAAGCAAAACTGTCGCGTGGCGCATTTGTGACATAAATCACGTGAGATACGTTTATGCAGCAAAGCTGAAAGCATAAATTTAAAATAATGCGTGCCAAGCCGTATTACATAAAGATTATGCAAACATGGCAAAACTTTTGCATTCGGCTTCTGTTATTTGTTGAGGTTTGCTGGTATTTGAAGGATATATTTGGGTGGATCGCATTATTTGTTGATGAAGGGTGATGAGCACCGGGCCAAATTTGAGAGATGCCCTTACCTCAAATGCATAGCCCCGGGGATCTGAAGTATTTCGGGGATCTCGAAATGCCGGACGCCCGCCAAGGGCGCCTTTTCAGTGACCGCCTCGATTCTCACGAGCGTGCGTAACTCTTGGAAACCTGGCCCCCACACGCATGATCCTCTCCTTTGCCGGACAACGCGAGTGATAATCCCCGCCGTCTCTTTGATGCTGGGAACGGTAGGGTTTCTGGGTCATGTTTTCTTTCTGGTTTTGCCTAACGTTGCCCGCGCTCCAGCCGCTTTGTTCAAGTTTCCGTCGCGCAGGTCGTTTTGATAGATATACCATGGCACCGGTCCCGGCCCTAGCAATCGCGACCAATATTTTGGTGGGTTTTGAAAATAATATCTCTCCAATGTTGAGGCCCTTGTTAAGTTTTGAGTAGACGAATGGATATGGAGTTTAAATTATTCGCAGATTCATTGATCATCCGTATCCCTAAATATAACATGAGTTGTCGTTTTAAATATGGATGAAGTGTCAGCAATTCCTTACTCGATGCCGAAGGGGCAGGGGCGTCGGGTGTTAAAGACTGATCTTCGCTTTGAGATCGAATAAGGGACGCATGCGTCTGGCCAGCCTAACGTCAGATATCAGCACCTTTATCACAGAAACAAGGGGCCACGGGCAGATTGCTCTTACAGGACAAGCATCCAGGCTCCGCTTCAGCTGTTCTCCCTCCGATTTTATCAGTTTAAGCTTGGTATCAAAATGTTGGTACTTCTTGCTCAGCCAAAGGTAGGGAAATCGCAGGCCTCGGAGGGTATATCTCTTAGCAAGTGCCCGCGACTGTCGGAACCCGATGGAATATAACCAGCGGCCCAGCCAAGCGCAAAGGTCCAATATCCTTCGCGCTTGGAGCTCTATGTCTTGGCATCCAAGTCCTCGACGGATATACGGCTCGATTGAGACCATATAGCTCATCCAGTCGACAATCGAGAACCCAAAATCCGACCTGGCAATCCTCCTGTCGCCAACAGCATTGTAGATTGCCGCAATGGCCGCCGGTAAAGCAAGGAATGATTGCATCGCGAGATCCAGAGCAGGACCACCGGCTGCCATGGACATTCTGGTCAACCGAGACACAAGGATAGGGGCGGGCTATGGTCGCGGAGTAGTTGTTATTCTCCCAGAACAATGTCAAGGTCGGGTTTCTGCATACCTACACATTAATGCATTGTCGCACTGTCGGTCTGATCATCGAGGGCTGGTTTCCAGAAAGGGCAGCTGGATAACCAATCAAGTTTCAGTTAGGGTTACTCAACATTGGGGCTGAACCAACTGCATTCGAAGGTCATGCTGTCATGTTGAGTTTGAGCGCAACGAGCTGAAGCATCATCGGCTCTTCTGAGTGGCGTGGGATTTGGCATAATTCGTCCAACCTTGTGGTGATGGTCATTTTTGTTCTGATTTCTCTTACTTGTTTCGCAAAGTTCATTCAAACCTAAATTGCTCTATCAACGAGAATCACCCGGCCATCACCTGACACTTTAAATCATGCATGTACAGAGCATATACCCAAGAGGCTATAGTTCTAATAGACTATTCTTAAGGCTATCTAGGGAAGTGGTAACTTCAAGTAGTTTAGCAAAGTGCTTTAAACTATCCTTCGCAGGGAGTATATGCATGGCAATACGTCTATTCAACATAAAATATTGCAGCGGTCCTGTCGCTGGAAGCTATCGGGAGGCGGGACATGATGAAGGTCGCCCGGTCAATGCCAACGATATGCGCCAATACAGCCTGGGCGGGGCGCTAGTGCCCAAAACGGAGACTCGTGTAACCCGTCGCAAAAAAAACTCAGATTTTGCATCCAGGCAGATCCTTTGGTACAATATCTCTTGCAAACCGTCAGATGAGTATAAACAATTCGTCTGGTTTCTCTAGTTGAGGCCAATGTCCACATTCTAAATTCTCAATTCGCGGGTTTCGTGCCCATCGCTTGATTTTCTGGACTTGCGTTTCGGAGCCCCAAGCAATATCCTTTGTTGATTGAATGAACAGATTTGGGAGAGTCAGGTATTTGTTCTCTTCGGAGATAAGTGCATCATCAGCGGCATTTACACCGCGCATGGATGCTTTATACCTGTATGCATCGGTTGGCCGAAGACTCGTACTCTGATGGAAATAACTTACCAGTTAAGAGGTGCACGGTATCCGCCGTCAGAAAAGATATTTTGCCGAATAAGATATTCAGGGACCGTGATGTAGGGTGGCAATGAAGTAGTTTTACCGGCCTTTAGCCATGCCCTTGCAGCCCCTGGTGGACAGAGATCAGTCTTCCAGAGCTCTGATTTGGTAGGGTAAAAGAGGTTGAACGCCGATCAGGGCTATCGAGGGTCAGCAGAGTCTCCAGACGTTTTGAGAATGTAAACAATGCGGGGCCGTGATCCCATTACATTTTGATCACATAACTCCACGGCCTCCTCAGTGTTGAACCAGTTCATATACTAAACTGCTGGGTAACCAAGCAATTTTTTTGTCATGTCATTGAACTCATCTATTAACTAGTGGTTAACAGTTGTTACTGGAAATATGTCAACAATTAATGAATGTCACTCACATACATTAAAGGTACCGGGTGGTGCATAGCTAACAGTCACTGTGACCACACGCAATAGCCGATCAGGGTGATAGATGGCTAACATAGATAACATTGCAGAACCCTAGAAATCAAAACATGAATGTACATTAACCAATCACCCACAGAAAGAGTATAATTCACGCGGGTGCATACCAGTCATGAGCTACACCAATGCATGTTCCCACGTCCTCGATATCAAGAATCTCCACTATATGATGTGTCATTTGTGTCATCGCATAACTGTTAAGCTCCACGGGCTTGTCTGTATCCCCATATCCAAGCAGGTCCGGCACGATAACGCCATACCCAGTATTCCTGAGGCGAACGATCATGTGCCGCCAGTCCCAGCTGGAGCTAAGGAGGCCGTGGAGGGTAAAAAGGTGGGCTTCACACGAGCCGCCGGCTTGACTGATACATACGCATACGTAGTGTTATCAGAGATGGAGACTTGCTTTGCAATATGTGGAAAGGCTGCGAAGCCATCTTGGGTGATTGATTATAGGCACAAACAAGAATATATTGGAGTGTGCCAGAGCAAATAGGCAGTTGATGTAGCAGTCAAGGACCGAGACGTTAAAAAAAGTTAGAACCTAGGAAATTGCATCGATCCAGATGTGAGGGGTAGCTCTCTTAAAAGGCAAGATGGACATGCTAACAGCTGCCGCCCTAGTGCTTTTGAGAACATGCAGCTGTCCACGTTGGCGAGGGCTGAAATGCGCGAATATAGTTCTCCACACATCCATGTTCCCTTCACGTATTGAAATCTTTGCAGCGGCCGGTGGGACAAACAGGCACAGGACACTCAACCACGAGTACACTTTGGGCGTCAATGGTGCTGTTCTGATGGAGGCCAGCTTCCAATATCACTCGGGGCCGTACATCCATGAGGTTGTACCACGGACTTACTTATTCCGTTGATTTTTCGGATGTGGACGAGCCAACTAACTACTTATGTAAATCTTCAGTAGTTTGTCGCTGCCTGTTCGCGAGTTCATCACCAATTCCGGACCGTGGATTCTCACGTGTCCACAAGGATCTCCAGATCCATGTCTTCATTCAACAACGTGAAGGGAAATGCAGAACTTAGGGAGAGAGACGCGCAATGCCCCGAGGCCGGAAGTGGCGTCAAACATAGTTGGAAGCATTGCTGGATAGCTCCCTCAGGTCAGTGCTCCAAGTATCCACCATATCCTGAATACTAGCGAGACGGTCAGGAAGCTCAAGCTCGCCCAATCTGAGCCTACTGAATGTTTATGATGCATTTGTGTTCCGAGGAAAAGCCAAGAATATCAATGAATTTTCTCGGGCATGACAGAAGGATATTTGCGCTACTTGATGGCTGCCTGAAAGACGGTTGCTGCTTGGTTAAACAATATGAGATATAAGCCTTCGGTGGAGCCTTCTCAGAGTAACTTTTTTAAAAAAAGGAAGCTTCTCGGATTGACATCGTGTGGGGTAGAGAGTTGGATGTGAAGGATTGGTAATAACTCTCTCGCCTGAACTCTGAGGTGCCTTGGCCGCGGAAGGTAATTTTCTCTTAGCCTGATTGCTGGAGGGTGCTCTTCGCGTTGTTGCGATGTGAGCTGATGCGGCCGCCGAGAATCAGGCGCGAGGCATCTGCAGTGAATTGATTTTGATTGGTCAAGTTTAGAATCCTTCTCCATTCTGCTTTGAAGATACAGCGGTTAAATGATTGAGCCTAAGCGCCAATAAGTCGGATGGTTCGTCTCTGTTCGGATTCAAAATTATCATGGAAAGACGTGTGTCCATCGTCGATTCATCGAGTCCATGGCAGTGTCAATGGTGTTTGTTTGAGTTTCGACGGGTCGTCCACCAGAGCCGAGGCCGCGTTTGCAATGAGAGATGATCGTTTGGCTACCGGCTTGGGAACACAGCTTCATGGGAAAACAAGAGGATTTTCAACGCGCTTATGCTCGTATCGAAAAACTAATGTTTAGTGGCCCAACACAACCCGGATTGGGGGAGCTTGGAGCAGGGCGAAGATCACCACCATTTAAGCCTCAGTTGCCCCTCCCCTCGTGTTGGGCTTCTTTTTCTCGCCTCTTTTCTGCACTTTTTTTTTTTTCATCTCTGCCTTATTCTTGTCACAAAAGGCACCCGACTTAGGACTTGATTGTTTGTTTGGGTTGTTGCAAGATTTTGAAGTTTGTTCATCAGCTGTACTACTCGCCATGTCATTCCAGCAAGGCCAGCAATCTCAACAACCCCCACCGCAACCAGGATTCTATCCGCGTAAGCCTCTCTGCTGGCTTCTGTGTCCTGCAATTCACTAATACAAGCTATGCTATTTAGCACCAATACAACAAGGAGGAGGTACTTTGAACCCGTGTTCATAGAAGAGTGTTGATGAGGCCTCTCACTTGTAGCCGAAACATCTCCATTGACTGCTGTGCTGTAGCCTATCCTCCTCCTCCCCAGCAAAGTGCATTCCCTCCACCACAACAGCAGAGCTACAACTATCCTCCCCCCCCAGGGGCACAAGGAGCTCCTCAGTTCGCGCCACCCCCAACAGGTGGCCATGGCTCTCCACCACCACATGCGAACTCACCTCCTCCGATTACACAAACACCCCCTCAAATGCCACAACCTACACCTCCGCCAAAGATAGAACAGATGTCTGGTGGTGCGCCACCAGCTGGCCAGTTTGTAGGAGCCCAATCCACAGCTGCAGATGATGTTGGCACGTTCAATGGAGGCAGCTATCGCATCAGTCATCGTGATTCCAATTCGATTTTGACTCTTCAGCTTGCAATGGGATGTCCATTGACTGCCAAGCCCGGTACGTCCTTTTCGGTGGTATTCATTGCCGTGTAGATTTTGTGATATACATCTTTTAAGCTGTATGCTGACAAGACGATTGTTCAGGCGCTATGATTGCCATGTCACCCACAATGACCCTCAAAGGCTCAGTAAAATTCTCTGTCAAGAAAATGCTAGCTGGTGGCGAGATGTCGTCCTCAACATACACTGGCCCGGGTGAACTCCTCCTGGCACCTTCTGCACTGGGTGACATTTCCCTTCTCCGTCTCAACGGGCAGGAGCAATGGTTTGTTGGTAAAGACGCCTTTTTGGCTTGCACACAAGGCATCGTCAAAGACTATAAGCGCCAGGGACTTGGCAAGGCTTTTTTTTCCGGCGAAGGCCTGTTTATCTATACGGTCAGCGGTACCGGTATCCTTTTCATCCAAAGCTTTGGCGCGATTATCAAGAAAGATGTATGTCTGGGGCCCCTTGGTATTTTTGCGATGGGCACTGACTGACTTTTAACAGCTTGTCGCTGGCGAGAAATATATCGTTGATAACGGCCATCTTGTCGCATGGACCTGCAACTACGTGATGGAGCGTGTTGCCTCCGGAGGAATCATGTCCGGTTTAGCCTCGGGCGAAGGGTTGGTGTGCAAGTTCACCGGACCGGGAACTATTTACATGCAGACGAGAAATGCGCAAGCATTTGCGCATTGGGTTTTGGCTAATGGAGGTGTGAGCGGGGCTTAAGAAGATATTTCATTTACTTCGCATCGAGTGCCTTTGACACGTTTCTGATTATCCGCTGATTAATACCGCACTGTTATGATATCAATTCGTTGCCAGCTGAGCTTTAAACTCTTATGTGATATATCTCCCTTTAATGATGTTGATGAAGAAGATGATGATAATAATGATGTGGTTCGAGGATGCTTGAAGGTAATGTGTCAGGATGGGCGGTGTTTGATACGGCGATTTTCCACCATCGTTTTACCCCACTTAAAAAAAAAAAAAAGGGGTACGTACCAATATCAAAAATTGGATAAAACAATTTCGAAAGAAAGTCATCAGGTCCTACTGGGATTCGAACCCAGGATGCCGGAATTCTTGAGTATATCAAAATCCGGAGTCATAACCACTAGACCATAGGACCGTATTGAGGGGCAAACCCCATCCTACATAACCTTGTTCTAAAAATGCAAAGGATTTGTGGCGCGAGGTTTAGGAGACAAACTTCACTTTCCACTGGAATACTTGGAGAACGGTGTTCAACTCAGCATATTGATTACTCACTTTCAGAAATATCCTTTTAAGAATGAGAGGAAAGCTGAAATAAGGATTTAAAATACTATGCCAACCACGCAGCAAATGATGTAAGCAAGCATAAATCGTGATCCAGAAACAAATACCATCAGTCAGAAAATGAAGTCATTGAGCCATGCGACCACGACGACATTCAGGGATAATATGTGAAAATGACATGGATCCGGTCGTTACTTTTGCAAGGAGATAACATCGTAGAGTAACGTAGAAAGCAAACAAAAGACAATATTGCATCTACGGCTGCCTCTTCCGCCTTCCGACTTGGCCACGGAAACCTGTCTTGATGGCAGTGACACTGCGACGACTGCCGCAGGAGTTGCAAGTAACGAAGTACAGACGATTTTCTCCCTTGTTGAGTTCGGTGTCTGGGCTGCGGCAGGTCTTGCAGGTGACGTATTCGACTGTTCAAGCGGCATGCGTTAGAGATATTACAATTGGGGAAGCTCAAGGTTAAGGGCCCACCTACCGATATATCGTCTCAAAACGTTTTCAATCTGTTTCTGCTGGAAACGACCCTTGATGACCAATCGTCGGTTGCCGTCAACTGAGCCGCTGGTACCCAATTCAGCGAACAAGAACTGAGTGACGTGATCTTCCGATCTCTTCATTCGCTTGCAGATATCCGCAATATTAGCAAAGATCGTCCTCCGATTTCCTTCGCGCAAGCACTGTGGTGGCGGAATCTTATAAGACTTGGACCCGCTGGCTAACAAATCTGGATGATGGCTGTGGATAAGGCTGAAGAAGCGTGTAACGAGATACGAGTAGGGGATGGGCTGGGTAGCTTCATGAGCCCAGATACCGGTTCCGCTCTCGAGGTCCTTGGCAATTTGTTCGGGGGATGGCTTTTCTTCCGCAGCAGGCTCTTCCTCGGCACCAAGACCAGCTTCGGCGAGTTTAGCCTCGAAGTCTCCAGCATCGACGGTCTTCTTTTTCGAGCTGCTCTTCTTCTTCTTTTTCATTGTCGATGGATCGAAGGCCCCATCAGCAGCACCATCTTCGCCATCTGCGGCCGCTTCGGCATCCTTCTTTTTGGAAGACTTCTTCTTTTTTGGTAAACTCTTGAAAAGTTCTGTCACTTCGTCGACCTCTTTATCTGGGGTTGCTGTAACAAAAAACACATTAGTAGGGCTTAACACAGGAAAAGCAATTTCACAACACTATGAAATAGAATTAACTTACCCGCAGTGTGCTTCTCAGCGGTGGATTTCGTCACATGGCCCGCCTCAGTGATAGAGCCATTCGCATCCATGACTGTGGCGCCTTCACTGAATGCAACGGACTTTCTGTGTTTCTTTTCGGGCATCTGAACCTCCTGCATTATATGACTGGCGTTAGCATTGGTCATGATCACACTCACAACTTTTCACCGCGGGCAAGACTCGTGTGGCGAGGATCGTGGGGAGACAAGGGGAACCTCACATGACGTACCGTGTCCGCCATGATGGGCACAGCTTTTGAAAATTCTCCTGACAAGAGAAGGGAGATTTGCAGAGCTTTAGTGCTTAAGACCTGGGTATGAATGGAACTGAGATTATCAGATGGTATTGCTGCAGGTGAGCTGGTAGTTGGAATCTTTTTGCTGAGGGCTCATTATGACTGCGCTTATCAAGAACGCGAAAACTCAGTGACTAATCCCTAGATATTTCACGTGACCGGGTTAGTCGCCTCAGGCTGCATCCTGCCGTCCGTCACGGGCTGGGCGATGATGGAGTGATTCTTAAGACCATGATCTTACTGAACAGAAAGGCTTTATGTACATACATATACTCGCAATAGTTACTGTAATCACCATCGCCCACCAAAAGTTATCTCCCCTGTGAAACCAGTCAATGCCTTCTCCCTCCAAGAACACCCTTTCGAACGGCAACCCACCACTCACTTCGCCTGTCGAGTACTGTCTCTAGCTTCAACCAGGGACCGAGACCTAGATCCATATCGACAACGATCATGTCCAGCTTCTCTTCTTCCCCACGCATAAACATGACCACCTCCCCGTCTTCCTCCAGTTATATGTTCGCCTCTCAAATCCACCACGATTCCTCCGAGGAGGATGTAGCCTCCCTTCCGTCCTCGTCCGCGTCAGATTCATCACTGGCAGACCATTTATCCATGTATGACGATGAAGATGAAGACGAATCCGACGCAGAAGCGGAATGGCGGGAAAGCATGCGGCAACTAGAGCTCCTGGTGACAATGGTGATAGTACCGTTTGCGGGGAAGTTTTTGGGGCGGAAGTGTGCCTATTGGGGTATGTCAACCGTGTGTTCGAGTCCAAGGGAGATGCCTAGATTATCTTGCTAATCTTTCACAGGGTGGGCGAAATTTATGGAATGGAAATACCCCTTTGAAGATACCATACGAAATAAAGGGGATTCTCGAAACGTCAGGCCACTCAAAATCGCTGCTGCATTGTGAATTTATAATCAGTGGGTGACACTATCATATGTATATCTATGTATTCCCAGACAGTGTCGACTATTACTAATGTAGCAATTTAACAGTTGAAAAGGTATTAGATACAACAAGACCTCCCACCCTCGCCACAAAACCGGTCGTACTCCATAAAATCTGAAAACAACATTACTTCCACAAAAAAACAAAAAGAAAATGGCCGTGGGCCTAGGTGGAAATATCAAAAACCGTACAAAGTACTCAATGGGAATATGGCAACTGCGAAACGCGCTCGAAAAACACGCTCGATTCGATATTAGAGTTCGATATGGCTAATATCTATCATAACGCCGAAACTGTGTCATCGTACTAAAAACTGCAATCATCAAAAAGAGAGATTATGCAGGATATCAATATCATTAATATCTCCAAAATGAAATAGGTCCTCGAAGGAATATTCGTGAGTCTGGGACAGGCTAAAGTTTTGCTCAGTGCTAGTGTGTGGATCCTGAAGTTCGCGGGCGTTGAAATCAAGGCTTTGGACATCGCCATACAGCCCATTCATGTTGGACACCGGCATAGAATCTGGTCTAGATTGATAACTATATTGCCTATTTGCCAAAGACAAGGCGCAAAGAAATGATAAGCAGCTGTTTTAAATAAGCCCACACACGTTTGCAGGGGACATACATAAATTGTTCACCGGTTCCAGAAATCGCTTCAGTCACAAGGCATGGAGCATTCACTGGAGCGGAACAAAGTCTTGTTCTGGCTAGGCCTGACTCGAGAATTCCCATGGTCCCATAGGATGTGCCGAGGTTTTGTGACATTTCTTCCTGAAGAAAACTTATATCTGGTTCTAGCATTTTCGCTGTGTCCAGGAATCAATATCGTCTTCGGCTAACAAGGCGCGATGATAGTAGGATGTATGTACTCACTATACCTACCGTCGGCCGGTATGAGATGCTCAATCTTACACTGTCACACCAACGATATAAAATCAGCCACCTAAATATAAAAATAACAAACGAACGAACAGAAAAACGGACTCACAGAACGATGATTCTTCTTGCAATCCGCACAGGCCCCGCCCAGCTCACGGATCCTTGCCGTCTTCTGCTTTTCTTTCTCCGTCCGCTGACGTCGTGGTGGTGGCTCCTCTAGCTCCTGTCCAGAAGCCGAATCCCAGACTGAGAAGTTTGGCCGTTTAAGGGTGCGTGACTGGGCTTTAGAAATTCCAGATTTGTATCGGGAACTCGCTGTATAGCTGATACCACTCTTAAATGACGAACTCAAGATAGAGCTAGAATGCGGAAACGAGGAAGAAAGATGATCCCCATTGCGTTCCACCTGCGGGGAAAATGATGGAAGCGCAATGGGAATTGCCTCTAAGGTCATTGAACAGAAGTATTAGCATGGTCATTACTGTTTATGGTAGGGAGGCTCGTCGCGTCTCATACTTGTCGTAGAAGGTAGCGGACCGTTACCGTCACTAAGTTTGCCATTGAATGTCGCCTGGTCCGATCCGTCTGTCATCAGAGTGTTTCCCAAGGTTCCAAACGCTTTGTCGCAGAGGGCATTTTTCCCTTGTGGATCATTATGCAGCTCTGATGGCACAAAGCCTTCCACACGTTTACTTGAAATATCTGGACTTCCATCCGGCTCATGTGGGTAGGAACTATGTGGCCCGGGACATTGTACCCGGCCCGGTTGATCTGGACTTCTAATATTGCCCTCGGAAGCTGCTCCATACGGATTGGAAGCGCAACTTGGATAAGAAGGGTTGATGCCTGGCAAAAAAAGATGGGGCTGGTAAGACGCCCCTGCATTGACCACGGCAGCATTATTGGTCAAAGCTTGATTGACAAGTCCTTCATTCGTTGTATGTCGCATCAATGGGTTTGACATACGGGCAAATGTGTCCTCCTGGGATATCTTGCGATTCTGGGAACGGTTCTCCAACCGCCCATTTCGATAACCTACCAGCACGCTGCTTTCACAGCCAGGGTTTGTGAAAGCGATCTCGCGGAGGCCATTGTCTCCCTGGTCATCAATCCCTTGCAAAGAACCGTTTCCTGGGGGACACTTATAATGTGGGCTGATAGGTAGTTCTCCGGCGGTCCTTCGGGGCTTCATCATTTCTATTCGTTCAGGCGGGAGGCCCATGATTTGTCTGCAAATCAAAACTTAGAACCGTCCTCCAAGCGATCGGCTTGGAAATTGGGCGAGAATATTTTGAAAATACGAACATAAAGAAAAAAGATCCAAATGTGGAGACGACCGGCAAAGAAAACGGGTCATGCAATAGAATAGGTCTGCTCCCTAACCAGGGAGTTGAAATGTCAAACAATTCCAGGCAGGTCAATGTCCGTAGGTCTTGTCAGATTGTAGATCCTCGGTTTCCGGCCATCTAGTACCTCGTCCAAGGGGTTTCCTCGGCCAGTAAATTTCAAAGCAATGTAGCAGACGTAGATGCAATCAAGCTATAACGAATGATTAATGAATGGTCACCAGACTCCAGCCAGCAGGATAAAATACAAAAGTCCAAACGCCATATGCGCCATTGAACTTTCGGGCCATATCTATTTTCCACAGTAGGATAAAGGTATGAAAAGCTCGTCTCAGGGAGTAATTCTAGAAATCAAGATCTCCTTCCAAAGAAGACGTACCTTGGGGGTTTGAAGTGTTCGCAATCACGATGCAGCATGGTCGAAACCCAGCATTCCATTTCGGTGAAATTTTTGAACGTAGTGGAAGAATCGGGTTACCTATGTGTATATATGCACTCGGTATGGCTGTGCACGGCTGCGGTTGTGCGTTACCATTTTCGTCTGCCGCAAAGACTAGTTCGTGGTGGAAAGGATCTAGCCAAGTTGGGGGGCGGCTTTGATGCAAGACAAGGGGATTCGTCCAGTAGCACGGCGTAGAGTGGGCGAGGGCTCATCGCCTGAGCTCCCGTTGGGTAGGGAAAATGCGGCCTGACCTTTAGAAGCCGTTTCGAGCGGTGACAATCGCCACCTTAACAGAGATGACAGCTGAAACCGGGTTCGCCTCGTCGGTCAATAATGCGCAGCCGTCCTGGCATATCCACCACCAGTGCTCGTTTGGACCCTGCCTCAAACCAGAGAAATGAGGACGGTGCCCCGTCCCAGAATCTTCCTTCCATCCCATCAACTAGATGATAAGTACTAGCGAAGCGATGCTGGTAGGAATCCTGGCTGACTACTCCGTACTTCGGAGCCAAGTTCCGTGGTGTTGCAGAATGTTAGGGATCAAGACGCTGTTGGGTGGAAAACAATGCCGGCGGTCTGGAACAAGAGAATTGGAAAGTTGCAGGCATTCTATGGTGGTCATGGGAGCTGCGGTTAAGGACAAACCCCGGGTAAGGTAGTTCACCACTAAACGAGCCACACCACTAAACGAGCCAAATTTCGCCAAATGCTCCACGCAACGAATTTATTAAATATCTCAACAACCAGATCTTTATTATTAAATAGCTATTAAATATTAAATAAATGTATTCTTTAAAGCATAGAAATTAGTATAGTTAGGAAAATAAACGGGTGGACGGCCTAATATTACGGCCAGAGCGAGAGATTCGGGGGGTAGATAGGAAAGAATTCAAAGGAATGTCAACAGTAGATTTCTTGGCTAGGGAGCCTAATGCCTTGCTAGGGATGCTTGTAGAGCTCTTACTTCCCCTTTTGGAAGGTTGTATAGGCTCTCTGCGATGAGGCTCTTTAGTAGGGGAGTCCTTCCGACGGTGCTTTGAAGCCGGTGCTTGAAGCCCTGACTGCTGGTGTTTATTAGCATGTTCAACTGCCTGTTTTTCCTTCTCTGCTAGTTGTAAAGCCTTCTTCTCCTCACAAGCAACATGTTGTGCCTCCCTTTGCCTAGCATGTTTGATTTTTTTGGCCTCTTGTTGCTCCTGGGCCTTTTTATGGGCATCCTCCTGTTCAATCCATCTTTTTTCAACATCTCTAGCAGCCTGCTCCTTTTGAAGCTCTTGTTGAAGTTTTGCCTCTTGTGTTTGAGTAATTTTATCAGCTTTTTCAGCCTCTATTTCATCCAGGCGCTTGCGTGCCTTAAGAACTTTTGTTGGAGACCAGAACTGCACTTGACTAGGATTATTCCTATTGAGTAGGCCCAGGGGCTTGCCTTGCTTGTGGTGTTGCTTCTCCATCACTAGAGTTGATCTTAGCTGCTGATTCTCATGTTCCAGCAGTTTATTATGAAGAGCAAACTGCTCACTGGCTTGGATAACCTGTCCAATGCTCTGTGAATTTAGGCTGTGCTGGAGATGTATACCCTTGATCTCTTGTTGGAGCTGGTGCATATTGCTAGGAATAGGAGGTTTAACTGGCAGTGTAGGGACTTGAGCAGTTTCAAATTGGTGTAGTTGATGTTGAGGATCCAGAGGGTTAATCCCAGTCTTTGCAAAGCCAGCAAGTATATTTTCAACTGTCAAAGCCTTCTTCCAAGCCACATTGAATAGTCTCCAGAAATCCCTTTTTATCATTTGAATATAGCCCATTCCTTGATGTAGTAGTGCTTCCAGCTCATTGGAATATGCCTTGCCCAGCAGCCCAAAGATTCCAACATCAAGAGGTTGCAAACAGTGGGTTGAATGCGGCGGGAGGATCATAAGAAGAATCTTTTCACAGTCAGTGTATTTGATAAATTTCATATTTATATGGGAGGAATGGCCATCTAGTAGAAGCAGATGTCTTTCTTGACCAGCTTGTTTCTTAGTATACTGATTGAAAACCTGTTTCAACCACTCCAGTCCATATTTATCATTGCTCCAACCATTTGTTGAAGCTGCAAAGTAGGCCCATTTGCTTCCATCATAATCATCTAGCCATGTATCTTGGAGATCTTGCAATTCGCCCTGGTAAATAAGAGCTGGAGGTAGTGCAATTCCTTCAGCAGAGACTGAGCAGAGCAATAAGAGGAATTCCCAACTACCATCCTGGGTGGTGGCATTCTTTCCAGCTTGTAGGGCTTCAATAGAGACTAATTGCTTTGAGACATGGCAGGAGCCTAGGAGGAATCCTTTTTCATCAAAGTTGTAGATGTTTGAGGGCTCAAGATTATATTGATCAATTTTCTGCTCCAACTATTCCATAAGTAGTAGTCAAATAGTTAGCCAGCATCAACAACTGCAATTGCAAGTAATCAAATAAATCATCAAATTACAAGCATATAGAAGTGCTTAAAGCACTGATAGTTATCTGCTACCTGCCTATTTTGATCAATTGCTTTGAGATAAATGCATTTGATCTTGTCATTATGCCGCTCGCGAAATTGATTAACCCAGTTGATCCCAACATCCTCTCCTGTCATCTCTTGTACGATATTTTGTAGGATCTGAGGTGTAATGGCAAGGCCGCGGCTAGAGAGCTTGTTTATATAATTCAGGAGCTCTGCCTCCTGTATATCAGAGAGCTTTTTCTTATATCAGGAGGCTGCTTCATCCTGAGCAAGTTGCAAGCCTTTATGCCGTCGGCGCAGGGTCTCTTGGTTAACTGAGTACTTTCTCGCGGTTGCAGCGTAATTTGGGGTCTCTTGCGATTCAAGATCTTCAATTGCAAGCCTAATTGAGGCGTTGTTGACCATGTTGTCGCATATTGAATGTTGAACGTTGGAGGAATTTTGGTGGTGGAAGATTTGGCTCGTTTAGTGGTGTGGCTCGCTTAGTGGTGAACTACCTTAATTGGCCCACGCCACTCCGCGTCCCGGTCCCGCCAGCCGAACCAAGACGCCGCGTGCTAGTTGAGCCGTAGACAATTGTCACTCCTTTATCGCTATGGAGTACGGAGTACGGAGTAGTGATACAACAGTACCTCTGGCGGTGGAACAACGGGCGGCACACGCGACGTGGAGATCGTGATTTCGACCCACATCCCCCGCATCACTCAGCCTTACCTTCTTCCTTTTTCTAATCCTCTTATAAATCCGGAGTACGGAGTACTCTATTCCTTTTCCTTGGTCGCTCTTCTTATGAGTTGATTGAAAACTATTCACATCCATCCGAGAGATTCGATTAAAATTCGCTAAAACTCGTCGTTTAACTTACTTCTATACATTCCAACTTGATGCTTCAAATATTCCTCGAAGACCCAAAATGAACAACCGCACTAGAAAAAATTCACCCTACGCTGCCTGGACGTGCGGCTAGTGTCCCTGCTGCAAGCCGGCACGAAAAATATCATATCTACTTCGCCTTTGGAAGCAATATATCAGCGGGAATACGCGAACGTGGTTCCATCGCGGGGGCACCATGTGGAAGGGCTCTGTTACATGCTGAGCAAGGAGGATGAAGCCCGTCTCGACAGGCATGAAGGCGTGCCAACAGCATACGAGAAGCATCTGCTTGACATTGATTTGTACTTTCCGAGGAACAGGCCGAGAAGTCAACGTGGGAGCTCCGTCCGACCCGTTCGCAGCGATGGAGAAAGGGTAACGGTTAAGGCGTTGGTGTATCTCAGTCCACAGTACACCACTGACTCAGCTCCTCGAGAGGAGTATGTCAATCGGATGATTCGAGGCCTGCAGGACTCCTTGGATTTCGGCATGTCCGAGGACTACGTCAGCAACGTAGTCATGCCAGCCTTGAGGAGACGACCTAACCAAAATCGTACGGCAGCATCGGCCTTTTCGAGACGGCGTGCCAATGTCGATATAGAGAGGAATCGATCCCAACGTTTTCAGTTCACAGGCCCTTGGACACAACTTCCTCGTGCCCTCGCCGAGTCTCACGATGGTACCCACAAAACTCTCGGGCCGCCCCTGGATGCCCGTGACCTACCAAGTTCTTGGCGTCGGCTTTTGCAGCCACTTCTCGTGATCCCACAGCATAGCCTTTGCATGCATGAAATGGTGCATTTGTTTTCATCTTATTTTTCTTGTTTTGCTAGTCGCATACTATTAGATGGCCTACCCGAGCTAGAATAATGATATGACGATTAATTATTTTGCATGGTTAATCTTCAAGTTAGTCTTGGTAGTCAGTATCAGGATTTTGCTTTTAATGACCTTAAGGCCATCTTAATCCTCTGCTCTTCTTCACCAGGCCTTGTTGGTCGCATTCGTCGCCCACTACTCCCCCCTTTTCCCCCCCAAACAAGACCTTATTAGGCAGCGCTGGCAGAAGTCAGTCACTACTCTCCTGGACTTCAGCTATTTCTTTATTCTGTGAGGGCCAGGCAAGAGAGTTACACAAAAGGGGAGAAAGAGGAAGGTGAAGAGAAGGGGATGCTGATCTTCTCTTGTTTGGACCGGGCACATATGTGCCTGCAAACTCAGAAAAAGACATTTAATTTTGTATCAGTACTCCGGGATTTGGCCGCATCTTAGGTGAAGTGAATGAGCTGAAGAAGATGGAGATGAGCGGGAGAGGCTGCGCTAATTAATGTAGAAATTCCGAACCGAACCAGCTGGGAATCCCGAAGAATGGGAATCTGGGTCTGGCGTCTGCCGTTTACTTCAGAGTGCCGCACGCGCCTTGGACCAATCCGAACATTTGGGTCCTGAAGCAATCAGAAGATCATCCATGCAGCCACATGGAATCTTACCGGAAATAACCATTCTTTTTCCTCCGTTATCGAGAGGTTCGAGGGTGTTGTAAATATGTCCGAAGTAGCGGTGAACAAGCTCAGTGCCCAAGGTTCAATGTTGGACAATTTCGATTACATTGGAGAATCCCATTTCTGAGTCAAAGCATTGCTTGGCGCGTAAAAGTATTTTATGCTTTGCGGAGCACTAGCTTAGTGATAGTAGCGTTCTCTCGAAAAGTGTGTGCCGCAAGAGAAATGTAGACAAGGGCGAAACAAGCCTAGCGTAAAACAGGAAATCTACAACTAGTTATGATATTGGACCGAAAAATAAGAAACAGGAACTTCGACTGGGGTGAAGCCATCAACGGAAGTGAAAATGGAAGCCAACTGTTTTCGACGAGGAGAAAAATAGCCAGTACAGCGCTAACAAACAAGGCTGTGTATATCTGGATCCCCCCCCTTTTAGGGAAGGGTCATCTCAAAAACTTGGTTAGAATCAGGAGCAGAGCAGCTCATCTCAACTTCCATAGAGCTCTTTCGTCGCTTTATTTTCGCTGGCGTTTTGCGGGCCCCCTCAGCGTTGAGCTGAGCAATCAATCTCCGATTCTCAATAGATTCTGCACTTGCGTATGGCGTTTTGAGCTTTTCGAGCCCTTGCTTGGCGACATGGGGTGGGTCAGCGATATGACCAGGTGTCAAGTACCGTTCTACTGGATCCTCGATGGCGGACTTGGCGAATCCTTGGACTAGTTTCAAGTCGTTATCCAGTTGTTCGGGGCCGTGCGAGGGCGTCTGGCACAGTGGATTTGAGGATTCCGATGGAAAACTTGTGTTCTGAAAGGATTTACTCTCTGAAGCGCCATTACTGTCAAGCAGAACCTGCCCTTGTTCTTGGTGCAAAGAACGAAACTGTTCTCGCCTGACGGTAGCGGCAGCGTAACTGTCCTGTAGCTCGGGCTTCTAATGATACAGTTAGGTTTTGACTCAATATAAAAGAAAGGAAAAGCAAAGAATGCAACGTACTGGCTCCGGCAACTTCTCCAAGAGCTTAAGGGACGTTTGAGTCAATCTTTGTTGATCGGGGTTTGTCATTTTTGACGTGTCTCGGATGGGGGGAAGTGGGCACTCTCAGGAGTGGCCTTTGAGGAACAAAACGGCTTGTGGAATTTGCAAGTGTAGTTGGCTCTCCGTTTCCCAAATGTATGTTCGAAGAGAGTGGGTTGCCTTGAAAGGAGGAAGCGGCTGGTATGTCTAACTGGAGATGAAGGAGCAACATGAAGGGAAGGTCCCTATCATTTATAGAGATGCGTCCTAGATTCCACGGAAAGGGGTTCACAGAATTAAGAAAAGACTTGACTGCGGGTTGCCTGCCGATATCCAGGAACATCGCAAACGGGTGGATTGCCGGGCATCAATGCATCTTTTACCCATAAGCTCTAGCCTATTGCATCCCTGCAAGATCTCCGCGAGGAATGGCCTAGAATTGGGTTAGGAAGGCAAAAGGCGACAATCAACAACGCATCAGAATGGCTTGAGCAAAAAGGCGTCAGAAGGAGCCAAAGGCGCAACAATTACCTTTTCCTGAAACAGGAGCTTGGTGGACAGAGGCAAGCTTACGGTTCCTCTTGCCATCCGCACCGAATCACAGGCAATAAGGATAAGCGGTCAAGTATTTACTTGCTATCCTTCCTTAGGATCTGGAAGGCGATATCGATTTCCGTGGCTTCAAGCCACAGATACCTGCATTGACACTTGACAGGCATCATGAGACGCCAAAAAAAAGAAAAAGCAAAGAAAAGAGGGCGAGAAGAACTGAACCGCCCTAATGTAGGCGGGTGGGTGACCAGCAAAAGAATAGCGCGGAGGGCTCGCTATTACTCCCAGGCAGACAACTTCAGTGGCTCGAACATAGCCGAAGCACACAGCCAACATTCCGCAGCGTGGTTTTATTTAATGAAAGACCGTACATTTAGTTAACAGCGATATTCCAAAAATTATTTCTGCAAACCATGGAAATATTCCGTAACGGCAGCTAGATTGTAGCCTTTTGCAGCGAAATTGGCTTCACGTCAATCGCTGCACATGCCTAGGGCTGTGGCTTGTTGGTGCGCAGCCGCCATACCCATGCCTGTTGAGGGCATGCGTTGAGGTGTCAAAGAGCAAAAATCAAGGCTTAATTTCCGGTGAGCTTGGCAATGGCTGTGGGTTCATACCAGCTTTTGGCAAATTAAAACCGAACCTGCGCGGGCACCATCAACCAATTGAAAATACATCATTGGAGTTGGATGTATGAAGTGTAAAGCATTAGCAGCATACAGAAGGCATTCCTCCCATAATGGAATGAGAACATAATGACGATCTACAGGCCGCATCGGACGAATCGTCGATTTCAAACCCAATGCCCCCTCTTGAGTGGATCCGAGCCTGGTGGCTGCGCCGGATCGAGCACTCTTTGAGCCTTCAATCACTCCGAAATCAACCTTGAATTCGTTAAACATACGGATGGCGACCTTTTCTTGAGCCCAGGAGCATCGCAGTCGGACCAAGGATGCGGGTAGTTCCAGCGTATTCGATTGAGAACAGTAGCTCGCATCATTCATACGCCATTTTCTTTGGGGCCTAGAAAACACTATGCATGTAGGTAGTTAACCATCATGGAGGCTAAGTTGGGGGCTGTCACCGATGTTTTCAAGCGGAGCTGAGGAACGAATCAAACTGAGTTCTAACTCCGGCGGATGCGATTTTCGAGTCGGCAAAGTTGTCAATCAACTAGGTATTTCGCGGTGGTGTAACAAATACGGTCTGTCGACGGGAAGTAGGGAGAATGTCACACAGATCTGCTGCTTTCCACGGAGGCTGTGCGAGACGGCCCTTCCAGTCTTAGGAAAAATAAATTCATCGCTTCACCAAGCTAAGCACGTAGCTGCACAGCTTCACAAGGGTCCTGTCGGAAAGCTGTCCATCAGCGAGAATCACTGTCATGTGCGGTCATGTGTATCCCTTTGATCTGTGGATTTTTCATGGTGTTTGAAATATAAACGGCATGGAGTGGAAGCCTAAAATTTCAACGCCTTGCAGTCCAATTGACAAGCTATCGATTGCATGCAGGAGCTGACGGTGGAGCATTCCCACTACTAGAAGCTTCCCCAGGATAGCCCAAGATGGTGGATTTCTAAACATCAGGCCACAGTAGCCATCAGCATTGTGTGTACAGTACATGCATATATTGTGCACAAGTATATTTTCCGTAATGTGTATGTAAAAATGTGCGGATCTGTACTTGTCAGTTATCTGAGAAAGTGATGACGAGCGGGCACAGCGTATTGATGCGCTAGGAGTGCTTGGGCGAAATGCACACAACTTCTTTCTGATGTGAAGCAACCACTGTTAAGCTCATAGCATATGGTGTAGTTGCTCATTGACATGAACAGTGACGGGCACGTGGGTCGTGGTTATTTGTGAGCTGCGATTAAATGCACCGGTTCTATCCTTGAAATAAATGGACACACCGCTAGAAGTGGGATTGTTCCTCTACTGCATTGCAACGTCAGCTTTTTCAAAAGCTCGGACCTCGACTAGAGCGTTTGGGGCGAAGCGATGCGAAAGGTATGGGAGTTGTTTGCATCCCCTGTAGAATGGAGTCCCGTATGCTTCTTTCAGAAGGGAGTTCCAGACCTTCATCGACACGGTGGCTTTTTTGAATCCTTTTCAAGGCGGGAAACGATTAAGAGCATGCCCCGCAAGTTCCGAACGCAGGCTCAGTCTTTAAAAAAGGCGTCGTTTTCATTGCAAAAGCCAGTCACGATTCCACGGAGGTCTAGACTCTGCTCGGGCGATCTGCCGGCGGCTTCGCGCGCTAAGCGGCATCCTAATTTCTCCCGATCTTTGGGAATCATAAAACAAGGTCCAGGCCTGTTTGTTTGAACATCCCTGTCCTGACACCACCGCGAAGATAAAATTTCGATCGGCTTCCTGCAGCCCGCGCCCGAATCTGGATCCCTGGTCGGAATTGTGAGGTTGAAGGATGGCTGGCCGGTGCTTTCATATTCTAGCATAGCCTGTCACAGTCAAATTAAGCCAAAGTAGTCGAGGGCTTTGTCAACTCTCGAATAGCACAGGACATTTGATGTTCGTATCGAATTTGACCCGGGATGCCAGACATGACACATTCCGATAACTAATTTTGATGGGGATACCCAGCTAGGGATTTTTATCGGCCGGTTTAACGTGACGAAGGTGTGTGCCAACCTGACTCGTATCAAGAGTTCTCAACCAGCTACCCTGTAGAAGATGTCGGGATATGGCGTGGGGTACAGTTCGGATCACCTGCACTTGGCCCGAAAGACCCCGTAGTTCGCGCGATAGATTCATGCAGAATCGTATGTCGATACATCGTGTATCCCCGTTGTGGTTCTAGACGGCTCCAAAAGTGACCCAGACACGAGCAAATGTCTCTGCATATTTTTCGAACCGAAAATTTTCTGGCGACGTAGTGTTGTTTTTCTGCTGACGGCCAGCTGTACTCGATACTAAGAAAATTCAGCAAGGCTTAGCTTCACACGTATTCTACACCAGTACGGGGCATGCGCATATGGTAGAATGCATACCTGTACGTATCTGGCCAAAATGTATGGCCTCCATGTACGGCCCGTATGGTACTGCACATAACTGTAGATGGGCACATATAACATATAACACACGCAGCAATTTGACCATTGAATGCTCACTGGTTGAGATACTCGATGGTCTAAATGTGGGCGTGGAATCGCATGGCTTTGCCTGCAGAGAGTTGACGTACCAGTTAACTTGTTCGGAAAAAGTCAATTGATGGCCAAACCCCTTTTGGAGTTTGTCTCTGCCATAAATCCACAGCTTTGGTTCCACAAGAGAAGTGACGTCACCCCATTTCATCATCCAACATCCCGGCTCTCGAGACCTATCGAGATTTTCATTCCCATCCTCGTTATCTCTATCAAAATGTGCGTGAAGGACGATCCCGTCGAATATACCTGGAAATGCGGTCATACCGCACCTCACCTTCTCGGCTCTGAAATCTACTGGTGCGCTGAAGCCTTGCAAAGAGGTCGCCTGTGTGCAATTATCCAACCATCAGACAAGGCGAGAACCCGCGATTGGGCAGAAACAACTGTGTGCCCAACTTGCCGGCCAAGGAGAGCTTCGGAGGGCTCCGTGTATGAATACCATAAAGATGATCATGAGAAGGATGATAAGGGACGCCCACCTAAGCGAAGATTGGGGTCAGTTGGCCCTAGTGGGATTATAACTGGCGTTTAAACTGGAGCTACAGGAGGCGGCTTTTGCGTCATTGATGGATATTATCTAGGCACTCTGTAAATGGGAAGGATGAGAGTTGCTGGAGAATCGAAAGCAGTTTGCCCCTACACTAAGATTGAAAACACGTGCAAAACTAGCAACGCATGAAAGACAACAATTAATTAGTAGGTTTTGGAAAACAAGTTGTTATATAACTTCCAGAAAGGTATTGAAAGCTTCCAAACCGCTGGTCTCATCATCAGCTTCTATGCTTGTCCAACGCCACTGTGATCTGTAGTGGGAGGATACATATGCATCTATTATCTACACTAAAAAGAAAATAATACAGAAAATTCATGGTGAGCTTATAGAGTCAATTAGCATAGAAACAATCTGAGAAAATAGTTCTGCTTTGCGTGTGTCTGGGTCATTCAAACATCTTGGTTCATGATTCTTCCATCTCTGCTTGTTCCCAGCCACGATGGCTCTATGCTTCACATTTCCTGGCTAGAGCTGCACCTAACTAGCATTGAGATGGAAGTAGAAATCAGTGTGGATACTTTCCCCGCGGAACGTAACTGGAGGAAATAGTCACTGGAATAGTCACAGGCAAAGCAGCTATTGCCGGAGATTTCTCTTTATAAAACACCGAAGGAGAACTGCCACCCATGGAAAGGAAAATTTGCCATAGATATAGAAAACCAATATCAGCCATCATAGGACGAATAAAGAGAACACTGTACGGTTGCATTAGGTGATCGATCACAGGGGATGTGGCCTACGCAAACAAGAGTCTCTGGATTAACTCCAGAGGAGTGTGAAAACCCACTCAATGTGTTGAGGTTTTAGGGGTTCAGAAAGACCCCATTGGCAAGAAAATTGACATTTCAAAACAGAGACAGATGGTGCTAATTTTTGAAGCTTTGCAACTGTAGATTTTATAATCGCTCTTATGAATCACCCATCACTTGGTGGTTTCAGAACATAATCCAGCGCCTGCCTGACCACGGTGGAAAAATCAATTGCAAAAAATAACAATCTAGCAGAACATTTCAGTTATATGCCTATTTACTTCTTGTCCTGTGGAGTGGCTCGACCCTCACTGTGCTTCGCAATGAAAACAAATGTTCGGCGCCAAGTCATCGGTTTATATAAATGGAGTACGGAGTACTACGGAGTACAGAATACTCAGTAAGCACCTCTCCATATCCCGAATTAATTGTCTAGCCTAATTTGGCTAGCGTATGTAGGATGCCAACGGAAGGAATATCTAATTATCCGCCATCAGGCGCTCCCGTGACGTTGAGCTTCTGACGGGCCCGACGAACAGACATCCCTTGATCCAGTTCATTTATATCGCAAAAGAATAGAATCTTTCCCCTTCTGTCATCTGATTAGAGCCAGTCCGAGTTATTTCTGGTTCTGGCTTTTTCCTTTTCCCTAAAGATCGCCCATCGCTACCTCGAATCTGCCAGCCATGGCACCCGACGAACTCCAAGCTCTTGTCACCGGGCTCCACGGCAGTCTTCAAAATGAGCAGCTCGACCAAGCTCTTGCGCTTCTTAGCCGTTCGAAACTAGCACTGCTACAGCTAAACGCCCTGATTCCCACATCCTCCACCCCCCCCAGACTTTTCTCTCTTGCCCGCGAAATCCTGGAGCTAGGCGCCATTACTTCAATACGTCGAGGCGATGCCCCATCGTTCACCAGATATTACCAACAACTTCAGCCATTTTACGACATCGAGCGACATATTATTGCGACGCAGGGAAATACATCACAGATCAATGTACACACCAGTCAGAGGAGCAAGATCACCGGGCTTTATTTGCTTTTGTTGTTGAGCATGGGTAATAATACCGATTTCCACACTGTGTTGGAAGGTCTAGTGGAAGAAGCCTCTATTCAGGGTCGCATAGTAGAAGATGATCCATTCATCAAATACCCTGTTGAACTGGAGAGGAGTTTGATGGAAGGAAGTTATGATAAGGTGTGGAGGGAAACCAAGCTGGAGAATGTCCCATCTCCGGATTTTGGTTTGTTTTCTGATGTATGTCTTCACCAACTACCTCGCTAAGGTTTCTATATGCCAGTTCAATGCTAATGCTATGCTTTAGATCCTTATTGGGACGATTAGAAGTGAGATTGCGGACTGCTCGGAGAAAGCGTATCCGTCTTTGCCTATTTCCAATATAAAGAACCTCCTATTCTTCAACTCTGAAGGCGCCGTTATAGAATTTGCGAAAGAGCGAGGCTGGACTCTTAAAGATGGAAGAGTATATTTCCCGACGCAAGAAGAGCAGACCGACGAGGATGCCTCTCAATCCGAAAAGCAAATTCTCCTGACGGGAGGCAACGTCATTGAGAATGCGATCGGCTACGCAAGACAATTAGAGACAATCGTCTGATATTCACTCGTAGAACGCTTTTCGCGGGGTGGGGCATGGGAGATGCAATGGCCATGGATTGTATCATACATCTCTGTTCCTCCCTTGTCTTTGCAGGGATAATATAATCCTAGTTTTCGCATATTTCTAACAGTATAGACAAACTTGGTGCTCCAGGGTTTTGGAGGGTGATGTTTCAAACTTTGCGTCAAGTACTTGCTTTCCATACACAGACCCTTTTATCATAAAAGCTGCTTGTCACACAAAGAACAGTACGATCCTGAGTGTCCGTTTCGAATCCCCCCTTCCTGCCTTTATAGAAGTCTGAGGCATAGTTCATACTTTGATGCTCTCTAAACTCGGTAGTCACATCGATCTCCCAGTGTCCTTCATCGTCTTCCCGTTGGACAGAATGATTCACACGGAGTAGTCTGGCGCCCCCGTGCATACAGCTAGCTAAAACCAGATAACTTCGGATTCGCTTATATCCCAATTGCCACTGTGATGGTGTGCTTCTATCCGCATCCCCTAAAAGCTCAATTTTTATTAGTCTGAGACGCCAGACTCCTCCGCCAATATTCTTGCTTGCCAGGACTTCGCTCCGGGGCTTAAAGTGGTAAACCCGTATGTGCTCGTCATAACTTCCTGTGAGAAGAATCGTGCCCACCTCATCGGCGAAGAGAGGCACAATAGCTGTTACTCCTGCATCATGACATCGTCCACGGTCGTCAACTTGCCATGCGCGTGATGATACATTTCCAGAACATTCAATTTCCTCGAGTGTGACCCCACGAACATGCTGCATATCATCGCCGGCGAACAAAACTGAAATTTGTTTATGTTCAACCGTTTTTAAATAAAAAGCAACGTACCAGACCTCGATAGGGTATCCAGTGAACCGAATTTCAGAGATTGCGATCTCATTGGTGCTCTCAATTCCTGCATCTGTGCAAAACACAGAAACCCGGCCATCTGAGAATGACACCGCAAAGCCATCCTTAATTTCTTGACCATCATTCTCATCTCGACTAGAGCCACCAGAAGGAATCCAGGCAAGAAATAAAGCCAATTGGCTGGCGTTTTCATGGACATTAATGGAGCGCACAAACACTATTTTCACCGAAGCGTTCGGCTCACCACTAGGACCTTCAATGCGATATAATGATACGACAGGTGTGCTTAGGGCCACAGCAAATAAAGTTGGATCTCGTGGCGAGAACTGAAAGTCGAAAACTGCCGAATCCAAGTAAAGCTTTTGCACCGGAGAGCTGCATAATTTAGTTAAGCGCGAGTTTTGACGCATGGGACGTAAAAATTGTCTCACAGATGACATAGATGTGGATCAAAGCGAAAGAGTTGGAGGCTTCCGGTTCGAACTGATTCTGGCGTGGAGTTTTCTGCTGCTCCGGGATTTTCTGTGAGCAGATAGGTGGAGATCAAGACATGATCGGGAGCGGTTGGGCAGAAGGCTAAGCAGCTGGGTGGCTGATCAAGAAATAAAGTAGACAATGATGCTGGGGACTCTATTGTAGAATCCGTCATCTTAATTTTGAGATTCTCACTTGTTGCTACTCCCGAGATGAGATGGGCGCGTGCGGGTGGTGAGCGTTCATGCAATGACCCTTGGACCTTGGTAAAAATGTTTCTCGTGTTTTAGTTAAACCCTCGACGGCTTGTACTTCAATCTCAATGAATAAATTATCTGGAAGCTCTAAAATGATTTCCTATATCCTGTGGTCATGTTGTAAAGACATACACAGCTCATTTGTCTCAAATCTTTACAAGAGAAAATGTGAAAAATTTCATTGATAGATAATCGAAGACCACGGCCTGATGGCCATTTAGAGACGACTCCAGTTGGTGTCTGTGTCCCCAGTTGCCGCTTGTGCGAGACGCTTTTGAAAACATGATGCTGTCCGACTTTTAGTACTTCTTTCTAACAATTAAAAAATGGCATCGAATATCATCACCTGAGTAGATTTTGCCTCGCATCCTTTTGCTCAAGCTTTTTGACGACGTAGCCCCGTACATAGAAACATATCACCGGGATAACGTTTATCGTACGCTTTTAAGGAAGTTGAGTCAAGTTTTAGTACTCTAGCCATTTGAAATCTTCTTTCTCGTCTTTCTCCAAGGAGTTTCATAGCCGCCAAATTATTTATGTATTTGCGACAGGAGTAGACAATTGATTTTATAAGATTTTTTAGAAACCTTGCCTCTTTCATTGAGTTCATTCCTGTATCGGCCAGTTAAATAGCGCAGTCAAGATTCGACTGAATATCCTGCGCCAATGATATCATCGACAAGGCGTGTATGGCGTGAACATATGCAGGGTCTCGATGGCACAGGCGTTTTAAGATCCTTTGCAGACGACGTGATTCTCTACCTCTCCTGTTTTAAAATGGCTTCGCATTCTCGCTTCAACTCTTCAACGCCTTTCACACGTTCCCACTTGGCTAGCAGCTGCTTTATCTCCTCCCAGTCTCTCTCTGCATCGTCGGTTTTATCCTCTTCTAATAAGACTCGGAGACGCCTTGGTGTATCCAATACCCATCTCACAGTTTGTTTATCTGGGCTTTTCCTGTCTTTTAATTGCCTAACCTCGTCATTGCCTCTGTTGTTCATCTCTTCCTGCTCCTTGATCAGGGTGCCAGCTATCTCAGCAACAAATCCTATCGCTGGCCCAAGGGTCTTCGTCATAATCATTGGGGCACCTTCTTCTTCTAAAGTGGTTCTCATCTTGCCAATGGTTTCCACTGCTTTTATTAACTTCGAGTAGTTGTCATATACCAAAGCTTTGCGTTCACCGTCAAGAGTTCTAATATCGCTGACAAGTGAATTTTCAGCGCGTAAAATTGTTGAAAGAGAGGATGTGGATAAAAGGTGTGAAACATAGGCTGACGGGTCAAAACTTGGGTTGTCAAGCTCAGTGTTGGTAATTGGGGTAGCCTGTTGCGGCGCAAGGCTATCTTGAGCACGAGGGGCGCTGCGCGCACTTGGCTGAATTGAAACCGATGGCTCGGTGCGATTTGATCTCAGGTTATAGTAATCTCGCAGTGCGGCTCTATTACGGCGATGTGCGATGGATGGAGATGGGGCTCGGTGGGTGGGAGTAGATGCGATGCTCACGGCTAAGCTGTCGACAGAGGGTCTTCGGGAGCCTGTAGGTGTGGGCGTGCGGGCGGAAGTAATAGAGGGCCTGGGAGACGACATAGTGGACATTTTGTTTCGCAAGAAGTAGATGTAAAGATAAGGCTAGGAACCGGAGTACGCTTGTAATTCACCTCCGCTGATGTAACGGCAACGAGATATAGACGGATTGCCAGCTGTCAACGGATGATGTATTAAACTCGCAAATAAGGTTGTGGCCCGTGCTTTGGAACATTTTTGAACTCTATCGCGTGCGTTGGCAACGCGTGTCGTCCAAGGAAAATCCTCCTATGGATGGCTTAGGGATGCAGGCCAGCGAGCCTCCTTCATCGAATCTTTGCAGAGTAACATCCTCTACGAAATGCATGTTAATTATTGGCTTTGTTTTAACCTCATTGTCAACTTCTAAGGTGGATTCTCACCAACTCAGTCTTCTCTCCTATGATGGCCTCTAATCCTGATGCTCACATTTCGCACTATCTTCTAACCGTGAAATCTCTCCCGGTTTCACAAGTCTGGCTTTCTAGATTTCTTTCTTCCCAAAGATCAATCCCGGTTTCTCTACCTGCCCTTACTCAGACTGCGTTATTCCGCCTTCTTGCATCCGATTTTACCACCTCACTAGCCCCGGCACCTTCGAACCTCCTTCCAACCAGCGTCTCCGATCCAAACACAAGAGAAACGAAGATACCCGGGCCAATTCCCTTACAGGTCCTTGATATTGAGGATATCGGGAGCAGTTTATGGACCCAGATTGAGGCAATTGAGCGAGTGGAGAGGGGCGAGACTACACGAGGACGAGAAATTATCCGCACTGTGATGAGAGATGAGGGAGGAGATTCCACTGTAGGGAATAATCCTAATTCTGGAAATATGAGCTCCAATTCTGCCGTACTACAGGGGAACAACAATACGTCTCCAAAGTCAGGCCAACATCGACTTGTCCTTGAAGATCCACGAGGAACGAAAGTAGTCGCTATTGAACTAAGCCCGGTCGAGAGCGTAGGAATTGGTAAAATGCCAATTGGCGCAAAACTACTTATCAAAAACGCTACTGTTGCGAGAGGCATGCTGCTCCTTGAACCAAGCTGTGTCACTGTGCTGGGTGGCAAGATCGAAGATGCAGACACAGCATGGAATGCTGGCAGGAAAGATAGATTGCTAGCTAAGGTGCAACAATTGCAACCCGAACAAACTTAGAACCCCGGTGGGCATCAAGAAACATTGTTTAATCTTGTTCGTACCAGTATCATACGGCGAAAACCGCTGGTTATATTTGGTGGTCATGTGCCTTTATTCCTTTTTTTTTTTTTTTTTTGTCACTATGCTTCAATCAGACAATGACTCAGTTCCTCCCAGCCATCGGAAATCCATGGCGCCACCATGACAGCTTTTAGGGCATCTTGCCTCTGTCCTGTAAGAGCACATGCTCTCGAGACATCGACTGCACCGAGTGAGCCGTGCGGTGGAATGTTTCCAAGAGCGGTGAGAACAGTCATTTGAGCCGGAAACTCCTCTGAAGACGCCAAAGCGAGTGCTTTCCAGCCTTGCGGCTCACTCGGTGATAGCATGACAGAAATGCTCGCTTGATGAATTCGGCTTTGCTCCTCCGAAACATTAGGTTCATTTTTGGAGGTGATACTCGAGACACCAGCCAAAAGTTTGGATACTTTCGTGCGATCATGAATGCTCAGTTCATTATTGGTCCTCATGCTCTGAAGATCAGACTCAACCGCATCGATAGCGTCCTCATCCATGTCGAGTAATGCAATCACACCAAGAAGGGTAACGGCTCCAACATGGTCAGGATGTTGCTCAACGCAATTAAATAATTGCTCGCGAGCAACGCTCCTTTCTTCTTCACCTCCTTTGGCCCACAAAACTTGCGCGAGGAGACATATAACATCGGGAGAACTGTTAGCTTCCTGCAAAGCGTCCCGGAACATATCGATAGCTCTATCCCTTTCCTTTAAATAATAATACGCAAGTCCTGCCGTTAAATGTGCAGATAGCCGCAATTTTTTGTGTGCCTCAGTGTCAAACTCCGCTACACCGTCTTCGCTCGATAAACTAAGGGCAGTCTCTGCACTCTCCACAGCAGTTTCATACTCTAGATGGGCCAACTGCGCACGGGCCATATCTGCTTTCGCTTGGGAATATCGAGATAAAGCAGAAATAGATTCTGTGGCTTCATATTCAGTTTCAACGGCGGAGCAAACGCGTTCGAGGCTCGATTTTGCACCGGCAGTGTCTCCGAGGCGCTCTGCTAGAAGGGCGGACAGGTGATCATGAGGTAAATTTGATGGCTCTTGGGTGTGGAGTTGATGAAGCGCAAAAAGAGGTTGGATGAGATGGGATAGATCACTGGATGCCGAGCTAGAGCAAAGGTGGTCAAAGACAGAGATCGTATATTGCCGTTTTGGGAAAACCAAGCTGGAATTCCCCAGAGTGAATGCATGCGTGACGAGTTCACGAGCCTCAGCGACGTCCCCAATTAAGAATGCAAGAATGGCTTGTCCTAACCAAGCATGCGAAAAGTCGGGGTCTGCAGACTGAGCTTTGGTAAATGCTTCATTTGCCAGTTGAAAATCGTTATTCAAAAGATATAATGCACCTAAGTTTGTCCAGACTGATGCACTTCTTTCGTTGATGTGCAGGCTCCTGACGAACGAATGCTGGGCGACCTTTGGACTCAAGGATGCGCATGCAATACCAAGCGCGTTCCAGAACTCAGAATTTCCGGCCTCGAGTTCAATTGCTCTCTTGAAACAGCGCATGGAGGCTTTGAGAAACCCACTATGTTTACCCTTTTTAGCCTTGCTCGGCTCGGCCAGGCGACGTACGTGTGCACGGTACTCTGCCCAGCCTAGGTTGTACCATGCGACCGCGCGAGCATGAACATCAGCATTAGAGACCGATAATGCACGCTTATACGCAAGGATAGCTGCAATCGTCGGCAGATTCGAGTTCGGCGTTTCAAGGAGATCGTTGACGTTCGAGCCTATGTTATCGAGATCCGCCAGTATCTGAAAGGCCTCCGAATCACACCGTGTATCCAAGAGCGCCTTAAACTCTGAGACAGGCATTAATGCAGTTTTATTCTCAATCCAAGAGAACGTGGAGAACGCATCACCGATTGCTTTCCACAAATTGACGGAATTAGGGTGTCGTTTGGCAATTGAAATTCCCATCCTGATAGTTGTCGCAGCCATTTCTGCAGCGTCGCTAAAAACACCGGATTCAACGGATTTCCAAGAGCTTTCTGTGAGCGTTTGTAGTAGCGCGATTGAAATTCCAAACTCATCAGGCTTCATGTTCAGCACTTCTTTGTACCTAGAAATAGCCTCCGGGAAATCTCCAAGTTCTCGCATCACGTTCGCCATCATGTACCTTGCAAACCAAATGTGATCTCTATCAGCTTCGGATAGCGTCTCTTCGAGTGCCTGGGCGTGTTGGAAGGATTTGATAGCAGAGATATATCGGCCAGAATTATGGTAACTCTCCCCAAGGCCAACCCAGCAGTGATAGTCGTTGGGCGATATACGGAGAGCGGTTTGAAACGAAACAATGCTTTTGGTATATTGCTGTCTATTTATCTCCACCACCCCCAGGGCGGCGTATGGCCAGCTGTGACCTTTCCTCCTTGACCCTGGCGCGGGCTTAGCCTTTCCAGAATCAACAACTCTCTGGGCTATTGCCTCGACGAGATCCCAGTCACCTTGGTTAGCAAAATCCCGGGCGAGACGTTCTGCAGCTTCGGTCTCCGACGATGAGAGTTCAATTGCCTTATGAAAGCAGCGTTTTGCCCTTTTCTGATCTTTCTTATAATCTGCGTAAAATATACCGAGACTGGTATACGCCGGTGCATAGTTCATATTCGATTGGATTGACCCAAGGAATTTGGCATATGCTCCATTTCGATCTTTCCTTGCTGTCGGGGATGGGTCTAGCTCCCACTGGCATTGTCCAATTCGATATAATATCACAGCCTTCAGATCACGATACTGTGATTGCTCGCACTGAATCATTGTAAGGGTTTCCTCTAGACCTCTCGCCGCCTGTTGAAGCTCCCCACAATGCGCTCTGCACCAGAAAAGCTCGCACCGAACTCTAGCGTTTTTGGGATCGCGCTGCAATGCTTTCTCGAGCAGAGCTACGGCTTGATCATAGTCCTGATCTTCCTCGAAAATGAGGCCTAGTCCCAGGAGACACTTTGTCGAAGTTTGATTTCGCTTCAAGATTTCTTCGAAAATTTGCTTGGCCTCAGGGTGATTTTTGGGGGACTGATATGTGATAAGTGCAGTTGCAAGTGCCGTATTCATAGAATCGATTGTATTGCGAAGCTTTAGGCCTGTACGTCGCTGAAGGTCCAGCGCCAATGCTAAGCCCTTCCGACTAACCTCTGTGGCGGACTGAAACTCCTCAAGTGCAAGATATACTTCTCCCATTATCCGATGGGATAATACGGAACCGGAAGACTCCACCAGCCCTTCAGCCATTAACAACAACGGATCATCCCCTGCAACCTCGTTTTCATCATCAGCGGGATTTCCTGCCTTTGACACATCCTGATCGACTTGGGTTTCTGGATCCGTTTCCTTAGGAAACGGGGATAGATCGCTGGCCAACCACCCTTTCAGTACTTTACTAAGCCCGTCGTCTGGGAATAACTGAATATATTCCCTTAAGAGAGTAACATCTAGCTCAGAGAGCTCATTGACGTCTTTCCATTCCAAGGAAATTTTCCATGCACGGTCAAACGGGTGATGAATGATAACCATATCGTTGGCGGATTTTATCACATGGTTCCGCTGTTCGGGTTTCTTTCCGATTGGGAGGGCCAATAGATAGTCATATCCTCGCTGTAGGAGCTTCTCTTCATGCTCTCGCCGTACTGCGTCATCGTGCGTCCAGTCGATGAGGCCACGGTACAATTCATCAAGGTCGCTACGTCGAAAAGCCTCGAGTTTAACTTCTGCTGTGACCTGATCAATTTTGGCACCCAATCTAGTCCTTCTTTCGCCAATCTCCCGGTTGATAAATTGCTTTTCTTCCGCTTCAGAAAGCTCGATAATTCGAAGATATGTGTGGGAAGGATGAGGAATCAGGCCTTCCAAAACATTGAACAATGGGCTTAAAGGCAGTAGCAGCTTCAGAGCTTGCTTGTATTGACTGGTAGTGCCACTCTTCCCAGCGGAAGAGATATACTTTTCCACCAACGCCTGGGCGCGGCTCTTTTCGTCTCTAGAAGAGGCTTTAGCTAAGAGACATGTCAAATATATTATCAAGGGTCACCAACGCTTCTCCAAAAATATGACACAGTCGAATCACAGCGGATGCATAATCATCCAGCTTCTTGCCTCCGAGCCTTTCGTACAAATTTATCAAGCCTTGCCAGGCAGTTTTATCATCCGCCTTGAGCTTTGTAGCGTTTATATACGCACGCTCGGATGCATCCGCGTCATTTAGTTTATCAAGGGCAAGCCCTAGAAATACGTGCCTTGAATATCCATAGAGATTAGTATTATCAAATATTGGCCAGTTTGGGAGAAGATCTATATATCTTACGCATGATAATTTTGAGGATCTTGCTCGCAGAGCTCTGTGGCTTTTATGGCAGCTTGCGCAAAGTCTCCGGCATCTAGACAAGCTCTGATATTCCTCAGGGCTGATTTTGGTGGCATTTCTACTTGGCTGTCTAGCCTTAGAGCATTTCCTGTTCGCTATCTGTCACCAAAACGTCCGGGATGTAAGATTCCTAAATTTCTTAGTTGCAGCTGTTATCCCACGCCTTGCGCACTGCATCTGGGTTGTGCACTCGTCCACACAGCACAGATGGTTATTTAATGTGATAACAGGATACATGCGGCCATCCTGATCGCCTGCTGGTTGAGCTGGGCAATGAAGTCAGGTTCAAGCTTAGTCAGCTCCCAAGCCCATCCCGTCACCAACTGATGCCGGCGGGAGATTCACCCTTGGGCAACCGCATCGCTCTATTTACTCAAGGGGTGTCGGCGGTTTGATCACGCTAGTCCGACAACTGCAGCACAAATAATATAATTAGTTACTCACTAGAGTTATCTATGTTATAGATCTCAACTTTTAGATGGATTGCATGATACTCCAAGATTGCCTCTGGTGATGAGTGGTGGTTTGTCCGGCATCCGTTGACGCCTTTGAAATTCAGACGATTGCGTTGATCCTAACAGTATATATATGCGAAATTATGGCTCCATTACGCCTATACATCGATGGAAGGACCTTCAGGGATCAGCACAATCGAGAAGTTGTCTTAAGAGGTATCAATATTGATGCCACGGCGAAATTTCCAAAGACCCCAAATCTACCCTCCTATATCCCGGACGAATTCTACGATGGAGATAATGTCTCCTTTGTCGGGCGGCCGTTTGCTCTTGAAGATGCACATACACATTTCGAAAGACTAAGAAGATGGGGTTATAATCAAATCAGATACATCTTTACATGGGAGGCCATTGAACATGCTGGCCCCGGAAAATATGATGAAGACTGGATAGAATTCACAATAGAATTGCTCCGGAGTTTGAAAAAATATGGCTTCTACATTTATATGGATCCTCACCAAGACGTGGTAGGAAATCCCCAACCAACAAGTCATGACCCTGGCGTGCCCAATATTATTACTAAATTTTGATAGTGGTCCCGGCACTCAGGTGGCTCTGGGGCCCCTATGTGGACTTTATACGCTGCTGGATTCGATCCTCGAAATTTTAATATCACACAGGCTGCTCTCGTTCAAAATACGTATCCAGATCCTGCTTCATTCCCAAAAATGATATGGAGTACAAACTATACTAGACTTGTTTGTCAAACCATTTTTACACTGTTTTGGGCTGGGAAGGATTTTGCCCCCAAAGCTATTATCAATGGCAAGAACATACAGGATTTTCTCCAAGGTCATTTCATTGCTGCAGTGAAGCATTTGGCCAAACGTATCCATGAGGCTGGTGACCTCGAAAATGAAGTCGTAATAGGTTGGGAAAGCATTAATGAGCCTAATAGGGGACTGGTGGGCTATCAAGATATTTCGGTTATCCCTCCGGAACAGCAGCTTCAGCTCGGTACCTCGCCAACCGCTTTCCAAGGGATGCTGACCGGCTCAGGGCGCGCTTGTGAGATTACTACTTGGGCCTTTGGAAACTTTGGTCCTCGCCAAACTGGGAGAGAACTTGTTGATCCAAAAGGAGCCACAGTATGGCTTTCGTCAGAATATAGCGATAGCAAATATGGCTGGAAGAGAGATCCGCAGTGGAAACTTGGCGAATGTCTCTGGGCGCAACATGGGGTTTGGGACCCGGCTACGGATACCTTGCTAAAGAAAGACTACTTTGCGAAGGATCCCAAAACCGGTGAACAGTTGGACTATGATGGCTTTACGAATCAATACTTTCTCGAGCACTATCGAAACTATAGGGATGCTATTCGAAGCGTTCATGCGGACGCTATCCTCTTCTGTCAGCCGCCGGTTATGGAAATCCCCCCGGCTATTAAGGATACGGCTGATGATGATCCAAATATGGTTCATGCTGTCCATTTCTACGATGGCCTCACTCTTATGACCAAGCACTGGTGAGTATCCTATCGTAAGACGATTGAACCACAATTAACAAAGCTAGGAACCGGCTTTACAATGTTGATGTAATTGGTATACTTCGAGGAAAATATCTCACTCCTGCATTCGCAATAAAGGTTGGAGAGACTGCGATTCGAAATTGCTTACGAGATCAGCTCCACTTCCTTCGACAAGAAAGTCTAGATCTTATGGGAAATCACCCTGCGGTCTTGACAGAAATAGGTATTCCGTATGACATGGATGACAAGCACGCTTATAAAACCGGAGATTATTCCAGCCAGATCAGCGCCATGGATGCCAATCATTATGCGATTGAAGGAAGCGGAATGAATGGTTTCTCGGTCTGGACTTATATGGCAATGGTACGCTGTTCTACCCAATGATCTTCAAATAATAGTCGCTAAATCAAGTTGTTGCAGAACATACACAAGTGGGGTGATCATTGGAACGGCGAGGATTTGTCGATCTACTCTCTTGACGATCCTGAATTGCCTACCGCGAAGTCACTGGGACGGAACTCCCAAAATCAGTCGAGTACTTCTCTAGATCGCACTTCCCCTGCGTTCTCTCAAAGCCGAACCGATTCGCTCAGCGGAAGTATTAACCCAAATAATGTGAAGCAAGCGCTTTCCACACCCTCTATCTCAGTCAATCCCGCATCAGATGCCGATCCATCCAGCCAGCCTGGATACAGAGCTGCAGAAGCGTACATCCGGCCGAGCCCCGTTGTGGTACACGGAAACCTGGGAGGCTACGGCTTCAATTTGCAAAACTGCTTATTTACTATGTCGTTAACCTCTCCGATCCCTACTCCGGAAAATGCGCCCACTGTCGTTTACCTTCCGGAATTCCACTATCCCAGCATGCACACAGACGTTGCGGTGAGCGGCGGGAAATGGGCTATTGACACGGAAGAAATTGGGTCCGGCATCGTTCAGTATTTGAAGTGGTGGCACGCAGAAGGGGATCAAAGCATTGAGATCCGCGGTGCGAAACGAAAAGCAGGAGCTATAGTGGATACTAGCGACGATGAAGCATACCTTGAGCAGTGTCGTCGCGACGCCTGCATTCTGATGTAGAGTGTTGAAACTCGGGTAGATGAAATGAGTTGAATGATGCACAACAATGATCTCGGTTTAAGTGCTGTTACTTGTTTCTTGTTATTTTATAGCGTTTGGCCATGCACACGATGTCCTTGATGGTGTTGTCAGTTTTCGGATTTGTCGCGCGCTTAGGCTCACTTCCGCGTACCAAGATTAGCGGGCGTTGACATGTTTGAACACTCAATGCGAATGCTCCTACAACCAACTGGTGGTTTACTATTTTGCACACTTGGGTGTTCATAATGACCTTGAAGCATTTTCAATCAATCGGGCCATCAAGGGCCTCGCGCAGTATCAATTCGAGAGTAAGCCCTGGATTACTGATAAAAACACTTCTAATTATAGCATTTTTGCTATCAAAAAACCTCTGTAATGAGGTGGTGGGTGTTGCCTTTTCGAAAATAAATTCAAGTCAAAGCCTGGATGAAGCCTAAATCATCCTATGAGTTACATCCAACTCGATGCATCATTCAAGGCTGTATGGATTTGTAGTCATTCGATGCGTTTTGTGACTGGCGTTTGCCTGAGGTTAAATTTAAAAATTGTATCTGTACGAAATAGTTAAATCCTCAAGTCATTCTTAGCTCTTGAATTTTACATAAACTGTGACCAACCTGATTGCTGTTGTTTGTGTGGACCGGCTAACTTCCACTGAGCTCGAGGTGAATTTTGTTTGCAGGTCAATGAAAAAACTTGCATTGATGTTGAACTTGTTGCGGATCTCACCCAAATCCACCACAAACCACCTCCAGCCAACAAACAAGATCCAGGTAACATCACTGCCAAAGCCAGTGTTCAGATCGTGTTTACGACACATGCAGTAGACATTACGTGGACGGTGGACTCTTCTATTCCTAGGGATCGGATGTGCTGAAAGCTAGTGGCGAGAGCTCGAGATACAATAAATAACTCATCGCCGCCCGGGGAATCTGGGAACTCGCAATATCGGAGCTTGAAAGCCGAGAATCACTTGTATATGAAATCACACGAACTCGGTTTAACGCGTTTGATTTAACCAGTCGCCGGGGAGCGATATGGCTGCATCAACACCTCAGACCCTGGAACTTCCAACTGCAATACATGGCAACGGGACAGCCCATCCCGACCTAGCCAATATCATCCAGGCGCTAGAAGCTATACATACTCGGACCACGACAAATGAAATCAGAAAGCAAGCTTCGGAATTTTTGGAATTGCAGAAACATGAGAAGAGTGCGGTGCAGAATGGATTTTACTTGGCGGCGGAGCGGAGCCACTCTCCCCTCGTACGGCATTTCGGTCTCTCGCTCCTGGAGCATGTTTTGAAGCATAGATTGTCCGAGTTGACCCCCGGGCAAATTGGGCACCTTAGAGGATTGATTTTGGGACTTGCTCAGGAGGTTCAGGTTCAAGATCTGTCGTATATCCGCAACAAGCTCATTCTGTTGTGGGTAGAGATAGCGAAGCGTACATGGGCGCTGGATTGGTTAGGCATGGACGAATCGTTGCTGCAGTTATGGAACGGATCACTGATACATAAAGAGTTTGTTCTGGGCGTTCTGGAAGCGATGTCCGATGATGTTTTCCATCACGAAGATACAGCCTCTTCGTTGCGCGGGACGGATTTGAATCGCGCGCTGGTGGAGATTTGCACTCCATATGCAGTTTTCAAGGAAGTCTATCCCGATCGAGCAAACTTCACCGAACTCCGCTGTGGGCCTGAAGGCTGGCTTTTTAGAATTACCGTTCTCCTGAATGATTGTGTGCAGAATCTCCATTCAGCTCCCGAAGTCCGGACATGTGCCCAGAAGGCGCTCGCAACTTTGCGATCAATGTTGACGTGGAACATCCCGCTGGCTATTGCCTCTAGTCAGTGTGTTCAGGCAATATGCGGTGCGCTTACTGCAAACGATGAGAGCATATTAATGGTAGGTGCCCTTTCTCCGCTAACTCGTGGAGAAAGCACTAATGGGATATGCAGTTGGCTGTTGAGGCTTTGCATGCTTTATATGGGAGAACGCACTATGATATCCAGGAATTCGAACCCCTTCTACTCATAATTTATGACACAGATCGTCTTGAATTACTGAGAAAACTTTACGAGTGGTCCATTGTCGATGCAGAAAACATTATAGATTCGAAATATACAACGTCTAAGAAACTGTCGGAGGTGAGACTGATACTGCTACGTCTATGCGCGCTTGAGCTAATCGCCTGTGTTAGCTCCTATCGTACTTGGCCGGTTTCCTTGAAGAAAAAAATATCAATCTCAGCAAGAAGATCGATCAATCCTACTTTTTCTCTTTTTTGACCAATGTCTTAAGGCATCCAAGTTTGATTCTATCTATTCCTGTGCTTCATTCTTGGTCAAGGCTGCTCATTTGCGATGAGATTGGGAACCCAGACATCGTTACCAATTTTATTGGCCCGTTGCTTGAGATATGCACCCAGCGACTCGTACGATACGAAGCATTCCCGGAAAATTCAGAAGATCCAACAATTCTGTTCCTTAATGAGGATATTGACACATTACCCGACAGGCATGCATTCGTAGGAAACTACAGAAGGTATTGTGGACAGGTCATCGAGGTTATCGTTCAAAAGCGACCTCATGATGCTATTCCGCATATCCTCTCCGGTGTTGATATTGGCCTTAACAACATATATAATGGAACTGATCCCTTTAATCGTGCGTGAGCTATGTCTTTCATGAGGATGTATAGCTTCTAACATTATTTTTATTTAGCTGCTACTTTCCACAAGCACACGGTTGCAGCGCTGCGGGCTGACACGCAGTTTACTGTCACAGAATATCTTTTGAAAGGTTATAATAAATGGGTTGAAAATCACGGTAATGACCCGCAACGACATGTAAGTTGAGGGTTGCCAACCTAAAAGAGGCATAAAGTCGGGCTGACGAGTTAAATTATTCACAGGAACAGCAACGATCAACGCTTGAGAGTTTGCTAGAATCATGGGCTCTAAGTTTGTTGCAAAGACAATTTGTGGTATGGGACATCCAATATATATATATGGCTCAGATGCTGATGATAAACAGGACCCGGTGATCAAACAACGAGTTATTCGGTTGTCCGTTGATTTTTCAGCTAAAGCTTTGCGAAACAAACCAAGCTATGCACTAAAGGTTCTTGAGCATATCCTAACGACCCACGCTCTGGATAATCCCGAGTTCCCACTGTATTCTGAGGCTGTGAGAGAACTGTATAGCTTGTCAACGTATGAAGTACGCAGACTTGCGACTCGATATGCAGATTACTTTTCCGTATGGCTTTCCCCCCAACCGCTAAGCAATCAACAACTGACAAATTAGACATTTTATGATATCCTCGAGCAAAAAGTCCAGGAGATGCAACAAAGATCTACCGAGGATCAACCACAGATGGAATTATCTTCGGTTTTACTCATCGTTATGTATGTGCCGTTGTGTGTGCTCCAAGCGGAAATCTGCAATCTAACCTACGTAGGCACCGAGCAAAAGATGTCGATCCGCATCTACGACAAGCGCGTTTGCGCTCATTCATTGAACCCTTAAGGCAGGCTTGGGCAAACGACCAGTTCCGGCAGATAATTAGTACCTTTCAGGGCTTCTGTGAAGTCTTTGCCCTTGACCAGGTTCACCCATATTTACAAGCTCGTCAGGCACAAAATATTGAAGATTGGTCTGTCATTACCCTTGACGAGGAAGGAAAACGAATTCAAAGTCAGATGAACTCGAAGTTCCAGGTACCTTTCGCAATTCAGGGACTGTGGAGACCTACGCTGACTTCAAGTCATAGAGCGTTCCATTAAGGAACACCAAAACTTTGCTGGCTGTCTCCACAGAGAAGCTAAAACCAAGCGATCCCGCGTACCAGGTATCATGCGAGCTCTGGAAAGACATGATTCCTCTCATCCTTCCTTCTTTGCTGCAATTGGTTGGGTTAGTGACACTCATTCCGAGGTATCTCTATTCTGCTGACCCTATAGCCATGCCCACGCGTTTCATAACCCCGATAATTGGGCGGGGTTACCACTAGAGATGCGCCCAATTGTTGGTCGAATCTTGACAGATAGGTTCTGGCAAGCTGGTATTTCAGCGGGCAGCAGAGAGGATTTCTACGCTAAAATTGCCACATCGAAACGTACCCTTGAGGGATTCTCATCATCCGTTCGAGGCAAAGTTAGAGCTGTCAGAGAAGCATGTTATTCCATTCTGTTTAGCATGAGTAGATTGGGTGAGCACTTTTACGGCTTTCAGGAACTCTCGATACCTTTATCTCAAGCGTTATACAGCAACGCCACATCTCTTTCCTCTCACCAATTTTCGGTTCTCTTGAATATATCTAGATGCCTCATTGACGACTGCCCGCCGCAATCCCGCGGGCATTTCCTCCCACCAATGATGTCAAGTTTGTTCGTTCAACTTGATAAGAAGATTACGACGGAATGGGATGTAATAGAACGTCGGAGGGCGGGCATGGTGGATGATGATTTAACGGAAGAGATGAAGGAAGAGAGCATACTGAGACAGTTGACTTACTCTACCGTAATCATGGTGGCTAGTTTGTTGGATCCTAACAAAGAAGGTTTGTTGCTCTAGCGTTGTGAGGCATGGTATTATATTTGCTGACTTCCCCTCGAGAAAAAGGCCCCGGAAACCCAGACTCCAATAATCGCCCAACCCAAGCAGAAGAAGTTAACCCGGCCAACCTAATGAGAACATTCATCCTCTCCACGCCCCAAATCCTCGAACCGGTAGTCGTTTTCTGTACCCATGCTCTACGCATACACGATACTCGGAGCTGTAGCATAATAACCCGAGTGCTCCGCTCTATTCTATCTTCCTTCTTACCCACCGTTGATACCCCCACTGCAGCGAGTATTCGCGAATTCATCAGCACCCAGGTGCTGAAAGCGTGCATAACCTCCGTGCATGAACCGTACTTTGTCGATATGCAAAAGGACCTCGCCCAACTAATTGCCTCTATATGGATCCTCTACGGGCCCCGGAGCCCTACCCCCAGATCTGTCATGTTAAGCTTACCTGGAATTACGGAAGCGAGAGCCATAGCTGCTGAAGAGGCGTTGATGAAATCATCGTCAACACGAATCCAGAAAGCAGTGGTTTTGGATTTCCTGGAAAGTTTGAGGGGCGTAAGTATCAGTGAGCAAGGAAAGATCGGCGGAGCCCGGGCTGGTCGAAGAAAGGAGCGAAGTATCATGCAGGCAAGGTATATGACGACGGAAATGGAAGGCCAGGAGGGCGGAAAAGTGGATATCAACAATGGACCTGATTTGACCGGAGTGGCTGATATGTTCTCTTGAGGGGTTCCTGAGAGGTTGATGGGCTCCCTTTTTCAGTGCAGCTATATATCCCGATACTTTTTGCATTTCTATGACCCCATCGTATTCGCAGTGTTGGAAACCTGTACACCTCTATTCCTCTCCCAGTCTTTATCTGCTAAGATAAGGTGCGGGCGCTTTACGCATAACGTTTTGTCGGTGCATACGAATGCCTATTTCTGCGTTGAAGAGTGAAGACCTCCTGTATTGTAGGATCGAGGAACGCTCTTGAATGTAGGATGAATCTTGATGCATTTTGAACTGATATACACTTCATTGGCGGACACCATGTCCAACGCTTATAAAACACAAATATATGGGAACACTGCAGATCGACCCTCTATACTCTCCACACTATTTTGCCCATAAGTTATTTCCTTGAAAACATTGTGTTAATCGAGCAGACCCAGCTCTAAAGCTGGCAAAAGGGCATTTTCTGATGTTCCAAGTAGCCCGATCCTCTAATAGGCACTAAAAATGCCAAATAGGAAACAACCCAGCGGTGCAACGCTTTTAATTCCTCTGGGTCTATTGAGCGGGCTGAGCAGGGGTATACGCGAAGGTCGGTCTCACAAATCTAGACCGCAATCAGGTGTTAGAAGCATCTTTTTAACGAAACACTCTTGCAGGCAACTTTAACGAACCGGTCTGAGTTGTAAACCTTGATCTCTGTCCCAACCAACTCCTTCTCTCTCGCCCGATCGGCAAAGTATCGTCGGACTTGATCGCGGTCTTCTTCCGCCTGGAGAAGGGGAATCAAATGAATTCGAGCCCAGGTTTTCTCGCGAGCAAGTTCGCTGCCAATAATTAGCACTGTTGCTTGATAAATATAACGCTCGAGAAGTCCAGTTCGACGTTTGAAGAGGGATATAAGAGCACGATTGCGGAGAAGGAGAAGACTCAGGTGACTAACTTCTTCTCTCGTTGGCCAAGCCACAGCTTATAGAATCCATATCCCATAATGGCATGCATTCCAAGCAAGTAGTAAACCGGTCTAAAGCCGCGAACGGGGAGGTTGCGCTGTTCAATGTATTCTTGTTAGCGTTTCAACGCTCGACCTGCATTCTGGGCAATGGGGGGATAAGAGCCAAATTGATACCTTATATTGAACAGGCTTGTAGCCCCCAACTGGGGGCATGTCCTGAGGCATTGTGAAAAGGAAGTTATGAGCAAAGACGACAACTCAATCCTGAAGCAGCAAGTCTGGTGGTGATGATGATCAATGATGGATCGGCAGTCGGATAATCTTTCACGTGATTTGATGATATCCTTTCCCTCCCATTGGCTGGAAGTTTGGACGCCTCTGCGCGGTGGGCGAACGTTTCGCAAAGCTCTTCAGGCCTCCAGACCCCCACGCGCTTTTTTCAAAGCTGCGCGCATTGAACAGATGGTTGCATCAACTACTGTTGCGCATGCCATGGCAGAAGAGGAACGGCCGCGCAAATTACAGAAGGTGGTGCATGAGCCCGGCTCGGGGGCAAAAGACGACAAAATCGCAATACCTATTTCGGCCCCTACAACGGATACAGCGATGTCAAACGATAGTTCAATCACTGAAAAAGAACCACCTACAACTAGTGGAGATGATAGTAGAGCAGCGTCGGAAGCGGGCCCTCTAGCCCGCACTGAAACTGGAGACGAGGTCGCCCCCGCCCTATCGAAAAACCAGCTCAAGAAACTTAAGAAACTGGAACGGTGGGAAGCAGGGCGGGAATGGCGCAAGGAGAAGCGGAAGGAGAAAATGAAGGCGAGAAAAGAGCGTGAACGAGCTGCAAAAGCACAGGCCGCAGCAGAAGAACCCTCTGAAGCCCCTGAAGGAGAGGAACAAGGTGACGGCTCGCCAGCCGGAAGAATTACGCTTCGGCAGCTGAGAAAAAGGGATAATGGCCGCTCTGTTGTTCTCCCCATTACGCTTCTCCTGGATTGCGACTTTGACGATCTCATGCTGGATAAGGAGCGAAAATCCCTGGCGTCACAAATCACTCGTTCATATTCTGACAACTCTCGATCCAAGTATAGGGCGCACTTGGTGGTATCTTCTTTTAATAAAATGTTAAAAGAGCGGTTCGACACAGTGTTGGCGAAACAATATGAGCGCTGGAAGGGCGTGACCTTAACGGAGGATGACTTTGTCCTAGCAGCGGAGTCTGCGCAAGCTCGAATGAAACAGCCCAGGGGTGGAAGACTGGCCGGCATGTTTTCCCGCAAAGCAGAGATTGGGAAGTCCAAGTTAGAAGAGGAAGGAGAAATTGTCTATCTCACGAGCGACAGTCCTGACACGTTAACGGAGCTGAAGCCGTACAGCACGTATATTATTGGGGGACTAGTCGATAAGAATCGCCACAAAGGAATCTGCTATAAGAGAGCTACAGAGAAAGGGTTTAAAACTGCTAAGTTACCCATCGGGGACTACATGGAGATGTCCAGTCGATCTGTTCTAGCAACAAACCATGTTGTTGAAATAATGATCAGGTGGCTAGAATTGGGCGACTGGGGTCAGGCATTTGATCGGGTCATACCGAAGAGAAAAGGCGGCACGTTGAAGACCAGTAGCACCAGTGAAGAAAAGAATGAAGTGGAGAAAGATATGCAGGTGCAAGAGCAGCAGGATAATGTGAAGGAAGGGAACAAGGGGGAAACGTCTCCTTTGGTCACCGAGGGCGCCGGCAATTCGATACCCGTCTGAGCGTATCAGGTAGTCTTGGTAATATGTATCTATATACATAAATCGCGTCAAAGATAGATTTCTCGCGCAAAAGAGATTCAAGCAAGATGTCTGTGGCGGATAGGAGGACGGGCTGCGTGCATAAAGCTGTCGTCAAGTACGCTATGCCGAATACAGTTTAGCCCCTCATTTCGCGATCGGTTTCCAGTACATTGATTGGTTAGTTCCACTCCCTGCAAGCCATTCGCCACGGAAACCGTCACCAAGGTTGGTGTTTGCCTGATTTTGGCTTGTTTTGTCGTCATGCAAAAACATTCATTCCCTCGAAAAATACATTGTTCCTGAGCTTCATCCTCACCTCTTCAGGAATTAAGCCGGTATTTTCCTTATTGTACCTTTTGCTTTTTACTTTCTTTCGGTGATGCTCTTATTGAACAATTTTATCAAGTTTTAACTAAGGGCTACTTTTCATTTCCAAGTCCACCACCATGTTTATGCTCCGAAACGGTGTGTTTTTCTAGCAGGAAGCTTTCGACCCCTCCCCCACCCTAGAAGTGCAGCTGCACAACACAACGCTGCCAGCCTTCGGGAATATACTAATCTTTTCATTTTTCTTCCGCAGTAAGCAAATTTATATTCGGCGACGCTGCCAAGGAGTCCATTATCGAAATTCCCCAAGGCCAACTCTACATCGTTCGACCGCTGTCGCCAAAGGGGTTTTCCGAGCTCATTTTCAAAGACGCTGCCGCCAGTATCAGACGGACAGGGCAAGAATTCCAGTACCAATTGGTCATACAACGTGCGTACGAGGAGGGTGAAGAGGAGCTCGTGGATGACGAGAACGAGGGAGGCGACGTTGAAGGACTTGGTGGCGACAAGGATGAAAAGACATTCTTGTTAGATCAAAGTCTTCATTTTCGATCTGAGGTACGCGAAGGAGGAGAGAAAGTACTGGCTTGGCGAGATCTAAGTGGAGACGTCGGCGATCTCTACGAATTTGTGTGTGACATCTCGACCTCATCTGAAAAAGTTGCGACATTTGTCCTCGCGGCAGTCCAGTGTCAGTACGAGCGAAAATACAGACGGAGCGCCCAGAAGGCTACGGAAAGGGAGCTTCAGGAATTTTCGTTTGAAGAAGAAAGTCCCATACCAAACGCGAGCCCTATTGCAAGTCCTGTCAGCCCAACGTCCAAGGAATCAGCCGCTGCAATGTCCAAGGAGGTTGTAGTAGGTAAACATCTCCCTGTAGCAAAGTCTGATGGACAAACTCAAGCTCCTCCTGCCGCGGTGCATCCCGATGCGCTTGAGGTCCTCGCAAAAGAGACTGCAGAGCTGCACCTTTTCGATTTCAACTCCGGAACGTTCATTCTTCAGGACCACTTTGTAACGGCAACAGTGTCTGAAGTTGGAAACTGGCAGTACTGGTTACAAATAACCGGCACCGATAGGGAATGGTTAGGACAACCTGTGGTGGCGGATATTAATCCAGTATTCAATTTTGAATACCTCTCGTTCATCTTCAATCATTATACAGCAGATGGATCAGCCTACTCTTGGCTCTTGAGATTTAAAAACCAGACTGTGGAGGAACGGTTCCAAGAGGGCTTGATGCAAGCGCTATGGGAATACTTGCATGAAATGAAGTGGTCTAAAACTAAGGTCGATGAGCGTGACTACGTCTTGGAAGCTTTCAATGATCTCACCATGGAAGACATCCCCGAGGAACTCGAGGAGGAAGAGGAAGAAGAGGAAGAAGCAGATGAGATCGATGACTCGCAGCGAAGCGAGCACTACGATTCGGACGAAGAAGCGGACGACGTTGTGATTAAGGAAGACGATGGGAACGTCAACTCCCAACTTGCCGTCGGCTACAAGCATGACAGATCGTTTGTCGTTCGCGGCTCAAAGATCGGTGTCTTTAAGCATACGCCAAATAATAACCTAGAATTTTCGACAAATATATCGAAGGTTGAAACCTCAAAGGGCAGACTCTTCAGTCCCAAGAAGGTTATGCTTCATGCAGAGGATTCAAATATGATTCTTCAGAATGAATCAGAACCCAATACGCTATACCGCATGGATCTTGAATATGGAAAAGTTGTGGATGAATGGAAGGTCCACGACGATATCCCTGTGACCAATTTTGCTCCAGAGAATGTACGTATCCATCCTTTGGTGGATTTCTATTGGGCCCTTTGACTAACTTGAGTTAGAAATTTTCCCAAATGACTTCTCATCAACCTTTCTTGGGTATTTCACGCAATGCACTCTATCGGGTCGATCCTCGTTTATCGGGCAATAAGCTTGTCGAAGCAGATTTAAAACAATATGTCAGCAAAAACGACTTTTCGGTCGCTGCTACAACAGAAAAGGGATATATAGCTGTTGCGTCAAACAAAGGAGATGTTCGCCTGTTTGATCGGCTAGGAATAAACGCAAAGACTCATATTCCTGCACTTGGCGAACCTATCATTGGTCTGGATGTCTCCGCAGATGGTCGCTGGGTCTTAGCAACATGCCGTACCTACCTTCTTCTTATCGATGCGCTCCAAAAAGAGGGGAAAAACGAAGGAAGGCTCGGTTTCGAAAAGCCATTTGGAAAGGATTCCAAACCACAGCCGCGTCGTCTAGGTCTTCAGCCATCCCATGTGGCCCAATTCCAACATGAGACTGGGGCTCCATTGTCATTCACTCCGGCCCGTTTCAACACCGGCCTCGACTCCAGTGAAACCTCTATTATTACGGCCACGGGACCTTTCATCATCACCTGGAATCTGAAGAAGGTCCTGGCCGGTAGAAAGGACCCTTACACAATCAAGCGATATGCGGAGGAAGTTAAGGCTGATAACTTCAAGTTCGGAAGTGACAAGAACGTCATTGTTGCGCTCCCGAATGAGGTCAATATGGTTGCGAAACAAAGTTTCCGAAAACCAACGAGAGAAAGTATTGCGGGCCCGGTTACCCCGGCCAGATTTGGTAGAAGGAGCAGCGCGCGGCTGAGAAAAGATGAGATCGTGAATAGCCCATTTTAATTATGACACCGCAATGGAGTTTTGGAATTAGGATGAGCGGGCACGAGGTCAGACGGGAGTGGGTATTTGGAGATTTTAGTCTTTTCCTCCTTTTTCCCTGATTTTGTGTTTTGTTTGACATCAATTAATTTTCCTTATTCGGGAAGTAAACTCGCCAGTGTAGAGAGGCGTTGTATTCTTCTACTTCATTCACACTGTATATACCCTTTTTTTAATTCGCTTTTCAGTTTTTATTTTCCTTGCTCTTTGACTTGGTCACTTTACCTTTCCCATTCAATCAGCCTTAAATGTTTAGCGACAACGCATAACCAGAGGATGACGTGGACTTCAAGCTCCGGCTGGTAGTTCAACATATAAGTAGAACCTTCATGGCTTTTAAGGCTTACATTCCAGTTCAGCCATCCACATTTCATGGATGTGTACTCCACAAACAGGCTGTCAAACAGGCAAAGTTGTTTTGTGAATAGTATTGCTTTCCACTCTCTCTTTGTCTATTTTTATTTTTATTTTTATTTATTTTTTGGTGAGAGCCATAGGAGCTATATGGCTTCAGAATAGGATTAAGTACAAAGCAAAATGATCAAGAGATATATGTGCTGGTTAATTCCCAATGTACCATAACTCCACATTCAAAACATCAAATTTCGTTCCTTCGTCGCATAATGGTTCATTCCCGAATGTTAGACAGGGACTGCTAACTCCTTTTTCGAACGAGTCGTCAAGCCAGAGGCCATAATGGCCATCACTAGCAGCGTAGAAAGTCAGTACATCGCTCTTTTGGGAGGTTGAGAAGGAATTGGAGTGGAATCAAACGAAAACCTACCCTCCACCAACGCTTAGGAACCCGGTCTCGCAGAGTATCATATAATCATTCACTCCGCTATACGGGAATGCTTTAAAACGTATTCGATCGGGCGTGCTAGTTCCACTTCTTAGATTTTCCCCTGTATTATCATTTCTTGCATTAGCAAACAGGGTTATCGGGACCAGTATCACAGCGAGAATTCGTGAATATTCCGGATCTTGGAGCAATTGGCTGGACTTTCGTCCCGATCTCTGCTAACATGAGTTACAGCATTGCGTATGAACCATTCCTCACCTTTAAATGTCGTACTTCTGCCCCGCACATCCGTCGTATCCGCACTTGGCGGGGGAGGTAAACTTGTCAAATCAAGTTGCTCTTGTCCTCCAGGCGCATTCCCATAGCCATTCAGCCCAACCTGCAGCAATGGCGTAGAAGCAAGCGTGCTAGCTCTCCACAGAAAGCACTCCCCCGTCCCATAATAATGTGATGCTGGGTGTGGAGGATCTGTGAGGTATGCTCCAAACAATGCTTCTCCGCCTCCTCCACCCCCGCTGTCACTTACCCCAGCGGAATTATTCCCCGAAGAAACGTTCTTCACAACAAGTACATATCCCGCCCTCTGACTTCTCGCCGCGCACTGACTGCTCTTTTCAAACAGCGTGGACAAACTCGACCCATCCCGATCCAAACTATATGCTAGCGTCCACGTATCGACTAACTGCAATCTAGGCGGAACAAGTAATCGAATCTCCTCCGCCAACGCATGCGTCAATAGCTGAGTCGACGGCGCTGGCGAGGCATTGAGTGTGAGTGGTGTGAGAGGCGGTGGTTGGAACGGGGACGCCGTGCGCCGGGGTGTAAATACGGCGCTCGGTGCGCTGGAATTCATGGGCTCTGTGGCGGTACGGGTGGGCGGTTTGGGAGGGGGCTCGGGAGCAGGGTCAGTTAAACGGCGGTAGAGGCTGGAGACGACATGTGTGACGGGGAAGGTGAAATAGGACGTCGTCGAGAGGGATGGCTGCTGCTGCTGCTGTTGTTCTTGGTGGCGTGGTGATTGTGGGGGTGGGGCGGACGCCTGGAGGTCGTCAGAGGGCGGTTCGTGATGAGCGGTCTGGCCTTCTTCGCTTGATGACATGCGGGTTGATTTGCCTTGGACTAGTTATTATAGTGACTGCAGAGTGCTCGAGGGATATGGGTCGTTGATGGAATCGGTGTTGTTGTGGACTCTATCTAGGACAGCTTTTATCCTACATTTCGTTTGGGAGTTGAATTGGGTGATGTCACAGTCAATTGGTCAAGAAATAGCTTTGTAAATGGTTCCATTGTTGTCCTTTTTGCGCACTGGATGTGGCACAAAGCTTACCAGGAGAGTCCTTTGCTGACGATCTAGACTCTGGGCCTGCAACCTTGTACTAGTTCTTATCAGGTGATGGTGTTTAACTGGAGATACCCTAGAATCCGAATGGATATAAATGTTCAAAATATCATATGTGCGTTGAAGCGCCTCTATATTCCCCAGTTGCTGCATCCAGACTTCCTAATCTAATTAAATAAGATCAATGGTATCCGTATTGTTTTGCTTTTGCGTCGCGGCTGTACTTGTAGCTGCAGGAGTAGTGGAAGACCGAGATAGGTCCAAACCAGCAAAGCCATTCATCAAGTCCGCTCCGCCAGAGCTGCTTGTGTTTCCTCCAAACCCGCCATCATTTGCCGCCGGACCACTTCCGAATACGCCCATCAAATCTTCTAGATTTGAGCTAGGTTGTGACGCCCCCGCAGCAGGTGACTGAACCCTCATTGGTGTCCCAGCCAGGCCTTCAAGGCCGGACATGCCGGAAGGAGGCTCCTTGTGCGCAGATGCAGGTGCTGTGCCATCAAAATCGATGTCCAGTAGATTCTCAACGTTATTTTGGATTGGAGCTGTGGAAGTGCCGGTAGCTGCTGCCGCCGCCGCCGCAGCGAGGGGATTTTCGCGAGCATTTTGCAGTTGTTCCCTATTAGAACGTTAGCACCTTTGTAGGGTTTGTTAGGGTTGGCGAACATACTCGATGGCGGCCTTTTGTACAGCATCAGCCGCAAATCTTCCTTGTCCGACAAATTGTTCTGGTGGTTTGTGGTAAACAGAGGCTAGCGTCGATAGTTCGTGAAGCAATTGATCAAGGAGAGTAGGCGGAAGGGATTGGATGGTGGTGACTATTGGAGGTTTTTCAGATAATACAACGTTTTTGGCGGCATTGGTGTCTGTCGTGTTTGACAGTAGTCGCCAGTAAGCATATGCTCGGTCGCGGATGTCAGGGTTGTCGCTTTCTGCTGTTGCTGCTTGTAATACTTTCTGAACCAACCCTTGAGCCTTTTCGGGCCGCTTCAGAAATAGCTTAACAACCGCCGTCAATATTTGCAACTGAGTCTGTTAAATGAATTAGATGGTTTGTTGGAACAAAATAGTCGCAAGATTAACCAACCTGGGTGAATTCTTCATTAAATCCTTCCACAAAACCAGCTAAAATGTCACCAGCGTTGCTAATTTTTTCGGCATATTCTCCTACAATCCATATCAACGATCCCCTAGCATTTGGTTCGTCGAGGTCATCAATACATTGACATAAAGTAGGGATGATGCCTTCGTAGCCTGGGTATTTTCGAAAGATGTCTTTGATCACGACGATAGCTTCTTGGACGACGTAGTTCACCTTAGTATTGATGAGATCTAGTAGCGTGGTAACACATTTCTCGGTCGCTGTTTCAATCTTTATAGCGGTCTGTCCGATTGCCTTGACGGCCCGACGTACGAAATCCATATCGACTTCTAGTGCATACTCTTTCAACTCTGCGAGTAGCTGATCTACGTTCCGTTCATTGGCAATCCGGACCATTATCTCCAGCTTTTGAAACTTCACGTAAGGCGGATCGTTGTATTTGCAGAAGAAAACCCGGAGTTCTTTATCCAAGATATTTGGCTGAGCTTGAAGGAGGAGGTCAATGTTTCTCAAAGCGACATACTGCACTTCGGGAGCAGCAGACACGAGCGTTACTAGGTAATGGATCAGCACTGGGTTGTCAGTGCCGGCAAAGGTTTGTACGAGACTCACCTAATGGTGGCGCCATCTTTTTAAGGTAAGATTTCGCTGTTTCTGGATTGATGTACTTCATGTGCAAGAATACCACTTTCACTGCAGCAAGAACAACGCTAGCATTTATATGCTGGAATTGGGGAACAACTCGTTCGCAAATGCTTTCCGACTCCTTCTGGTCCGCCGTTCTATAATTCGACAGGCATGTAAGAACCGACACTCGACCCCATTCTGTACATTCGTTCAATGCCATTAGCATCTTTCGGAGCGTATTCGGAGTTATTTGGAGCGCCTTGGTTTCTGGCGCAGTCTCATTGATCTCCGCAAGCGCAGTAACCGAATTTGCCACTACCATTGGATTCGGATCCCCGATCATTTCTTGTAGGGCTTCCAAAAATCCATTCTCCAAGCAAAGCGTGGGGTTGAGGTCGAAAAGCTTCGTAACGCAGATAGCAGCGGTTTTGCGCACGTAGGGAGATTCATCTCGTAGTGTTTTCCGCAGTGGTTCCTCCATGTAGTCCACCATTTTGTCTACTCGGATACAGCCCATTGTGCGTATGGCCAGCGCCCGTATCAGGGGATTGGGATCTTCGGAGTCTTGAACAAAGGTATTGACGGCGAGGATGCAGAGATCGGGATGGGACTTGGCATAATTCCTTACATAGGGGGTTAGTTCTTGGATATTAAAGCAGTGCAATCCCCGGGGGATATCGACCAGCAAGAAAAGGTGTCACCAACATTAGGTATAAATATACAAGCTTCTTCTGATCCAGATCGGCGGTAGCTATGTTCTTAAGGACGTCTGGAAAGAGGGACGATACATCCTTGCCCAGGGTCATAGCCATAATGGTCTTTTGTATCGCCTCCTTCCTAGCATATTATGAGCCTTGCCATTCTCTGCCGGATCAAATTGGGACACTAGAAATACCTCTCGTGTGCATATTGAGACCTACGCAACCCATGTTAGCAACGGTCAAAGGCACCAAAGGTAATTGACTGCCACGCATACACTAGACCGGCCCTCAGCTCGAATGTCTCTCCTTTTCGAGGCGCTGTAAATGCGCCTCTTATCCGATTAACTGCCATGTCTCAAAGTGAGTGAACAGAGGCCAGGCCGTCTGTGAGAAGTATGCTGAATGGCTTGGAGTGTGGGGTCAGGAGCACGCCGACGGGCAACGAACAGAACCCAAGTTGTCCTTCCAGGAATTCCTCAATGGGGACCGACTATGATAATCTGTGGTGGCAAGCTCCGTATGCAGAATATGGTCCCTGCCAGTTCTCATTCCATTGAATCTCGAGATTAAAAGCTGAATGCGATGGTTTCCACCGTCCTCGCATCGACTCCCTCCCGTCGAGCTTACTTACAGAGATGGGCAACGAATCGGCCTATTCCGTAATTGGAATGGGCGGTTTCAATGACACGCTTATATAATTAGGGAGCTGACAGCCAAGTGCTTTATCGTTGTAGCAATCCTGCAACGTGGATGCTGCCTTCAAAGAATACAGTCAAAAGTAGGACCAATAGTCCCTTGCGCCCGAAGAAGAGGATGGTCAACTACTCATTTCCTTGGAGGATATAAAGCCAGACTGCGGAGTATACTAGCTTATGCCTGCTATGCTCTACTGAAGCTAGCGTTCGTAGGACTGTCCCATCTAGCCCGGTTCCAACACAGGTAGCCTTCACGGCACGTCGAGAGGGATTTGTAATTCTGTTATTGTGTTTGAGGCTCTACAGCTATAAACCTAGCAAGGAAACCCCCAAGGTGAAGTGCTGCCGCGGAGAGTGGACGAGCTTCTTTGAGGCTTGGCATGATTTTCAGTTGGCCTGCAACCTCCACTTTTCTCTGCACAAGCAACAAGGAGCAGACCTTTCATTTTCCCGACAACTAGAGAACACAGGAAGCGAGCAATGGTATCTCCCTTAAATTTAATCGAAAGATACACAGCCCATCGTTCAATTAGTGCTCACACATTTCTAGGCAAATCTTCCAAATCTCCGCCGGCTTTTCGTAGAAGCCCGTTCCGAGGCCGAAGAAAATGAATACTCAAGAAATGCCGTATGGCTGTGAACTTTTTCCAAGAGAGAACAAGCTAACAATGGGCTTAGTTTTATAATCTCGTCCTATTCATATCTTCTGTGGCGGTTTTCAGCCTCATCGCCCAGAGAATGGGCGGCGGAAAAACAGCTCAATAATTATATAAACTACAAAATATACATTCCCAAAAAGGCTCCTGAGCATTGACCATAGTGTACAACAGTGTATTAGATATAGGCTCATACAAATGCCCAGAGACTCAAAAAGCAAACTTTTTCGGGAAAGCCGTAAATGCTATCAGGATACCGAATAGGCCCCAACACAACTGGCCTAGAAACACCCCATGTCAGCCAGATTCTACGTCGTCGTTATTAAGGAAATCAAAACTTTTAGCCTCCTGCGTCGCTAGCCGTCTGGGACGTCCGCGGTTCGGCCCCTCATCGTCAGATTCCTCTCTCCCCCATTTCTTCGCGCCTTCTTGGATGACTTCCAGGTCTTCTTGAAGCTCTTTTGTTTCTCTGATAACGTTGGCCTGCGCAATGCTGTATCGTCCGACCATCCCAGCGTCACTGAGCATCTCCTTTAGATGTCGTATCTTCGCTTTGGGTGTATCGAACGGCGCAAGCTCGCGAGGCCACATTTTTCTTATCCCACACTTAACCAACCAGGATTGCAGTCGTTTGATCTCCGCTTGGTCCTTGTCGACATTGGCATCTTTACCACGGCTAGATCCAGTCGCCTTTCCCTTCGTTAGGCGGCTTTTGCGCTTTCGCTGTTGAGGCCTTGGGGCCTCATCTAATACCTCCGACATTTCACTCTCCGAGGCAGCTTTTTCGCTCTGCGTGGATTTAACCGCTTTCCCTCTCACGATTACCTTTCCCTGCGGCTTAGGCCTCCGTGGTTCATTCAGCACAGCACACGTTTCACTCTCCGATTGCTCATCTCTATCGCGCAAGTTCCCCGGCTCAATTTCGGTCTCAGAAGCAGACTCCACAATTGGTCTAGAGGATTTTCTAGGTTTCTTTTCCATTTTTGTCCGTTTCGCTAGGATGCCCGACTCTATTCCTTCTTCGATATCACTTTCCTTTTCCGAGGGCTTTTTAGTATTGGATAGTGCGGATACGCGTTCTCGGTGAGAAGGTAGTGCGCTTTGTCTTCGTCTCTTCCTCGGTGCTTCCGATGTGGCGGCTGACGCTCTCTTAACACGGTTGGGCTGTAATGGCGGTCTCGTCGATGTAGTGGAACCTGCCGGTCTCTTGGGTGAGGGAGAAGCCGGGATCTTATTTTTCTGATCAAGCAGTTGGTCTTGCCGGTCCTGGAGAGAAGATCTTGGAGTTAGCCACGAATGAAGCGAAATCAAAGAGCAAAAGCCGTTGGGAGGTTAGAGATGGGGATCATACCACTTCGTCCTTGATAATCCCTTCGCTCTTTGGCTTCCAACCCAGGTCTCTCTTTAAGAATTCAGCTGGTAGGTTTAAGGCGTTTTCAACCGCTCTGCGGATGCGCTTCATAGTCAGATCCTCGAATTTTTCCAATCTGTACCATTCTGCGACTGTTTCACGGAGCGCATTTTCGACGATGTTATCCTGAGGCACACTGAAGGACGAAATTGACTCTAAATCGTCCGACATTTTGCGTTGTAATGTTGGGGAACCTTTCGGCCAAATCCTCCAGGCAAAAGCTCGACGTAGTGGTGGTGTGTTTAACGCGTCAAACAGAGAATTCTACGTGTCTATAGTCACCAGTAACTGTATTCAATCAATGAAATTCCCTGTACTCCGTTCAGAGTAGACGTGTCGCTATTGCGCTGTGTCATGCGCTGGGCAAATGCGGGTGTTATATTTGTCTTTGGCTGGCGCTCGAACCTTATCTCTCCACATGACGTGCGGTTGGTCGGCGATCGAGAGGTCCAGATCTCCGCCGCGATTCGAAACCCATAACTACTGAGTACGGGAGTACATAATTCACCACATTAACTCTACGATTGAAAAGCAACGTTAACGAAGCGTACTTCTCTCTCTCTCGTCTTCCTTTGAATTTTCCTTTTTTTTTTCTATCTACTGCTACACTCTCCTAAACAACCCAGTCTAGACGACCTTTCCCGCCCTACGAGTGTTAAATGGCAGAAATCTTGACCGAGCAGATCGACGCCCTCAAGGAGCAAAAGCTCCCCAATCGGGGTGATAAAGGAATCAAGCAGAATTTGCCAAAGGGTGTAGTGTTAGATAAAGATGGAAAACCGTAGGTTAACCGTTCCTCTTCACCCCTGCGACACTTACCTGGTCTCTCTGCGTTGTTTGTCTTTGCTAACGACCCGTGTTCACACAGCTGTCGCACATGTACATCTCTTGCTGACTGGCGCGCTCTCACAAGGATGAAATCCTCCTCTACCGCAGCCGGAGCCGCTGCCGCTGCTGCCACCGCATCCTCTTCATCGTCCACCACAGCCACACTGCCGTCCACGAGATCCGTTCTAACCTTCACTCCCTCCGATCCCATCCCCTCAGACTGCCCTGCTGACGTCGAGACCCTTGGCCGAAGCACTTGGACCCTCCTGCACACAATGGCAGCGACCTACCCCACATCTGCAACCCCGCAGCAACAAGATGACATGCGCTCGTTCCTCTCGCTCTTCTCAAAGCTGTACCCGTGCTGGGTGTGCGCAGACGATTTCCGGACGTGGATGAACGATCCCTCTGGAAAGAATAAGCCAAAAGTGAAGGGAAGAGATGAATTCGGAAATTGGATGTGCGAGGCACATAACGAAGTTAATCGAAAGCTGGGAAAGAAGGAATTTGATTGTTCAAAGTGGCAGGAGAGGTGGAGGACGGGCTGGAAGGATGGAAGATGTGACTAGGGAGACGGAGGACTCGTCGTTTGGCACGTCATAGGATCTTCCTCAGGGATGACTCTGGCTGCTTTGCCCTGGCCCCTTTGTGGCTGTGGCGACTATTGCGCTTGGTATGATGCCTAGAGCTGCCTATGGGCGCCATTTAGACCCGCTTTTATGAAGCATGATAGAATGCCCTGCTTGCATTGTATATATCCACGTGTGTACACTAGATATTTGTACTATATTCAGCAACCCAACTCATGATGTAACTAGATTTTGATTCTATAACATCAGCATGTACCGTTTCGCACTAGGAGTCTTGTATGATGACGATATTTGCCCCAGCGACATTTTACATCTGGGAGAGCCAGATCAAAGTGATTATAAAAAAAGCATGGTCACGGCATAGATAAGCTGGTATCGACATTATTCCCCCCGTCTATCATCAAAGCGAAGACAAGTAATAAAAAGTAGAACTGTTTAAAAATTTCCATCTTCGCAAATCCATCTCCGATAGAAAGAAATCATAACCACCAAAAACTCTCAACCAAGATACGCGAGCCCTCTACTCATCTACCTCCACTTCTTCGGCGGGTTCTCCCTCGTCTTCATAACCATTTGCTTCATCTTCATCTTCTTCTCCTTCTTCATCAGCCAAGAGCAGCTTCTCAAAGGCAGAATGAGAAGCAGCCTTCACAGGCCAGTTGGACTTGAAGGTTGGAACAACAACTTTGGGGACCTCCTGCGGTGTGCCAAGCGCAGGCAGCTTAACCTGATCTTCTGTGAGACCGTTTGCCTCAAGGATTGCTTCCGCTTCTTCGGTAAGCCCGTGGGACTTCGCTGTGAGATAAGCCAGCGGTACTAGTTTCATCAGCACTTGTTAAGGATCGGCTATGAAGGCGATATACTCACAGAGACCAAGTTCTTTAAACATCTGTATCCTACCCTCAATATCACCAAGGTAAATTGCGTTTTGGAATCGGGACGTAAAATCTCCCCGGTGTTCTGCGATCTTTGCCATTCGATTTAACTTTTCCTGGTCGCCCGTTGCTAGATAGAGGAACGATAACTTGTCAAAATTCCGTTGCTTCTGATAAGTCATCTCCACTGTCTGGTGATTTCCGTGGGCTAAGGCTTCGTTTCCTAGCCGTGACCACAGTTTAGGGCGGTCGAGTTGCTTCGCCATTTCAATGGCAACATCAATGTTACCACATTCGAGGGCCAGCTCGAACCGTGTTTGGGGATCTTGTACGAACTGTAAAGCAATTTCTGGATAACCCTTCTTTTGTAAATACGAAATGATGCTTTGTCCAACAAGACTGGAAGTTTTAATAATCTGCAACATTTCGTCATAGTTGCGTTTGACCAAGGCAAGCTTGAAGCGATAATCCGTCGGATCGATTTCGAGGATAATCGGCTGAGCATTTCTATCAAGACAACAAACACTCTTGCCCTTTACTCGGACTAGGTATATTGTGTTGTCAAGAGTTCGTACAATGCCATTGTCACTACCAACTGTCAGTAACCCGCATCCACCAGGTTGAAGAACAACATACCCATTTAAGAGAGAATATTTGATATGGTTGAGAGTGGAATACAATAGGACACCACTATCATCCCAGCAGGCACTCTTGATGCGGATTGTCTCATGCAATGTGCTCACATGTTCCAAAGTCTTTGTGGCGATTGTCACATTGTGCTTGCTCAAAAGAGCCACATATTGCCCATCATTCGACCACACAACATATTTAACACCGCTAGCACTTGATTCAGCCACTTGCTTCTTTTGCTGAATATCATATAAAACAACAGAAGTCGGGGTTAGGAAGAGAAGTAAGCCAGGTCCGCCGACACAGATGTCGGTGGTTCCAGAAGGGGGTTTGATCGTTTCGGAGGTCGAGTTGTTCATGTCCTTGATATCAATTTGCTGGGTTGGTTGATTAAAAATTGCGAACTTATCGCGGTCAACGAAAACAGCTGATGTCCCGTGGCCCCTCTTGATATCAGTTGGCTCAATAGCCCCCCCCGAATCTTTCGGAATGTGTATAAGTTCGTAAGTGCCATTATCAGTTGGTGAGGTCACTAGAATCGCGCGTTGGGCTGCATTGTAAGACAATGTCCGTGGTGGCACCCATGGGCTACCAAGCTTTCTGAGTGATAACATGGGAGGGGACTCAGTCCTCTTAACAAAGTCATAACATTTCAAATGTTTCTCCTTTGTGATGTAGAAGAGTTGACTTTGATGTATAGCTGATGCCGGACGTTCACGTTCTAGTTTGAATACCATAACACCGGTGTCGTGCCCAGCAGCGAATAAATTAATTTCTGGGTGCGCAGCGATTACCCAGAATCGGTCTAAGTCACGCTTAAATGACTGGACGGATGTTCGCTTATTCAAATCCCATACACGGATAGTCTTGTCCTCTCCGACGGATAATATCAAGTCTTGGTGAGGGTGGAACAAACAAGCAGATGCGTTCTGGAAATGTCCTCGGCAGGTGTCGACTTCCCACGCCTTGGTGTCTGTACACGGTTAGTTGCTTTCCAACCACAGGCAATTCTGGAGAGAATCCTACCGCTCATTCTCCAAAGTTTTACTAAGCGATCATCGCCTGCAGAAACAATCAATGGCAGGGTAGGGTGGAATGCAACCCAGTTAACGCCACGGTCGTGACCTTCGAGCACAAACTTAACCACAGCATCGGTATTTCCAAACATATCCGCCTGAGCAGGACTAGCACGGGCCAGCTGATCTTCGAAGCTCATTGAGCTGGTTGGAGCGGAATGCTTCTTTCGGAGGCCAGATATATCCCACACTCGAACAGACTGGTCGAGGGAAGCAGAAACGATCAGATCCTCCTTTGGATGGAATTGCGCACACATAACATAATGATTATGGCCGGTCATCGTGCAAACTGCCCTCTATATCAGTGAACAGTGTTGACGAAAGGATCAGAACCACTTACTCAGCGATCGATTCTGCCAATTCCAGATACGGATCGTCTGATCGTCGGAACTTGAAATAATCCACGGGTGTTCATGATGAAAGAAAACCGTACGAACGTAATCTAGATGGCCATTGAGCGTAAAGAGACATCGGCGCGACTGGTATGACCAGACTTTAATTTTGTAGTCATCGCCTCCTGATACGAACAGCGGCTGTGTTTTATGAAAATCGATTCCTCGAACTGGGCCGTCATGCTCTTCGAACCGATCGATCAACGTTCCCATCCTATAATCCCATAGTTGTATCGTGGAGGAGTGGAGGGAGACAAGGAGCCATGGCCTAATTACATTTTAGTATCGGAGAGAAAAGGAGGTATGAAGACCGCGGTTAACTAACCGTTTGGGGTGGAAGGCAATGCCCTTTGCCCTGGACGACTTAGATTCGAACTAGACAATGGTGTCAGTGGCAAGCTCTCATCACCAAACCTGCGGGACAAACCTTTGTGAGCATTGTGGGAGCGGACTGCATGTTGACGGGTGGTGGCCGAAGCCACGGTGTTCTGCAGGCTCTCTCGGCTGAGCAATGGAAGAGCAATACTTGAGTTGATAGGATGAAAGGCCGCGGTGTCAATTGAATGCTATTTGATTATCGGAAGCCCTTTATTGCGGCCTTACGCTGCTGTCCCTCAACGGCGCTGTGAAGTACGTGGACTCTTCGGAAGTTGTTGGTTCGAGCGGCTTGTATGGGGAGGAGCCAGCCCGTACTGGGCCATACACGCGAGCAAAGCTATAACGACGTGTCATTGGCTGGTCCTTTACGGACTCTGAAACCCAAAAACCGATCTTTTCGATCACACAATTTCAGCCGGACCATGACGACGATCCCATTCTTACCACCTCCCAGTTCAAAACTTCGCGCGATAGGAGTCCGGTGTTGTCGTTATTTTGAACAAATCAGACACTACGCCCTCAGGTTCTAGGGTGCAACGATACTTCTCACTAATAGTCCTAGATCCACAAGCTTCTTCCCATGGCCGGTTGAGTCCATCCTGCTTTTGAACGGCACAACGACGGATTCCATATAATACATGGCCAAATACAGCTACATGAGTCTTTTCACCCTAAAGCCTTTCTTTGTGACTTCCGAAAATTTCATATATGCATCCCGTCGGGCCGAACGAAGACGATGCTGAATCGGGAACTAAACAAGGCCGATCCCATTTTGCAAGGCGTCAGAAGGATACACCTCCAAAACGGAAGCAATCGCTTGACTCCGTGGCCCCTCGTAAACGTCGCTTGAGTGTCGAGTTCGACGGCGCGTTCACTATCGAAGATATATCTAACCAAGACTCTGGATACGATGCTGATCTTGAAGTGGTTTGGCCATATCAATACGAAGACGGGGCCGAGGAGGCAGAGCCCGGTTCAAAGCAACCGACGAATTCCAAATGGACAGGTCGGAAGCGGATAAACTACGATGATGTGTCACACAGTAAATTGATCGATTGGATGCGCTCCTTACGCTGTGACTCTGAAAACGACACTGCTCGTCTAAAGAAAAGCCGAAAGAGGAAATCGAGGCCTTCGTTGGATTCTTTACACCAAAGATCGTCTCTACGTTCCGGGAATCCGAATTTGAATCGTCAAGAATCTAAGAAGGCATTCCTTATGGCCAAGAGACCTAAAATGGAATATTCCGGCTTCGAGGCTGACACAGCCCTGGACCTTGACCCGATAAACCGCTTCTCAGATGGGCCCTTCATATCTGAAGCATCCGCACATTGGAACCATGAAAAGCACGAGTCAAGTGCCGTCGGGAGTGATTCTATGGATATTGACTGAGTCTCCTCGTGGGGTACGCAGTATTATGGCCTGCTTCCAATAGCTGAGACGAACGCCATTTAGCACTTTCACTTCTTCAGATCATCCACCCATAGAATAGAGTACTTCTCCGTGCAAGTCACTAATTTCTTGGCCATAAAAAGGCCAACATTCAAGTGTGAATCAAGATTATCCTCCTCAAGGGCTACGAGTTAAAGTCACGTGACATACTGCTGGCCATCCATGACGTCAGAGGCCAACACCTCGATATTGAAAGACTGCCATTCCATGAGGTTTTTCCTTTTAATTGACAATGCTGAAAAGTGGTAAAATCCTGATCTCCTCGATGCTATACAATTGACATTTCTTTTCAAGTCCTGTTCCATTAGTTAATCGTATTTTTGCACAATGCCGACCAGAACATCAACTCGTCAAGCAGCCGTGAAAGCGAACGAGGCATTGCACCAAACTGCACGTGCAGCAACTAGAAGGGCATCTGGCAGCAAGCGGAAAGGCTCCACTGATGAGGGGGGGGCCAAGGTCAAACGTGGAAAAAAGGTGGAAGACGAGCCCCATGCTAAAGAGGAGGCTATTCCTGCAGACCAGCAGCCCAGCCAGCCCCCAAAGGACCAATTGAAAAAGGCTGAGAAGCAGCAGAATGGACACGATATAAACGGAGATAAAAAGAAGGCATCTAGTGAAGGGAAGGAATTGCAGATAGAAACCAAGGAGGAGGGTAAGGGAGGAGCAGCCACTCAACCAGAGACCGCAGTAAGAAGATCCGTAGACAGGGAAGAAGAAATACCATCGAACGTTTTGGAGAAGGGAATTATCTACTTCTTCTTTCGTTCACGTGTTGGTGTTGAAGAGCCAGAGAGTCTCGAAGACATTGCGCGGAGTTTTATTGTTCTGCGGCCTCTACCCCTAGGTGCGGAGCTAGGCAAAGGCCCGATTGGAGATGATCCTAATTGCCGACTTCTTGTCCTCCCAAAGAAACAATTGCCATCGTCTCCTCGTGAGCGGTACATGGGCTTCGTGGAGAAGGCGAATTCCACTCTCAAAACGATCAGAGAATCGTTTTTGGGCACGGAATACGAAACGAAAACTCAGGGACATCAGGAAGTTCCAAGCGCAACTCCTCTGGCCGAAGGTGTTTATGCAATTACATCCACAACTCGTAGTTCTCACCTAGCATACATTCTCACCATTCCTGGGGAACCATCCGAAATCCAGACAGATTTCGGCCTCAAGAAAAAGGCCTCTTTTGTTGTCAGCTCCAAAAGCCCGAAGTTTCCTGGGCCGTCGACGGCGCGGCTTCCAAAACCTCCGGAATACCCCCAGGAGTAAGTGTATTTCTGTGGTTATTCTTGAATCCAACATCTAACGCATGATAGGGTCTTGGATGGGTTTCGCGACCTCCGTTGGGTCCCTTTGGAGCCCAAGTTCATTAATTACCCTAATGCCCAATTCCTTATGATAGGAGAGGCACGAGGTGAACTTGGTAAAGGCGGTATGACTGAAAACAAACCGAGCGAAAAAGTAGAAGCTGGAGAAGAGCTTGAGCAGCTGGAGCATGAAAATGAAGTTCGAGCTTCTCCACTTCGAGGTAGGTTTCCGAGCGCCGCTGTTGTAAGGCGATATACTCATTCTTTTTTCGTAGATGATCACGCAGTCTTCGAAGATCTGGGAATGAGCTCAAAACAGTTTTCGTCCATGCCGACCACGTGGGAGTAAGGCGTTTAAAAGCCCTATAATTATCCCCTTGTATATTGAGTGCGGAAGAGTTGAACGGTCCTTACCAAACACGCTTAATGGGGACAAAATGGAAAATGAACTTAATATTTGTATAAATCCGGCGCGCTCTGACATATCATTTGACAATGCCACCCGGATCACTTATGGTCACATCGAAGCAGACGGGTTGATCTTAGCCATTAATAGGAGTAGAATAATAAGAAAATTCTCCGGGTAACCTCCGTCACGTATTTGGTACGTCGGAATGGCGGTAACTGCCGGCTCTATAAGTATGTAGTTAACTTCGCCTTTCAACTTTCAAGTCGAAATGATAGTGAGAGAGTCGAGCGAAGCGGCAGTACAATACTTTCACATTTACGGAGCACAGGGTGCAAGATTGGGCAGAGGAGAAATCAATGATGGCTTTTCAGGTCAACTCATCTTGTTGCCAGCGATGGGCAAAAAGAAAAAGAAACCATATCGCCAGCGCTCCACAACAGGTCCAACGTGACATCAAAAGCGAACATCATTGGGCCGGACAACATCCCCGTCCTTGACAGTGACATTGGGTGGAGCAAGGAAGACGGGTCGTGAGGGAAGAATATTTCCCAAGATACCTGCGCCCACTACCATTTACGATAGAACTCTAGATGATACAGGGGTCCGGCTCGAGTGGTGCTCGGTTAGGACTCCAGACTTTTGGAATATTCGCCTAGATTGAGGGTCACTCCGAAGCCGACTTACAGGGGACGCGTTAGGCGCATTTCCTAAGGTATGTAGAAAGTACGGGAGCTCTTCTGGGGGGCAAAGAGACACGTGCAGTGTCCTTCTTCACCATACGGATCAATATGTAGCTAGTTGAAGCTCAAGAATGCTAGTTGCTCAAGGCGAATCAAAGTCCAATTTTGAGCTGCACAAGGCTCATTCCAAGCAAAAGAGCTCGCTGCCCTCGTCCCTCATAAAGGGGAACACATTTCCCAGAGCGGCCACTTTTTTCTTTTTTTTAGAAAAAAAAAAAAAAAGGAAAAGCAAAGGAAAAGCACTCTGAACCCCGCTTGCCATTCCGACTGCAAAATGGCGCCGCTATGGAACTGTTCGTTGAGCTCTCTGCTCTGGTTTCTTTCCCTCTCAAATGCTGTGTCGGGTGGAAGGGTATATCCACCGAAAGATCTTCCAGTGGTGGGGGAAACAACCTGCGGCGGACATACATATCAATACCACGGTCTGGCGGGCTACGGAGTCGTCCCTTCAGACGCGGTAGATAAATACGGTGATACACTCGGCGGTATCGGCAGCGCTATAGCTGTAGAGCAATCTTCGTGGCAGAGAAAACGAGATGGATCGTACGAAGGTATTGCGTGGGCATTGCCAGACCGCGGCTGGTATGAAGACGAGCATCCCTTGCGAAGATAAGGCCTGTTCCACTAACATGGGAGTGTAGGAACACCAATGGTACCCTGAATGTGCAAGCAAGAGTCCAGAAATTGAGCTTGAAGCTTACTCTGGCACCCACGGCCAGCGCCGAAAACCCATCCAAACCAAATCTCCAAATAAAGTATCTCGACACGATTCTCCTCACAGGGCCAGATGGTACTCCTACCACTGGAATTGATGCCGACGCCACAGGATTTATTTCATTTCCGGGATTCCCTCCGTTACCAGGAGCGACCATCAATGGCGACGGGTTCGGTGGTGCAGGACCAGGTGGACGCCGTATCTCTTTAGATTGCGAAGGTCTTGCGTTGGGTCGTGATGGCTCATTTTGGGTTTCGGACGAATACGGTCCCTATGTCTATAAATTTTCGCGTCGCGGGCGGATGTTGCAAGCCATCCAACCGCCGGCTGCATACCTTCCTCGCCGTAACAACACACTTAGCTTCAGTGCTGCGTCACCCCCAATATATGACCCCGACCAAATACCTGTTCCCGAAGATCCTGAGTGCGGACGCAATAATAATCAAGGCTTTGAAGCCTTGACGATTTCGCCTGACGGGAAAAAACTCTTCGTTATGCTTCAGTCTGGCATGAACCAGGAAGGGGGGCCGAAGAAGCGGAATAGAAAGCAGGCGCGTTTGCTCGAATATGATATTTCTGGGAGGAAACAACGGTATGTGCATGAGTACGCGGTAACATTGCCAACCTATGTAGACTACACGGAGGAGAACCCCGAGAAGGCCACATTGGTTGCATCGCAATCGGAAATCCATTACCTTCCCACAGGAGATTTGATGATTCTGGCGCGGGATTCCGGCTTTGGCCATGGTCAATCAGAATCCCGCTCGGTGTATCGCCGGGCGGATATCATCTCTAAATCTCGACGGACGACAGACATCAAGTCGTACCAGTACGACAGAGTCAACGGCTCAATTGCATCGTCGACTGGAGTCCTAAAGGCAGGAATAAGGCCCGTTGAGTACTGCCCCTTTATCGACTACAACCTCGCTTCAGAGCTTGCGAAGTTTGGTCTCCATAACGGCGGTGAGCAAGATCGATTCCTGCTCAACGAGAAGTGGGAGAGTCTTGCGCTAGTTCCCGTCGATCGGAGGGATCGTCGACATCACAAAAAGCACGAATATTTCCTGATCAGTTTTAGTGATAACGACTATATCACCCAGAATGGTAAACGAGCTCTTTGGATCCTTGAGGTCAACAGTGCTGATCGTTCTTAGGCCGCCTTAACTTCGGCAAGTTTAAGTACGCAGACCAGTCTGGATTCAACCTGGAGACCCAGGCGTTAGTTTTCCATCTTTCCCTTTGATTTGACTTTCGCCATATTCTGGTGGGAGGTCCCACGTCCCAACTGTTGAAAGATGTATCTCAAGGAAGTTGATGTGCCGGGCATATTGAAGAGAGGAAAAGAAGATCAAAATAAATAAAGAGGTGATGTCGGAATTAGCCGACATGCTCTGTGGAGTTAGAGAAGCCTTTTTACAATTCGGGCATGAAAGCTTGCTTAGTCTACTTGACGCCCAGTGGTGCCAAGCGCTAAAAAGGGATCAAAATGATACTGTGTTGTCATCCCTTTTTCCCGGAGCACGCCGCCCTTGTGCTCCAGAGTCCTAGGTAAAAATGTCATTCCGGGCTGTAAAGCAGAACGTTCTGTGTATCAAGATAGGCACCCATTCTTTTAGCTATGATTCTTTATTGTGGGCTAAAGGCTGTGTGCGTGACAGATAAAGGTCAAGCACAACTTGCAAATCGGTTACAGATATGGGACATCACAAACCAAAATTAGGATTAGCGTGGTCATAAGTGTTACAAACAAACTTTCTGACACTGCATGGCCCTGATATGTAGTAATATTTCTCGCTGTTGATGGTTTATCCTTTCTGTCTGTCGACTTGCTGATTTCAGGAAGCTTAAGATCTTTCATGTGAGCATTTGCTTGCAAAAGGAGGGCTGATTCAGAATATCTGGATCTTAGTGATATTCATCATTGGTTTGAATGTGAAAGCTGTGGATCCCAAGACAACTACAGTACCTTAGTCAGTACTCCGTAAATAAAGACTTATTCTTCTAACCTCACAATCATCAGTAGCAAGAAGAAAGATTTCCAACTGGCTGCAATGTAACAACTACACAGAGAATTAAAAAGAATCTGAAAATCCTGAGAAGGCAGCGACAGAAGCAGCAATGCAGCACTATCTTCCTACTCGAAACCATCCCATCACACGCACCCATATGTTCTTGAGGGGGAGGTGGATAGCAAATAACCGTGGGGTTAGAGCAGAGAGAATATAGCATCAGTGATAAGAAATATTAGCACCAGAGCCACAGCGCCCGCAAAATTTGTACAGTATAATGAGGGTGAATCCACTAATCTTATTCTATTTTAGTGGTGGAGCCCCGAGCAGCACCCGACAATATGGAGTGCTCTCTGCTGCTCTGATTTAGTTGGGATCGCGCGTCGCCGAATGAAGCATCCCATTCCGCCCAGTGGATGGATAGGCTTCAAGAGAAGCCTGGGGAGCCAGGAGCCTTAGAATTATTGTCCGAGGACCTTCGAAGGGAGGGGGAATATGGAGTTCCGGGCCGCAAGCACAATCACAGGAATGCAACCCCGCCATTCGGATTGTTGGTTGTATGAGACCGAAGAGCACGGAGGAGTAGCGAATGGAGAGCGGAGATACATCGGTAAGCTGTGGCAAAACCACAGGTTGCACTCCCAGCATAGTCATCCGATCGCTTCGTTTGTGCTTATTTTATCAGCTGGCAGGGAGTTACATAACTACGTGGGGGGCCCTGGATGATGATGTCTGGAGAATCCCACTACGAACTGGGTCGTCATGCTCCGAGAAAATTTATGACCAGGTCCCTGCGACTCCCTCCCACATTCAGTTGCGGTCAGCGAGCTTTGCGGAGGGCGTGTGGCTGGGAATGAGTTCGAGAGCGGAGCAAATCCTCGCACTAACACTGGAACTATTGATGCTTTTTTGGGTGTGAAGGTTTTTGTCTTCCGCAAGTTCCATAGTTACCCGGTTACCATACCCTTGCCGAGGGGCAGAAGCGACATGATAAAAGGATGTTTTAAACAGCCATCAGTCACCTCACTTATAGCAGACCCTAAGCAAGGAGGCTGAAGGTGTAGCCGATGTATGCTCCGTATATGTATCTGTATGTGTCTTATATGCACGGGGGATCTATTTTAAAGGCCCGTGGAGTTTGCTGTTTCCAGCGACAGGCCCTGATCGTCGACCGACTGGACGAAGCGTGCGCCTGGGCTTCCCTTGGCACAGTGCATTGATTTATGTCGTCGCACGCCGCCTCGGGGTTCCGGGGCTGAGGATACGTTTGTTTCTCCCACGCATCCAATTATCGACGGCGAGGACCAGCGAAACCCGCCAAAAGAAACGAGGCCGCCGCCACGCCTGGAGAGATCTGGATGTGTGGATGTGGATGCTCTTTTGAATTTAGGTAGAAATACCATCCTCCACGTCTCTTTTCTCTCTGCTGTGAGAGGTTTACCAGTCGCTGGCGTCTCTGTGCCACTTCCGTCGCCCTGGCTCTGCAAACTTCGTGCTGTTGAGCGCTCAGTGTTCCTCCCCACTCCGAGACCGCAGTGAAGTTTCTTTGTTTTCTCGGCCCCGTTTTCCCAGATCTTCATTTAAAAGCATACCACTATCTCTCCCACCTCCAAAAAATTCACATTTGTGTTCTCATCTGAACATCTGTGTTGCTTTGGGCTTTGGTTATTGCTGTATCCTTATCACCATCCTCGGGCCTTTTTCATGGTCTGTTGAACGAAATCCAGTCTCCGACTTTGCTGCTGTGTGTTTAGCCTGTCCGCATCGCCTGTGTCATTACGTCAACTCGGCCCTCAGCCATCCGTTTGCAAAGACCCGCGCAGAAAGCATCTTTAAGACACTTATTAATACGTACTTCTTATTATTCTTACCGACAGACACGGACGCGCGATGCCGTATTTGAAGATAAAGAAGTCGTTGTAGCATCCGAATCGGGGGTGTTTTGTTTCATCGACTGGGGATGACATTGATGGACCGACGACGACGCGCCCGAGTATCCCATTGTATGTACACGCCGCGATCATGCCTATCGACTATCTGGGGAAGATTGGTGACGGGAGCGGTGTCTTGACGTCGAGAAGGCAGAGAATGAAGCCGATTAGGTTTGCTCGTCCATGGTTGTCCCCGTCCGCTTATCATTTTATGCTCACCCCTGCGCCCGTTCAAAGGTCCCAATCATCGGGAAACTTCTTGGATCAGGATGACGTTCGTGCTGGTCCCGGACGCTTCTCGAGCTCTCTTCCATCTCTCAAAGACGCCTCGAACCCTTCCCCTTCCAAATACAGCACACGGTCATACAGATCCCCTTCTTCAACACACTCTGCACAAGCTGAGATGACCTTGGCCAGTGGGTATCGCTCCGACATGTTGGATAAGAAGGCTAGGAGTAAGCACAAGGTCCACATCCTTCCGCATCTCAAAAAGGACCGATCAACGTCTCTCGACCTGAATCTCCCCGCCGTCGAAAACGAAGGACTGGGAATATACACGAACCTGGATAGAGACCAAAGATATGGCGATGCGTACGTCACTGCAACGCGCTTGGCGGGGTCAAACAGCCATCAACGCTCTATAAGCGGCAATTCCCAGGGCTCTGTGACTATGACAATGTCTGCTTCAACCAAGCCCGGGTCGCACTATGTTCATCCCATGCGCCAGACCCCGCGCCCTCGCACCCCAGTCAATCGCTCTCATCAAAACTCGATTACTGACAACTCCCCTGACACGCACCAGTTCCCTGATCTCGATGGCCAAGCGACCTCGAGTAATCGAGAACCCCCCAGACAATCTTCATCCCTAAACTCCAACATGGAATCGCGTCCCTCTTTCAACATTCACCGAGAGAATCCCACATTCCCCCACGCCGCGTCACAGACAAATGTCGGAAGAGCCTCCTCCTCGTTTAGCCGCCAAATGGACAACAATAGCGCGCGAGAAACAATATCGCCAATCTCTCGAAGCTCGCTTGAATTTCCATTCCGCTCTAAGAGCCGCCCAAGCACTACAGACCCCGTGGCGCGGGCAGCAGCCGTCCAGGCCGCCAGGCAGGCTTTTGAAGATCGTGAGGCCGCCAAGTCGCGTAAGCATGAGCAACGGAATATGAAAGCGCAAGATAAAGAGCTACGGCGGGAACAAAAAGAACAGCATGAAGGGTCGGGGAGGACCCCGCGCTTAACAGATTTTACGTTCCGAAACCACAGAAACAGTGAAAAGGCAGCCCATCACGAGGGATCCGCCCATGGTGATTCTGGATATTATTCAAGTAGTGGTGCGAGGTATGGGGGTGAGGGAGGAACGAAATTCGGGTTTAAAAGCCCAAAAACGGCGTGGCTTTTGTTTCTGACATGGCTTCGGACTCGGATCTTCAAGATGGGAAAGAAGATTAAAAAGATGAGCTAGAGACGTGTTACGCGTGACGGATGAATCTACGCCTTTGTGTTTTACGAGCCCCCCGACACTCGTCCTTGGTTTCGCCCTGGTTTGGCAGGAGGACACACATGGGGTTTATGGCGTTGGCTGAATGGTGCGATCGGAGTTATTCGTCGTTGAACTGGGATGTGCCTTTTGTTTTCTTTCTTTTTGCCGCTGTTTTTTTACCGCTGATTTCGTTTCTCTTCGTGGTCTTTCCTTTCCTTCCTGGCAATATATGTACGGGTTGCGAAGTTCCTGTCTATCATTTAAGAACTCCCTTGCCATGTATCTCTCGCTTTCGCGGAGGGAAATTGCTGATCGTTACATGGGGATGTCAGCCTCGAAAGGGGAGTATAAGGCAGCCACTTCGCTCTTGTTGTGCTCCTGCTTTATCGTGTTAGAATAGCATCTGCATCTGGAGAATCCATATTATTCTTTGAATTCAACGATCGTTTCCACGCTGCACGAAACCAGCTCCATGAGAGGCCATGATGCTTGTGCTGCCTTGCCGAGGTCCCCCCCCCCCGAGGGCAAGCCGGCCAATCGATGATGCCATGACTGATTATATAATAAACGTCCAACGGCCGCCAAGGCCTTTCCGCAAGCAGCTAGTGCCATTATCACCTGACTCAACGGCCAGCCCGTGCTACGGCGGATCAAGCAACCTCTTCTTCCATCGCCAGCAAGGCATTACGGTGGACCACGCAGCCCAGGGATACGCCCATCAGCATAACCGCAAACATGGTGTACGATTGGGAGGACAAGCGAGACGCCTGTTACAGGATGTACATTGAAGAGAAAAAGTCTCTGGATGATATCATGGAGTATATGAAAACGTCGCATCAATTTGCACCGAGGTGTGTTTTGGCAATTTCCAAAAGAAGACATCGGCCCGGAGATTTCCCTGTTCCCCCCTTAAATCCGCAGATATAGGAGCACTACTGATAAGGAGACTTACTAACTTGTCTCTGCTCGTCTTTTTCCTGCCTCTCTATGTATCCAGTAAGCGAGCTTTCCAGACACAGTTTAAACGCTGGGGTTTCCCCTCGAAGCACAATCCTGCGCATAAAAGTCCGAACCTTGTGGCGCGAGTGAAAGAGCTATGGGAGAACAATGTTACGCAGCGGGATATGCTGCGAATTCTAAACGATGAAGGGTATATGATTGGGGAGCGTGGGTTGATGCGACTACGTGCAAAGAACAGATGGCTGCTGAGAGTCCCGAATGGCATGAAGTCGTACCGAGAGAGCGTTCCACCAACCGGCGCTGAAGAAGCGGCTCCATCTGACATTGGGACGACTCAGGGGGCTTCGGCGGATGCTCCCGGCGAACAAGCAGGTCCTGCGGTGCATCAGGCAGTTCCTTCGTCTTCTGATGCGGATATCATGGTGAAGAGACAAGAGAGACTGGCTCAACTGCGGGCAGAGAGTGACGAGAGATGGGCTACTAAGAAGCGACGGCGCCGCACTCGGGGTTGGGGAGGGTTGCCTGCCGACCCTCCTGGGCCCCCGCGCTTCCCATCCGAAACCACGCTTGATGAGAGTAAGAAATACCTGTGCCTGACCGATGTGACGTACCGAGAGATTCGTGATCAATTTCAGCGAATATGTGAGGAAGCTGGGTTTATCAAAAAGACGATTGCCGGGCCAGAGAAGTGGCAGGCAGCGAAGGATAGGCTGATACGGGAATCCCCACATCTGCAGACTATGTTTTGGGCAAATAATGTTCATGTGGAACTAAAGACGCTTGCGCTGGACGTTGTTTGCACCGATGTCACGAAACGAATGCGTACTTTAGAAACCAGGATGACCATAGCAGAGGCGAAGAACACTTTGGGGATTAACCCGGAGGAAAGCAGACAAATACGGAATGCTTTCTACGACGCACTGAGAGCTGATCATTTCACAAGCAAGATTGAAATGGGTGACGACCGTTGGAAGGAACTCAAACAGCGCTGGATTCAGGACTCTGACATTTTACAACGTATCCTTTCCCCAGGGCCAGCGGACCCTCAACATGCAGCCAAAGTTAAAGCAGTAGAAGTGCTCTGTCGAGATGTTATGAAACGACTGCGAGACGATCAAGCTAAGCGTGATCCGAGCCTTCGACAGGCAACTCGACGGGGGCCTAATACCAGCCGAGCTCCTCGAGCTAGAACCTCCACCGCGGTTCCTAGTGGGGTTACTTCACTGGCATCTCAAGCGCTTGCATCGACTCGCATGGCTAGCGGCGAACTTGGCGGGATCCAGATAGATCCGTCACTGATCCAGGCCGCAACTAACGACCCTTCTTTCGCCATTCATCAGCAGCCAGCCGCGCAACCTTTCGATTTCTCCAGTCCAATCCTTAATTCACAGGCCCTTATACCAGTTCCTGTTTTCCTCCGCATCCACCCCCAGTCTCAGATCCATCAGAATGCTAAAACTTGGATCAGCAAGCTTAATACGCGGACTGTGGCTGAGCTGCGAATGCTTGCTTTAGTGAAGTTCAAAGATGCGCGTGTGGCGAGGATAGAAGGCACAGTGAGAGACGACGACGGGAGTGATATCTCCTTTCTCATTACCGAAGACCACGAATTGGATGCATATCTCACACATGTCCAAGGCCGGACAGCAACATTCTCCTTTGTTTTACAGCCGGCTCAGCAATGACCCTGGCAATTGAAAAAGTGAATTTCACCCTATTATTCAGAAGCACTTGTTGCACACTGTTACATTCATCCTCACGGCTGAATTTTCGGAGCCAGTTTTCCTGAAGTCTCAAATATCCATAGATTGGAAGACACCGCCTATACGGCTAAACTCCTGGCAAGCAACATACAACCCGACGAGTTTTGCATCTTCAGGGAAAATATACTGGCAACTAAGCGCCTGTTTAACAGGCATCTTGGCCGCGATAGCTTCAGTTGCGCACCATGTCGATGTCCAATCACCTTTATTCTCTGGGGAACGGAATAATGACTTCCTGGTCCCTTCCAACGATGCAGGGTCGCCGTTAGATCGCCTCGTTTCAAACTGGAAATCACACTTTAGCGCGCGCACAAGATGAGCGACGTCTTACGAGGAACTCTTACCTCAATTCTTATTATCCTTTCTCTCCAAATTTCAACCTCAAAGACTAGAATCTCTTCGTAGTCTGTTAGGCCAATAGAATATTCTATTAAGTTTGGAATATCTGTATATCCCATTGATTTCCTGCATCCTGACTGGTAGTCGAAACTTACGCCCAGAACTTCGTTGTTCCGGACATGTGCTACCATTTGGACCAACTTATCCACGCGGCTAGCCTGGTCTGTGATTTCGAAGAATAGCTTCTGAGCTTGGTCGAACGGAACATCGTGCTGAGGGATCAGGATAGGAGGCGGTATCGCAGGATTTACGAGTTGGATAACCGCTCGCACTCGGTCAAACGTGCCATTTAGAATCCATGAAATCGCTGTCTATTCGATAAAAGCCAAGTCAGCCTCACCGATATATAGTTATAACATAGTTATGGTGCATGTGCTGGGTTGTAAAAAGAACGCACTAAGTTTTCTCGCATATTTGACTGGTATTGCTGTTGCTTGTACTCTTCCAAAGAGATGTCAACGTTATCAGCCTTGAATATTTTATGCCGTTTCGATGAGCTATCAATTCGAATAGCAATCACTCTCCCAGGCTCCACGGGGTTTACTGTTCGATAGCATGGCTCTGTAGACAGCCAAACGGTTAAGCCCTCGATCCTCTCGCCTTGATCTAGCTCAAAGGTATCCAATTCATTCATCCACTGACCAACAATTGTAGGACAGTGCCATTCATTGTGATAGTCAAATCTTAAACCGGAGACATTACATGGGGTCCTGGAACGCCCCTCGGACCCTGTGGATGCCGTAATTCGGCGCACGCTTTCAAAAGGTGCGTAGGTGCAAAAGTCGCCCTGAGTTAGGACATTGATAGTAACGGCAAACATCTTGTCATATTCGACCTGAGATTCGCGTAGTTCTTGACTCAGGTCCCGAATACGTTTCGGTTCCGAAGATGAATGATTTTTGCTTGGGTGACCCTGGAGGCCAAGTTTTTGGAGAGTGTTGTCATCCGCCTAGTAGTTAATACGATCAATCCAAAAGGTCATTTCTATATACCTTCTAACCAAGAGGGTAACTCACATCCTTCGTGGCGATGAGCCCAGTAACCGAATAGTTTTTTGGCAACTCTAAAAGCTCAGAGTCTTTTTGCAAGTGAGGGAAGCGAGGGATTGCAGAAAACACAATATTCCGGCTGTAATTGGTACCAATCTGTGGAGAAGACAGGGTCAATAACTATAATGCCGAGCGTAGGAGAAGATGTGAGACTAACTTGGCAGCCACGCATCCTCTGTTCATAGCGGAACTCATAACCTAACACTTGGAGATTCGTAATTCGCTCACCCCCAGGGCCATCGATCACTGCAGAAAGCTCAGCCTCTCCTGTTTTTCCGAGGCTGAGAGTGTGCTTTTCAAAGACAAACGAGAACCCAACAACCGATTGAAAGTCAGAGACCATGTGGACTACGACTCTCTTTAACATTGGCAGCAGCCACCCATTCGAGCCTGCAAAGTTCATATCAATTATTGGTTCAAATGGACGCACATTCAAGGACGGCCTAAGAGGAGTTATCCGAATATTTCGAGAGTTTGGAACCATTGGGCTCCAAAGCCTTGATACGATACGGTTTGGTTCCTCAGCTGTATCTCCATTTTTGGCGACGAGTCCTAGCTCAAGGATCTTATAGTGCTAATGTTGTACTGGTTAGTGAGGTAATTAGAGTGATATAATCGGTGATTCCACATACATCAAGACCTGCAATAATATCATACTCCGCTGAGCTTTCCAATTGAATGAGGCCTCTTGCTAGTCCTTCTCCTCTAAACTGTCCTGCCCATGGGGAAGAGGCTCCACTGCTATAGATAAACCTAATCCCTCTTAAACCGGTTGCTGAGAAGACAACTTCAAGTGTTCGAATTTCATCCTCATCTGGAAGTCGAATTATGGTTTCTCCTGGCATAAAATAGCCTATCTCAGAAGGAAACGCCGCAGCAGGTGACGAAGATGCGATTCTGATACCAGACACATATTTATTGTTTCCTATCTTGACAACTGAAATCCTGACTTCGTTGGGAAAATCAGGCTCCATAGTTCTGGTTGGAAATCGCGCGACCATGTATTCCACGGGGCGGCAGCCTTCCGTCAATTGATTCTGATAGTCTTGCGAAGCCAACTGTCCACCGAAAATACGGCTGATTCTCAAGTGAGATCCAAGCTGTTGTCTAGCTTGACTGTCAGAACAAACATATTCATATTTTGTCCTCGGGGTTATTCGAACACCATATGGCTGTCCTCGGATTCTGATCTTCACTTCCAGTAGGCGGGCCATCGGCTCAATAAGGCCCCTCACCCGCTTTCGATTGATCAGGCTTTTGCTGCCTGGAAGGGACTTGGATTTGTCGTTGAGATATTCGTCTACGCCTAAAAATAGCCGAAACCAATCCTCTTGTGACGTAGTAAAATCTGGGAATATGAAGTCCTGTTCATGTGGTACCATGAATCTGGTCTTCCAGAAAGACTGGGGCAATTCTTCCGGGGCAAGGAGTCGATAAAACGGCCTAGAGAGCAATCTAAGACCGAGCACATCTTTTAACGATAAATATGATGAAACCATATACAAAAGTTCCACTGGAAGATTTTCAAGTGGGGAAGTCCTCTCCCTAGGAGTGCTTGAATAGTCATGCTCGACCCCTTGTGCATGGAATTGTGAGGTTGAAACAAGATCTTTCAAATCTTCAAATGGGGGAACATAAGAAGGATCTGCGTAGAAAAGCAACGATAATTTAAATGGCTCTCCAGGAAAGGAGCGCTTTTGCATTTCAGTGGCGCCCGCATAATCATGGCCAAGGGAAAAAATCGAAAACCGAGGGCATTCTGTGGACCAAAAGAAGCGAAAAAGAGGTTTTATGATATCGGCCTCGTCAATATCTTGTAGGCAAGCAAGGAAGAGTCGCCAGCAAGCGTCATGAAAGCCATAACCCCAACAGGAGTCAGAGGTTCTGAATAATGTAATATCCACTGTTGGATTCTCGTCTTTGCATGATGATTTGCTATCAACAGGTGCTCGGAGGATGTTGCGTGAAGCCAGATATCCAACGCCTGTTAGCGCCACAGTGTCCGATGCTGTCCCTTTGACAAAGACTGAAAAGATAGTTGGCTTGACTGCACACAGTCATTCTTCAAAGACAGACTCACCTGCTCGTATCGCCGAGAACCAAAATGGACATTTAATGGGCGCAAAGGGTGTATAGTGGAGAATCACACCACAAAAGGGGCAATAGCTATCAGGTTGGGTATTTGGATATTGCAGCATGGTCAAACAGGTTGACTGGTTTAATCATCACAGCTGGCAAATGGCATCTGATATTTTTTAGCCATTAAGTGTCATAAAAGCAGTTTCCTGAGGGTAATGCTGGTGGTGCTGACATCCAGTTTGTGCAGCACCAAGCTCATCATTACTTAACTAATCTGCGACTAGGTTGGTGAACCATGGGAGCAACACACAAAACTAACCAGCAAAAAGCCAATCCCAATCCAATCACTTTGGACGCAGAGAAAACATAACTCAACCCGAAGTGATATTATAGTGTCAATGCTGCAAGTACTTGCTGACCATACAGAGTAAGCCCTAAACAAATGGCGCTGCGTGGAGCAAAGTCTCTCATGAAATAAACGCCTGATTCCCTAGGACTGACCATTCTGTAGTGTCATGGCACATCTGGGAACAGCCATCTTCTGTTTCTTAACTACCAATTGTGATGAGGCGGGCACCAGTCTGTTTCGTCTTTCATGGAGCATAGCATCTGCCCTTCTCACCAAAAGATATTGATACATAGGTCATCAGTGGACAGCAGTGCAAGCAGGGGGGGAGCAGGAGAGAAGGGTCAGTGGGCCACAACGTTGTGTAGGGCCATCGGTCAAGTTTCTGTATTCCCTTGAGAGTGGCTAACTCCGGGAAAGCAGTTCATAGGGAAACACAGAATGTCACATCTCAGCTCGGCCTGTTTTGCGCCACCATTGACTTGTTGCGGGGTAACTAGGTCGCTAACAAAAGGGTGGTCATGGGCATCTTTGAAACTCTTTTCTTGTGACAGGCTTCAAACCTGTGCCTCCGCTGTGCTCTCTTCTCCAGCAGCATCTGGACTGCGGTTTTACAAATTCATTTCATCAGCTGTGTTGTCGTCCTTTTTGCCTCCTCTGACCAAGCTTCCGAATATCCACATCCTCGTACTCCATACGGGGTACATTGCTCGGTATAGTGGGGCAGTTCATTCGAGTTCACTACTCGCTGCTGGGTTAAAAAAAAACCCCCCTCCCACAACCCTCTCCTTTTCATAAGCAACCAATCTCAATCGCTGAACCCATACTCACTGGCTAGCCTTTTTCGCTCTTTGAGACGGGGCAACCATGGCCGTGTCAACTTCAACTCTCATTGCAACCACCTTTCTCCTTGTCCTCATCTTCGCCCATCCCGCCGCCGCCTTTGGTGCCGGCAATATCGCCTCACTCTCCCGCATCGAGGGCCAGAACTGGCGGCATGGGGATATCGAAGATGCGCTTCTCTCTGTGGTCATGGCACGTGTAGCAGGCGGGAAGAAATTCTCCAAACTCGATCTGCAACGGGTATATTTTGGCAACTGGCTCCGCGATTATAGTCAGGCAGTGGACGTTGGAACTGTCAAATACGTTAGTGCTGAAGCAATTCGGATCTTGCTCTGGGTTTTGGGATTTTTGAGCTTCGGGTGAGATCCCTTTGCAAATGGAGATTGTCAACTCCTGTTAACACCAAGCATAGGTACGGTACTGGCGAATTCGAAGTGACGACGGAACGCCTCGGAACTTATCAACCCACAGAGCATATTGATAATCCTTTGGGATATGCTGAGGGTGATGATGCTCGTCGCTACGACAGACGGCTCCGAGGCCCCATCGACGAGGAGCGAGAGCTGGCTATTGACACTCGTACTGGTATGTTTTACCGAGTTGGTTTATTCATCTTCTTCTTCAGAGTATATAACTGTTTTTCACATCAGGTCTTAAGCATTACATTGCCACGGAAGATATTGGTATCGCAACGTCTGCCGGCCTTCTGCGAAGTGTTTTTGGAAGGTGTATCGAGCTTGGGCGTAGCTATGGGCGATCTCGCGACAAAACTGAACTGTATGAAGCGCTACGCCTCCTTGGAACCGGCCTCCATTGCTTGGAAGACTATGCCGCTCACTCCAATTTTACTGAGCTCTGTCTGATTGAAATGGGTGAGCAAGATGTTTTCCCACACGTGGGTCGACGAACCATGATGGAGCTACCAGGAGTTGGGTATCCAGTTTATCCAATCATCACCGGTACCTTCGGTGGTGTGGACTTTTTGCACTCGGTTATGGGAGAATTCTCCGATAAGGCTACCCAATCGGAGCTTCAGTCCCTCGAAGGGGTTATGGAGCAATCCCAAGGTGAAGGGGGAAACAAGAGCTTCATCAAGGATTTGTTAGATAAGATACCATCTGAGATCTTTGGCGGCCAGGATAATTCTGGAAAGATGGACGAATTTCAAGCCAACGCTCAACACCAACAACAGTCACCACCACATGTTTCTCCAAAAGAGCCAGAGGAGTGGACCGAATACCTGGATAACGTCAAAACCCAAGTCTATCCGGTTTTAGAATGGCACGATAACTTGATGAAATCGATCAGCGAAGCAATCGAAAAGATCCCGGTGCTCCCAGATCTTATTGAACAGGTTCAAAATGAGATCAATGTTTTCGTGTTCTCGGTAATCGCACCGTACGTGATTCCAATAATTAATCAAGTCAAAACCGAGCTCGAGACCGGTTCGTCCGAAGTTATCCAAAGCAGCAGAGATCAGCAACACAACATCTTCAATAACGACGACTGCACTGATCCTACCCATTCAATGTTATCCAAGGACCACTTCTCCAATGTGCTCAACGAGCCAGCTGGAAAGGTCGCGCAGGAAGTCGTGAAATGGGCCGTTCCTCAGATCATGGACGCTTGGGACGATGAATATATTGACGTTGATCGCACGCTGACTCGGATTATCCACGGTGTTTTCCACCATCCCGCTCACCGTAATCACGGACAAGATGGACAGTCAGATATCCGCATGCTCATGTTTGGTGCTGTTGAGCAATGGTGGAATGAACAGGGTCGTCGTGGCCAAGACTCGCTCCGACGGCAGCTGAGCCGGGAAGGTGTGAGAAACGGTGATAACCACAAACCTGGCGTTCGTGATACCGGCCACGGCTGCGGCAAGCCGTTGTCTCTTCCGAAACATAAATCTAAGAACACTGGCGTTTTGGGCGGGCTTTCAGGAGCTGGCCGTACTCGAGACACAGATGAACTAGCGCACATGGCTAAGAAAGCGGTTGGAGGAGGTATCCTAGGTGATTTAGTTGGCGGTATCGTGACTGGTGCTGGTGCCGAGATTCTTGCTGGAGGGTCAGGATATGAAGGCGGCAGTCGCGTAGCAGATGAGTATAAGAAGGAGAAGAAGGAAAGGAAATATAGCTACGACGAAGAAGATGAATATAAAAAGAAGAAAAAGGAAAAGAAACAATACGGGGATTATTACGACGAGGACAGAGACGAGTCGAAGAAGAAGAAGAAAGAGCAAAAGTACGGCGACTATTACGACGAAGACGTGTATAAAAAGAAGAAGGAGAAGTATGGTGACGATAATGAGGATGAGTATAAGAAGAAAAAGAAAGAGAAGAAGTATAAAGGTTACGATGAGGATGAAGATGAAGGCGAAAAGTACAAATACCGCAGCAACGATGACGATGACGATGAGTACAAGAAGAAGAAAAAGAAAGAAAAGAAATACAAACATGAGAAGAAAGGCAGTGGGGATGAATCTTCTTCGAGATATGGACGCTCAGACTATGAGCAGCCGTCATATGGTTCCCGACAAGAACATTATGGCCGATCTGAATATGAGCAAACCGGATACGGTGGAGGCTCATATGGACGTCAACAAGAGTATTCTCAGCCGTCATATGGAGGATACCAGCAGAGTGGAGACTATGGGGAGAGGCAATACGGTAGCGAATACGGTCAGCAAAGGTATTTCGCTCCTTAGTATAATTAGTGAATAACATCGAGTTAGAAACTGACATGTGGACAGAACCTATGACTCTGGATACGGCCAGACGGGCGGATATGGACAACAAACTCAAAGCTATTCCGGAGGTGACAGCTACTCGCAAGGATACGGAGGCGGCGAAAGTAGGCATTCTAGTGGGTATGGACGCCAGGAATACGGCGAAAGCGGCTCGTATGGAGGAAGACGACAATCGAGATCACGCGAACGAGAGTCAAGACAGTATTCCAGTGGACATTATGGTGGCCGGGATGAAAGACGCCATGGCAGTGAAGAAAGGCAGTACGGAGGCGGCTATGGCCACTCATATAAAAAGCGATACGATAACGATGGTGACTCCGGTGACGAATATGACCGACACGGGCATCATCATCACCACCGTCGCCGTCGGGGATCCTAGCGGTCGTGGTTGGCGGCTGATGATTGGGCCTTTAAGACATATGGGCGCACAACACTCCAATTGTAAAGGGAGTTTCGCGGTGTAAGAGTAAATGCAGCCTCCCCATCCCAGGTCGTAGTTACGTTTTACACAGGCAACGATTTTGTCAAGTTATATCAAATTTCTACCTGCCAAAAATCCGATCGGGGAATAATTGTCCCCAAGGTCCTTACTGCAGTAACTACCTAGCAGCATTCCCGCAAAGATTACATCTTTAAGCCCAAACGAGCAGGTCTTCTCCAAAAGAACCTTAATTCTGGACTTTATATTGGGAAAAAGGAGATTGTGCATTTGCCTTATTTTGAGATCGCTCCCGTAGTGATCCTACAACCCGAGCGTTCGAGGTTCTTGTGCAACGGCTCCCCATTCACGCGGCTCTTGTGAAACAACGGCGACGTTGATTTCTATGTGTTATTTCCACGTATTTAAATCCAGAGTCACCACTTAAGCAGAGCGGGGCGGCTTCAAGCGACAGGGAGAGCGCCGTTTATATTAGTAGTCATGGAAACTGGCGACATCATAGAACTTTGTAATGCTTTGGTTCATCCCACCGTTCAGGGACAGGCCGTGCTGGGGGGAGCAGATATTAGAGTTGAATGCCTGGTTTCTGTTAAGAGAAGTAGTCCATCCATGGGACCTCATCGAAGAGGGGAATCTAGCAAAGCAGATGAAGTAGGTTGAACGCACCCACACCAAACACCAGAAGACCCGAGATTAGACACCGAGAGCGAGCCAGGATGCGATACAGAAATGGACGGCAAAAAATAGCTGAACATTGGTGAGATGGTAACGACGTTGAGTGTCCGGAAGCGCCTCGGGTCGGGCCGGACCAATGGGAGCTGGAGGAACCCGCCTGATTCCAATCTGCCGCCCAACTCCAGCGTCTGACGGATTTATCACAACGTGCATTTGCGAAATGGGAAAGGAGTCTCACAAAGCTAGTTCTCCTGGACAGGTAGTCAATAGGTAGTGCAATAGCATAGATTAACCAACATCCACCTCCTTAAAACTACACAGGCAGCATGGTTTGACAAATAATTACAGTGGTAGGAAGTGCTTTGGAAGATATCCCATTAACAAATATGAAGTATGTGTGCATGTAGGTACCAAAGAAATTTGCCTCGCATAATCCAACCAAAGCCATCAAACCACCTAGGGATTATTAATTCTAACACACCTTTGCATCAGAAGGGTTGCTGGCTGAACTCAAGTTCTCACAAGACGGGTAGAAAAATGCCGCCACAGAAATGATCACGTACGCGGCAAGCAGGAGCGCGCCTTCGAGATAATTTGTCCTTCCATCCAGCATTAGGTAGTTGGCAATGAATGCTGATGCGAACAGCGAAACAGTCTCAAAAAGACTGAAATACAGCGACATGTTTGTGTTCAGACACCAACCCAACAAGACAATAATGGGCGTTACAAAGAGAGCAATCTGGATACTGCTGCCAAGGGCAACACCAATAGCCAAATCCATTTTATTCTTGCCAGCCATAGCCACCGCCGTAGCGTGCTCTGCCGCATTACCCACAATCGGAAGGATAATCAAACCAATAAAGGCTTGACTGATCCCTGTGTTCTTGACGAGATAATCAATGCTTTCCACAAGGAACTCTGCACAGGCTGCCACTAGCCCTGTGGAGACCACGAGAAGAATAACGGCCGCCATTCGAGAGAGATGTGGCTTCTCCTCGACCTGCGAATCTCCGTCGGACTCGTTGTGAACTGGAATAATCGGCATCAGATGGGGAAGTGGCTGAGCGAATGGGACAGTTGGATTATGGATATAGGATTGGTGTAAACGATCAGGCAAAGAGGTGGTCCGACGAAGAATACGTGGGCTGCCGTTGTAAGTCGTTGAAACCCGTCGCTGCGTGACTTCTGTGCTACTTAGCCTTGGTTGCAAAGTGGGGATCAGGTGTGGAAATATTCTTTCCCGCGACACTCCCCGGAGCATAAAAGGCTTTTTTGCGGTGTCGGAGGTGGTAGGAGTAGGGGCAGGTTCGGTAAACCCGACACGGCGCTCTGGAGGTTTATTCCGCCGGGACTCTGAATGTTCTCTGGCTTTATGGCATTTGCTTGGCGTTTTCTCTTTCTTCAACGCCATGCGATGCCTTTTACGGTGCCTCTTTGTCGCTTTGTTTGAAGCGTCATGGGACTCGCCAGTTTCAAAATCATGGGTAGTCACATCTGGGTATCGCTGATGAGATATAGCCGCATCTTCACGATCAGCTTCATCTCCACTGGAAATGGTCTCAGGATCAATTGTCTTCGCCGGTGAGAAGGAAGCATGGTCGGTGAGTGACATAGTCCTGATTGAATGTGAAGCTGACGTGACGCGGTCTAATGTCTGTGTCGACGGTATGGATTGTGATTCTTTCGATAAACTAGTGCTGGACTTGCGGCGTCTTCTTTTATTAATGGCTCTGCGAATACGTTTCGCTGTAGTTCGCGATCCCGAGCTGCTATCTGTGTCACTATCGCTTGATGAACTGGATTCGGATGAACTGCTAGAGTTTAATATGTCTGCTAAAACACCAGGATGGGATTCTTCATCGATTTTATGCTGTGGCGTACTCTCATAAATATATGCATGGGACTTGAGTTGGAAGAGCAGATAGAGAACGTAGACGAGGAGCAGTATCTATTTTCGAATTAGAGTAGGGCAACAATACGGCAAACAATAAACCTACTACACTGGTTCCTCTGCTGACCTGTATAACAGCTTTATCTGCAATAGCAAGGTTGTTGAATGATGCGTGAAATGCAGTCTGAGAGGTTGTGTTAGCGGTGTATTCGTGGAGCCTAGATGGTGACGTACCGGCAGAAGCAAACTCATCACGCTGAGACTAAGAAGACATGCACTCATTTGAGTAATGGCAGGATTGTACAGCTGAGAGAATAATATTAGCCTGCAGTGTTCCAAATAAACGGGACTATGCAGCTCACTTGTTCTCGGAATCGGAGTCCACCGAACAGAAAACACATGCCGAGGATAAGTAGCAGATTCGCTAAAATGGATCCTAGTAAAGAGGCTTGAACAATGCGAACTTCGTTCTGCAGGCAATGAATGATCAGCAAAAGCCAAGGCAGGGGTGCCAGCAGCAGCACGTACCGCTACTAATGCAAGGCTATTCACAGGAAGCATAAGCGTCAGTACCGGCCGAGAATGGCAATAAATGTAGACATTAAAGTCTCTTATGTGAGCATCAAATGGGCAACATACATACTAAGTATGACGGGTCAGTACCAGAAGTTTTGTAAAACACACAGGTGTTCCTTACAAGATGATCAGTTCCACAGCATTTCCAAAGGTGACATTGAGCAAAGCTCCAACTTTGTCACCCATTTTTCTTGCAACACTCTCCGTTGCAAACCCGAGCAGGTAAGCCAACGGGATGATAGCCACAGCATTGACTGCAAATATAACCGTAGGGCTTACGGAGGCTCCGTCTCCCTGGCGACGATGTAGAGCTCCCAGGGCGATACCAACAGGTACGAATATGAGTAAGATGTTGATCCAACTTGAAAAGATAATAATATTTAATGATTGCCGTATTCTAGTGAGAACAGGCAACCTTTCGTTGTCCGTCACGGCGGTGGATTCTTCACGATGGCCCAGGGTATCAGGGGGCGGCGGTGCTGGCGGAGCGAGGCCAGAGGAGCTTGCATCGCAAATACCCGCGCTGGCGTTCTTCTCATTATCGTGCAGCGGGGCAATGCTGCTCGCGCATCGACTCTCGTTGTTGTGGTCAGTTGCGCCATGCTTATGAGAAGGCTTGTCTGTGAGAGGAAGTATGGGGATGTTGGGGTTTCGATTGTTGCTTGATTTCGTTCGCAGCCAGGCACCAATCCAACTATGAAGTGGCGATTCGCCAGAAGGTTCGCTCATCGATGTGTTAGATGGAGTTTTAGAAAGGTGGTGAGAAGTAGGATTGCCGAAGAAAGACAGGAGCGGCAACGCAGCTGGGGAGATGCTCCTGGGATTCTTGTTGGGAATCGTGGTCCATTAAATACAGTAGCTAAGCATTGCGCAAATGGCGGAAAGCTTGCTGGCAGGTTCCACGAGCCACTCACCGGGGCACACACAGGCAAACGCCCCAGCCAATCGCAGTCCAATGATGTCATGGGACACCAAGCCACAGGTGGGGCGTGCCACGGCTGACTTCTAGGACGACAAAGCAGGGATTGTTTAACGTCCAGAACGCCATGGAGTAACTTTGGTCCGACTTTCGCATCCATCTACTAAAAAAATAAAATAAAAAATAAAAAAATAAAAAAAAGTATACTCCGTGCTTGCTGGCACATCTCTCTGGTTTCTCCAGCAGCGGGCCTCTGGGGGAGGGAGGATCAACTTCCGGGTTGGTGGAGATAGCTTGCACCATGAAACTCGATTACGCTACAACGTTACACTTGTCGTCAGCTATTTCAATTTGGATGGCGTCCTTCGTTGCTCAGCAAGAATAATAATGGATGTGGGTGCATCAAAAGCCGATGAGTGCAGAGTGAAGGAATAAAACACCATCCTCTGGTGCTAATTGGAATTGTCGGGGTTGGTTAGGTGGGTAGATATATCACATCCGCTCCGGTTTAGTAGCCTAGATTCGTCGGCCGGTGGTTGGCATTGGCCTCTACGCCGATAAACATGACATGAGATCGCGCTCTGGTGAAGGACAGTCAAAATTGACAAGCAGTCAGCATACAACCAACTCGGCGATATCCTACCAGAGACTTTTACTCGGGAACTTATAGGTCAAAGACGGGGGCTGCGCAAGAAATGTTGTTTAGGTAGGGCAAGGTTGATCTCGAATTCTTCGAGTTGCTTGTATCACTTTCGCAATCGGTCCTTGAAATTAAGGCATCGGGAGAAGACAACCTTTTCGTTGTCGGATGAGGGACCCAATTCTCCGTCACTGTCCCAGCTTCATGGCGCGGTTACGCGTGGCAGGGAATGTGACTGGCGGCGGGTTGAATGCTATCTCCAAGGACGTGGGATGGATTTGATATATATCCCGGCTCTTTTCAAATGGTATATATATTATACACTAACTAATAGCCTGAAGTCCGCTAAGCTTCACCAGTAGAATCTCCCAACAAAGGCTACTAACCGTTCTCGACGGCTCTATGCTGGATAGATACATGTGCTAAACAAAGGCTGGAGACTAATGAGGTCAGAGCTGATGTATGTAGCCGCAAACTATCCTGCTTCAACATGCAGACAGATGGGTTATGTCTCCGTTTCCAGGAACTGACTTATCTTATTTAAACAAGATAATTCAAGAATGATGAAAACTTTGTGTTCTCAGATCGCCGAGTGCAACGCAGACATTTCACACTGTCATTTCTAAAAGAGTCGACCATAGCGAACAGAAACCTGGTGTGTTATGTGTATAAAGTTTGGTTGTGTAGGAATATGTTCCAGGGTCCTGATAGATTGAATTCTGACATGCAAATACATTCACTCGGCCCCATGGGAGTGAGAAATGTGATCTGAGAATTCGACTTTAAGGTATAAGTTCAACGAGAGAGTAAACAGACTTCAGGTAGCAGGTATTGGATCAAAAGAAAGTTTCCAGCGAGACTCTCAGTTTTGGTTGAGATCTTTTTTTAAGCATCCGTTGGCGGGTACCGTATGCTCTCCTATAACCATGGGTCATTGAACCCAAATTAACCTTATCCGTGTGTTGATCAGTTTACTACGGAGTTAACTACACCTTGGTGCAGTGTGTCGACAGCCGTCTCCAGCAGAGCTCTCCAACAGCAAAGGCATGCATCTTGAAAGTGGAAGTACCGGCCTGCGGGTAGTTAACAGGGGCAGCAAGGCGTAGAGTTATTACTCAGCCGTCATTTCTAATCTCCGCTCCTCTCCCCAAAGAACAAATGACGCAATTTGCAGCAAACGTCATTCCAAACGTTGAATCTCAGTGACCTGGAAATAAAGCCCCGATATTAGAATTTCCGAAGTTGCAAGCCCCTTTTCTCAATCGGATATTTAGAGCCTTGGGTTGATACCGGTTCCTCTCCGCCATTTCCATATCCATATTTCCAAAGAGCATGGACTTGGGGTGTGCCTGGAAATATAGTGAAGGCCACATTCAGCTTTCCGACTTTATCTGTGGCATCGTATTAAAAAAATTCGTGGCTCACTTGAGTGGATATCTCTAAACAGAAGTAGTTCTTTCGGCTCTCCACATGAATAGGGCGAATTGGCGGCTAAAGAGGGAGGCTATAGTAAAAGGGAGCATGCCTTCACTGTTCACTCGCAACGCAAAATCAGTCATGTTCACCAACACGCCGCCATGCCCATCTAAAATCAACACACGCTCAAAGGTATTGTGTATCTCACCATATAATACAGGGCCATGATTATCTAGCTAATGTGCTCAAAGATGGTTGTTTGGAATAATAGCGGTATCATCACCTCGCAATACGGTTCAAGAAGGTGAGTAGGATTGGAAGCTGTGGGCATTGCTAGCTACTTTCAAAATTTTTGTGTTGCAAGTAACGGTCCTTTGAAAAGGAAGTACAGATCAGAATATTTTCCACGTTGTCTCAAGCCTGTAGAGAAAGAACCAGTTAAGGATAACGATTGCTTCGATGAGAAGGGAACCCCAACAACTTCAGCTAATATGGACGATATAGACGTGGTGCTATGTGAGGTGCGATTGGTTTTATTATTCCCTCCACGGGATGTGAAGTCAGCAAACACAACGCAGCACCTGCAGAATATAATCCCCTCTAAGAGTCTGCAAGTTACTGGGTGGGGGAGAAGAGAGTCAAGGCTGCAGCAACTGGAGCGACTGCCATGTTTGTCTTTTGGTTTTCACAGTTTGGCTTTGAAAGGAAATTCACCAATAGATTCAGAATCTTTGATGGCATCTGGAGATGTAGAATGGCTCCAATAGTTGTCGATATAGAAGGAGAGCGAAATGGCTGGCGAAGTTGTGGATATATACTATTCCTTTTTTCTCCCTTTTCGCCTCATTGGCTTTGCATTTGCAAACCAGGTCATTTTTGCCGTAGGATATACTTGCAGAACTGGAGGTCCCTAGTGTTCTCATAAACTTCAATCCAAGTTATTTTACAAGGATTCTGCGCGCCAATGGCAAATAGGTAGCGATTGTAGGTAGACTGGGAACTTAGGAGATAGATGGGAATGCAATGTGAGCCCGGTTGCCCTTCCGCCGCGTTTAGTGGTTGCAAAGTGCGGTGTATGGATTCATCAAGATCCATAGCATACGTTATGCCATGCGGGTAGCTTTCGTTGGATCCGGTAGTTGGTTGATATGATAGAGGTAACTGGACGTCTACAGCGATGATCGTCTGGCAGTTCTCTTTCATTCTAGCAGCTGGGAGGGAGGACAAATGTATGTATGTAGGGAGTACATACACACATTCCGAGCTCAAAGGGCGCTGGACACTGTTAGAGCCGAATTGGCTGTATTGAGATTCACCACTCGTATTGACGACCTCACGGAACCGGGAAAAGCGAACAAAGTGCGCCGAAATCGGCGGGCGTTCGATGGGAGACTATCGAGATCTCAGGATTATTTATCTTTCAGTTACGGAGTACAAATCACAGAGAATAAAGGTTTCCGCTCTTACAGCCTAACCATCCATCCTTCGCTGAGAAAGTCACAATCCGCGCCGAACAATGAAAAAAAAAAAAAAAAAAAAAAAAAAAAAGTCAAAAGACGGTCACCGACACTCTCTTGCAGCACGATGTGTTCGGCTGCAGCCACTGCTAGCGAATCAGAGGCGGTTCCGGTCATTGTCCTCCAAACAGACTCCATCCTCCGGCACTAACTCGAGCCCGGCAAGCCACCTTCAGAGTTTTTTATTTGCAGTACGGAGTACTCCGTACCTTCGTCCATCCGCTTGGCTGGACTCTGGATGGAAATAATGTCGGTATTTGTCGGTTGGCTCTGCTGAAACATTCTCATGGCTTTGGTGAAAGCCATCTCTTTCGGGGAGTTGCGGCGCCACGTAGCCGCCAGCAGCCTCGTCGATGGGCCCGTGGCGGCCGTTTGTTAATGGCCTGAAGCGCCATCTTGACAGCCCATGGTGCCCCCACCTCCTTCTTGGATGTCATCTGCCAATTCATGTGGCATTTTAGGGTGGCAATTTACTCCGTATTTAGTTCCGTCTAAAAATGGCCCATGAGCGCTCCGCCGAGGAGACCCGGGTGTTTTCATGCACTTGTCTCACCATCCTGTTAGAGGTGGGAACTTCCACCAGACTTGTCGACAATACCAGTCACTCTTTTTTGGACACCGAGATAGTGATGACTTTGCGGGGCATTGTCTTTGGTTCTCTTCTTATTGCTCTCTGTGCATATAACCGCATGGGAGGCGTTACATGTCCCTGGCAGCCGGTCCTCTGTGGGCTGATCTGTGTTGGAAGCTGACCTACCATGGTGCCAGTCTGAGATGAACTTGATACTTATTACTTAATTTTACCTTGTATTGAAGTTGTCTGGATGCCAGCTTCTTGTCACTCGCTTTGTCTCGTCTAAGTTTCTATCCTTTCTCCATCTAATTACAGATTCACAGCTGCACTGCCCAAGTGCCCTTGTCCCACACTGCAGGCCTCCAGTTCCATGTGGCCCCTCCATGCTTTATGTTAACAGAATAAAGCACCCTTGCCTGTGCACTGTATGTGCATTTGCTAAACTTGGATCCAGAGTACCGTGTGACCTAGAAGCTTCCAATCTTCTACAGAGCTTTTTGCCAGTGCACCCTTCCCTATCGATTGCACCAAATCCTAGCTGAAAAGGCTTTCCGTTTACTCGCGGTTTCAATTATAGGTTGAAATCCTATAATCCCCCACGGTAAAATGGACCAGGAGTCGGACGAAACGGATAGTGTGTACGATACTGCCAGCTCTACAAACAGTAGGCCTGACTTGTCGAATGACGCTCACTATCAGGTAATGTACATACATCGTTCACTTACGATATAGTGATAATAAAGCAACCACTAACGGTCATCTAGCGCCGCAGATACCATTCGAATGAAGTCCATAATGCGTCCGACACCCCTGAACGATCGATGTCATTCCGGTCAATGTCCCGCACCCCAAGTTCAAAATACAGAAATTCAGATCTTGTTTGCCAAAAGAGTAGGCATGGTGAGACTCCGCGATAATTTCTGTGGCTAACATCATTCAAGTTCCTCCTGGAGAATACGCCGCTACAATTGACGAAGTGCTGGCCTTAAACGACGCAGAGCCCGTTCAGAAAGTCAACAGCGCGGAAGAGCGTCGCAAAGATGATGACCACAACTCAATTAGCTCGCAGGTTTGCGTGTCGCCATCATGGTCGCGGGCTGCTCAAAAGAGGCGTGAGAAAAAAGAGCAAAGGAAGAAAATGGAGAAGGAGCAGAAGGAGCTTGAGCGGAGGTTAAAACAGGAAGCTAAACGAAGAAAAGGGTCTGATTCGCGGGAGCCTCGACGGCTGCAGAAGCGAGCACCCCTAGCGGCTTCAAGCAGAGCCTCAAGTGCCCATAGTGCGTTTCCGCTACCGTCTGCCGCTTCATCGCGTGGATCATTTTGGTCCAGAAGAACATCAGGGGCCAATTCCATTAATGATCAATATCAGGGTGAGGTAAAAAAGGAAAGTCGTAGATTTTCTTTCGGTGGAGATAATGCATCGGGGAAGAAACTAAAGTTTCCCAATGTCTGGCCTCGTCGATCTACTAAACCCAAGGAGCGGCAAGGTGCTGATCAGCCATCTGCTACAGAAAATACCCCACCCGATACCAATAGGCATTTTCTCCATACGGTGAAGAGGCATGGAGATTTGCGAGCAAGCGCAAAGGCGTTTGAAGTGATCAGAGGCGCGCGAACATCCTTCGGTCCAGTATCAGCGCACCCCAAGATGCGTCAAAGTATGCCTGATGGTCGGCGTGTGGGAAATATGAATGGCAGAGCAGATGAAGGGGACATCGCTACGCAACATCGAGTATTTGCAAATCGGGAACTACGAATGCCGTTCGAGCCAGTTCACAATATTCGCTCTCAGAGGCAACCTTCCGAAGCCGCAACACTGAGCCAATCTCTAGGTTCTCGCGCGATCACCGGCACGGACTCCCTTGGCATTCAAATCAAAGCAAGGGGACCCGCTGATAAGGATGCACGGAGCAAGATTCTGAGCGATGAGCGCCATCCAACTCCGGTTGTCGGCTTGAAAAATTCTGAAGATGGAGCTGAAACAATAGGCATGTCCCCGGTTGAGCATGGATCGCCCAAAGATACCCCTACTATGAAGGACCCCTCTTCCCCACATTCCCCTGTGCAAAGTACGACATGCGAAATGACCAATACTCGTGAAGAGGAACATTCGTCTTCGCCCGGTGCCAAACAGTCCCAGCCACTTTCTCGAAATGCCTACACCCCCAGCAGCCAGAACGAATCGCAGCATGGTGCCGCAAGCGTCACACCTAATGGCAGTGAAACTCAACCCATCGAGCCCACGCCTCCGCAAGCGAATTTTTCTAGGCTCGAACACCCACGTATAGCTTCCAACCACATTCGGGACGCTAACTTCCGCTCATCACCATTGGCTGGACCACCTCTTGTTGTTCAACATCCTGAGAAGGGGAATGAGACTTCCGCAGCTGAAGAGCAAGGACATTGTACTATTGAAACCGCACAAAATCCAGCTAGGCGCCGTAATTCCTTACAAGCATACATAGATTCCAAGAGACTCACCATCCCGCGGTTTTTAGGGCATGGTAGAAGGAGCAACAGTGGTGCCAGTATGGACTTGGTACAGGGACGAAAGAAAATGGGTCAGGCTGGGTCTGCCGTGGCATCTTCAAAGTCTGAATCGACTACGGTTGCTTCGAGTCCTTTGTCCAGTTCTACTAGTCCACCGGACAGCCCGAACAGTCAGAAAAATGGATTTTCGACTGCGAAATCAACCGATATAACGGACTCTTCGCGGCCCAATCGAAACTCAAACGATATTATGCAGAGACTGCGCATGGGTGGTGATCAAAGGGAAAAGCTACGGAAACGAGCGGTGTCGGTAGATATCAATTCCAGATCCGGTTCCAAAACGCCAGAAACAGAAACACTACGTCATACTGTCCATGACAAACCATCCGGAGACCGCAACTCGCAGCCCAAGACGCAAACGCCACAGAGTCTGGATTCCCCTCGTCTATCTGCAAACACCGGGAAGAAAATATCGGCTAACCCTTCTAAAGAGCCATCATCCGCCACACCAGGGCCCAGTCAGTTTCGACGCTCCACGTCCGACTATATCCCTACCTCTCCAAGCTCTTTAAGCCTTCACCGAGCGCTTGGTGCGTCACCCCAAGGTACTGGATCAAGCCGAACGCCTGGCCAACAAATTGCAAAAATGTTTGTCATATGTTGCCAGTGCAAACATTGGCACGACATGACTTCCCAAGCCTATGCAAAGTTAGCCTTTCCCGATAAAACACAGGATCCTGCCCAAGGGGCCGCGGATACTGTTACTTCTCCAACCGGACTCGAATCACCATTGAGAGTTTTTGGTGGATCGCCATTAGCAAGTCCTAATTCGTCGAGGACGAGCCTTGGAGTCAAAGAAGGAAAGGCACCTGCTAAACCTACCCGGCCAGGACACAGCTCCACGTCTACCTTGTTAAATCACTCTACGATATGTTGCTGGTGTTACCATCAAATGGCAAAGGCTTGCTGCGCTGGCTGGACAACAATTGTTACTATGCGCGAACGCCATCATTGAAAGGCGTTGAACAAGGCAAGTCGGACGATTGGACCTTGAACAAAGTCCGAATAACTAGGTATTAGGACGTTCTTGGAATCGAAAACGTGCCCGTACTCAATGGTTTGGTTTCCCAGTTCTTCATTCCACTCAGTCTTATGGACTTTTGAATCATGCCTTTTTTTTTTTTTTTTGACATTTTGACATCTTGATGCACCAAAACATAACACATGTGCTTTCCAACTAATGTCATGCATTACATGGAGACTTGATGCATTCGGTCTTTGCAATCACTTTCTGGGTGCTAAAAGCGACCCTCTTTTTTGGTATTGCTGTGAAGTATAATTGCTGTTTTTTTTTTTCGGTTACCACATGAATGAGATATGAGTTGCATTTCGGTTGCGCAAATTTGGAAGTATGATCTTATGACCTTGTCTATTCTCCCCTTTTCTATTCTAGATATATTTGTACTGTTCCTTGAGTTCCATGGTTCGGAGCATACTCTAAAACATACTACATTGTATAAAAGTTTTACATCCATAGAGTTTTTTGTCTTGTTTCCTTTCTTGTGTGTTTTCCACCAAAAAAAAAAAAAAAAAGGTAAACCATGGTATCTTTGAAATTTCATCACCGGCAATGATTATATTTACATCATACTGACTTGTTCCGTGGCTGCAACTCAACTTTCTCTTCTTCATTTATCTTCATTCGAACGGGATACTGTAAAGAGGTAACCAAATGGTATCCCAACACACAAAAGCAGCACTCACAGCCTGTGTTTCCTCTTTTTTTTTTTTTTTTTTTTTCTTTTCCTTTTAAGCTTAGCTCAATGGATGAAATCCGACACATCGCTAACAGCCGCTTGCAGCGCTGCATCAACATCATGCTTGCGAAATCCAGGTGCCCGACCAAGGCATACACCTCTGCGGGATAGTTCTACAGACAAGAGAAAGAAAATGTGTCAGTTTTCTTAGGTTTATAAAGGCAGCTTATGGTTCTGCTTTTGGAAGAATAAGTTTTAACTTACGTGTAACAAATTTGTCTACGTCTAATATTAGGGACGGTGTACTGTCGAACGAAGAGTTTATTGTTTGCTGTGGAGGAGCATTTGACCTTAGAGGTGGGTCGTAATCAAGACCGAGAAGCTGCATCATCTGTGAGCATACTTCGTTTTGGAAGGGGTAGTATGTCTGGGATATTGGATTATTTGCGGCCGTCGCGAATCCTGCTTGTGATGCTGGGTCATCAAGCGTAGCGGAGCACGGCGATGCCGCTGTAACTTGTGATCCGATAGATGAATTTGTTGATGGAGAGCTGGCGTTGGATATCCGCGCAGCAATGGCTGATGGAGGTACAAGAACGTAGGATGATAGGCCACTCAGTTTGATCCCCTTTTCGAGTAGATATCCTTCCACGTCGTGACAATCAAACCAGTCCCCGCCAAATCCAATAGCTTCGATGAGTTCATCAAGACTTTTGAACTGATGTGGTCTTTCGGCATTGTGAAATGGGAGCGGTCCAAACGCCCGTTCAGGCGGATGCATATTTGGCGGGAAAATCACGTTCCCGAATTCATCTTGGTAAGGGTAATGCATACCAGCTTTACCGATGTAGAAAAACGGTTTGTTCCAAAATTCAAGAGGCTCACCAGCTTTCCTCTGGAGAAGGGTGGAAAACATATGAGCTACCCTATCTCTTTTTGCGAGACTAAATGTAATTTTGAATTTGCGATGTAACCTCTCTTCATTAAAGGACGGGTCAGTGAGGGCTGAATATCCGAATTCCAGGCATCGGCGATGAAGACGCCGGGAAAAACTAGTTTCCTGAAAACAGTAGGTATATCGATGATGTGGGCTTGGTTGTCGAGGAATGAATGCTGAGCTCTTCAATGGCGATTGTGACTCCTCGCCGCACCAAGATTTATAATTGAAAAAGTTATTACTCGCCATACTCGTGTCCCAGACATCGGGTAACGTCGCGATATGAGAACATATCGGAATGGTCGCATGAGTCGCTGGTACGTTCGCATAAGAAGCGATAAGAGTCTCAGGTTCAGTGTAATCAGGTCGGGGATTATTTCCCGAAGCATTTAGTGAACATTGTTCATTGTTTGGAGCTTCCACAGTGGCAGCATTGCCCGATTGCGCGTCTTCCTGCGGCGCATCATCTTGCGAAATTTCGGATGCAAGCTTAATAAATCGCTGTGTAGCAGAGCGTAATCGTTGTGCAAGTTCCGGCTGCGCAGACAAAACGCCGGATTTGAGAGCATCGTCGTTGAAAGCTAAAAATGTCTTGTTCATTTCATCAACTGTGCACTCCAGTTGCTCCACCCGTTCGTTGAGTGACGCTATAGTGGCCTCTTTCCGCGATCGATATGCCCGCTGAGCAATCCTTATTTGTCTTCGCCGCCGCTAAGCATGTGTGAGTATCCCATGCAAGACTCAATTCGATATAAAACATACATCAGCAGGCGTCTCATTTTCGGTGTGAAGACGAGGCCGACCTCGCTTCTTGGTAATCTTATCCTCTTTTGTCACCGATTCAGATGGAACCGCCACAACTTCCTTTGGTAACACCCTTTTCTTCTTTGAACAAGTTGCCGACCGGCTCTTATTGCTGTCTTCATTCAGATGTCCATGGGCCTCCTGTGAAACCGGAGTAAGTGCCTCAAGAGCCCTTTGTGAGGAATTTTCCGCAGGAGTATAGTAAGACGGAGTCTGGGGTGCACTTGGAAAAGAGCTCGCTGAAAGTATATCCAAATGCCATTCTGGAACCAAGGCGGAGTACATAGTAAATAGGATTTGGTATCCACGGAGAGAATGCGTAAGCAGCACAGAAAGAATAGCAAGGCCCAGTGCAATAAACAGTTCCTTTGCATCTAGATATTGATCTCTACCGAATGACGGCACAGACCATGGTATCTATGCAAAATGTGGAGAGCAGCTGAATGTTGATTAATCGTTGTGACATTGAAAGTGTTTGGGCTAAAACCGTATGTAAACATATAGGAATAAGGAGGTGATTTAAACACTGGAGACGGTAATCGCATGCAAAGGGTGTATTCAAGAAAAGGCACAGCTAGGTAATAAATTCCAAGGCTCCCCAGCAGCCCAAGCGCTCACAGCTGAATATCCCCATGATCGATCGTCCATTGCCCCTTTCGGCGTTACGAAGAGGTTGTAGATTTGTCATCTAGTGAAAGCGGCGGCTGCAATCAGGCAGCCGAGGCTATATCTGCCGTTGTTATTGGCCGACAAATGAGAAGGATCGCGCCACTCCCGCCGCTTTAGCTTGTCCGTTCTCGGGATAGCCATGTAGTTGGCGCTTATAATACTGTTGAAAGAGGTAAACGTTAACCAAGCCCGGGTAGCTCAGTCGGTAGAGCATGAGGCTTTTAACCTCAGGGTCCAGAGTTCGAGCCTCTGCTCGGGCGGGTTTTCTTTTTTGGCTCTACATTTTTTTTTTTTTCGGCTTCACAAAATTAAAGAATACTATTTTGGCAACTGTACGGCGTAGTAGACAGCGATGAAAAGCGTGCGCTTCCGACATATCATACAAACATTTTAAGATTATATAAAGTACTATGGTGCATACATAAATTTTACCACTTCTTGATCTCGCCTTGCTTTGGAGGCTCCATTCTTACGACCTTATCGCAGTTAAGAAGGCATAGTGGGTCGAGAGCTTGCTTGATCTAAACGAGGAGGTCAGCCACGGTACGATAGCTCATTTCCGAACTGTAACTTTTCAGTGAGAAACGTACCTTGCGCATAGTATCCACGGCAGAGTCGCCGAGTTCGTGAGGAAGATAGTCTCGTTTAATAAGTCCCACTCCATGCTCGCCGGTAACTGTTCCCTCCATTTCAACAGCTCGTTTCACCATTCTATGCACGACACCTTCAGCAACATTACGTTCGCTATCATTGAATAATAAGATAGCTTGTGCATCGATGCAATGTCAGCATCACCGCGTCATACCAAGGACGCCCTGATGAACTTACCGTGGAAATTTCCATCACCCACATGTCCACAGATACCTCCTAGCAGCCCATTTTTTGTAATATCTTCCTTTGTCTGTTCGATGATATCAGGCAATCTGCTGATCGGTACCGCAACATCAGTAGTCCAGACGTGATCGTTCTGGTCTCTTTTCATCGCCATGACACTCCACAGGGCTTCCTTCCTTGCGCTCCACAGCTCCTGCATCTCATCTCGTCCCTGAGCAAATTCAAATGACTGGCCCATCGTATCCTTAGCGATCTTCTGAACAATTTTAATCTGCTCTTTGACCCCGGCAGGCGTTCCGGTGAACTTGAAGAAGATAGTCGGGGCCTCTTTCCATGTCCGTCTCGTCGTCTGGCTGTCGTTGATGCATTTCATTTGAACGTCATCCAATATTTCGACACCTGCAACTTGGATACCTTCACCAACGACTCGAGCAACGCATTCAGCAGCACAGTGAATCGATGGGAAAGCAGCTACTGCGACACTTTCGCTCTTTGGCTTTGGCGTGACCTTTAGTGTGGCTTCAGTAACGAGGCCCAGCGTGCCTTCGCTGCCAATAAACAGTTTTGTAAGATCATATCCGGCGCTGGATTTCCGGGGACGCTGCCTCGTCTTGATGATAGTTCCATCGGCAAGAACGACAGTCAAAGAGAGTACCCATTCGCGCATCGTTCCGTATCGATAAGCGTTGGTCCCAGAACAGCCGGTTCCCACCATACCTCCGATCTGCGCACCTGGGCCAGGATCAGGAGGGAAGAATAGCCCGCGCTTGGCAAGCTCTTCATTTAAGTCTTCCCATCCAACCGCTGGTTGCACTACAACGTCCAAATCCTCCTCATGCAAAGCTATGATGTTGCCCATGCGGGCGAAGTCGACGCAGACGCCACCTCGCGTGGGAGAGAAGTGTCCTTCCAAGCTCGTGCCGCCCGAAAAAGCCGTAACTGGGATCCTTCTATCGTGGCAAACCTTCATTATGCGAGAGACCTCTTCTGTGGTGGAAGGGAATACGACTAAAAATGGCCTCTCGCTCTCTTTCGCGGTGTAGGACGACCAATCCGATCCGGCGTGCGCATCCAGGTCAACCTTGTCCGTGGAAACATTTTCCTTCCCGACAATGTGGATAAAATCGGACCAGGCGGCTTGAAGGTTACCCGGTGAAGTATCGTGATGAGGCTTTGGAGCACTGTATAGAGGCGTAGTGGACGATTCCGGTAAGGCAGCAGGTCTTAAGGATCCTAGGTAGTAACATCCAAGTGCCGTGACAAGGACAGCTATGCCATTGTAAGCTTGAAGGAAAGAGAAAAAAATTTCATTCCACACGAAGCAATTGGATAGAACAAAACGTACTGAAAGTAATTGCTGTGTTTCGCAAAGCAGACGAGTCTTTTTGCATCCGAGCATACCGCTCAAGCTCTGCCCGTTCACGCTGTATTCTCTGCTGTGTACTCTCATACAGTTGGCCTTTGAATGTCGGTCGTTCCTCCGCTCTAGCGCATGTTGTTCCGAATGATCTTTTCGCATGGGCTCTGTTCTTTGGAGTGGAATTATAGACAGTGGTTGTGATCCGTTGGGCCCTTTTGGCTGTTCGCGCGGCCTTTGAAGCTACTTCGCGAGAGCTGAACATCGTAGCGAAGGCGGATGGAATTCGTGCACAACTGGCCCAGAAGGATTTCTCTGCTCGATGATCCTGCGGTTAAACTGTTGGCTTTTGAGTTTCCCCGAGCATTAACACATTGCGGGGTCGAGATGCGGTGTCTGGCGCAGCTCCGGAAGTGCTTCCCAGGTTGAAATTGGAGATCTGATTGTCCCGGAGCTTATTTCTCCTCACCGCAGAGCTCCGTTCGTCCTGTTTGCCGACGCAATGCCACGGACTCTTTCGACTTGCGGTTAGTTCTCTCGTTGCTTTCGGGCGAGAGATGCGAGTATTGTACATAATACATACGATAACGAGAACTACATACTCTGTACATGGTTGATTATTTGTTAACTTGTTAGTAGTTAGCTGTCAACCGCATCCATCTCTCCATCTTCCGCGCCACAATTTATCCAATGTGGGCGAGAGACTTGGCGCCGAACCTTGGGGAAGATATCCCGTTTGTCCATTTGATATTGGAGATTCAATCCCAGTGATTATCTCCGCCTACGCCCCTGCGTAACATCAGAGTCCATGGACACTGGTCGCCTGACCTGCGTGGAGTGAAATGCGACCTCAGCATCTCAACCACGGAAATGTTTTCGGGACTTTCCTCTTTGACGACGGAGGACCTTCCACCTCACCTCATGCAGGCTCTGTGAGCCACGGAGCTTCCGACTTCTTTTCCGGACAAATGTGCTCAAGCCCTCGTGTACCCCAGGGAGACAAGGTCCTCATACGATATCCTTGCCGTGGTCTGACGAGCATAAATACCACCTTCGGTTCGTTTAATTAACATGATGCAGTTTTCATCCGTCTTGAACAGCTAGCTTTTATTGCCCAAAAGAAAAAATCTCAGTTCAAAATGGTGCAAGACGCCGCTCGTCGAGCAATCTTCCCAATTGACCAAAAGTGGGAGTTCAAGCAAGCAAACGATGAAGGTGGCAAGTTTCTTCCCGTTGCGCAGTTCCCTACAAACATTCACTTGGACCTCATGCAGCATGGTATCATTGAGGATCCATTCGTTGGAAAGAATGAAGAGAAGGTACAGTGGGTTGGAGAAAAAGCATGGGTGTATAGGACCGCGTTTTCCACGCCTCCAGGCCTCAATACTGCGATTAAAGCAGTCCTTGCTTTTGACGGTCTCGATACATACGCCACGGTGAATCTCAATGGGAAGACAATATTGATGACCGAAAACATGTTCGTTCCAGAAAGAGTCGATGTTACTGAGATACTCAAACCCAGGAACGGCGAGAATACGTTGGAAATTACGTTTGAGAGTGCATTTGAGATCGGAAAGAGGTTTCAGGAAAGGCATCCCGAGCATATCTGGGGTTGTTGGAATGGAGACCCAAGCAGATGCGCCGTCAGAAAAGCGCAGTATCATTATGTGAGGTATACCTTTGATACGGTAGTGTCGTCGCTAATATTATGGTTTTAGGGGTGGGATTGGGGGCCAATGCTCATGACATGTGGGCCCTGGAGACCGATCAGGCTTGAAACTTTTACGTCTCTTATCGCTGATCTATATTGCCGTACTGACGTTGACAAATCTCTCGAGAATGCTGAAGTAGCAGTGACCGTTGAAGTGGAGGGAGAAGGGGACGAAGTAATTCTACAGCTTCTCTACCAAGATGATACGAAGGCCCAAAAGTCCGCACATATAGATGCCGGCGTTGCAACTGCGACATTTCTCATCCGGGATCCTCAACTTTGGTACCCAGCAAAATATGGGGACCAGCCGCTATACATTGTACGTGCAATCCTACGAGGAAGCGGTATAGAGTTGGATAGCGTATCCAAGCGAATTGGGCTCCGCCGAGCGAGGCTAGTACAAAGACCATTAGATGAAACTTCCGGTGAATCATTCTTTTTTGAAATCAACAACGTCCCCGTTTTCTGCGGGGGCAGTAACTGGATCCCGGGAGACAATTTCGTCCCGAGAATATCGCCCGAGAAATATCGAGAGTGGCTGCACCTAGCTGTTGACGGCAATCAAGGAATGGTCAGGGTCTGGGGCGGTGGTATCTATGAAGAGCAAATATTCTACGATACTTGCGATGAGCTAGGCTTGCTTGTCTGGCAAGACTTTTTGTTTGCATGCGGGAACTACCCAGCGTACAAAAGCTTTCTCGAGACCGTGGAACGAGAAGCTATAGCCAATGTCAAACGCATTAGGCATCATCCGTCTATCGTTATTTGGGCAGGGAACAATGAAGATTACCAGTATGCGGAAAGTGAAAAGCTGGAATACAACCCAAGTGATCAGGATCCGTCTAGCTGGCTCAAGTCATCATTTCCTGCTAGGTACATCTACGAGAAACTGCTGGTTGATGTCATGAGTATGTATAGTCCTGACACTTATTATCACTTTGGTTCTCCATGGGGAGGCAAAACCAGTGCCGATCCACTCGAGGGAGACATCCACCAATGGAATGGTATGCCATTTTCAAGTCGATATTCTATATGTCCATGCCGGTTTGCTCACATGTTTAATTTAGTCTGGCACGGGACCCAGGAGAAATATCAAAATTTCGACAAGCTGTCCGGTCGGTTTGTTTCGGAATTTGGTATGGAAGCCTTTCCCAGCATCCAAACCATAGACTCTTACCTCCCTGGCGGGAACGATGACCATGACAGGTACCCACAGTCTTCCACCGTTGACTTCCACAATAAAGCTGTCGGGCATGAGAAACGAATGGCTTTATACATGGTTGAAAACATCAGGTACAATTTTGATCCCTTCGAGCAATATATCCATTGTACGCAGGTAATGCAGGCGGAATGCTTGGCCACTGCTTATCGGCTGTGGAGACGCCAGTGGAAGGGGTTGGGGAAAGAATATTGTGCTGGTGCATTGGTATGGCAGATGAACGACTGTTGGCCAGTGACCTCATGGGCCATCGCGGATTACTACCTCCGGCCCAAGCATGCATACTACGCAGTTAGACGGGAGTTGGCACCTATAATCGTCGGCCTCAAACGCCCAATGGGAGAGGCATCAAATGCTGGGTCAGATATGCGAAAAATCGATATATGGGCATCCAATTTCACACTTGAGACCAAAGAGGTGCAAGTGGTCGTGAAGATCTTCGACATTGTCACAGGAGAAGAAATACATGTTGAGACTCTCTTTGATAGTTTTGTTCTAGAACAAAACCAGAGCACTGAAATTACACAATACAAGATCCCGCCCTCCATAGGTGATAAAGGAGGGACAACATTCCACCTGGTAATAGCGGCATACCTCTTTGAGAGCGGAGAACAAATTACACGATCCATCAACTGGCCAGAACCGTTGAAATACGTACATATCCAACGGTCGAGCGAGCTGAAAGTGGCGCTTTCCAAAGATTCAAGCCAAGTTCAATTATCGTCCTGCATTCCTGTGAAAGGCCTGGCGCTGTATTCCCAGCGAGAAGCCGTTAAGTTTGAGGATAATTGCGTTGACCTCGTCCCTAATGAAACGCTCCACATTGGCGTTCGTGGATTGGAAAAGGGACAAGAAAATGAAATTTCGGTTCGATTTCTGCTATAGATCATAGTGATGTATATCGCCTCTTCTATCCACATCCAGTATGTCTGCAAACGAAAGCGATGTCGTGCGTGAACTTGATCTGAGGCGTCTTCCCATTGACCAACAGGGCGCGCAAAGAATTAGTTAGTTAATTGCAGACTAACTACCGAGTACCCCGTAACTAGACATTTATTCGCTAAAAAAATAAGCAACTCCACATTCTTTGCCATGGAAACTGTGTAACTATATCAGGTTCGGAGCCTCGACCGCTTTGCCCAATTCCGGAAATTCCGGTTGACAGCCGGGATGCGGGAAGCTTATGCTGTCCCACTTGGCTCCCCGCGATTTTGCTGGAGCTGACCAGCTCCGCACGCAAGCGGATTATGGCACAATGCTTCGAGTTTTGGATATTTAGCTAAGAGGAAGAGCAGAGAACGAAGTTTTCTTTTTCATTTCGTTCTTTAGCACTTTCTACTGGTGCTCCGCACTTGGCTATCTCATTAAACTGAAGAACCAAGCAAGGGACTGAACATGGGTGCTAAGGTGAGTGACATCATCGTTGTTTGGATGCCGAGCCCATGTACGGAGTACAGCGAAGACGACACTTTCCATAGGAATATAGAGGGCTCGCGGGGCTAATCGCTATACTTGGAAGAACCCGTCATTTGTCCTCGAGGCCGTCAAGAAGGTCAAGTTCGAAGACCGCCCGGTCCCAACCATCCAACACCCACATGATGTTATGATTAACGTCAAATACACTGGCGTCTGCGGTAGCGATGTACGTGTCTGCCATTCTGATTGCTTTTACATTGATCGCAAGCAACTAGAGCCCCGTTGCCACTAAAGGATAGCCCGGTTAATGTAGGTGCACTACTGGGACCACGGCGCAATCGGCCACCTCGTCCTCAAAGAACCCATGGTCCTCGGTCACGAGTCCAGTGGGATAATTATCTCCGTCGGACCGGGTGTCACATCGCTCAAACCTGGCGACCGTGTAGCTCTTGAACCGGGTGTTCCATGTCGGCAATGCGAGGCCTGCAAAGGTGGCAAATATAACTTGTGCGATGACATGAGGTTCGCAGCGACGCCGCCGTATGATGGCACCCTAGCGAAGTATTACATTTTGCCAGAGGACTTTTGCTATAAGATCCCAGAGAGTATGGATCTACAAGAGGCTGCACTGATGGAGCCGTTGAGCGTCGCTGTGCATATCACGAAGCAAGGAGCAGTGAAGCCCGGCGATCAGGTCGTTGTTTTTGGCGCTGGTCCTGTGGGATTGTTGTGCTGCGCGGTTGCCAGGGCATTTGGTGCGTCGAAGGTCATTGCTGTGGATGTTCAACAGGTTCGATTGCATTTTGCTAGGAAGTACGCAGCGACGGCGACATTCATGCCAGGTTCCATTCCCGCGGCGGAAAATGCGCAAAGGCTGAAGGAGCAGTGTGGCTTGGGTCGTGGTGCGGATGTTGTGCTTGATGCATCGGGCGCTGAGCCTTCCGCACAAACAGGAATTCATGCTTTGAGACCGGGTGGAATATACGTGCAAGGCGGCATGGGAAGGGCCGAGTTTTCTGTTCCAATCATGGTCGTATGCACGAGGGAGATTAGTGTGAAGGGAAGCTTTCGTTACAGCAGCGGTGATTACAAGCTTGCTCTAGAGCTTGTTGAGACAGGAAAAATCAACGTTAGGGATTTGATCACGAAAGTCGTCCGCTTCACCGATGCAGAGCAGGCAATCATCGAGGTCAAGGCAGGCAAAGGAATCAAGACATTAATCTCTGGAGTAGAGGATTAGCTTTCATCGTCTGGCCGCGACCGAAGGAAAAACCATTGTAATGGCCATGTTCCGTCGAAATTGAAACATGCTTTTTGAATGACTGCTTGCCCGCATATGAAAATCCCATTATACACCAAAGGAGCACCGAGTAGGTTCTCCAAAGCACAACCCCATTTTCCTGTCGCGAAAAAGGATATATTATTAGCATTGGGATGTACTTGGAACCATCTAGCTGTTGCTGTGAAATATACGCTTAGAGGTAGTATAACGCCGTGGTGAGAAGCCAACTTCAAAATTGCAAACGTATTACAAAAAGTACGTGCCCGCAGGGCAGGTTGTCCGACCAGAGCGGACGGATAGCGAGGATAAAATGAATGTGATGGGGTATCATTTCGACGTGAATAACATAAGTAAACATTACAGGGTACAGGAGCCAGGCGAGACGAGGAGATGGGGATATCAGGAAGAATCATCGGTCAAAGAAAGAAAAGAAACAAGATGTGGTGGCCAGAATCAGGTATCTCTGGTCAACTTCCATGTAAATGCGTGCGTAGGAAGGAAATGCGAAACGGTCCAGTGTCAGCAACAACCTCTTCGTCTGGTTGTACCTCCTAATCGGAACACGTCTTCCCATTCTCGCATGGTGGAGGATCTACCACCTTTCTTGCGGCTTTTTCCTTGCCGAAGTTGGACATAAGAATCATCAACAGTGATTCCACTTCGGATACTTCCGCCATCGCTGGCGCTCATGCCAAACATGTCTCCGTACTGAATTCCGCTCTGCGGGTCATCTGGATCGATCTCCCCAAGCTCGATCTTGGTGAGAATTATTCTCGCCAATCGAGTAAACAATTCGTCCACCCCTTCCCCAGATAGTGCAGACACTTCCACAGCAACGGGAATGTTATTCTTTGCTGCCCACCGCGACGCTTCTTCCAAGGACACCTCACCCCCGTCTGGCGCAATTGTGGCGGTCATCCTTGTCCCAGCGATCGGGCTGTTCATCGATCGAACAGATCCACCACCGGAATCAAACGCCCAGGGCGACTGTTTACTCGATGTACTATTAGGGGTGGCTGGTATTCTTTGGCCCTCATCCCAGTAACCTCCGTGATTAATAGGGTCCGTAATCAGATCACTCTTGTTTCCAGCTAGTAGCACTGTTAAATTCGGAGACGCTAAGGCTCGAGCATCAAGTAGGAAAGTAGGTAGTGCGTTAAAAGAGATGTGAGATGCGACATCATATACTAATATTGCACCTGCAGCACCGCGATAGTACGAACGCGACACGGAGCGAAAGCGTTCTGTCCCTGCGGTGTCCCAGAGCTGTAGTTTTATACGTTTCCTTCTCGACCCGGTTCCGATCTTTACGATCTTCGAAGAGAATTCAACACCGATGGTCTGAGAAGATAGGACCCTCCCTGTGCAGTGTTCCGCAAGTCAGCATCCAGGTCTAGAAAAGAGCAGTAGCCAAGGGAGATGAGGACAAATGACATACATTCATTCTTCACAAATCTATGCAACAGACATGACCTAGGCTAGTTGTCAGTAATACCGCCAGGCAAGGCTCACGAGGAATGCAAAGAAACGGACTTTCCGGCACCACTTGGACCTAAAAGAATGACCTTTGCTAGGTAGTCATACATGCTCCCTAGCTCCTAAAGAAGCAGAACAAACAGTTGTTAGCCTATGCGGTGCTAATATCTGTGGCGGATTGCTTCCCCTCACCTGGTTCTGATCAGGAAGAGATGATTGGGAAGAGGCAGTAGAAGCACCTCTCTGGCGCGCCATGACGCTGGAATTGAAAGAAAATGTGTTATCGCCTTCCCGTCCCGAGGTGCATATTAGGCTGGTAATTCTTGATGTGAGTTCAGGACAGAGAGAGTGGATTGATCGTCGTCCAGCCCGCCAAGCAATGAGTTGGGCTAACGGCCCTCTTGAGTTCCTGGTGCAATGGGGTGATGTTGTGGTTTCAGGCTTGACAACAAATCAGCACTAACACTCACGCACATGTGACATCTTATTGCACCGAAAACTATCTTGGAGAGTCGCTCTGCGGAGTAATGAGAATTGATTCTTGGTCTGCCATTAAAGATACAATGAAAAGACTAGAAGCCCCTTGTGGGCAAACCCTTTGCCCAGATGTTGGAGACTCGATGAAATCTATCCATAAAATTCAATTGTGGTTTCTCTAGGTCTTTCAGCTTCCACCACGGTCCACACTGTTGATTGTTATTCCGTTGCTTGTCCAAAGGATCTTTTTTGGCCCAATCTACTTCGGGTCTCCTCGTTTTGCAACCTAATTCACGCGCTTGATTTGTGAGCGGTGTATGGCTGTCTCTGTCAAGTTGAGTCCTGGATTCAAGACTCTGGAATAGTCCAGAGTTACCGTTGCGCTCGCTGTGAAGGCTCCACAAGCGTGCATCTTTATAGCTGTATACGATGCGAATTACAAGAAATAGCGGGCCAGTTTCTCCATTCAGAACAATCGGTACCATCATATACGATAGACCATGTAATTATGTCGGTGGAGCTGAACTCCTGCAGCAATGGTTCAAAACGGTTGTCCGAATTGCTTTCAGGTCGCAAGACCTTGATGCGTCACCGTTGACCCTGGAAAATACCAGACTAAGAACTTGGCCTTTATCAAAACAGCTAGCACAAAGGGTATGTCCACTGTCTCTAAGCCCGGGTACTATGGAGATTGGATATAGCCTGGCATACATATTCCGGCTATATGGTATCCTTATTTCAATTTCTTTTCCTCTCCGTCTTCCTCACCAACGCTGATTGCCTTATATCCGGAGGCAAGGGAATTTTATAACCAACCATTTGCATATGTGAGACTCGATGACGGGCACTGATGCTTAGTTCTATGCATCGAGAATGGATGATCCCAATATTTGGTTCATCTTCAAATCATTCTCGTTCATTATTTCAGCGGATCTCCATATTTAAAATATATGAAGGTTCATTTTGGGCTTTCGCAACCACCCAGCGAGAGGAATTGAATTCAATTCACTTTCTGGCCTCACAATACCTCCCAGTCCCCATTTACTGCCTCCTGCATGAGTTTTCATTCGCCATAGCAAGACAGGCTACAACAGCCAAAATCTCCGCGACGCCCGCACTTAAATGCCCGAGGTCCAACTCCTAGCCCGGCCGAGTATCAGCGTCGAAATCAAGATAACGTGAATATCCACCTGCATATTTTCTGACACTAGGGTGGGACTATGCCGGAGGACCAGTTTCTTGGTTACTTCCCGGATTTCAAACTAAGGAATACAATCAACGCGGGCATCGCAATGGGCCGAAATGCTCAATTCTTACTCTACAGTCCTAGCCCTTTATCGATGAAAATACCTTTCATGTTTGCCGCCAGTATCAACACGTGGAATATACCCTCCTTGAGTATGTATACTCGGGCAGCCTTATTTAGAACTAGCCAGCTGGTGCATAAAGTTTATGCCAATCAAGCAACTGTATGTATGTATGTATGTATATGTCTATCGAAACACCCCATCAGTTGAGTGAAATAGGACAGCTGCCACCCAGTACTTTCATTTCAGTACGGCAGCGGAGTGAACTTTTTCGCTGAACATCTATTCCCCCTCCTGAATGGACAACCCGTGGATCTTCAACTTCAGGCATGGAGCACTCAAGATAAGTTGAAGCCTGCTCAAAACTGGGTGCCACGCCCAATGTAGTGGTGAATTGCAACATATATATAAATATTAGCTGGATACTAATGCATGTTTCAGCTCATGCAAAATATCTAGTGTTTAAATTGTATTGGTTCCCTGAAATTTGGGCGCCCTCCAGTGAAGACATCCCACCACTGATCGAGTTTCACATCATGGTGGTAGATTATCCAGTTTAAAAGGGACTTAATATCAACAGAATCACTCCTGACTTCTCAGTGAGCATGTCATACAAAATATTCACCAAATCAGGGGGTTCAAACATAAGTTCACTGTTGTTCAAGGTTATGGTTCCATTATTGTAATGCCTCTATATAATGAATCAATTTTGGAAGCCTGTTCAATTCATTATATAGAGCTAGCATACAAAATACGCTCTAATATCCTGGTGCTGCTGATTTTCAAGCCTCCGAGCCCCTAATCTTCTCTCATAATGATTTAACTGTTGAATTAGCTCTGTATCTCCCTTATCCTGCCACTCTTCATACAAGCGAAGCCTTTTCACCATGTCAAGGGCCTCAGTGGTGCTGATTTGCAGATCAGCTTCCAAATTTATAGTCTCTTTCTCTTTCTCTTCCTCATCCTCAAGCTCCTCTAGCTCCAGCTGCTCAATTATATGGCGCTCTAGGTCTTCAGAAGAGTCCTCCACTACTTCCTGTGCAGGATTGAGAAAGTTTTCAATTTTCATTAGGTTTTGAATACCAGAGATCATGCGAAGCCATTGAAAATCATTGGAGATCTGTATAATTGAAAGATCTTCAGACAGAACATCTGTCTTCTTGAACAAGACTCTCTGAAAGCAATGTTGAATAGTAACAGACACTATATTAATATTCCAAGCCTGTATTCTCCAGCATAAGGCCTTCAAAATGTTCATTGTAGTAAGAGAATCACAGTTTGACTTGTATTCTTCAAGCATATAGATAATCCACTGCCATTTCCAGTGGCGCTTCCAAGAATATATAATCCCTTGATCTAGTGGCTGATATTTGCTCATTACATTTGGTGGAAGCCAAATAATCAGTGTATTCCATAGAGAATAAAGGCTCTTATTGATATTTTCAACTGCCAGTTCATGAGCAGAGAAATTATTCATTAAAAGCACTACTTGACAGCCAGTTTGATGTATGGTTGACAGGCTGGTCAAGATGTTGGTATTGTTTAGAAAGGATCTCAGAGACTGAAGATAAAGCAATCTTTTGTGTATATAGCGCCTCAAACCACTGCTTCAAGGCCTTGTTGGAGAGGGAAGAATTGACCTTTGTGAAAGCATAATTTCTTCTTCTGCTTGATCAAAATTGCGGTTCAGTGGGGCATTTTGGTGCTTTTTTAGCCTCGTTATAACAAATTATTAAGAAATCTTGAGAGATATTTAACGCAATTTGTAGTATAGAGGTTAACAAATGTTTTGTATGAAGATTTAATTTTGGAAGAGATTTTCGTTTGTTATATAGAGGATTCGTTATATAAGGTGATCATTATAGGCATTACTGTACGGAGTAGTGCTTTGCAAATGGCTTTTTAGCATCTTTCTAAGTCATGTGCGGAGTAGCTGTTTCCTTTTCCGATACATTTGCAGAGCCTGATAGTGGTGCAAACTACTCCGAATGAAGAGGGTCAGAACGCCCCTGCAACTGACAAAGTTTGGTGTCGTATCCATCCATGAAAGCTCCGTTTCATAGCCAAGATGACTCTGCGACCGGCATTCTCCTAGATCACCGGTTGTGGGAACACTGATAAGCTGAATCTATTAATGGTGTGTACTCCGTACAGGACAAAGCGAATAGCAACTAGTTTGTTCCAGGCCATTTGTACTCTCATGAACTGCGGAGCACTTGTTAACCTTTGTGGTCCAAACTGCAGAACAGACCAACCAAGGTCCGCTCACCTTCGCCATCGAGTGTTTTCTTCAAAACAACAACACAATATCTTACATCTGAATGAAAGTGTCATGTTCATGTGTGCTAGGAATTGGATGTTGTACAAGCAGAATCCATTGTACAAACACTTCTTTCCCCCTACTACAGCAGCGAATGTCATTTCTCTCCACTATAGGAGGATCATGTGTTTATCATCCGCCATGAAAGAAAGGTGAGGTGATGCGAGAAGCCAAAAGGCGTGATATATCTACATCTAGGGCATTGTGCGAATCGATAAATGGTTCAGCAGCACAACTAGATGCAAGCATAGATGGAAGGGAGCAAAGCATCTTTATTTTATGAGCATCTAGGATGGCAAGCTTGCTCTCTAGCTATTAGGAGCAGCTGAATAGCAGATATTAATATCATAATTTGCAATGACTTGCAACGCAAACTCATGGTGGGCTTATTGCACGCCCATGCGACTGTGGAAAATATTATTGCTGATTCTTATGCATATGTCGAACTATATCAAGTTTGGACTGGAACCACGCTTGTTAATGCTTTGTGCTGCAATCCGACTAGCGTACCGAATGGAATCGCCAATGGAGTCTTCCGAAAGCGGGATGAATTCAATGGAACCCGCGATAATCGATATGTTTGGTTCGAATTGGGGAGAAAATAAAACTGCAATTCCGACACATATGAATACCGTCTGGACTAAGCAAAACATTGGAAGAGCTTTGAATATGTGCATATATTTCTTGGGATAAGTTCCTCGTTGCATGATGAAAGAAGAACTTGATAAGCTTTGCTGACTTCCTGCTAGATGACTTCTTTCTACCACATCTGAGCCGTCGATTGCTAGACTATATCTATTAGCAATCCCAGTCACATCCGCCACCAGCCATTTTTTGGGGATATATTTTTGGGTTTAAAACTCCATCACGGGGTAACAACGACTCTCGCTGAGGTGAAGTCCTTGATTCTGTTTCTTGAATACTTGGGGTGTTGAACCGCAGTTTTAAGGCAATTCCAAAAAGATGGCGACATTTGGTTTCTAGGCACGAGCTTGAACCCACGTTTGTACAATGATTGCTGATGGCTTATCTGATAGCCCAAGGAATTCTGCTGTCTGGCTTCATAATTGATGCCAGGAAACTTGTGAGGGCCATTCTGGCTCAGATGGAACAACGTCTCAGGGAAAGACTGTGGATGGAATTGCGCGTTTTCGAAAGAAAGTGAAGATTGAAAGGCCTGAGATAGCGGACAGAGCTGCACCTCCAGTTCGCATCCCGGCTCACATATGGTGCTAGCCCTTTTTGATGAGCTCATTCATGATTGAAGTACATACATATAGACCTACGTGGATAAGTTAGTCCAACTTTGCGAAAACCCGCAAGTTCAAACCGTCTTCACTGCTTTTCGTTGGTTACTCTTCTCGAGGAGCGGCTAAAAAGTGCCGGGGTGTTTGACCAGCGTGTCCACTCGCGCTGACCGCCAGAAGCGAAAGTGAACGACTAGTCGCATCCTGCTTTTCAATGGATACAAAGAATATAAAATAGTACACAGCCGAAAGCATGTGATTTCTTTTTCTCCTCTCTAACGAGCGAATAGTATTTTACAGAACTACTCCGTACATCCCAGCCTTTCGTCCCAGAAAACTGTACATGGCTCTGTGCGTTCAGGGGTCCTAGTACGAGGTAACAGAGGGATTGTGATCACCTCTCCTGAGAACTGCGAGGTGTTCATTGGGTAGCTTGACTGAAGCGTACTAAGCTTAAGGATGGAGGCCCGGGAAGCTGCAGACTTGGTGATAGTAGGTGCTGGTATGTAACCTACGCGCCTTTCGAGTCGGAAATTGACAATCTATGAAACCTGGGAGACGATGCTCAACGAATAAAATAGGAATCAACGGCTTAGCCGCCGCTCGAACGTACTGCACGATACATCCCTCCGCAAACGTAGTAATTCTCGAATCTGCGGCATCCATAGGAGGAGTATGGGCGAAAGAAAGACTCTATTCAGGCTTGCGCCTGAACAACCTCTTGGGAACGTATGAATATAGCGATTTTCCGATGGACGAAGCGTTCGGCATTCAGCCCGGGCAGCATATCACTGGAGAAGCGACGCATCGGTATCTCATGGCTTATGCGGAAGAATTTGAGCTTTATTCGAGAGTCCGGCTCCAGTCCCGAGTGGAAACCGTTGAAAAGCTCGATAGAAAAAGCAATGCCGCCTGGCTAATGACATACACCAAATACAACGATGACGGGGAAAGCCAACGACAACAGATATTTACGCGGAAGTTGATAGTGGCAACGGGAGTAGCTTCCGAGCCTTTTATACCAACGCTGAAAGGGGCCGAAACATTCGATGCTCCCTTACTTCACAGCAAGGATACGGCCAGGAAGCAACGTGAGATTACTGAGGCAAAACGCGTGGTCGTTTTAGGCGGCGCAAAGTCTGGATACGATGCGGCATATCTAGCGGCATCTCACGGCGTGGAAGTCGATTGGATTATTAGCAAGTCCGGTCGAGGTGCCTCTTGGATGGCACCTCCGTACGTAACTCCACTGAAGAAGTGGCTAGAAAAGCTGGTGAATACTAGATTTCTGACCTGGTTCAGCCCCTGTTCTTGGGGCGAGGCGGATGGTTTTGGAGGCATCAGAGGATTTCTTCATGGCACGTTCATAGGCAGATGGATTGTGGACGTGTTTTGGAAAATCCTAGCAAACGACGTTGTAACTCTCAACGGCTATAGAGACCATCCGGAAACAAAGAAATTGGAGCCATGGACAGATGCATTTTGGTCAGCAACCACTTTTAGCATCCTCAACTATCCAACACATTTCTATGATTTGGTACGCGATGGAAAGATCAGAGTACACGTTGCGGACATCTCACATCTTTCACCAAAAACAGTTCATTTTGTAGGAGGGCAAGCAATCAAGGCTGATGCTTTTATTAGTTGCACAGGCTGGACAGCTCTTCCAACCATAAAATTCCTTCCAGAAGGAATAGAAGAGCAAATGGGGCTTCCGCACAAAACCCAGAATGTGAAGAAGCTGGCCCGCAAGGCAGATGCGGAAATCCTATCGCGCTTCCCTCGACTAAAGCGGCAGCCAGAAGTGAAGAATCCATACGGGGGTGCTAGGAGAGATTGTACTCGCCCAGAAGACCACGAACCATATAGACTGTATCGCCATATGGTGCCACCGGACTTCATTCACGATCGCAGCCTTGGATTTCTGGGAACTGTGTCAAACTTTTCTACAGTTTTAACCGCCCAAACACAAGCTCTTTGGCTGGTGGCGTACATGGATGGAAAGCTGGCTCTTGACACCTGCTCACCCACGTTCGAAGACGACTTGCATTGGGACACCGTGCTCCACAGCCAATTCGGGAAGTGGAGATACCCGTTTACCGGTCAGCAACGACCGGATTTTGTTTTCGACGCAGTGCCATATCTGGACTGGCTATTGCGAGATTTAGGGCTCAAGGTGCATAGGAAGGGCGGACTTTTGGCGGAGATCTTTGAACCGTATGGCCCCGCGGATTATCGGAGTCTCATTGAAGAGTGGCAGAGGTCAGTCACCCAGGAGTAGATGCGGAGAAGGGGGTATAACGACCATGAGTAGATCTTCTGCGCTCCGTACGGTTTGCTGGCTGGTAAGATTGATCGACAGATCATTCCATGGGGCTTCCAGGGTTCTTTTAAGATGCCACTTAGCTGGTGGGATTAGATAATATGGCTACCCCATCCAATACACCAGATAGTCGTGCAGCAGACAGACAGATACATCTGCAAAGTTCGAATCCATAGCTGGGAGCTTGTCGTTTTTGGCTGGGTTGTGGCAGTTTCGGGTTGGGGCGCAGCCAGCACAAAAGTTCAACCAGCGAATGACATAATTTTCCGACTGGCTCAGCCACGATCTGGGGTCACTGAGCCACTCTTGCTGCTTACGACATTAAAACGCTTGAACCGAATCAACTCGAATAGTCGTTGCGCTGGGCGCACGTAACTCAGATTCGACAGACATCAAATAGCCCTCTCAAGGCCAAAAAGACAAAAGCAAAGGGATAGAGATTTTTATGCCCAATTGAAGTAAGCGTCAAGGCTCTCCGAGAGGTCATAACGTCCGTCATGTGTTTCAGAGCACTTTTCCGCCGGGGTGGAGGTAGTAAGACCGGGACCAACGCACCGGTCAGCCTGGAGATGGAGTCCTCCCAAGAGAAAAAGCGAAAGGGCAGCACAGTGTCATCTTATCGGCCGGCGTATACGACGAATACGTTGAATCTCAGTACCTCGGACGAGAAGCAGCAAGTGTTTGGACAGGACACGATATCTCTAACTACAGCAGGGCATATTTCTAACGGCGGCAGCAGTAGGATACCAGCACAGACCTGTGATCCTCCATCAGGGCCTCCGCCTGGTTATGCTTCTCAAAATCACACGTTCTCTCCTCCCCTAGGCCCACCTCCTCATCCAGGAGCAACTTCATTTTCTCAGCCGGATCACAACTGGCAGGCCATTCCCGACCCCGCGGATCTTCCTCCGCCGCCTGCTCATGCCTATCTATACTCCAACACCGGCAATGCAACTGAGGAAGATGCTGAGCGAGCCCACGCTTTCTGCGACAACACTCCGCTCACACTCCCGGTGGATCCCTTGCCGGAAGTCTACCAAGCCGCTCAAAGGGCCAGCTTCCGTCCCGTTAAACCAAGCGAATATAACGGGTCCCTTTCTGTCCCAAGTAACGGCAGATGGGAGGGCCGCACCACCATCGGAAACCCGGACTGCATTATATGGACTGACCACCCAATGTATTTCGCACGGGAAAATTCTCCTCTAGTCACCGAATGCTCAAAGACTATCTACTTTGAAGTCACGCTCCGGAAATTATCTGGCGGTACGCCCACCCAGACTCCCGGTTTTTCCATTGGGTATGTGGCACAGCCATACCCAACATGGCGTTCCCCCGGTTGGGAGCGTGGAAGCCTGGGTGTCTTTTCCGACGACGGATGTAGATTCATCAACGATTCCTGGGGTGGGAAAGAATTCACAACAGAGTTTGCAATTGGAGAAACTGTCGGCTTAGGAATGAAGTTTTACCGTGTGGGAGAGACACCATTCGGAGTAGCGCCGCAACCTCCAGCCGTGGACGGAGAGTTAAACTCCTTTGCAGTTGAAGTATTCTTCACGCGGAACGGAAAATTAGCAGGGAAGTGGAACCTTCACGAGGAGGTAGACGCTGAACAAGGCAGTCTCGAGGGTTTAGAGGGAGATTTTGATTTGCATGGAGCTATTGGATTGTTTGGCGGAGTGGAATTCGAAGCCTGTTTCGATCCATCAGGATGGAAATGGTCTCCACCTGAATAAATTTCCGCCCATTTTTACCCCTTTGCCCTCATCCCATGGGTTTTGTTACTTCTTGTCAATATATACCTAATCAGCCACCTAAACGATAAACCGTTGAAAGTCTCGTGAATATTTGCCGCACATGTACTTGGTATTTTGGATACGTATACCAGATATACTATCACTCATATATTGCTTTGGCATTAAAGAAATCTGACCGATCGTCGAGTGTAAAATCTGTCCGCCCTAATTGAGTGTGTAACATCCTAAATCTATTGCTATAATATCACTTGTCGTAAGCTAGAGCGTACAGATTGAACTTGTGTCATCAAGCGAGATTTACCCAAGACATCAGCCACCGTCGCTCACCTCAATTTCATGGCGAATGGCGAGAAAAAAAGCGAGAAAAAAAGAAGAAAAAAAGTCAAGGCAGAAACCATGTTCCCGCAAAAAAAAAAAAAATTATGAATGGCTCAATCACCTGTCGATCGTGAACGGAGAATTTCAAGAAAAAAGTTCCCGTCATGCAAAATCTCCCACCGTCGGTTTCATAAGTTGCACACGACGAGGGGTGGGGGAAGAGATAAAAGAAAAAGAAAATATATAACTAGTTATATAATCATAATGCGCACTCCAAATAGGGTAGAATGATAGTTCTAGCCAAAGAGACAGAGAAGCCGGCATAAGTTAGGTGCTTCATCATCGAGGAAATCGGGGGTGAAAGGCCTTGAAGACGGCTAATCTTGAAAAGGTTCATCTAGGATTGAGATAATCTGTCTGCGGAATCAAGCGACAGCTTTGCGTCGGGGGAATAAGCCCTAAGCCCAGTGTGGTCGCTCTGCAGGTCTGTATTTCTCGATTCCAAAATCCGGACTCCAAACTTGCATGGATGACAGTCCGCATTCGGGCTTCTGGATGTAACTCCTCCGTAGGCATGCAGTGAATCTCACGACGAATGGCGAGTAATCGACAATAGTTGGGCAGAAGGCTTTCACTATCTGGATGATCAGTATCCACGCGTAGGGCCAGATATATGCACTTCGCTGTTGAGAGTACCGAGTACTTACGTATTTCCATGTTTCCCGTAGTTACAAATGTAACGACTGTCTCTCATCCCGAAGGACTTGAGAAGTACCTCCGCGGCAAAAGATACTCATCCGGCCTCCTAGCCCATCAATACGAAACAAGAACCGTTGAGTCCTCACAAAAAGCAATTATTTACCGCGTTGAATGCAAAACAGCTTCGAAACATTCAAGTCAGCACTCGACGCGGTTCGGCGCCCCTGAATATCACCCGGCAAAGCCTCGGGCATCCCGGTTTAGCTTGATTTTAGCATCTCGGGGAACACCAGGCTTGCTTCCGGAGGCGCACGTTGCATGCAGCCAACCCTGCAACCTCTCGAACAGACGCGATGGTGTCCAGTGGCGGGCTGGAAGCCTATCTCAAATGACGATTCTATCGGCCATCCCAGAATCTCATGCTTTGCCCCTTTTTTTTTTTTTTTTTTTTTTTTTTTTTTTGGTTGCCAACACATGTCTCTTACAAGATCTTGTTGGGCAGCAAGCGTAACGCCTTGTAAGGGTAACGGGATAGGCTGATCCACGGGAAAGATCAAAATGCATCTGTTCCTGTTCCTCCGTAATCAGAGTCTCACCGCTGAATTCCTGCTCCCCGTATTTCCGTACAGGACTTGCGCAATTCCGAAAGTAGGAGCCAAAGCGCTTCAAGGTTATTGCTGGACCAATAATTAGCCCTTTCAAAACTCCCTCCGTTCCTGTTGACGCCAACTCCGAATCTCAGAACCACGTGGAATGATGAAAGGAAGACAAGAGGAAGATGTCTCGTTCAGCGCATCATCTGACCTGTCGCCGTATGGATGGATATCCGGCCCAACCGTCTCTCCTTCATACCAAGAGATTGAGCAGCTGGTGGGGCAAAACGTGGCAGTCTCCTTTCGTTGCCTTTGTGGACACGGAAGGCTACTCTTCGGTTAGTTAAGTTGAACATCCCTGGAAGGGCCCTCAATCAAAAAAATTTTTAGTGAGAAGCGGTTACGCCGTTCATCGGCCCACTCGATTCCAGAGCCGGTTGCTTCGTTGCTAGTCGTTGCATAAGCGTTGACCATGATCCCTGTCAGAACGCGACCTTCTCAAACAAAGGCAAAGCCGATCGGGTTCTTCCTGAGTTTTGGGGCTTCGGGACGGGGCTCCACTGCCATCAACTGGCTGGCTTCGAGAAATTTTCTAGAAGACAAAGTGGACGAAACTTTAGGACCGAGTATTATACGTATGAACGTACCCCATACGCAGACTCCACGAGAGCATGAATTTTCATTAATCGTTAGGACGGCAGATTTCGATGTTCAATGCAATCTTGTAGTTATGGAGCCGAGATCCGCCGTGGTACATGCATATGTATGTACTCCAGATGATACCCGAAATCCAGACACCCTTGGGTCCCCATCTCCATACATCTCAGACACGTAAGGCTGAGTGCTCAGATGTTCGGTGATCAGCAATTCCGATAATAGGATATCGATTGCGCAAAACTCAGCTAAAATTTCTCCAGGTTATTCGCTTGGGGGAACTCGCAGCATTATCACCATGGATGTCGAGACTGCAGGAACGCAAGTCCCGAGACATGTCCCGTAATATTCGGGGAATCGCTCTCTCGGGTGGGTGGGATCTGCCCATCAAGTCTTACATTCTGCGACATGCCGCGGAAAACAGGGCCGGCCAAATCTGCTTTGTGCGGAACCAGTTTTTCACTAGGCGGCATCAAAATTTGAGAGACGAGAGACAATTGTCGTAGCACGATTTCTGAACATTTTTGACTGCCAAGCATCGTTTTCTCATCTCAATACTCCGTACGGAGCATGGAGGAGCACTAGCATCGGGAACGGTTCGCTGAATCTTTACTCCGTACTCCGTAGAAGAAGAACGTTGAACTCGAAAACAAGCACAAAATGTGTGTAACTACCAGGCGCATAACAAGGTGTGAAGCCTAGCCGTCTCACGGGAGGCGCTGGCTCCGGGCATTTATATTGACAATGTTGCAGAGAGGGGACACGTCCATTGGTAAACGACTAGACTGGTTCATTCACTTGATACGCCATGAATACAGATATCGGAACCTCTTGCCCATTGGCATTCCAAGAAATACGGCTTTCGACAATCAAGTGATCTACAACGACCCGGGGTGAGATCAATCACCACAAGGACTCAATATTTTCTAGGGGTTGCAGAGGATTTCGCAAATCCCTGGGTTCAATCCCTCCCTTGTACTCCGCAGTCACCCTCCTTTTGCTTTATCAAGTGAGAAAGCCCCGGAATCAGGAACAAGTAATAGACAAGGGAGGTTCACAAATCAAGCAAACTTTCACACCTGGCGCCCAATGATCTGGCACAATTTCGGAGGGTACTACTATCTCGAAGGGACCAACTCACATCCCAACCTCCAAACATCTAGAACAAAAGTTTGGCGCTAATGATCTTGGCGTTTTGTGAAGCGTGATCGGAGAGGCACTTTGGCGTGTATCTCATCTGTATGGCCGAAAATATATGTATGCTTTCAACTGCTCGTGTATCAGACCTCGGAGGTTTCGACGACGATTTTTGCTGGAAGCATTGGCAGGCGCTCGAAAATACTAGCACGCCATGAGTTGCGTATAATGTATCTATGCTCTGCAGACAGCCCACAGCATTAAGAGTCATGGTTTGGAGCCCATGGCAGAAATTTGTTGTCCACATGAAACCAGCCCTGCATAGAACCCTGTTGCCCAGCTGTTCAACGACCTCCTAGTTCGAGAAATCCTTGCAAATTGGGCAGCTTCCTGGCTGAAGGATTAACTCCTGGTGGAGGTGTATGCTTCCTTTGAAGAGTCAAGTGATGACAGTCGTTAATGAATTCGCTTAATGAAATCGGTTCGTCGGAGTCTCTTCACTGCAAATCTGTGAGCAGCTCGTTCTCGGAATTAGAAATCCACCGTCACTCCCTTTTTTAAAGCTAATAATGCTCTGCGCAAAAGAGCGGGAAGCGTTTACCTAGGTAGTCAGAAACCGGTCTTGGCGAATGGTCAATGCTTCGAATTTTATCCACTTTGTCTTCGCTGATCGTAACTATCGAACTGCGGGGCGGTCTAGTGCGCATAATATTTGTTATGTCCCGCAAGCGTTATATTTGATACATTTTGGTGGCGAGATGGGCTGCTTTAAATCGTTGGTTTAGATGGTGGCGCTGAAATCCATACCCGAAGAGTCAATGTCCTGGAAGGTGAGCATGGATTGAACTGTACAACTGTTTGAACAGCAGCTCAAGCCTTGGAACTAGCCTTCCTTGTACTAGCGAATACTATGGCAGACACGAGGAACATTCTCTTCGAGTTGAGATAGAATTAGACGTTTGAACTTACTCAGGCACAATTGAAAGATATATCCTATCAATACCTCATTAGTTAGAAAAGCAGAAAACGAAATCATATGCTAAGAAACATTGAAAACTCATTATTTGGCTCAAAGATGCCCCAAGATTATCTGTTTATCAGCTATTTTCCTATCGGTCTTGGCGGGCAGGTAGCTCTGTGGCAGCTAGGAGGCAAAAGATGACTCATGGTATCGGAATATGTCTCGCCTCAAATTGCAGAGGTGGTACAGTGGTGCTTTATATGCGCTTTGGCTCTCTAAGCAGCCGCAGATTTGACATCGCTGCTGCAAGAACGTTTATCAGAATATCAAAAGGCGAGGGGCGTTAACATAGGAGACAAGACATTCCGCTTGTCAAGATGAACAACAAGTGAGACCCGGCTGCCAGGCGATGAGCGCCTCGATTCCTGGAATCATTTGGCATTTGCATGAAGTGATGTTGAATGCTCCTGCAGGGCGCTTCGGCGCAACCTGTCGCGTTGCCAAGACGCCGTAACTCATCGTCGCCGTGGGCCAATTCCGGAGACTCCAACCACGACCAGATATCTCCTCAGACTCATTTGTAGATTCTATTTCCGTTAACGGGCCGAAGTTGTTGCATCCAGAGCAACGATTTCATGCGGACCCGGCCAGGTGCTGGCCCGGAGTGCCAGATGTGCTAATGTCCACCACGTAACAAGCTGGGACAACCAACTCTGTGCCTCTTCCCCCGACTTCTGGGTCTTTGTTGACTCGTAAGACGTTGCGCCGCCGACGAGGTTTTGAGTTCAGGGGTCTCAAATATCGCAGTCTTCGGCTATGTCAGCCCAGCCCCAGTTTTTCTCGCACTTGAGAACCCGGACCTTTCCGAAAGCGGAAACCTTCTTTGAGAACTGATGGATGCGATGAAGAGTAGAGGAGCGGATTGCGGAATTCATATTCGATGGTCGGCTTGTAGGTCAGTCAGGAAGCTTGGTTTCACGAAAGGTCAGTCTCTCGACTCTGAACTCAGCCCGGTGTTGCATTGATCGTCGAATGTGCGCCTGTGCTCACCGACTGGCCGGCTGCCGCTCCCAGGAGCCGCCCGAGCCGGGTCCTGTCCATTCACCTCCCACACATCGTGGTTGCGGAACGGGATTTGGTGGTGCCGCTTGTTGGCCTGGGAGTTGTTGGCTCTCTTCCGAATCCAGAATCACCCCCAGCATATTGCATATGGCTGGCTAACAATGCAATCAGGGCAAATGTTCGAGTGAGTTGAATAAATCCCAAGCTTCCCCAAGCATGCATGCCCGCTGATATATTTGGGAGTTTCAGGAGCTGACAGTGCTCACTGCGCCTTCATTTCCACCAGCGGTCAGCTCAAACCCCGTTTCGGTCCAATTCTGAATATTCAGGTAATTTTGAAGCTGCTTTCGCCCCGTAACGAAGGAAGCGCCCCTCCGTCCTCCCATGTTATAACACGATCGCGGAGTAGGTTAGCGACTCCAACGTCAGATAACGAAGACCCCTGTTCCATGTGAAATGATTGACAGCCAATTTTTTTACTTTTTCCTGTCCCCCTTGGCCACGCTACGTAACTCCTTGGACTCAATCGTCGAATGCACCCCTCCCCGGTAACTTTGAAGCCAAAGACTAACTGATGCTTGCTCCTGAGGTAGCTCCACACACTGCTGGAGGCCTGCAGGGATGACCTCTTATTATTACGCCTTTCATAAATGCGCTTAACACACAAACACACACGCAAAAAAGAGGCGACCAAGTAATAACCAGTTACTCCATACAGTAGTGAGCTAGGTACCGAGTAAAAAAGAGGGTAGTCGATGCACAGGCATATCCAGCCGCCAGTGGACCGAAACTACTCGATAAGCATAGGGATCCCATGAAAAAAGGAATTTTTCTAAAAGAAAAAAATAAAAAATAAAAAAAGGTTTCGCTTCCTTTCCTGCTTCATCCTTTATCCTCACTACGTGCCCACAGTTGTCTTTTCAACGATGACACTATATTTGTCGCTGTCAGTTACCAATTGCGATTCACGATGCGAGAATGGTACAAATTAAGCTGTCTTCATCGGCTCCCCACCAAGCTCCCTTTAACCCCATGTTCCTGACTGTCTTGCTGGTTGCTTAGATCATTTTAATCTCTAACTAATCTCCTCCGCTTATTCTTCTCTTTTTCGTTTTCAAGTCTGCATTACTCTTCGCATCTTTTCTTTTTCTTTCTTTCTAGTCGCTCTCTTATACCCTCCGGTGGCCGCTCCACTGGGCCGCTCGTTTCCATCTTCTTCTACCTTAACGCCTATTAATCTTAATAATTTTCTTCCTTCTGGGAGCGATCGGCTCCGATATAATCGGGAGGTCTTCTTCGGCCACGCATTGTACGAGTTTCTACATACATTGGTTGGTGTTTAACGGTTGGCAAAGAAGACGCAATCGACGACGCATGATGGCATATGAATTTCCCCATTTTCTGGCTTTTAAGCTATTATTGTAGGTTTTATTTCTTAATCGATCTACTCACCCTTTGCACCTCGCTGGCCTCGGGCTTTTTGAGACGGGATGATGGTCTAACTGGAGGATTGATACAGTGTCTACCGATATCTCAGACTGGCTGTTAATTTAATTGCAGTATGGACATTTCGTCCAATTCCTCCTCCGGAGAACCCTACCTTAACGTCCCAAGATGCGACCATCATTATACCCTCCTTGCAAGGCTGTGGTGAGGAGTTGCGTGAGACAATTAGGACAATCTTAGTCAACGAGCCCTACCAGATTTTCCTGGTGACCATTGACGCGAACCGTGCAAACGCGCAGAAGATGCTCGACACGATGCCCGCATCGAAAACCAGAATCCAGCTCCTCAGCATCCCCAAGCCGAACAAGAGACGGCAAATGGTTCGCGCCATTCCCGAGGTGCGCACGGAAATCACAATCTTCGTCGATGATGACGTGACGTGGCCCAGGACGGAATTGAAGTGGATGCTCGCCGTATTCGAGAAAGACCCCATTTACGGGGGCGTCGCGACATGCCAGAGATTACGGCGTGTGAACGCACCGATGTTTTCGATGCAGAAGATCTGGGACTTCCTGGGGGCGTTGTACCTCGAACGGCGCAACTTTGATTGTGCTGCGACTACCCATGTGGATGGCGGCATGCCGTGCCTTTCTGGTCGTACCGTCGCGTATCGGACCAAGATCCTACAAGACCGCGAGTTTACCATGGGGTTCACCAACGAGGAGTGGTGGTTTGGGCGGTATGAGCTCAATGCTGACGACGATAACTTCTTATCACGATGGATGGTTACTCACGGCTGGGAAACATACTTTCAATACCATCCCGAGGCTGAGATTCAAACAACACTCGAAGACAATCCCAAATTCCTGAAACAATGTGTCAGATGGTCGAGAAGTAACTGGCGCAGCAATCTAACAACCTTATTTCAGGAACACGTCGTCTGGTTGTAAGTTCACCCCTAACTTTTCACCAATATTTCCTTTTCTATCCAAGACGAAGCTTATGGATGATGTTGATGATTTTCTGAACTTCTTTGATTTTCTTTGCTTCCCTTTTTTTTTTTTTTCCCTTTTATTTTTATTTTTTTTGTCTTTCCTTTTCCCCTAGCGTCATTGTGTTGCATTTGATTGTCATGCATATTTTAGCGTGTTTGCTTTTTTGCTTTTTCTCGGGTGAAGATCGCAGGATCTGTCGCCGGGCAAATCGTGCCAGCAGATCCCTGTCCTTAACCTGGAACTGCCGCACTGGGTTTAGATTAGTGCTGGCTCCACCTTTTTCTAGAGCACACGAAGGCCGTTGTTCGAATTGGACGCTAACTCAAGGGGTCCGTGTGGCCACCCACTCTCTATTTAGCCGCCAACCGTGGAGCACCTACGCCGTCTTCCTGACCACGCTGTCACCTCCCGCTTTTATTGGCGATCTCTCTCTAATCCTCTTCCTCTATAAAGGTACAGAGGGTTGGAGTGGAGAGACCCGCACATTGGCGATGCAAGCACTCTTGCTGTGGATGTTCGTTAGCAAATTTATCAAGTTGCTCGGCCATTACATCCGCTATCCCGCCGATTTCCTCCTACTCCCAGTTTCGATATTGTTTGGATACCTCCATGGTATCATCAAGGTTTACGCCGCCTTCACGCTCAATGTGGTAAGACAAAAGTCACTTTCATTTTTACTTTCTTTCCCCGCATCCCTGGGCCAATTTGTGCAGTTTACCCGGCGGAGTTCCCACGGTTTACCCAAAGTTCCTCCGATTCTTGTGCCGCCATGGACTGGTTCTAGCCCTGCTCCACTTTTCCACTCGCGTCTCCTTGCTTCAGCTCCGTCTTATTGCTTTTTCGTCCAATTTTAATTGCCCACTCACCCGACTGTTTTGGATCCTCAATTGGCCGCGTTTGTCCGTGTTAACTCTACGCGACGTGTGTCGTGGAGCGCTTACCATCGCCGTCATATTGGCTCCTTTGTCCGGCTCTTCACATGTATGTTCTCACCACGTGCTAACTACTTTTTAGACGACATGGGGTTCTCGTGAAGGCGCCGACGTCAGCGACACTGACCGGATGAAGGAAAAACCGGATTACGATAACTCCTCTTTTTCCAAAGCGCGATTATTGGCAGCTCCTCAATAGACCGGACCAAAAGCCTTCGTTAGGCCCGCGATCAGATAGCATAGATGGCCTTCCCTTTTACCGAATCGAGGTAACATAAGTACCTCGATCGAGTTAATGTCAACTTTGAGCCAAAACAAAAAAGGAACAGAAAAGCTAAAAGAGAAGAAAACAAACCAGCCGGATGTTGGTGCATTCTTGAACTTCCCCGCTATTCTGCCGCTTTTCGCTCCGTATGGAGTACTCTACAGCGACATTTAAAATATCATACCCTGACTCGCTCGTGTCGGAACGGTTTTTGGATAAGATGAATTATCCTTATAGTTACCCGTTTCTCTAACCCATTCCCCTTCTTGACTCGGCTGACGGAAAGGCCGATATGTTTTGATGACAAAATTTCCACTTTATCATCTTTTCACGGCTTCCCGTGCTATCCACATTTTTATTTCCACCCTTCGTACGGAGTCCTCCGTACCGACTCCCAATCTATGTTAGCGTTTCTGGAATACCATCGGCACTTTATGGATCCTGCATGTCTGAGAGAAGATTCCAGTCTCTGCAGACTACTTGTTTTTTAACCGATTTTATACGAGGTCGATCTACAGCGGTTTAAGGCTATGTTAGGGCCTGGAACGACTTGCTCGTGTGTCAACAGCGTGAATCTTTTTTTTTTTTTTTTGGATCTTTTCTCATTTCATCCTTTTTTCGATTCTCCCCTCCCACAGATGGATATTTATTTTTCACTGAAAAGTTTTAATTGATGGGCACAGGTTTACAAAAAGCACCATTCTACTATATGACTGCTTTAGATCTCCTTTCTCGTTTTGCTTTTGAACATAGTTTTCGTGCCATTTTTCCCGGCGGTCTCAAAAAGAATGTCATTGCTGTTGATTGCCTCTTTTTCCCCCCTCTACCCGTAACCTCCTATCCGCGCGCAAGGAGATTTAGCATATTATTCTTTCGCAAATCACACTCAATGAACGAGATCTCTTCCCTCATTCTATTTATCATCTCCCTTCACTGATAGGTCGCGGTATTTCCTTTTAATTAGAGTACATGTCCTCCGCCCTATTAGCGTCACCATCTTATGAGCGCTCAGGGAACCCCCGCAAGTTCAACGTGCCACCCAGCAAAGACGAGTCATTCGCTTCCAACTCTTCGGGGAAGCACTTAACGATGCATACGGATTGTTCCCGATGCATGTGCACCAAATCCAAGCATGAAGTCGTTCTCCAATAGGGTAGGCGAAATAATTACTCCCGCGGTTTGAGTCACCGAGACCCGAGGAGTCACGACGGCCAAATCCCGTTTTCGGGATCTTGTTGTGCTGCCAATGCTGGTAATCAACCCGAGAATCGAATCGAAATTATTCCCGGTCTGCGTCGGAGCACGAATCGTTGGAAAACTTGCCCCGCGGGCTTTGACACTTTGTTTGCTTTTCTTAACGGCGGCGTGCGGCCAATTAGCTTCCAACTCTGGTTCTTATCCCATGTCGCCGACTGAAGTCATTCATTCAATAACGGCCAACACCAAGGTTCATCTGCCTTTTTTTGTTTTTTTTTCCCACCCAAAAATCAAGTCTATCTTCTATGGAGTACCATTTATGCAACTCCTGCAACACCATGCAGTTGATATGTGCGACTCCCGCATATATCCAACATAACTGGGTGAACAAAACCACGTCAATAATGGGCATACGCCAGATCTCGTTGTCCACGAAGGATAAACAACAGGCGCAATCCTTAAATATCCTTTGATTTACGAAGCCGAGTCATGCATCGGTCGTCGTTTTATAACAGAAAGCTAAGGCGGGGAGAAGCGGTTGATGCATTAGCCCCTCTAACCGTGCTGCAGGATAAAAATATATTTCCGAAATGCACAAACTAAATAGCGTGCTGCAAGGTATGTATGGAGTCTGCAGTGCTCCAAACAATGGCTCCCCGAAAGTCGAAAACGTTTTCCAAAGGTGCGCATCCCGCTTTTCTTCACACCTTCCCCCAGGAAAATTCCGTGTTGCTTTCTCCAGCGCCCGACACTTTACGAACTGCTCTTTATGGAAAAGTGCTTGTCAGAGCTGGACGAGCAGTTACGAATGGCCAAGAAACGTTTTTAATTTGATTATCGAGGAGCATTGACGGATAATTTGAGTGGGCGGCCAATCAACGTAGCAGCTTTTTGTATCCGTCACCTGAGGCTCGGCAATTGGGAATCACGGCGCGAAATCAGAATCAAAGTACGAATCGGCAAGCCGACGGCACACCACGTTTGACCATGTCCAGTGCAAGAAACAACCGCGAGCGAAGCCAAGTAGGCATGTCTATGTATGGATGGACAACTACCCACGTGCATCCTCGGTACCTTGTCGCCGTAGGATCTGGAGAAGCAATCGGTTCTGCGGATGTGAATGGATACGGAGAAAGCAGAAGGAAGGGGGTAGCTAGGCCCTATCCTGGTCAACTAAATTTTGACATCGTGGCGGTCAGCGATGGATGGCACCGTTGTATGCCAACAAGGGGGTAGCACTGATTGCATTGTATGATGCTGCTTCGTATCTCCCATCTCATTGGCTCGGTCGCAGTGTTCCTTCGTCGTAATGATAATTTCTTTTAAATCCCAGCGGATGTTTTGCCTTATATCGCACTTGAAGAGGCCAGGGTGGTCAACCTCCCAGGTGCCCCTTGCTGGTCCCACTACTTAACATCCACTGGTGAATGCCGTAAGATTTTGGGAACGTGATACCCCATGGGCAACTAAGGGCCGGCACGGATCATAATAAACTGAATCACAAATCCAACCAATCCCAGTTTGCCCCCGAGCTCCGTGGCGCAAACCAAGCACCTGAAACAACGTCCCGCTCGTCCCGCAAACGGTTGGTTGGGTTTGGAACTTTTTCTCACTTCCCCCCAGGCAGGCTCGTTGACGTAGGGCAATCTTGTCCAACAACCCTAGTCCAGCACGACGCATTCAGACATCGAAACGTTTCAAAATATGTCGAATGCTGGCCCGGAGTAGCTACTATGGCCAGTCTTCCTTTTCTCCTAACTGCCAACAAAGCCGTAACCTGATGCGAGCTGGGACAGCTTTACAGACAAGCATATTGACAGCACTTAGAGCTGCTAAGCCATGGTTACTTTCTGTCTGTTATGACTGATGAGAGGTATTGAATGCCATATCACGAAATATATGAGGAATCACAAGGGGGACAACGTAGTTAATTACTGCGAGAAGCAACTCGCTGCTCCTACTAAAAGCAGCTTAATGTTCGGGGTCTCAATCTGACGATGTTGAGGATAGGTAATCCTTGAACTGTCCAGTTTATTTCATCCTGATACTCAGTACCTCTTCTGTTTGGTAATGAGCTGCAGGTACAGAACTCCGGCTGCTCGTCGCACAAACCAAAGCGCCCTCACCTTACCTTCCCCAGGCTCTCAGTCATTCCTAAACCCTCTAACATCGTCGTCTCTACTTATCCTTGAGTATCTGACCCGTACTGTAAACGCAACGGAACCGAGCGGGATTTAAGGTCGAAGCGTAGCAGCTTGGCATGGCTACTTGCATCCTTATGTAAATCACTCAGACGTGGGGTCGAGTGTTTGGGCTTTAAACTACCATGTACGGAGTAGACTCAAGTCTATTTCCTAGGAGAGCCCTCAGGTCAGTGGAAAAGAGCTGCGTTGATTTTCATACGTCAAATGTGCCCGGTGATATAAGATCTCCTCCAGGGATATGCCTTCATGGAATCATAAGGAGAGAAAAATAAGGTGCTCTCTGTAGCCTGCAAGCATGCTCGACAAATGATATGTTATCTGGAGTGGATCATCTAGAACAGGAAAAGCGACCTCGCCTTTAAAGCACATGTCAATAATCTTTCGTCTCAACCATTGCCCTGAGAAAATTTCTCAGGCAGAGGATCGCTGCACATGCTGCTGGCAATGTTTGTCGCTGTGGTACTGTACATAATTTATGCGTCCCTAGCATCAAACCAGTCAGTTTATCAGAAAATAGCTGTCAGTGTCTAACGTAGTATTAAGGAAACGCATATCAATGATAGGAGTTCTCTGGAGCGCTCGCCAGAAGATTTTAAGGTAGGTAACTAGGTGAGGTCAGATCTACTTCGACCCGCACTTATGTTTTTCCGGCTGCTGGCTGGAGTGGACAGGATGAACCCAAGATGTGCGCGACGACATTTCAGCAAGCTCGGAATATTTTAATTTGTTATAGACAATGAAAGTTTTGCAGAGAACATCTTCTATATGGGCCCGGCCTTCCTATGTTTTAACGGGAATAAGGGCAGAAACTACACGCGCCCGCGCTGTCCATTCCTCAACTTTTAAGTCTGCCGTAGCGCATCCGATAAATGTTCACGGGCCTCCCCCAAAAGCTCCAGTCCCATCACCGGAGTATAATGAACGGATTGAACGACGCAGGAAACAATCGGAATTGTTAAGACAAGACAAGGATACATTAGCGGCGAAAGGAGGAGCAGCAAGTCCTCTGCGAAAACGGTTCTGGAAAGATGTCCACGTGAAAGAAGCAGCCGGTGAAGCGAACTCTATAACTCTAAGTATCAATTTAGGACGCACGGTTTTAAACTGACTGGTCGGTATATAGAGGGTTACCAGGTCCTTTTAGATTCTCGACCGATACGTACCCCGGCCAAAACTATCCTGAATATACCACGTTCGAAACCTCATCTTGCACACGCGATAGCGCTCGAATGGGACCAACTCGTGTCGGCTCAACAAGCTCTGAGACATCACTTAATCCCCTTGACTTCTCTCACTGCACGAGCTGAAGACATTGTTCAACAGGACTCACGGGGCGAGAGTACTATCCGAAACGAGATTATGCGAACATTGATGAGATACCTTGACACCGATACCCTTCTGAGCTGGGCACCGCAGAAAGGGCCCTACGACATTGACAGCACAGAGGGAGCTGAAGAAGCTCCTAGATCGCTCCGAGATTTACAGATCCGCACCGCTCAGCCGATCATCGGATTTTTAACAACCGTCGTATGGCCAGGGATTGAAATCAAACCCGTTCTCGAAGAAGATAGCATCCTGCCAGTTTCCCAACCCCAGATGACGAAGGAGGTGATTCGCGGATGGATCACCGGCCTTCCGGCATATGAATTGGCGGGTTTAGAGAGAGCTGTCCTTGCCAGCAAGAGTTTGCTAATCGGGGTGAGGCTCGTTGTCGAATGGAGCGAGCATTTCCGCGATCTCCAGCCGGGGGGAAGGAGAACCTTTGGCATTGAGAAAGCCGCCGAGGCATCGAGTCTCGAGGTTAAATGGCAGACCGAGCAATGGGGGGAAGTTGAAGATACACACGACGTGGAGAAGGAGGATTTGAGGAGGCAGCTTGGGAGCGCTGTTCTCTTGGTTAGTGGGGAGCGGAGGTGAAAGTTCGCGAGAACCGGAAAAGGCGCCCTGCAAGTCAAACATTTCCCTCACGGCCCTGTCGACAACACGAAATAAACGCGGCCATCTTCTATTCTTGACTGTGTGTAAATAAATCCTGATTCAAACTCGTGGATTTTACATTGATTGGGCATGATTATGCGGGCAGAGTGCTTGTCGGCAACGACGAGTGCTCTGTATATTTCGTAGTTAATGTGTAGTTCAATCGCATAGTTAACCATCGAGATCCGAGGACCAAATGGGACGGCATACTCCGAAGCATTCATTCCATACGGTGGACGCAGCTGTGAACCTTCTTTGACCATTCGACGGCTTCTGGTTCAAGAGCGGCCATGCTCACGAAACTTGGCGACTGTTATTGATCGGCTCCGCAGGCGCTTCATCGTCAAACGCGCAGCGCCAGCAATCCAGACTTAACCGCCAAGGCCTCGCCCCCCTTACCATCACCACCCGATCGCAGTTACTTCTAGGCCATACTTGTAAGCATTCTCAGCATGGAATCAATCCACTTATCCCTCCTGTGCTTTTGATTTTGCAAGGATACCACCTCTTTAGGGACATTTCAATCCTCGACTTTACCCGTTTACCCGTTTATCCGACCGTTGTGGCCGCCATCCGCCTTTATGACCTTTGCTTGCCTTCGCAGAAGTTGTGTCTGAACCGAAAATACGGGATCCAAGGGTGAATCCCTGTGGAAACGGCGAAGATGGGAGACAAACATGAAGGGTAATGCCCAGTTCTTTTCTTTCTGCATTCCGTCGTTCGTGTCCTTCGGAACTACCTGTATTGTGCCACAGAGGTCCTTAGGTCCTAACCCGGCTTGACCCATGGCTCCAAACTTACTCAGCTTCCATCATCTTATAGGCACAAGCGCTCAAAGAGTGCGCTGGCTCTCTCCATTCTCCATCGCGATAAGTCAAAGAGTGACGATGGTAACTATGATAAGCACTCAAATCTAGACCCCGGTTCACCGATATCGACCTCCCCCTCCCCTGTTCACGAGTCCCGCCATTCGTACTCTGCGTCAATGAGTTACCTACGGCCATCAAGGCGAAAAGCAGAGGCGGAGGCCACGAGCAGCCAGAGCAGCAATAAATTGCCGTGCGAGAGCCCCGAGAATCCTACAGATTTAAGAGACAGGTTGGATATGAACACAGCTTCCACATCGAATGTCCCAGCGGGTGGTGCTCTGTCGATAGAGCAATCCGTACGGACCTTTCGGTTGTTTGAGATCCTACGCGATGGAGACACAACAGCCATATCGAAGGCAATCAAGGAGTGTCGAGATTCTGAAACACAAAACACCATAGCACTAGGAACAAGCATCCTTCACCTAGCAATCCAATGTGCAGAGCCTCAAGTCGTTGAATATGTACTTTCGAATGGTGACGTTGATGTGAATGCTAGGGATCGTGATGGAAACACCCCTCTTCACTTGGCAGCGCAGTTGGGACGACTATCAATTGTGAAAGAATTGCTGGATCGTCCAGATATCAATGACGGTATCACAAACTTCCATGGCCAGACTCCTCTTGACCTCGCCCGGACGCCAGAAATTTTCCAGCAGCTCCAGCTTTCCCGATCGCTATTTATAGAAGCGAAGACTCGAGAGATCCAGTGCCTAGTGGCACAGGGTGATTACGAGGGATTGGAAAATTTGCTGGTTGACCCACGAGTTCAAGGAACGGTCGATGTGAATAGCTTGGACCTTGTGACAGATCGCACGACAGCCTTGACCGGTGGAACCTTGCTGCATGAAGCGACAAGGAAGAAGGATTCAAGGCTGATCCAGATCCTGCTGATGAATGGCGCGGATCCTTTTCGCCGTGATAGAAAGGGAAAGCTTCCACAGGATGTCACAAAGGATGATCGGACAAAAGCCATCGTGAAGAGGTCACCAGCTGCCGTTATTGCTCAGCAGGGAATCCAGGAAAGGTCCATTCTGGGAAGTAGTTCTGGGCATGGTGGTGATGTGAGCATTGGAGGGAAAGACGCCCGTGAAATGAAAGGGTACCTCAAAAAGTGGACAAATTATACCGGAGGTTACAAATTAAGATGGTTTGTGTTGGAGGATGGGGTTATGAGCTACTACAAACATCAGGGTTGGTTGTGTGCTTCGACGCAGGTGAAAGGTACGCTAACATATGGTAGATGACGCTGGCTCTGCATGTCGTGGCGCGATCAATATGCGTATTGCAAAGCTTAATATGGATCCCCAGGACAAGACCAGATTTGAGATTCAAGGAAAGTCCTCTGTCAAGTATCACCTGAAGGCGAATCACGTTGTGGAAGCCAAGAGGTGGTTTTGGGCATTGAATAATGCCATCCAGTGGGCAAAGGATGAAGCGAAGGAAGACGACCGGCGACGGACGAGAGATGCTGAGGTTCTACGACAGGCAAGGATGGACCAATTTGGACAGGTACAGGATAATCAAACCGACACGGGGAGTTTCACCAGTGGCAAGGGCAACGGGAAAACACTCGCCCCTCCGTCCTTGGGCCTCACACCTAGCGGATCGAAACTAAGTCTCCAGCCTTCCAGAGGCGCCTCAGAAAGCGGCGTCGGGGATGAAGAAGGTTCGGTCTCCATTGCCCTTGATCCTACGTACTCGCAGCCTACTATCGACCGTATTATCAGTCAAGCCACTATACCCGCTGAAGGCGATGCGGATGATGACGACTACGCTGATTACGATAGCAGTCGGGAAGTCAAACCATCGAACAAGGACGCGTTCAACATTACAGCACAGTCTGTGAAACTGCAACTAGATCTCTTGGGGACTGTCTCAGCTGCATTACAGGCCGAAAAGGAGAAAAGTCCTAATACGACAATTTCAGATCCGTCTATAACCCAAGCCTTAACTACGTATGAAGGAGCAGTTAGCAATTTGAACTCCCTTGTACTTGATCTACTTAAGATCTCACGAGATCGCGATGCTTACTGGCAATATCGCCTGGAGAGAGAAGCCGATGCGCGGAAAATGTGGGAAGATAGCATGGCTCGTATAGCGCAAGAGCACGAGGAGCTTCAGAATAGAATGGGAGAGTCAGAAGACAAACGCAAACGAACAAAGAAGGCTTTAAAAGAGGCCTTAGAAAGCGCATCTACAGTCCCCAGCTCAGGTCCTTCACACGTCCAGATATCAGACGTGGTCGAGGTTGTTAAGGAACTGGCTTTGGACAAAGAATCAATTCAGTCTAAGCCAAGTGGTCATGAACTGGTGCGTAGGAGGTCGATCTTGGATGAAATAAGTGCTCTGTCAGAGAGTGAGGAGGAAGAGGAAGAGTTCTTCGACGCAATTGATGCTGGCGAGGTTGAAGTTGTTATTCCTCCAAAGCCGGAAGAGGTACCGCCTGCCGATTCTGATGTTCGAGCCCTAAAACAGTTAGAGATTGAGCCGTCATACAAGGGATATGAAGACCCAATACGCAAACGTCTAAAAATGGACGATGACAATCGACCAAAAATTTCGCTCTGGGTAAGCCAAACTTGACACTTCATCTGGCTATCCTACTCACATTTGATCTCTTTAGGGCATTCTTAAATCGATGATTGGAAAGGACATGACCAAAATGACGCTCCCTGTTTCATTCAATGAGCCCACCTCGTTACTTCAGCGTGTGGCAGAAGACATGGAATACACCGATCTCCTCGATGTCGCCGCCGATCGGGCCAATTCTTTAGAGCGTATGATTTACGTTGCCGCATTTGCGGCCAGTGAGTATGCTTCGACAATTGGACGTGTTGCTAAGCCATTCAACCCACTTCTTGGGGAAACCTATGAGTACGTACGGCCAGACAAAGGTTTCCGCTTTTTCATCGAACAAGTCAGCCATCATCCACCGATTGGTGCCGCCTACGCAGAGTCGGCCAAATGGGATTATTACGTGAGTGTCTCTTTTATGCTACCTCTAGGAAACACGCCTTAACATATTTGTCTCCAGGGCGAGTCAGCTGTAAAGTCAAAGTTTTACGGTAAATCTTTTGATATCAATCCGTTGGGTACTTGGTTTTTGAAACTGCGCCCGGTTACTGGTGGCGAAGAGCTTTACACTTGGAAAAAAGTCACTTCCTCGGTAATTGGCATTATTACTGGGAGCCCGACCGTGGACAACTATGGTCCGATGACGATCAAGAACTGGACAACCGGTGAGGTTTGCAACCTGGACTTCAAGCCACGTGGCTGGACGGCATCATCCGCCTACCAGGTTACCGGCAAAGTTTTAGATCGGGATGGTGTTCCAAAATGGAGTATTGGCGGGCGTTGGAACGACAAAATTTATGCACGACACACACCAGGATATCACGAACCAGTGTCAGCACCGCAAAACGACGCATCGCCCAATCCGGATTCACCGCAAGCCTTCTTAGTTTGGCAAGCGAATCCACGGCCGACTGGGATTCCGTTTAACCTCACACCTTTCGTTGTCACTCTTAACGCGATACCAGAGAGCTTAAGACCATTTTTACCTCCTACAGATACCCGTCTACGACCAGATCAACGTGCCATGGAAGACGGCGAATATGACTTTGCAGCCACAGAAAAACACCGTGTCGAAGAGAAACAAAGAGCTAAGCGCAGAAAACGTGAGGCCAAGGGCGAGGAATTCGTCCCCAAATGGTTCAGCAAGGGCAGATGTGGCCTCACTGGGGAAGAATACTGGGTTTATGGCGGAAAATACTGGAAATGTAGAGATACGGGTGATTGGAGCTTGTGTGAAGATATTTTTTAAGAAACACTGTCCAGAGGGATTTATTGTTGCCCAACGAAATGGGTTTCTGCGAGATTGCATTCTGTGGTAGTCATAGCATGGGCACCGTTTTTGTGAAGCCATTTTGTGAACCGCAATTGGCGAACTTGAGTGACAGATACATGGCCCATTCGGCTAATATAACATAGCACGTATATAGGTCAATACCCACCTCATCGTTGTGGACTTGAACGGTGCTTTGGCTACAGAATTGAGCTTACAATCTGGCCCAGCTCGGGGCTTGCCGGGCAGCCAACAGGAGTGTCACGTGACCATGTTCTGGGCCGACCTGAGATCTGCTGAATATCGTCGCAAAGAAAAAGTGGGTGAATATCGGTCAATTACCACACGCAACAATTCCATGACAATGGTGGTAGAATTCACCTGTCAAAGGTGTGCTCAGGCGCTCCGCCTTGGAATCAGAAGCCATGTTCCCACAGCTAGGATGAAATCGATCCCTAACACCCGGTCTTATCACTCGAACACCATTTTCTCTGGACGCCGAAAGCTCCAGCCCAGCATCAAGCATGGATATGTCAACGTTCAGGACCAGATAAAAGGAATCGCGTCTGCTTCCAGATCTCAAGCTACCGATGCACCCTCTTCTCAAATCCAGACAAAACGTCAGGCGTCCAGATCTGAGTTCGAGCGGCCCATCCTCCGTGCGAATAACCTCTTCCACTCCTATACAAACTCTCCTTCTCCGGAGATCAGACGTCGCGCGGCATTCATCAAGCAAAATGCATTTTGTCCTCATCCCAACCACCGGCAAACACGCATTCCGCAGTCTCCGCATGACTCCGAGTCTAGGAAAACCTCCGACGCAACCAGTCAAGAGCCAGCCCCTGCACAGTTCGAATGTCCCGACTGTGGGGTCCCGGTATACTGCTGTGAAGAGCACTGGATGGATGATTTCGAAGCACATTTGGAAGTGTGCGAGACAATTCGACAAATCAATGAGGACGACCATGATTTGGTTTCGGGTCGATTTTTTACAGAGTTTGACTATCCCGGCCGACAGGATGACGATTTCGTGGTTAATATGACGAATTGGGATACATTCTTGTATACGAGGGAGTTTAATGCGGTAAATGATGATAGGTGTATGCGGCAGGTTACGAGACTATTGACATATCCGGTGACTATTGCGAGTGTATTGCATGAGCTAAGCCCCTATGATATTCGGAACAATGGGAGACTCACGACAGAGGGATTAAAGAGTCTTGCTGGTTAGTATAAGCAATAGCAAAGCCAGTACCCTGTTTATGAAGTTACTGATGTAGAAATCAGCCCTCCGATATACCCTTCATCCGCCGAAAACAGGTGAAGGAACGGATATGTCGGGCCTACGACTCCATGCTCCGCCAGTTAGAATATTCGTTCTCGGAGCCCGTGCCGAGTCCTCTCTTCCACGAGACGTCTGGTTACAGCTCACATACCTCTTCCCAAGAGCAAGCATCAATCTCATCTTCATCGGCCCGGAAAGCATGGCAAACAGAGATGACGAATTCCCACTCCCGGAACGAACTCCGAGCAATCCCTTCGGCGGCATCGTAGAAGACCGTTTAGGACCGCAACTCAAGATAACAACATATGTGGACTACTTCCATACCATGCATCGCACAAACATGTTCCAGCCCTATGATCCTTACTTTGACTGCTTCATGCTTTTCCATCCTGGTCTGGGTCACCCTGCAAGCTCACACGAGTGGGAAGAAACATTGCCCCATCTCCTTGAAACAAAAGTACCCATTCTCTGCACGGGATACACTGAATGGGATATGCAGAGAGACCTGAATTGGGTGACAGAGAAATGTGCCGGTGAATTCGATATCCTCCTTGAGCCGGGAGAGAATAGGTTCCGGAGCTTGAGGTGGGATCTGAACGATTTAGATCCGCATGATGTCTCTGCCGGAAACTGGGGTGTTTGGGGTTTTAGAGGAAAGAGGTATGCTTTCGGGCTTTCTGTTCATTGTTCCTCACACTCCTATGCTAACCATCTTCTTCTGTTCAGATACGAGGCTACCCTAAAAGACTAGATCCTTTTCATTTGATTTTTAGTTTGGAGTACAGGGAGGACATCCAGTTCTACTTCGGGACTTATGAAGGTCTCTTTGTCGCATTGGGGCACCGTGAATGTATTGTAATTGGCTTCCTTATGCATGTATATTACCAGCTCCCCTCTGCCTATAGCCAAATGCTATCCCAACTTCAAGAGCGGTTGTTTAAAGCTAATTTTTCATCATCTGACTACTGTGAATATCATTAACCATAGCAATATACTGCTCGACGTGATCATGAGGAGCATCATAATAATACATATGTACAAAACCGGCACCACCTTGTTTACTATCCTTGCATCAGATTAAGGCGACGAAGCAGGATCCAAAAAATCACAAGCATGGAGACAACATTTCGAATGCGACTGCAAGCCGAGCTGCCTCTAACCAAAAAAAAAAAACTGGGTATAAGCCATTTAGCGAAAGCGCGGGTATCGTATCTGGCGAACGTAGGACAGAGCACAGCAAAATAAACAAGAAATAAAACATCAAATCCCCTCCCTATCGCGTAGTTACATGCCTCGAGTTCTGACTTAGAGGAGCGTCACAGTCGCCAGGACGATTGCTACCATGGACCAATAACCGCTCAACTTCAGAAGATGCGGCAACATAAGCCCGGGGGCCATGTTGGTCGATTCTCCGGAGGGAGCGGTAGTCCCGTTGGGCAGAGTGCCATTAATATAAATTCTTGTTGTGCCGTTGACCTCCACAGTCTTGACGATGGAAGAATTGCGTGGCAGCCCGTTCTGATCTGTGTCGTTGAGTATGGACTGGATATAGGTGCTATTGTTATTATCATCGCATCCGCACACGGAGTATTGTTGGCACAGGCAGATGATCGGGATGTTCTCGTCCATGCCACTCGTGCGATTGCGCCAATTGAAGTCATGATTGGACTGATAGGCGTAGGCTCCGAATAGCCAAAGCCCCGGGAAAAAGGCGAGCAGCGCCACTGGGAGGAAAAATGGCAATAAACCGGTTGGAGATCGCCTGCCAGCTGTGTAGGGAACTTCCGCACCTCCCGCGTAATTGTTGCCGCCGCCGTAACTACGAGGGCTACCGGATCCTCCGGGCGACGTGCCACCGGCATTGCTGGAATGCGGAAATAATCCATCGTCAACTTTTCGAAGCCCAAATCTATCGCACTGATCGAGCCTTTGTAGGACTAGAATAACGCACCTTGACGGTCTACTACCCGGGCTGCTAGCACCACCTCTGCCGCCGGGGCTTCCGCCACGCCCACCACCCCCCGAACGACCTCCAGATCCTCCACCGCTGCGGCCTCCGCCTCCACCTCGTCCTCCTCCTCCTCCACCTCGTCCTCCTCCTCCACCTCCGCCACCCCTTCGCTTCTCCAACACAGGCAATTTAGGAGCGTCGATCACGGGCGCATAGTGGCCGCTTGCCTCAGCTTCTGTTCGACTGAGGTCCGTCCGGAGGACTCTCCGTGATGTGACGGAGAGCGAGGAAGAGAGGAATAGGAGCAAGCCAAGCGTAAAGCTCGATTTTATTTTCATACTGTCAGTATTTCGCGTATGCGCGCGGCATGCAAGTATGCGCCCAATGGTTTTGCAAGAATCGTAAACACTCCAATCCTACAGCCACAGAATATGTAGTTACTTGGAAAAAAAAAAAAGAAAAAAGAAAAATGTTCGTTCATATGTTGCACCCTGATGAGCAAATTGTGGACAGTAAAGCAGGATATGTTGTTGGAAACTACAAGCAATGCCTGTTTTTAAATGACAAAACAAAGCCCTTGCTCAGTGAAGCGGTCAAGACAGGGCCGTTCTGCGGACAGCTTGCGGCCAAGGCGGCGATGCAAACTCAACTCTCTTTGTTCCTCCGACGCTCAACTTACCGCGGCGTGGCGAAGCGCAAGGTTGAACCTGGCCAAGCGCGACACGGGGGCGTATCGCGGGTGATGACAGCCAAGCTTCCAATTCGGATTCCAGAAAATGTCAAATAGCACCGCTAGCTGCCAATAAGTTACCATTCAAGTTAAAAACAACTCCACTGACTGTTCTACATACATATGTGGGATGGTGCTAGGATTTGGCACCAACTATGGAGTACAGATTGCAGAGGCAGATTTTCAAGTTGCTCTCGCATGAAACAAGGCCTTTGAAGGGCCACCAGCGTCAGCCATGTGGTTAAGCCCGTCATGACCATCTCAGGTTGAACTTTATGATCCATTCCGAGGCTGAATACCGACAAATTGCACCGCTGTACGCATGCGAGTAGTCCATAGACGCTGCTTGGAAACAAGATCCTCTTTACCGCTGGACTATCCCGACTTCTCGATAGATCACTAGAGATTGTAGGGAGTAACAGCTTCATCATTGCAGCCCAGTGCTCAACAAAATCAAAGTAGTCCCCCCTGAAAGCCCAACACAGCGACCACCCGAGTGATCGGGCAAGGCGGCCACGAAAAAGATTGTTATCCCCACACTTGACCTCCATCGAGACCCGCATACCCCGTATTCTGGCTCCAATTCAAAACCGAATACTCTGTGCAGCCCATACAGGGAAAATTCAACCTCGAATGCATGCGCCCTGCTTGCGGGGGCACATCACGTTCAGGTGAAGAGGGTTCTCTCGTATTTCTTCCCGTCTTCACCACAAAAAATTTGGTCATAGATGGTTGAATATACAAATAGGGATGGTCTGAGGCATAGCCGAGTTGGAGTGTGATCGTCGAGAAAGCAAACTTATGTTGTATATACGTACCTTATGAGGCTCTTTCGTACTTAAAAGAAATATAATCCACAGGCTTTGATCTACATCATCGGATTGATGTCGAGGAAGCATGTGGACATGCTTAGCGACTAGGATAATACCAGATTGCCAGGTCTTTGCCGTCAGTGGTTTTGAAAGCAGTTCGACTCTGAATCATATCATTCCCTTGTCACTTTAACTCGAGCTCTCACAGGAAGATAGTAAAGGTTAAGTAGTTGGATGTCCGCCAGTATAGAATCTACCTTACTCACTTCTATGGCTTATCGACGCGCTCGATCATATTTAACAAGGTCAACGGCCACAAGCAGGGAGGTGCATCATTTCACATGCAATAAGGTACGCTACCTGCTACCCTCTTGAGGCCAGACAGTGCGATTTAGTGACCTTTTTTGGGTGGGTGGGGCGAGTGTATCTCAACATGGCTAAGTAAAAAACGGGGATATCTAACTGCCAGGTATTAGGACTTATGCGGACAGCTAAAATAACTTTCTGCTGGTATATAAAGCCGAAGGAAATTCATCCCGTCAAGGCCTTGGCGGCACATAGTTCCCTAGAGTAAGGTAAAGCCATACTCGAGACCGAGGCTGTAAGCACAGATGCTCGGGATAACGGCATCAGTTTTAGATGAAGGCCATGAAGTCGAGGTGCTGAGCAATCAAGAAAATCTCTCGAAGTGCATGGATGAACCGTTGATTGCTTGATTGAGAATGGGAGGCTCAGTACGAAGTAGAGAATGCCTAATTCAAGAATGTTCGCAACGGCTTGGTATAAACGTATGGATGACCCGCTCTCAAATAGGCTGGCATAGAGCAATTTTCCCTCAAGGATAACCGAGTTACTTAAGGGCGAATAACTTGGACGCTGTGCAGATCGTTGACCCAGGGGACGATGATGCTTTTCGAGACATCATCCTCGAGCTCCTTACCAAAAGGTACCCTCAAAGATACAGAAAATAGAATGATGGACTAAAGAAATAAACAAAATAGGAGCTTCTTCGCGTTGGGGAGAGAAAAGTGCCGTCAATGTAAGAAAGATAGTCCGTCCCCTGACATCTTCAAGTGTAGTAAAACACTCCACAAATTGGTTGATTGAGCAAAAGCCCAAGAATTTTCACATAGCCCACCACAACATGTTTGCATTAAAGACTTCTTGACCGTCGTTATTCTGTCCTGTTTAAGACTTCGAGCGTGGGTAGTTGTCGTGTCGATGTGGCAATAATATGTTACAAACAGAACAAACAGAACAAACATGTCATTTCTTCCAAATCAATCAATCTCTCGTCGCTTTGCGGACGAAAAAATTCAACTTGTTTTGTCTCTGCACTAACTGAGTGACGGGACTCACGCTGCTGGCTCACTGAGCCAGTGACGATGTGCCGACTCTGATTAGGCGTAATTATCACATCTTTCAAGCTCTCTTCTTATTCTTGACTTGCTGCGAATCACTGACGTCTCTGGCAAGCCACCCGAACCTTTCAATTCACTACGGAGTACAAATGTCGCAAAAGTACGGAGTAGCCTTCCCCGATAACTGTCGCTGAGTCGTGTACATCTTCCATGGAATCGATTTCAATAGCCAACAAAGCGAATGCAGTAGCCTTTATGAGGGTTGTTGCGATCACACGATCATCGAATATCTTCACACATAGGAGCAATTCTTCAAACTCAGCTGCTCTAACGCAGGTTTCCCATTACCTTCCTCCTCGTTGAGTGGAGCGGCTAAAGGGACAGCGTCCTTACGAGCCCTTTCATTTGGAAGGACAGCGAACACATCTGCCCGTTTTGTGCTCGTGTAAGCTGGAGCTGGGTGAGAAACAAAGGCAGACATGCTTTTGTGAATAGTGGTCTTTCGAGTTGCAAGAATAAAAATGGAATTGAAATGTCTCTAGCAAATCGATTCCATTAAGAGCCTTCATAGTTCGTGCTATTTGCTCTTCTTGGTCCCTCGCGGGACCAAATCCCATAGAGAGCATGACTCCTTGCGCTTCTACATTCCAAGCAATCGTATGTCTGGTTTTGCCAATCCAATTCCAGTCTAATTTTGTATATATATACACACATCCAGCTATGAAAACACAACTTCTATATGGCGCATATCTCAGAAAAATCATCACAGCTTACTTGATTTGGCCCCGGATTGTTCCTCGTCGGGAACTTTAACAACCACCTTTCCCCATGTTTCCCTACCCCCAAGAGCTTGTAACGCCCTCGGTACGGACTCGAGGCCAACAAAGGTTTCGTCCTTGAAGCTGGTCCCTTTAAACTTTCCTTCCTTCACCAAGTCAAATATTCCCTTCCAAACGACACCGACGGTTTCTTTCTCGAAATTTGCATACTGGCCCCAGTGCAGCCCAACAAGGCTTACATTTTTCAACAGTACACGGTTCAACGCGACCTTCTCGATACTTCCTGCCGCAAATCCGATAACGAGCAATCGTGCATTCCAGGCCACGCACTTTAGGCTCTGATCGATCATACCAACAGGATCGTACACAATATCGACGCCAGCCTTTCCATTACCTGTTCGGTGTTGCGCACAAAGCTTCTTCACGGCATCAGGCCATTTGGGGTCCCGATAATCGATCGTGTAATCGGCTCCAAAGCTCTTGGCAACCTGTCGTTTCCTCTCCGTTCCCGCTGTAGCAATTACTGTAGCCCCTTTCGCCTTGGCAATTTGCACTGCGGCGAGCCCAACGCCACCCGCAGCCGCGTGAACAAGAACCCATTCACCCTTCTGCACGTTGGCACGATGTACAAGGCCACCATATGAAGTGGGCGCTGTGATAAATAGCCCTGCGGCATCTTCGAAGCTCCATCCCTCTGGAACGGGGAGCAACGAGCGCTCCGTTGCTACTATGTGTGTAGCATATGCGCCTTGGCTGGCGCCAAAGACGCGATCACCAGCTTTGTATTTCGGAGATTTGTTGCCGCTAGGGGTACTGAGGACTGTGCCCGCAAACTCCGCGCCGGAAATCCATGGAAGTGGCGGCTGATTCTGGTATTTGCCTTGAATCTGGAGAAGATCGAAGAAGTTGGTTCCAGCGGAATGGACTTGGATCAAGTATTGATCTGGGGAAGGAGAGGGAGTCGGCAGGGTTGTGACCGTAAGGTCAAGGGGTCCCTACGTTAAAAAGTTATTAGGACAATGCTTTTTCAGATGCATCCCGGGATTGCAATGGTGCAATCATTCCCGTGTACGCACGCTCGGGAGCTGATGCGCTTACCTTGACGTATTCTCTCACTTGAATCGCGCGCATTCTTCCTGAGTTGTTTCCGCTGAAAGAATTCTAAAAATTTCTTGAATGAAAATAATTGAAGCTGATGTTTCGTCCCTTTCCCCTTTTTACCTCAGATCGAAGTTGTCGCTCGCCCTTAAATGGTCTTGTCGCTGAAATTCTGATAAAGCTTGGTTATCGCGCACGCGGGGAAGATGCCGAGGCTCACTGCCCCGGCGTTCTGGTGAATGGCCCTTGGGAAGCGCCATAATAAGCGGCGTGCCGGCTAAAATTTCCCTAGAGTACGGAGTACGGAGCTCATTCGGAGAATAAGCGCATTGCTGAAACCATGATAATAACAGGTATGGCAATGTCATGCTGATTCTCTGAAGAAATTGATTTCCATATTCTATCGCTGTTGGAAGGATGGTCGCAGCTGAGTATACTTCAGGACAAAATGAACTGCTAGAAAATCCCATCATGAGGAGACATAAAGCAGCATGATCAATGACAATATTTCAGACCTCAAGCAGTCCAGAGCTCGAAATCTGCTCTTTCTTGAGCTCTTTGTTTGCTTATTTGTTTGTCTTGCCATGGTTAATGAGTCCTAGATGTCTGCAACAAAAAAAAAAAAGAAAAGGGAAAAAGAAAAAGAAAAAGCCGATGTATACTCCGTACCTTTTCCTAATTTCAGGAGGACTTGCCGACAATTTACACCTGCATCATGCATATTTTGTTATCTGCTTGTCCCCCAAGCCGTTTTCTCCCTTTTCTATAGCTTCAATTTCTCCTTCATGAGACTAGCATGGCTGCTGCCATTTCAGCAAAATTCGTCAGCTTCTCCTTTCCTGAAACTGGACCGGCGTCTCAACGGCGCAGTTGACATATACCATCACCAAGGAACTCGGCGAATTTCTATGACTGGGAAGGCATGTATGTTTAACACATATAAATCACAAATTCACTTCTCCCGTTCCATGTTGCATGGACACCAAACAGCCGCACATCCCAGCCTAACACAGTACCGTACTACCGTTTCGGCAGCTAGGACAAGGTCGGGCAACTTGTCGCGGTCGATTTGACTGATGCGATGGTCAAATCAGCAGGTCCCGCCCGCTACAGTAGCTGAAGTATCTCAAAGATGATCTATTCATCTCTTCAAATGCCAAGAGGTTCAACGAGTGGAAGGGTGTTCCAACATATCGCGAAGCAGGTTCTTGAGGCATTGAAAACGCTACATAAAGATGCCATGTGCACACGGGTCCGGATTAATGCCTAGATAAACCGCTGAAAGTGCAACTAGCCTCTGATGCCAAAGATCGCCGGATATCAAAACGGGAAATGTCCTAAGAAATTGCACTCCATCTTCTCCTGAGTGCAAGTGGATAGCACATCCCGGACTTCCAAAACTGCAGATGGGTTCTTGCCTTCGCGGATACCGCGATGGATTTGGTTTGCTGATTTGGCCTAGGCTTGAAACCCGGTTGAGGCCCCAAAGGTGTCGCCTGACCGGCATATGGTTATTCGGGAAAACGGCAGCTATTGCATAGCGTGGCTCAATTTTCCTAATAATTTTAATCATTAACAATTAATACTTCTCCATCTTCAAACCAAAAGTTCCCGGTAGCCATAGCGAATATGAGTCGGAGATCCTTGCCAAATATAATATCAAATTTGGACCATATCTACCGTCATATGGTGACCTCACTGACTGGGGGGGCTTATGAGTGCTATCACTTATTGTGACTGATGTCCAGTCTAGATTGAGGCCTTTCTCACTGACGAGTCATCGGGGGTCGTCTTGAAGATAATGAATCTCGAGCAGAGGTCGGGGCCAACCGCAAAATAGTTGAAGGGCGATCCAATTGACCATGAGCGGAGCGGCAATTCGGCCGATTCATTGTTGTTATTGCCGACTCTCAGTCAATCGATAAAGGTTCACCGATATTTTATTTGAGATACCGTTACGTACGGAATATTGTGAGAGATTATTCATTCCCTTTCGGCTTCCACTAACCAGCAGGACCGTATGAAATATCCGCTCAACTGATCACATCGCATCGTAAGGCCGACGGAATAGATGGGGATGATTTGGCCAGGACAATCCTTGTTGCCACCCATTTGATGACCAATAGGGTACGCATGGAGCACAATATGGAGAACCAGGACCGGGAAAGCAAATCAGCAAATAGCACAGCCTAGTATTCCCCCCGGTGTTACAGACACTTAAAGAGACGCAGCCTTAGCAGGGGGTCAAAGTCAAGTCTTCCATCATATACACCCGGTGCTCAGCAGGATACCTTCTTTGTCATTGCACGGAGGCTGTATGTACGACTTAGGTAAGACTGTGGTGGAAATGTTCCTTGAATCATCAAGACCCATCAGCATAGGAATAAATGAATAAAGAAAGGGAGGGAAGAAGTAGGCAATTAACGAACGAAGCGCGTACGCAGGTCACCAGTCGCACCCTTGGATATAAGTGACGGACACAATTGGTCAAGCCAATGCAAGAAGAATTTCTCCGCCGCGTAGAACTTGACAGATTTAGTAGCGTTGCCTTTAAGGAGGCCACTCACAAGTCAGAGGACAGTGAGGAGGATGACGTGGGGAAGTTGAGGAATTCGCCTGGAATCTTAACCTGTTTGTCGTTGGTTGACTACCGAGGCTTTTTTGACGGGTAAAGTTACTCTTCGACGTCGATGATGGTGACACGAATGACAGGATGCTTTGTTTAAAGATCATGCAAGACCACCATCAGTTGCTCCATGATTTGGGACTTTTCCAAGTTGATATTCTTGCGCCGGTAAGTCTTTTCTATATAATTCTTGCTTCTAAAGGAGAACAAGACAAATGTTCAGATGTCCAAATAGCCCTGGAAACTGCATGTTAAACGCAGGCCAATATAAGAAGAATGTGCAAGTTAGAGTGAAACAAATCATCAACAAGAAGCAGATCAAAGGCGCCATTTAACTCCTTGTTTTCTCCATTGCCTCCCGATCCGCCCGCCCCGTCCCGTCGGATAAAGAAAATGTACACCTGCCCACATGTATCTCTATACCCTGTTGTCAAAAGGGAAAAATGCAAAGGACAAACTACCCATTCAAGACAGGAAAAACGACAAAAGAAAATTCAAAAAGAAGGTAGTGCTAGTATCATATACAAGCGAAGGATGGACTCATCTCTGGTTGATGTCCAGGGCCGATGACGTTGGGAGCATATACTCATGTTGGCCGTCGAAATGTGTACCACTATGAACCGGCTGATCAACAAGAGGAGGGTGTGCAGCTTGGGAAATCAGTGTATTATGGGAGTATATCTGGTTGGCATCCCAATTCTGCGAGGGCGGTGGTTTTCCGTCCGGTTTAGGTTTTCGAAACCTAGGACGACGATTCGAAACTCGAGCGGCGCCCATAAAATTGTCCGGAGGGCCCGAAACTGCTGATGGTCGTTTCCAGACGAGTATACCAGGTTCTGAATCCAGATCTTCGGTATCGCAGGGCGCAATTTCACCGAAACATGGGTAAATAGTGGTGCTTTGATCGTGTATTGACGACTGCCCGCCATGAGATGGAATATAAGCAGAATTTGCAACTTGGTAGTATGCATCATCAGAGAAAGCGGGTTGAGATTGTTCAGGAGAGGCATAACTCCTTGAATTCGGTGTTAGAAGGGAAGGGGATGTTCGGTGGGGGGCTGTGCCGTGGTGTTGCTGCATATGTGGTGAAACTCCAGCTGCATAATGAGCAGATGGATTAAAAGGTTGAGACGGCGCCGCTGGATTGACCATTCCACTGCCGATACTGGAGTTCCCGATTGAACAGGGAACCGAGAATGCATGTCCAAATGCATCTCGCGAGGGGTCGTAGGAAAACGGAGGGTGAGGCATTGGGTGAAGGGTGCTGGTGCTCCCGCTCATTGCGATGCTGTTCGACGGGATCGAAAAAGTCCCTTGCATTTCATCGCTTTGCAAAACCACTGGGTTTCCCAACTGATAATTCTGGCTGGGTCTTTGGGGATATGTCCAGCCTTCGTTGTTTTCCTGACCCGTGGACCCATGCATCTCGCGATTCAAACATGGTGTTAACTTTCCGACGACCTCCTGAGACTGTTCCACCTTCACAACCTTCGACTCGGTCGCTTTGTTCGAGGTCTTCTTTCGTTTTTGTCGAGATAGCTTTTTCACACCCCATTTCTTTAATCGACTGCGAAGTTGCGTCTCACTGGAACGGGTCAAATTGAGAAACTGGCAAATGCTTGTGAATGTTCTCAGCAGGAATGGGCTTACGTTGGGTCAAAACTCTCGCTGCGAATCTTCTTCATGACTTGTTTCAGTGGCCATTCCTCAACTTCATACAAATTTGATATTTCGTCTTTCTTGCTGTCCCACACATCTGACGGAATTGTCTTTTTCATCTTGTTCCTGTGGAGCCGTGAAGGCTGACATTAGCCAGCCTGACACGAGTCGGTGTATCGGTCAGCGCTGATTTGGCGACGTCGAAGCCGTGATACGTCGCAAAAGTCGCTCGACTTTGAATTAATTTTATCGAAAGTCCGTGCCGCCGAACCGTCAGGATGGAATTTGCAAAAGATCCAAGGTCAGAGTTGACGACTTTGGCCTCTGCAACGCGCAGGTCAGAGCTTTAACAAGGGCTAGGCCGTGCTTATCAAAGACTCGCAGTTTTCCGAGCCTCAAGCATAAGCAGTTAGTATTTACAGGGATAATGAAGAACCGCCACAAGCACCGGCTATTCCTGGTGAAGACGGAGCAGTTATGGATTTGATTTTCTCTTGTGCAATGCTTCCTATTCGCCATTTGACCCTAAACGACATGCACTATTATTTTCAGCCAATCCCAGGGACATGCAAGTCCCCTTCACCACCATCCCCGGATGACAGGACTCCTCTGCGCCGCTACAGATCCAATGACGACTCCTTCATGAGAGAAAGTCCCTGTGAATGATGGATATTCGTGGATGAGCGGCTCTCGCTCAGTATCGCTCAGGGAGCAGCGTATGCTCTCCGGAAGCACGGTCTGTTGAACAGCGAATCAAGTTGCATTATTTCTGAAGGTTCAGCTAGTTGCCTTTGGGAAGGAGATTGAACCTGCCTTCTAAGGTATGGGGCGGGAATATGTTGATTATCTCCATTCGGCGTTTTGTTAATTATTGTCTTTAGTTAAAGTAGCCATTATCACTGCATCAGCCAAGGCAACACACATGACCAGATAACCCTTGCTAAGTTCACAAATTCAGATCCCTGTTTGCCAACCGCACCCTTAGCTCAGGGAGCGACATTGGATTTTGGGGCAAATTGGTCCCTTCAAAGGCCGGGGATCCCCCTTCGTCACGCTGCTAAGCTTGATGATACGTCAGAAACTCTGCTAGGCCCAATAATAGTGTAGAAATGTGGTCCCAACGGATTGGTATGGCCCTTGTAGTTGCAGGACGCTTGACTCTTTTGATTAGTGAAGGTCACAAGAAATGCCCAATCTCCACGGGGTGCCGCTCGCGCATCTCCGCTTCCTGTATCCAAGGGAAAGGAAAAGGATGTGAACCGTGAAGAACTTTGAAATATGGAGCTAGCCATCACAGTAAGCGGCCACTTCATGGGGAAAACACGTTTGCGTTGATGGGGATGACTTAAACGTCTTTTCGTTTTGCTCGAGATACGCACGCCATCCAAAGAGCACATGAACAATCATCACGAACCCCTCCAGTCTATCTCCGCCAGAAGACATAGTCCATTACGTTGGCGTGCCTTTTGATGCTCTATACAGATTACGCATTCCAAATCCCTAACAATTTGACTAGTCAACAAAAAGCAATCCCCGACAGGTGTATCTCCTCATTGGTAAAATGGTGGAAAGCTCCTGAAATATTCGAAGAATCTAGGAATATTGGACCCTGACAATTGTTTCACATTTTCTTCCGTACGAAGCACACAATGCATTCACCACATGGCAGGATATGACCTTGAGCGCTCTAGTCCTCTCTCCTAGCATCAATCGCTGGCCTGTGCTCTCTGGAGCAGACGTTACAGCTTTAACAATCTAGCCGGCATTCTAGACCTGCCGAATTTTCTCTACCTGAGCGGCCAAATGATAGTGAGGATTGTTTAAGACTTTGATACAAGGGCTTTCCATGGATAATTTATTTTTTCAAACATGACAACTCTCAGTACTCCGTACACCGGCTCTGATGAAGAGAGGTAACCTGCACACGTGTGGCACGCACGCCTACGCGCTAGAGCTTATAGAACATGACTTTAATATCGGTCGGGCGGTGAAAAAGATGTCACCGGCGAGATAAAATGGTTGCTGGACGAAACAGCAGGGCTGTCTTGTTGGTAGCACATTTGTGTACAGTACTTTTGCGTCGCATGCTCAACAGGATTTCTAGCAAGCAAAAGCTCAGCAAAATTCAGAGGATGATTGTCGGTTGGAGACCGATCATTAATCTATTCACTGGTTGAAGCTTCTTGTTATGTTGATCGAAGAGCGAAATATCTGTCTCTGGAGAGCCCTGAGCAGGATTCGGATAGCTGCCGCAGTAGTATGATCATGAGGCGTGCCCTGGCGACGGGCCTCCCGTGTTTGCAAGTTATTGGGGGCCATGGCGATCAACAAAATTTTGGTCTGGGGTATCCCATAGCGATCCTTGACTTGGAGTGGTGCGTCTTCGTGGGTAAACTCCTCATGCGGCGGAGGTGGCCTGCTCCCACCGCCACTGATGGCATGGCCCCTCCTCTTGCCAGCCCCTACTACGGAGTAGAGTATGGGGAGATTATGTGGTCCAAACCGCCGCTTACGCGCCATGAACCCGAATTGATTCGCAATAGCGATTCCACGGGCGAGTCTGGAGTCTGATTCTACACCCAAGATGCCGGAACGGATCAGCGCCAGGAGAACCGACTAAATTAGGATGGCTGGAGATCTTGCGTTTGAGGATTTGCCAGCTTGTTACTCCGTACTCCGTACGGAGTTCTCTGTACGGAGTACAAGGATAAGTTTCTAATTCCTCCGAACGCAGTTGGAGCTAATGAGCTAACGCACCAATCCCGGCAATGCAGGAGTTGGAACCGATAACTCTTTCGGAGGATTAACGGCAAGCGAAGGAGCTCGAACAACACGGGCGGGATCACAGCGTCACGCCTAGCTCAGATAGAAATGAAACGGGAGCATAATCCGAGACGGAGCGCGAGCATGGGATATGCAAGATAATATGTAAGCGATGACAAACATCATTGCCGTTCAACTTTCTTGACTCGAGGGGTCAAAGGGGACATTTGAAGTTTCTCACTCCTCTTGAAGGCGCGAGGCGACCCAAGCCATTGGAATAGCTGCATATGACGGGTCACATTCCCTGGGATTCCAACGTGCCTCTTCGCTCGGCAGCAGCGCCATCGAGCAAGATGGTGAAAAAGCGTCGCGGATGAGATCGATGGGTCCCTCCCGCATGCCCAATCATATCTCCGATTTCTTGCCAGCCGTTCTGCAAAATATTTACGGAGTGCTCCGTACCCCGTGCATATTAAAATTGGCTTGCTTTGGCGGGCGTTCGACGTTGGTTCGGCGCAGAAGCGGGAATTCTTCACCTTATTAAGCTGGTGAGCCAATTGCTTTTAAACACTAAAGATAATTATTACTTCTCATGAGATTTCCTTCGCCAAAAGGCTATAGTTCATTAGTCACTAACAATACAGGCAACATGTATATTTGCAAGTCTCCAAACATCAACGTTCAATGAAGCGAGTCAAAAAAAAAGAAAAAAAGAAACAAAAACCCATACACCGTTCATGCCAAGTCCCCATGTCCCTATAATAATTGAAAAGCATGCTAAAACAAGACCACCATTACAAAGCGTGATTTTGGGATAAAGTAAAATAGGAGTTGGGAAGCGCAAGAGGAGGAAATAAGGTTCGCTCTCGGCAGTCGTTATATAATAAGGTGGCCAAAGCGCCGGGTCCGCTGTGTCTTCAACGCAAACCCGGAAGCTTCGCGGACCCTGAGTCCTAACCCAAGTAAGGGGTACTCCGTAGATCTTCCCTTTTTGCCGCCCGTTTCTCTGAGATGGGAACAGGAACAAGCACAGAATTATAGGTGAGGCTAGGCTATCGGTGCCGTTTTACGCGATGCTCCTTGCCTCTCTTTGACTTCTTTCTGCTCTTGTCCGGCGGCAGGACTAGCGGCTCGTCCTTGGCGTTCCATTCCATAAAGCGGATCAGATAGTCGTCAATGTGGCCAACTGTTTCGTCAGCCACGCCATCCGTAGCCGCGACAGACAAAGGCATAGGCACAAATGGAGTACCTGGGCCCTCACTCTGCGGGGCCGTTGTCGTTTCATCTTCGACGATCTCACTCGGTCTGGGCGTCCCTGCTTGGCTTTGACCGGTCTGACCAGGGGTTTGAGGAAGACTACTTTCAGCGAAATCAACGTCATCAACGTGCTCCAATTCCCTTTCAGCTGTTTTTGCAGCGTCAAGGTCTTCTTTATCTTCTGCTTCCTCAAACACCTTTGGTACATTACGGACTTTGGTGTCGAGAACCCTATCCATCGCCGCACTTGCTTCGTCCTGTCCGTCTAGAATGTCCTCACCAATCACATCACGAACATCAAATTTCTGAAAATAGTCTGTGGTGAATTCTCCTTCTTGGATGACGACGTCATCAAGCATTCTCTTCTGATTGGCTTTGCGTAGAATATTTGATTCGATCGTGTATTCCGAGACGAAGCGATAGATGTGGACATCGCGGGTCTGACCAATTCGGTGGCATCTGTCTTGACATTGCTTGTCCATAGCAGGATTCCAGTCCAAGTCGTAAAAGATGACCGTGTCTGCTCCCGTGAGATTTATTCCCAATCCACCAGACCGGCTGGACAGAATGAAAACTAAGATCCGTGGGTCGTTATTGAACCGTTCTGTTAACATTTGGCGCTGTTCAATCTTGGTGGCGCCGTCCAAACGTAAATAACGATGGCCATGTACATTGAGAAATTGTTCAAGAATGTCGAGCATCTTTGTCATCTGAGTAAATATCAAAGCACGGTGGCCACCAGCTTGAAGTTGCCTGAGAAGCTTATCCAGTTGTTGAAGTTTGCCACAATCATACTGCAATAGTCGTTTGTCGGGGAATGCGATGGACAAACGCATCTGTGCTTCATGGAAGGGGTCATATGAAGGAACACGCTGTGAAAATGAGAAGTAGCGAGACTTGACTGGGGTCAAAGCAGCCGCAGTTACATCCGGGGATACGACAGCGGGAGTGATGCAGGCGAATTTCTGCACAAGAGGTTCCACGACACGAGACCTCTCTGCCAGTGAGAGTATCATGGACTCGAGTACAGAAGATTGCCGGGAGAGCCAATCGATGAGCAGCCGTCGTTGTGGTCGTCGCTGAGCTGTGGGCTTGGGATTCATATCTATTGTAAGGAAATTAATCAAGCTTTCTCCGTAGACAGGGCGTCGGCCATGACGTTTTGATTCGAAGTATAAACATCGTTCGAGTTCTCCCATTCTTTGCTTGCGATATGCATTTTCCATTGAATCCAAGACTGATTGTATCGAAGACCCATTGAAATCCATTGACCAGTTAGTGCGATTGTATTGGCGCTCACGCAACATCCTGAGCGGATTGTACGCCATGATTCTCGTCGCATCATCCACTAGTCCTTTAGACGTATCTTCTCTTGAAATTGGCACCAAATTGAGGAAATCCAGATCAAGTTTGTCTAGTGGATCTTCGTACAAAAGTCGACGGCGTACTAAAAGATTTTTGATCTCGAAATCCGCTATCGTGGAACTGGTCATGGCAAACGATGTCGTAATTGGGCGGGTTTCAAAGAGGTCAGGGTGATTGCACACTTTCCTGAGCTGCATTAGACAATTGATGATGGATAGGTAATTCCCCGACGCTAAAGTTTCCTTTGTTTGAGCCCTGGACATGAAACCATCGTAAAGATACCGCTGGCGTTTGGACAGCCGACATGTAACAACATGCTCGTATTTCGCAGGCATTTGTTTCTCCACGTCAACTTTCAATCGACGGAGAATGTAAGGTCGTAGTACGGTATGCAGTTTGCTGACCACTTTCTTGGCCTCTTCATCCATGGTGTCTCGTCCGTGCTCAAGAATCTGCTCGACGGGTCGACGAAACCATTCGGAGAAATTCCGCAAATCGGCGAACCCTTCTACGCCACTCTCGCTATCATCACTCGGCATGAGAAAGAAGAGGAGCGACCAAAGTTCTGTCAAATTGTTTTGAAGTGGAGTACCAGTCAAGAGGAGCCTAGCTCTTGTCTTGAATGTGAGAAGAGTTTGCCAACGCTGAGACCGAAAATTTTTGATGTTGTGAGCCTCATCAAGAACCATGTAATGCCAGTTACGTCGTTTGAAGGTCTGTTGATCTTGCAGAACCAATTGGTATGAGGTAATGCAAACGTGCCAGCGATCATCGTCCATCCAACCCTTGCGCTTCTGCCTTCTCTCTTCTTGTGTCCCGTAGTAGGTAAGGATTTTGAATCCAGGACACCATTTCTTAAACTCCATTTCCCAATTCAACATCACACTTGTCGGGACAACAACGAGATGTGGGCCCCAAACTTCATGTTCAACGGCGAGATGAGCTAACAATGCAATGGTTTGAATGGTTTTTCCCAGGCCCATTTCATCAGCAAGGATGCCATTGATTTTGCTTACGTAGAGCCCAGCAAGCCAATCCAAGCCAAAATGTTGATATTCACGTAAGGTTCCACGTAATAAATGAGGTATTGGCGTTTTTATGGCTGAAGTGTTTGGTGACTCAGGCGGGCCTTCAACTGCATCTTGAGGATCTACTTCCATTTCATGAGGGGTTTCTGGTTGATCGGGTAGCGGCTTTTGCTCGACCTGGTCATTGTCGCTAAAATCCCCATCATCGCGTCGGAGCGAGGTTGGCGACGCAGGTGTACACTGATCGGTTACGATGCCAATATTCTGGTATTCATCAGAGGGTTCGCCACCGTCCGTGGAAGATACGTGATGTGTCGCTGGCGTGACTATCGATTCATCACGGGCTGCTTTCTCTTGGGATAGAGTGTCAACGTTGCACTTGACATCCGCCGGTTGAACGATGGTTGACGGTGTGGGAGGATGAGCCGGAACGGACGTTACGAAATTGCTGGCCTCACTGCCTTCTTGGGGTCCAATAGGGACGAGATGAACTTCATCCGTGTCATCTTCTCCTTCATCCTCTCTTGAGTCTTTGTCTTCATCGTCAACGGCGTCACTATCGTTAAACGTATTGCCCTCATTTATGCCGCCGCTAGCAGCCAGCTCTTTCGCAGAGAAGAACCCTAACAGTCCAGGTTCCGACCCAGAGTCATCTTCTGATGCATCATCCTCTTCCTCATCGTCCCCATCATCACTGTCGTCTGTGTCGTCCATGTCTATAGATTCGTCGCTGTCATCAAGCAGTAATGGATCCACTTCATCCAGAGTTCCATCAAACTGCATATCCAAGTCATTGAAGTGAGGTTCCACAGCGTTTTCATCACTAGCCTCGGAAGGTCCTGGCTCAACGGAGGTCACGCGCTCATCCCTTTGCCCTATTTCGTCTTCAAATGCGACGTTCGTTGCCGCCAGGTGGGCGTATTTTGCCCGAAGAGCTTCATGGGAAAGGTGTGCATCATCATCCGTACTGGCTCCTTCGCTATCGCTATCAGAGCCGTTTGATGACATATTGTCCTCATCTTCAGACTCGTCCGAAGATTCTTCTTCGTTCAGGTCCTCCGAATCGCTGCTCTGATCCATTTCGCTCATTCCGCTATTGTCGCCCTTGTCGCCAACTCGCATTTCCCAAAGCATTGTGGATTGCTTGAGTGCCTTATTTAATGCAAGCTGTTCTTTGAGCTTTTGTTCCTCTTCCCACTGAGCAAGCCTTACTTTCTCCACCTCCGCGCGTGCCTGGTCAAACTGTCGTTGCAAGTCCTTTATCAGGACTCGGCGCTTCTGACGCATTTCTTCTTGTTGCTCTTTGAGTATATCCTCCGGGCGTTTGTTACGTTTCTTCCATGCATCTGCGCACCAATGAGCAAACAGTTTTGCCAAATGTCGATGATGTCTGCGTTCTTTGTCAAGGAGCTTCTTGAAGTACAAGGCATGGGAAACAAAATGGTCATGGTGTGAATACTGCTGTGGTGGTTCCTCTTCTGGATCTTCAAGATAGATAGAACATTTATCCTTGCTAAGTAAACCACCAGGATCAGCCTCCTTCCAAATTTTACCCCACAATTGATACTCTTGAAGCGCTGAACTAGGTGTAGAGGCATGGTGCTCGTCTTCTGTATTGGCTTCATTCTTTACCCATTCTCGAAACGAAGAGTACTTTTTTAGGGGAACCAAATGGTAAGGATTCTGAGGCACTAAGGAAGGCATCTTGACTTTGAACCGTATCCTCGGAGCTTTCTTCGGAGCGCTCCCTGCCAGGTTGTAGCCATCCTCACCTCCCACATTTTGCGAGTTCTGTCCAGACCCCAAATCCGGTGGAGCAGCCATATTGTCATCTTGGTGCGAGCAGGTATCGTTATGACCATTCGTGGTAGCCCTGGCGATTTTGTTAGCGGTCCGAAGCCGTGTTTCAAAATTCTTGTTGGAATCCCATCGAGTCGGTGGTTGCTTGGCTTGTGTAGTCTTCACACCCAAGGCTCGCGAGGCATCCTTTCGGCTGGAAACACCATCGAGCCCGCCCACAGAGGTATTTCTTCCGGGCCCTCGTTTCCCATTCAGATCTGGTCTGGATGGAGTCGACAGGGTAGAAGATGATTCATGCCATCCGCCGTGTTTGCTTTTTAATTTTGTAGCGTACTCTTTTTGAACGGAACGCGTGTGTCGCTTATGTGAATGGGGTTGAAGGTCAAGCGGAATGGCATTGGTTCTAGCGGATCTGCGTCTGCCGCCATCGAAGAAGGACGTTGGGCCATCAATACCAGCCTTCTTCCAAGGCGGCGAAGGGGGTCTCGGGGTTGATCGCGAGGATGAATCTGCAAGTTTCCGTCTTTTGGATGGCGGGCCTTGAAGTTGGTCACCCGAGACATCCCCGTCTACGTCTAATTTCACGTCAGCTGTAGACATGTAAGTAAAATAATCGGACCACACATAGGCTGTGTACACCTGCCTCGAGCTTCGGGAGTCGCGTTGCTGTTGCTGTTTTCTAACACGCCTTGATGGGTCCCGTTTTGCATGTCTTGACTCTAGGACTCGGATGGGGCAAAAAACGGAGGCAACCCCAACTTTGTCAACGAAAATACGTCGTAACCGCGTAATTTGACCATCAATAGAAAGAGCTCAGCAAGTCAAACATGTGTGTGAATTCTGGCATAGTTATCGGCAAATCTGCGTCACTGGCTGGGAGAAAACCTGTCGACTTGATGAGTTGTGTGAGATTTCATTTTCTTTCCAGCTGTCCGCAATTTCCCGCCAATAATGCTTATGTAATATCACGTGGCAGCTGCCTGTCTGCCGGGAAGGGCGACGAGTCGAACTGGGAGGCGAACGTCCAGGCGACTGGCCATCCGTATACCTGTTTTCGCACCCAGCGCTCTCAACCTTGCTGAGGTGGCTCCATTGTAAGTAGGAGGCCCAATTAGTCTGCTGCAGCTGTGCTAACTCCTCTACCTGCTGATCAGATGCTGTCCAGACGGATTTTGACGGCAAAATTGCCGGTGCGGGCTTGTGCCAGACTACCTTCGGTTGCCCGCCCTGCCTTCACGCAAGTTCGATATGTCTCCCAGGCTGAGATTGAAGATCCCGGAATGGTTGGTTCTAAATGCTCAATGTTCTGTCGTATTCTCCGAACTGACGTCTTCTGTCCTCCAGAATGGGGGTTATCCCAATCCTCCTGCTCAGAGACGCCAATTCCGCGATCCTTACGGCGGTTGGTGGGATCCACAGGATAGAAGGAACTTCGGAGAGCCGGTTCACGAAGATAACGATATCCTTGGCACATTCACTACCGAGTCATATACCCATTTCAAAGCTCCAAAGGCATTCTTCTTGATGGGCTGCGCTATCACCACTGTTTTCGCTTTCAGCGGCCTTGTCAGCCTTTTCTACCCTGACAAGCCCAGCGTTCCCCGTACGTTTGAGGACGGCCTTGAGAAGGAGTTAGGGGGTGCAAATGCAGTTAGGGTAGGTTCTATTGGGAATGGACATCTTGTGCTTTGAGATGCTGACATGATACTAGGCCCGAAAACCTGGCGAAGACTCATGGTAGAGTTGTCTTAACTTGATCTTGTACATAGAGCTGGTAGTTTCTTGATTGCGGCGTCAATTCATCTTGATAAAAATCTCTTCCTGAATATGACGCAAAACTCCTCTGATCTCACTGTTCACCCGAACCAGATACATCAGATCAAATCTGCCCATTTTGTAGCCTTACGAATTCGCAAGGGCCCCCAGTGCCATATTATTTATACTTATACCCCGTAATTACATTGTCCAGAGTTGGTGGTCTGCTTTCCAGAGTCCTTCGCTCACTGGAGAGGTTACTGTCGCTAACTAAGACTTGGCGCGCGGCTGGCCTACGTCAGACGTGTGTGATTCTATCCAAAACAGTCCAAAGACAGGGGCCATAGATCCGGAGTCTTCTGTAAGCATCCCTTTCAAATTTCATCTTTGAGCTCCTCAACCTGCTTCCATGATCCTTAAACTGGAATGGTTGATCAAAGTTCTTATTTGTTGATGGTCTTTTTGTCGAGATTGTGGATTATAAGTCGGTAGTTGACGTCGAGCCCTCCATCCACACTGCCCATTTCATTGCACTTTGTTTCATCATTTCTTTAGCGGACTCTTCAAGCCACCGACATTACTTATACCCGACGTTGAAGCTTTCGTTCCGGAGAGCTTTGGCCAGCTGAATTTTCACCTTACCGACATCACCTACAGGAATGACTGGTGTTGCTCGTTGACCTTCGTCGCAGTTGTCTCACCTCGACGCCGCACACTCGTACCGTTATTTCATATCGCGGAAGGGCATTTTCGAACAAGGGACTGATGTCGACTTCATCTACAAATTCCTATCGCATATCGCGACGACTGAACAGCCATACGAGTCAAGATTTACGCTCTCATTCACGCAATATATCCGTGGTCATACGACGACCGATCAGCCACAATGACGCTTATACCTATGCTCTCCGCGTCGCGTTCCTTTCATACCTCCTACAACCACGGTTGCGCAGGCCGCAAAGCCTCCCTCCCAAGCCAAACCCAAACAGATCGTCAACGACATTTCATGATCTTATGAAGGATTTTAGTCTTGTTAGAGACTCAAAGAGCACGCGATTTCCGCACGGTTTCATTGCAGAGTTGGAAAAGCGCTTGACCGGTGTTCTGATTGGGCGTGAGCGAAGAAAAGAATATCAGGATGCGCTGGTGAAGCGGACTTTTGCAGTGTTTCTTAATGCCCTGAAGGAGCAAAGCTTTAAGAAACGGATGGAGAAAGATAGGAGGGTGGAAGACCTTGTGCTTATATTCTTCTCAAATGCTACGAAAGAGCTTTCAAAGGGGAAAGCCCCCGAAGATATAAGCTGGAAGCTAATGGTTGATCGCCATGTTGCGCTTTTTGTCAGGCTTATTACTCTCATACTGAAGGATCACGATTGGCTGCGAGAAAAGCCCGAACTAGCTGCTAGATTGGCCACCCTCGAGACTAAGCTGCTGGCTCATGACCAAGACTTGGCTCAGGCGTCTCAGCCGGACAGGGTTGGCACGCCTACCGAGCCCGTTCCTTTGAGTTACGATGTCAAAGATATGCACTTGGTTCAAGTAGTGGCAAAGATATTTGGCCTCAGAGGATCACAAGTACAATCCGATATCAACAAGAATAAGGATTCTTGGACCGCCAAAGAGGCATTACAGGATCTCAAGAAGTATCAGGCGCACCTCAATCTACATACTGGAAAGACCCTCTCGAGGACCGATTTCGAACATGAGGAAGCTTATGAATCTTGGAAGAAGGCCGAAGCTCCGCATTTATCCCAAATGATGTTGGCAATTGTTCAATCCAACATAGAACTTGCAAAAAGCACTCCAGTAGCAGGATTACCACAGTTCAACGATCCGCACAGCGAAACGACACCCACTTCGGATGCTTATTCTTTAAGTCAACCCGTGGACATATCTGCTTTATCTATATCCGATGTTGCGGAAGAGCCGCAGCTTGACACGGGAGACCTCTATACCTTTATTCCGCCGGATCCAAGGTCGTATTATCGGTTCATCTTGACTCAAGCAATCACCCATGACTTGAATGACCGGCTACTGGAGCCATCTGAAGCCACTTCCGAAATTCCGTCGATGAAACTACTTTCAAAACAATCCACTGAGCTCCTCAATGAATTAGCGCTGAGATGGCGCATACCTACCTTTTCACGCGCGGCCTTGTTCTTGGAGGTGTTCGGATCTAAATTTGTGGACCAGGAGGTTGACCTCGATACCCTAGATTCGGCCTTTATATTCGTTAAAGAGCCTCCTCCCGAAAAAAACAAGCGGGCCAGCTTCGTCGCACCTGTGTTTTACGATAGAAACAAATGGACGCGGGCCGATATCTGTACCATGCAGCGGATACTAGCATCACTTCACAATGCTTTACTTCGGCAACTGTATGAAACACTCATGCATTGTTATGACAACAAAATTCCACCTCTTGGCCCAGTTCTCTATGTACTTGAAAACCATGTAGAATCGGATCCCAATTTCTTGTCCAGTCCGGAAGATCAGGAGCAATTCCAGAAGTATGCGCACGACGGCTTGGTGGAAAAAGCAAAGGAGGTCTACCAAGAGAATCTCAACAAGGAAGTTCCGCCTGAGCAGGAGGCGTGGGAATTCTACCATGTAGTACAGCTTAGTAAAGCAATTATGAAGCTCTGTCAGCGGATTCAAAAGAGATATAAGAAGAATCCAGAAATTAGGGGGTAAGTAACGAAGTCTACTATCGTTGGCCTGGACTAATTTGAATAGTGTCAACCCTTTGACAGCGCTTGTTAACTGTGTTCTTCCTATATTTGCCGAAGACGCTCATGATATGGTCCGGAGGATCATCCAGCAAGCTGAAAACAACGATGTAGAAATTGAGGTGCAGGAAGGATTTGATCTATATAAGGAGCTATCAGATATGCGGCGTGTTTACGCAGAAGTTCTTCCCGGGTGAGTCTAATGAGTCTATCCCTCCTACGCAATTTTTTCTTTTTTTTGGGATGAGGAGTATTGAAGGCTGACCTTAATTCTAGAGATCTATTCCCTATGCCCATCGAAGAGCTGCTGGCTGACTTTGTCTGGCGCTGGGTCCAGCTAACCGATGAAAAGATGGTTGGATGGGTAGAACAAGCCATTAAACAGGATAACTTCATGGTTCGAACGGAATTGCCGGAGGATATACCCACAGAGGAACAGCGACACAGTGTGTCAGTGGTTGATATTTTCAGGTCGTTCAACCAGGTAGTCAACCAAATAGTCGAGCTGAATTGGGATGATGATGTTGGGTACGCAAAGTTTATGACTTCTGTGTCGAAGTCCATCGGAAATGCGCTTTCGAGATATTGCGAGATCCTCGAACAATCCTTCATCAAAGAAATGGACCGACCCACTCCTGAACAAGAAGCAGCTGCAAGGCAAACAAAGCAAGAAAAATGGATGCAAATGGCGAAGGAAGCGTGGAGCAGTAAGGAGAAAGTGGAGCCATTCCACTTTTTCCGAGAGGTAAATATGTTAAATATCTGATTGTGGTCCAAGTGCTAATTGTCCTGTGTTAGTCGTTTGTGAAACTTAATAACATCGAATATGCATTGCAGCAACTCGACAAATTAGAGAAAGGTATCAACGTTGACGCCTGCGCAGAGGTTCTCTCAAAGAATGCTCCTCCGCTGTCCAAAAAGCAGCGTAAGGCCACGAACTACGTCTTCACAGTCAAGATTGTTGAGGCAGAGGATTTGAAAGGATGCGATATGGACGGTTTGAGTGACCCATATGTGGTGCTGACCGATGAATACCAGAAACGCATCTACAAGACTCGCATAATCTATGATAACCTTAACCCGAGATGGGATGACAGTGTTGACATCATGACGAGAACACCTCTCAACATCATTGCCACACTTTGGGATTGGGATGCCGTGGGAGACCACGACTATGTCGGACGTACCTCTTTGAAATTGGATCCAGCTCATTTTAGCGATTTCGCACCCAAGGAATATTGGCTTGATCTTGATACCCAAGGCCGCTTGTTACTCCGGGTTAGCATGGAAGGAGAGCGGGATGACATTCAGTTCTATTTCGGTAAAACATTCCGGACGTTGAAACGGACAGAAAGAGAGATGACTCGCAAAACCACCGAAAAGGTACGTTAAATGAATGGACCGTCGAGTGCAGATTCCATGTTTACACCTTTCTTTTCTAGCTCTCTGCGTATATCAACCACTGTCTGTCGCGCCGCGCGTTGAAGGCCCTACTATCAAGGGGGATTAGCATGTCTAGTGTCTCTAGTTACTTTAACAGAAATCGAGCTCCAACAAGCCAAGCTCCAACACCAGTCGAAATTGAGGGAGCGCTACATCCATTATTCACATACTTCGATGATAACTTTGCCATCATGAATTTAACCCTCACTGCAGATGCAATGAGAAAAGTGATGGCACGACTGTGGAAGGAAGTGCTAGTTACCGTAGAAGGCCTTCTCGTCCCTCCACTATCCGATAAACCTTCAAACCAACGACCTCTCACTCAACAAGAAGTGGACATCGTCTCACGGTGGCTCACTCTACTTCTCAGTTTCTTCAACGCCGTTGATGAAGAAACTGGCGAAGCAAACGGTGTGCCGATGGACATCCTCAAGTCCCCGAAATATCATGAAATTCAAACTCTCTTCTTTTTCTACTTCGAACCAACGGAGCATTTAATCCGGACTTCCGAACGCATGGCCAACGCCACCGCAGCTCGCCAGCAAGCCAATCGGAACAGGCTTTCTGTGACTTCAGCATCGTTCAGCCCCCTTGCCGGCATTCCGTCTAGCCGGCGCGGAAAGAGTATAATGTATAAACGGAATTTAGGGACCATGAAAAAAGCTAAGGAGGAAAAGTGGCGAGAAGCCCAAGCCGAGCCCAATGATGATATGATTCTGAGAATCCTGCGGATGAGGCCCGAGGCAGCGGGATATCTACGAGACCGAAGTCGGCAAAAGGAAAGACTTGCGACGGCCGCAGCCGCAGATTTGATTGTTAAACAGAGCCTGATGGCAAGCGGTGGGGGACGGATGAGCGGGATCCTGCCGAGAGGATGAAGTACTCGAAATCATTGCTGGGCGGCTAGTTCAAGTTTTATCTATTAAAAGACACTGGTTTGTCGTTTGGAACGTCATCGAATGATGGTCAACGTCTGGATAGCATGAACGTTACGCAAAAGGCTTCTCGGAACAATTTCACTGGTTTTCCTTATATCCTTATGAATCGAGGCGTCATTTTTGTTGCCTTTTCTTGCGCTTTTAAGGGCAATGTCTTTATGATATCCAAGGTGCAGTGTGTTAAGCTAGTGATAAGAGTTTTCTATCGCCAATTAATGGTTACGACACTAATGATACTAAAATTTGCGTAATGTGGTCACTCGCGGCTCTACTGCTGCTTTGTATGTATACGGACCTAGCAGTACATAATTGTATATACATTCATTCGGTTCCTGCCACGTAGAGATTCCCGTCAATGTGAGCAGGTAGTCCAATCATGCTTAGTTTATGCCAGTGCAATGCACTCGATCTCCACAGGGACTTTCGCTGGGAGCTCGCGCACAGCGACACAGCTGCGAGCAGGTTTGTGCGCGAAGTACTTCTCAAACACACCATTCATCTCTTTGAAATCGCCCATGTCGACGAGGAAGACCTGTCCGTAATCGACCAGAAATCAGTCAGCCATAAGTTTAGGAGCCCAGATCAAACTCGAACTCTCAGTGGCAGGCAGGAATAGTGTTGCTGCGAGTTAAAGGGCGTGCATATCTGTTTGGTGTACGCACATTAACCTTGACGACCTTGTCGAGTGATGATCCCGCAGCGGCCAGAACGGCAGCGACGTTCTTGCAGCACTGCTCAGTCTGCTCGGCGATGGTGCCGCCAACATGCTTGGCGCTGCTATCGAAAGGAATTTGGCCGGAGACGAAGACCTGGCCATTGGCTTTGATGGCTTGAGACTGGATCAAGCGTTCAGGTTAGGAGTTTGTCTCATATCTGCGAAAAGAGACGGGAATATCAAGAATCGACGTACGTAAGGGCCAGCGGCTATAGTAGAGGTGGCAATGTTAGCCAATTGAATCCAGGTGGGGGGTACACATCAAAAGGTTTAGGTGGTAGGAAAGCAAAGCAGCAGCACTTACGGGGACAAGCCTCCGTGGTAAACACCTTGCTCATCTCGGCCATTGTTCGTCTAGATTGCGGATCAATTGAGCTATGGAAAGTGCGAGGGACTGTCTGATGGCGAAGAGGAGTTGTCAAGAGTAATCTCTGGGATAGACGTTGAGGAGCAAGGACCCTTTTAAACATATCACCCTGACAGATTGACCGGCGGAGGACTAGGCAGATTAATAATGGCAGTGACCGGATGGTAATGCATCTACGGAGTATGAGGGGTAAACTTCGCGCGGGTGGTCCAATTCAGTGAGGGGCACAGGATTATATAATGCGGCTATCTCGTACACTATTCCTGGATAGGTTTGGTATACAGAGTACAGGTACAGTTCAGCCGCGGAGATGACTAATTTCCTTCGTTAGCCGCCCGCCGGGAACCTTAAGATCGTTACGGAAAAAGGTGTGCTTTTGCTGGCAATCCTTGGAATCTTGGTGATCAAATGCAATATTGGCTAACTATTATTGATATGAAAGCCCTCCTCCTGCTCAAAAGACATCTCATCCCAATACTCCATTTTGGGTGCTGCAGAGAGAATTCCAAAATATTTAGATTGGCAGCTGTTGTCATCTGTTATTATCTTCTCCGAAGGGAAAGGCGAAGAAAATCGCGGACCCGTGGAAAGCCTCAATTTGCTAGTGAGCTCATTAGAGTTTTGATTTCCTCAGATTGGAACTTCCTACACTCCTCGCGGAAGTTCCATAGTTTTCCAGATTCTCAAAAAACGCTCTTTCTGTTCCTTGCGGCTCCCCAATCTTCTGTCGCATCTTCATGCTTTAATCGCATCTGTGTTACGAGCTAGCTGAGAGTTAGCAGCTAGGCCATCGGAGCTCTACAGAATACGGGGGTATGGTGTATGAGATGTGAGATCCATATACTCCGTAGTTCGTGCCAATTCGCTTGGATCCTACAAAGGAGGCAAGGGATCAGTCTTCTCTCGTTGATGTAGCTGGAAGCTACAAATCTACAAGGATTGGATATATCTATATACGTTATGCTGTTGAGCATCCTACTAGCTAGCTGCTAGGCGAATGCTTGTCTGCTAGCATATGCTCTTCGCTGTGTGAGAGGACGTAAATGAATCTCTTTGCCATCCGTCCCGTTTATCTTATCTTATCGGAAGTCACTGATTAGTCAGCCTTTTAATCATCTTGGCGTTGTTTGACGACATCCAATCAAATGATATCGTCGCGTCTCCAGAATCTTTCTTAAATCTGCTCAATTCTCCTCACGCCCACCTCGGTTGCGGCTAGCCGTTCTGCTTAAGTATTCGTGGATTCTCCTTCAAAGCTTCTTCCACTCAACCTCAATTAGGAAGAATGACTCCGTTCTTCCAATTGGCTTCTAAAGCGACAGCAGCTCCATATTGCTTCTTTCGCGCAATGGAGACGGTGTGGGGAGAGGTCGCTTGGGCGTTTCATAGCAGATTCTCCAGAAGAGAGAAGCTGTGAGGTTAATCGATGTATATAAAGGCGCGTGCTGCCTTTATGAGGCTGCTTTTCTTGCCTGTATCTTCGTGTTTCCGTCCGCCAGAACAGCCTTGTTCCGGTTGGATGTCGACATAGCTACTCTTCTTTCTATCTCGAGCCGATTACTAGAATTACGCCGGTGGCTCTCCCGGTTTGCAACTTTCTAGCTATGTCTTCCCTTCTCCTCTTTTTATCCCTCCTCCAGCTGGCTTCGGCCCACTTCCATGTTGACTACCCCTACTGGCGAGGAGACTCTTTCAAAACACAATACACAAGACCATGTCTGTAGTAAGCCTGCCCAACGTGAATTTTGGCATATTAACCCACAACAGGTGGTGGCGTAAACGTAACGACCAATCGTACCGAGTGGCCTGTTAATGGAGGCTCACTGCTCTTCTCGGCCGGCCACCCATGGGCGATAACGTACGTTAATCTTGGCATTGGAAACGACGACTCCGTGATCTTCGATGTTCCCCTCATACCCGCGTTCAACCAGACCGGCAACGGAACCGTTTGTTTTTCCAAAATTCAAGTTCCAGAGGGTACACAGATCTCTCCGGGGACAAACGCGAGTATTCAGGTCATTCAACTTAGCGAATTGGGGTCTGCCTTGTATAATGTATGAAAAAAAGACTCTTCTTCGCAAGATGCATTATTTCTTTTTGGATGCTTGGAATTAGGAGTGTGGCTAATGTCTGCATTGCAGTGTGCCGATATCACGTTCTCCGATAATGCGGGATTGCTGAGGTCTGATAAGTGCCAGAACTCTACGAACATTGGATGGAGGCCACTTGGCGCCTCCACATCCACCACAGGCACAGCATCTACAGCGACAAACTCAAATGCTGCCTCAGGCCTGATTGTTGGCCTAAGTACATCGAAAGGGATTGGGGTGTTCGTTGCTCTCTTGTTTAACATGGCTGGCGGCCTCTTCTAGGTATATAAATCATTTTAATGCAACCTAGGAGTTGGATATTTGGGTGCCAGAAGGGCATACGCAAGAAATATGTGAAGCAATCATTCCATTGTCACAAAAGCCAATTAAATATTACGGCTAGAGGACCAAAAATGCCTTCTCTCCAAGTTCGATTGTCATGCGTCCAATCATGGAATTGGTTGCTCTTTTTCCCACTGTGGGCCAAAAGAAACTTCGCTGTGAGAGCTATATCCATATGCAGCAGCCTTTTTATCCAGTCTCACGGTAGGACAAGAAAGCTTCCGGAAGGAATAAGAATAGTGTCAATATCTGCAACAGTAACAAAATCGAACCAAGATCAAGAAATAGATACGTATCGAAAACATGACCTGGTCAAGGATGTAATTTACACCCAACACAAGGCGCTGGGGGCTGTGTGCTCCCATAGATATCTGGTCTCTGTTCCCCGGAGACATTCAGGTATCCCACCGCCCCTTTGTCCATACGGAAAATAGCATGATCCACGAGCGCATAAGTCCCCGGGACCGACATCTCCATATCAACTATAGTAGCAGAGCCAGGGGGTACAGAGACGGTTTGTATACACTGGCCAGGTGGGCTGATCACATCGCCCTCGCGATAAACATTTTTGAAATTACTGCCGATAACGTGAAACGAGCTGGTCAGATTTGGCCCTGCATTGCCAAAAAAAAGGCGCACGGTTTCGTTGATGTTCGCCGTAAGGGGTTTATCTCTTGTGAGGGCCGACTCGCTGCCGTTGAACACGACGACGTTGGGCTCTTCTCGTAAAGCATTAGGGTACGAAAACTCTACGATGGATGATGGGCGTCCATCGTCTTCAACTTCAGGAGGTTCATGATAAAACTCGCTTTGTAGAACAAAGTATTCCTTATCCACTGGCGGGAGGTCACCCTCAGCCGGCTGCACATATATCATGCCATACATTCCATTCGCGATGTGGACTGGTACTGGGGCCGCTGCACAATGGTACACGTATAACCCTGGGTAAAGAAGCTGGAACCTTGCAGTTTTGGACTCGTTGAACCCCACGGTTGTCAACGGTGCGCCGCCACCAGGACCTATAAACGCGTGGCAATCGATGTTGTGCGGATTACCAGATGGGTCCTTGTTTGTTATCGTCAATTCTATTACATCTCCTGCTCGTGCTCGGATAAACGGTCCCGGAACTGAATCATTGAATGTCCATTGATCATATTTGTACACGCTTGTAAGCTGCGACAGCTTGGTGGTCGTGGTTAATGGGACGCGAAGAAGGGCCGGGTGGTCTCGGGTAATTGGTGGAGGAACGTTTGGTGCTGTTGTAAGTATAGCATCCTCTACGGGAAATTTTGATACGTCTATTGGTTCGTGCCCGAGGACCGTATAGGGATCTAAGTGTGAAAGGTCAGTTTCTCCGTAACCCGCGGGCACGAAGGAAATTGATCGCCTAGTAGATGTCGGCCCTGGTGATTTCACTGGAAATGGTTTCCCCGACTCACCAGGGGGCACTGGCTTGCCTGAACTCGGTGCAGGAGTTGGGTCAACAGCAGGCTTTCGTTTGGGCTGCCAATCCATCCGCACAGCGTCTCGATGACCACCATAGAGAAGTATGACTGTAGTGGTAAAGCCAGACACGGCTAAAGCAAAGGCTAGTTTTGTGCGATTCCCATATTTGTTACCGCTGCTTTTGGAAGAATCCGTTGAGATTCTTCGCGACTGTATTTTAGTTGACCGCGAAACCGTCGAAACGAAGCCTCTCGAAGAGAACGCCTCTCTCGGTAGCGAGGTAGATTGAATCGCTTTCCAGGGCGCTTTCAGAGGGGTGCGCAAGCACCTTGTACATGTATTCATAATTTCAGAGATATACTTAGAAATTAACAGTCACTCCTGGTTCTAGGCCACGAGGGGGGCCGGGTGGGGTTTTGAAAGAAAAAGCAACCAAGTTGGACAAACGAACGGAGTGCAATACAGGCAGCCAAATGTCTTTATAGTCGGAAAAGCGAGAGATTCCAAATGAGCCGTGGCTTCTCTGGCTTAAATATTATTAGTGGTGGTATTTGATGTAATATCTGATAGCTATAATTCTGATTCGACCTGCAGGGTGGAGGTCGAGGTCCGAAAATGGCAAGTATGTACGGAGTACTCCGTACTCCGTATCGGCGGGCGATGGATAACTGCCCTTAATCGAATTGAGACGGGATGGAGGCATGGGGCATTGGCAGTGCGTGATCAACCGTGCTTGAGGCTGGCGGGCAATGTTGCTTTCTGCACGGAGTACCGAGTATGAACCGAAGATGTCATTGAAAAGAGTTCGTAGGACTGGTTAGCGTGACGTCATGTTCCTCTTCCTCCGCGGACTGCATCTCCTGGGCATATTTTGGTATATCGCCTGAGGAGCCATGGTAAGTGACGCTCAGTCCCAATATGACCGGGTGCATGATTCATGGGTATTTGCGAGGAGCATTCTCTGTACAATAACCTGGGAAAAAGGGGCTGGAGTTCATTTCCGTTCAGATTCTCCGCGTTGTCGGGCGAGACTAGGGGCGATCCCATCTCGCCAATGCAGAATTCAACCAGCATGTAGGACTGCTTTGGAATCCTTCATCCGGCTGGGAGTGAATCATTGGAGGAAGTCAAGTGATGTTCTCGAGATTGCCACATTCGATTGGCTGCCAGCATGACCACCAATCGGCCCGGCTTGCAACTGGCGCACAGCTTGCATAAGTGTGAACACACCAGGACTGATCGAAGCTTGAGTGATGCACTCCGTATCGATTCTATGACCCGAAAATTAGCCCAGCGACCCGGCTTCTCTCGTCACCTTTGTTAGAGATCAAGTGTGGTTCCAGCTTCAACCTTGAAATGCGGAAGTGGATGAGACGCCAAACCTTCAAGCTGATCTGCGTATCCACCCATGCACGCCTAGACATGCTCTTCCATTCCAATCAGTTTGAACGGTAATTGTCATCTCCAAGTTGTCTCCTTGCCGCTTACACTAGGAACCTGTATTTCCTCCGAGAAAAGGACGTTAAAACCTCTGCAATATCAAACACGTAACCGGGAAAAACGATTGTTCTGGCAGAATTACTGTCGACGGAGAATGCCTCTGCGCTTGATAACTGTTGACGACGTTCTCGAGATCCGGCTCCTGATGCACTGCTTTAAGCTCCGCAAATATCCCGTTAGTGGTAAAAAACCACGTCGCACCCCTTGCTGCCTCAACACCAGTTTATTGGCAGCTCGACCGAACGCGTGCACGGACCAACAAAGCATATGCCTGCTCTGAGGTCTGAGCACTGATGCATCTGGTCAGATGAGATGTTGCCGAAGTTGGGTACGGAGAATTTTAAGCGGCTTGCGACGAAGCTCGTTTTTCTACGGCAAGGCCAGGATTCTCGGAAAAAATTCCAGCTCCGTGGAGCCAATTGCGAGAACCCTTCCGTCCGGGATGGCCTCTTCGAGCCAGGACGACAAAATCGAGAGAGTTGATCGTTGGTGTCCGTACAAGCAAGAAGGTAGAAATTTTTCACCTTCTTTATGCTGACTGACCCCCACTCAGCAGACGGTTTTGACAGGCAGTCGTATAGTTCGATTGTACGTCTTTAGGGATTCCTTAATCGAAACAACAACAAAAACGATGTCATGCTGCGCCGACGCATCACGATGACCAAGCGAACTATGCGCGAAACAACGCAATACGGTGGACTCGTCTTTCGAGGAAGCCCTCGCGGTCGAGGTTTCCGCTGATCCAAGTCACCTAAAAGGGGCTCAAAAATCAAGAGTAAAGGAGATGGCCAAATGTCTGTCGGAATTCCCAGCAATTGAGAAACAGCTCTTTCTTCAACCAAATGAGACTGTTACTGACCACGGAGAGAAATTCCCGTACTCTTGTGAGTATCAAACCAGCCTGTTGACATGAAGGTTATGGCAGGTTCAACTAAAGATGGAGGCGAATATATATGTGGTTGAATGTAACTCCGAATGATGCCAACTTATATTTAAAGTGCACAGCAAGATACTTTGCGTGTATTATGAGCGATCCCATGTTTTCATGTGGATGAGGGGAAAGAGGCCCTACAAGCCTGCATCTTAGGCAATAATGCAATAGCATGAAAAGCCTAGTTAACTATCGGCTGGACTAACTCCTCCGTAGTTGACGAGTAAACTCCAGTTCGATGTTTTGGAACTCCATCCTTTCAACCAACCGGATAAAAATACGAGATGCCCTACCTTCCCCGACAAAAACACATAACAGCACATTATCCTCGGTCTAGATTTTTTTTTTTTTATCTGTTATTCAGTTCGTTTCCCTAAGCTTAACAATTCAATTATATGCTCCAATGCCTCAGATACCTGTCCTTCAGCAGGCTGGATGAGACTGCGGAACCCCCACCGAGCCTATTGAGACCATGTCATCCCTCTTGGCAACATTTATGACAAGGTTCATTGACTATTATCAAGCTTCTTGTCGCTTCTAGGCTTGCAAATCATCCATCATGAAGAACTGGCATGCATGATTTTATGCAAGTTTGTGGGTTGTTACCAGCATGTAAGCACATGCGCTATGAGAGAAACAAACAGGAACTGACAAGAGTCTAAAACCCCCCTTATCATTGTAAAGAGCTAGTTAGACTGGGAATAACATAGCTCCAGAACTGTATTCCACCTAAGCTGGAATAGTAAAAACAGACAATAATCAAAAGGCTCAAAGATGCTAGAGAACATCCAGGACCATATAATCTTCCCAAATTTGCGCCTTTACAATGCAATCATTCTTCACCATTGAAGGATCATTTCATAGAAGCCAAGTAGGGGAGAAATATACTGTTGCCCGCCCGAGACCATGTGTCAAGAAGATACCAGAATATGCTACTAAAGCTTTCCGAATTGGCCCAGTTTCTCAAGGAACAATGCAACCGATTCTCCGCTATACCCGAAAATGACTGGTCCGTTGAAGATAATCCGAGGTTGAGGAGATTGAGGCCTCGGAGGAGGCGCAGCTGCATCGGAAGCCTGGGTGATGTCAGGACGTGGCTCATTTAATGGCTGACCGGGCTGCATAGGGTTAGATGTAGCCTCCTGTTTTGCGGAATGACTAAACGGGCAGCGACCGTTTCTAGAGGGACTACCCATTGTATCAACCAAGGGGGTAGGAGTTGGCTGTGGACGCTCAGCGGATTTCTTTGCGTTCGACCAACTACTCGCAGGAACTGGTGCGGGAAGCGAAGCGACATCGCTTTGCGCTGGCTCCTGGGAAATCGGGACATGGATTCCCCACGGTCGACCTGGAGACTCTCCCACCCGGACATCCCTCAAAGAGCGCTCAAAATGGTTCCCCCTAGCTTCGAAATCGCCGTCGTCAGCGACGACATTGAAAGGAGGAGTGCCTGGAGTCGGCGACTTGCTACTGACGTCTTCGGCCCACTTTTCGACCCTGTCCGTGGCGTCCGTCTCCCCGTTTTGTTCCATATCTGGAGGTGGTGAGGAAGGTAAATACGGCTGATGATAGGCTCCAAGCCCTTGGACCATGCTCACAATATCACCGTACTTCCCATCCAGCCGCCGAAGATTCTGTGGGTCATTCTGGTACCGCTGGATGCATATAGAGTGGCTGCGAGGGATTTCATGTTTATGCTTCTGGAAGAACTCTGCTATTTCTTCCGGCGAGTGAGCGTTCAGATAGCGAATCGGGCACCTTGCTGTTACAGAGCGAGTTGAACTCGCCGCACAAGGGGGTACACCCGGATGAAGCTCGGCCTTGATGGGATCTAGATCGTCATTTCCACACCGTTCCGATTCCCCGTTTACTACTACCTGCCCACTGGCCGAAGCCTCATCGCTGGGTTTCGCGAAGGGGCAGCGTAAATTACCTTTTGTCCCGGGTGTTGTAAAGTCCTTTTCCATGGACATTCTCACGTCGGACTTGGAAAAAGGACATGCGTTTGGCCTCTGAGGTTCATCCCGATGGCTGTGTGCTTTTATCGCTCTCCCTGCGATTTCCGAAGCTTGTATTACCGCCTTAGCACCGAACTGATTGACATAACCGGCATGCTCAATATTGCGAACCCATTCACCCGTGTCAACTGCCGCCTTTTCGTTTCTATGACTGGTAATATCTTGCGGAGGAATACCCGCCGATGCCTCTGTCTGCTGACCAGTCGACCCTTCAGCCAACTGGCTTGAAAGCTTCAGGTACTATGGTTGTAACCTCAAATCAGTACGTAAGATCGAACGATAAGTACAAGTAACGAAGGATGAATCATCAATAAAGATAAGTAATCAGATAATATACATGTCTATCACCGCTGCGAGAGCAGCTCCTGATCTAGAGCTAATGAAATATTTTTCTCATCATACAAGCCAGAGAGCATTAAAGAGCAGAAGGAGAAGTTATTTATCATTACATACCTCGTCATGGGCAGACTCTAGTCTGCTGCGAAGAAGCTGTTCCTGCCTGGTCAGTTGTTTGGCAGCTTCAAGCAGAGCATTGAATCCCTCTGCGAGCGCGAGCAGTTGTTTTGAATCTTGCTCAGGCTGAACTTCCAAGGAAGAAAACATTTTTGACAGCCCGGATCTGGGAGATCGAGTCGCGACAAGGATGACAATTATCATCCACAATATGAAGAGGAAAAATGTTTTGTCTTCCATTTTGAGAGGTATTTATGGGCCAGTGAATGGTCCGTGCACTGTGGCTTTCAAGCACACGTGATTCAGGCTTCTAAAAATCAAATTCAGCGATAAGTGAAAACAATGCAAAGTTGACCAGCATCAGACAGCGAATGAACAAAGTAACAATGGTTGGAACATGCTAAATTAGACCTATGTTGCTATCTTCCCAGTGCTTTATTCTGCTTGCCGTGGCAACCAGACATTCTCCTCTCTCTGTGTTCCAACAAGCTGTGGCCATAATAAGCTGTCTGCATGAGGCTGTGGTTGACCATCTTTTGCTTTGGAGGATGCAGTCCACCATGAAGTACTCACTCTGCTCCATTCTGTAGCTGCTTTTTGTGATTATTCTTTCAATATTTGGAAGATTTAGAGGACATTTATATCCTAGCCTGCGCGATTCCCAGAAGTTCCAGCCTAGCCAGGCTTAGTTTTGCTGCTAAATATTTCAGCTGGACTCTGATGATATTCTAACATCCTGTTGGCCTTTCCATTAACTACAGTCAGAAGTACTTGTATCTTGCGGCAATCCTCTTAGGATGCGGCCAAACATTGCAATTCCATGCTTGTTTGTCCCCATACTGTCTGCGCGTTGGGCCTCTGATAAATCTCCTACACTTTTAAACACAGGGTTTCAACTCTCACATTGTGGGACACTTGCAGTGCCTGTCTCTGAGTGAAAAGGAATGAAAACAGGATTTACTGCAAGTACACAGATTTATTCTATTTAGAAGATGATTGTTACTCAGTTGAAAGTTAACTTCAGTTTCTGGCCACAAGATTAACCTGTGTGCATTTCCAGCTTCTTTTCTAGGACTTGTTTGTGGCAGAGCATGCATGAGATAGTTAGTGGGCTAGCATTCGCTAGAGTAGCTGATCCGTGCTCTATCCAAGCTGATTGCCTCCGAAGCCCAAGATGAGCATTGAATTACATGCCCGCGGGTCTGCTTGTAATAAAGCAACTCCACAATGGAGCACTGAATTTGGACTGTGATAAAGGGAAAGAATTTCAGGTTATTCCAAGATATGGCATGTCGGTAAGAATAGAGATGAGGGCGCAAAAGGCCTGTGTATGAAAGGAGCAAGAAATGTGAATCTAAGCGTGTACATGTAGACACACATCACACAAGTCAAGATGCAGACGAACAGCTGCTATGAGGCCATTTAACTTTCAAAGGTGGCTTGGTGCATAACTCCATCTGACATTATTGGTTTATCCAAAAGAAAAAAGGTAGATGCTGATCAGAAACGTTCCTGTCTACATATCAAAGGGTAACCGCATAGATTTTGAACTAGCGGAATATTTAGGTGACAATTTCAGGCGGCTCTAGAGGAGCTTGGAATCCCATAGAACAAGCCATCACCATTGTTGTGAAAATGATGAAAGGGTTTTTTCGGGCTGTAACCGTGCCAGAAGTCAGTTCTCAGGCGCACTTGCAGCACATTGGAGACCAGAAAGGAGGACGGAATTCTCGACTTGTTCATGTAAGGCTCTGCTTGTTTGCTTGACACGAACAGAAAACACTGGGCGCCGAGAAAGCACAGAGCTCCTTTTGGTTTCAGCAGCCATGGTTACACCTAACTCGCTGGTTAACAGGAGAGTCGCTTATTGAGCCCTATTTGCCATTTGTCTCAGTCCAGCATTGCCGCACGGCAATTATTTGAAGATATGGGGAATCCGGGGCAGTATATTGAAATTCGGACTGATGCCAAACCGAGCCATTGTTGTACAACAGATTTCGTCCCATTCTAACAGAAAGGCATCAGGGTGAAGGACTCCAACTCATCCAGATTTTCATGTCTGAGAGCGACAAGCCGCGCAGTTGTCCTCGAGCTAACAACCAAATGAGGTATTGGGTGAAAGCGATAATGACCAGGCTCTGACGCTTGGGACTGCAAATACCTGGGGGTTAATTGACGTGTTGGGAGGCCCAAAGCGAACAACATGAAGTGAAATAAGACGCAAAGAATAGACTTGGACCGATTCACCATCAACCAGGTGGAAGTGTGCAGGGAGAATATCGCGAGAGTCCAGCTTCATTTTCGAAACTTGATGCAGGGGCCTCGGCCACGTTGAGCGATGTAAAACGACAGGTGTACATTTGTATGTATGTATAGGTACCTCATTTGTCGTACCTGACGGGAAGCAGCGGCTATAGGTGTATTCTGTGTCAAACCTGCCGAAACAGTGAGAATATCTGCTGTGGCATTACGCCATTGACAACGTCCATTGTAACAAATCCCACCTGGCTTTTAGCAGGTTTTCGTTTTTGGCAAGGCGCCTCCGGGGAAATATCCAACACATTTAAATGGTCACTTTGGCGACCAGAGTATGAGTTACAGCCGAGTGAGTCACGGTAAAGGTAAGCGACGGGGATTAACAGGGATTGTATCGGATAGGCCGCGGCCCCATAGAATCATTTTCGAATGCGCAGAGAATTAATCCTTCCATTTGACCCGACTTCTCTGCAGGGATTTGGGATGAGATGGTACAGAGTACACTGTACGTTGGCGAGAGACGTCCCAACAATAATTGGTCTCCCAAGGTTCTTGTCTTTGTTTTGGGGCTTTGCATGAAGTGTAAAGTACGGATCCTCTCTTGTGACGAGGCGATTAATTGCATTGAACTCCTGTGGCCTGGCTTCAGTACAAGCCCTTTTTGCCAGCCGACAAGCGGGGAGCGGCCTCTGACATGTGCGGTAAATTTCCTCACCGACCTTTTGGGAGAGAGAAAAGGCAGTTCCGAGTTCCGTGTTTGCAGAAGAGGAACGAGGGGTGGAGAGCTAAGGTTCGATAAATTATGTATGTAGTTAATTCTGGTTGACTCCCGAAGGACAAGTCCAGAACACGTCCGGAATTGATCTCCTGTCTGCAGGCAGGCGACAAGGACCGGGAGGATACAATGCGGGACAGTCTTCTTGTCGACTTGCTCTTATGGTTGTGATAGCTCAGATGCAACCGATGCCTGGAACAGGAGAACGGACGGCCAGAAGGGAACCTACCTCCCTGCACCGCTTTTCCCAGGGATAAACTTAGCAGCCAACCATCGGAGCACGTCAAGGTGGTGTGGAATTAAGTAGCGGGGACGAGATCCAGCCACAGACCTGGAGTTGCGTGTCTCTTGGGTGTTCGATGATTTGTCGTCATCTGGGCGACCATGATTCCCGTCTCAGTGAAACAATATCGCTGAACCTTTGTGTTCAAGCTGTGGACATGCTGGCTGCAAATCCAGGGAATGCACTGAGTCAATCACGCCCTGAAAACAGACAACTAGGTAGATACATCGGCACGGAACCTTGTCGTGGTACGTATCGCCTTTTAGGGCTCTGCAGGGTGGGATGGGAGGAGTGAAGTTACATGGATGGGAAGGGAGGAAACGTTTTTAATTTTTCGCTCTCTTTTTTTTAATCTTATCCCAAGGCAAGCATTCATATTTCCCCTCTCTTCCCCCGGCCCCTCGTCCTCTTCTCTCAGACCTTTTTCTTTCGCCTTTTCTTCTCTTCTTCTCTTTCTTTTCCCTTCTTTCCCTAAGCCTCCTTATCCTCATCCCCAGAATGAGTAACAACTCTGCCACCACGCAGACGAATCGTGAGCAATCCGATGTCTCCTCCAAAGTGCCCGGACACCCCTCCACCACTTCCGCCAGTTCCTCCGAACTCGCCAGTCTTAAGATAAGACTGCAAAATGCCTTGCGCCAGTTCCCGGACTTCCCCTCGCCTGGCATTATCTTCCTGGACATACTCCCGATCTTCGCCGACCCCTCACTCCATGAGGACCTTATTCGAAGTCTTGAGCTTCATGTGCTCGAAACATATGGAGACCAGAAACCCGATGTGATCGTCGGTCTGGACGCTCGTGGGTTCTTGTTTGGACCATCTCTGGCGCTTCGATTGGGAGCTTCCTTTGTTCCTGTGAGGAAGAAGGGTAAACTGCCCGGTCCTGTGGAGACCCAGGTCTACGAGAAGGAATATGGATCGGATCACTTCGAAATGCAAGCAGGTGCAATCAAACCTGGCCAGAAAGTTATTGTTGTCGATGATATTATCGCAACAGGTGTGTTTAACTATTTATGCTTCTCCTCTCTTTGAACCCACACGCTTTTCATGACCCATTATTATAATGAGAACTACATTGCTAATATGCCCCTTTTTGAACAATATCCAGGTGGCTCTGCAAGTGCTGCTGGAAATCTCGTGCAAAAACTTGGAGGCAATTTGCTGGGCTTTGTCTTCATGCTCGAAATCGACTTCCTCAAGGGACGCGCGAAGCTTCACGCACCAGTTTACACCCTCCTCTCCTCATAGCCAACGGCGAGGAGTTGTCGCCGATACATCTCTCTGGACCCGTGCATCATTCATTCCATGTCTATTTTGATTGGTTCGTGAACCGTTCTACGACTAGATACTCCGTACATCAAAAAGAACCTTTGGTTTTTTCGCCGGCCATTCTAAATAATAGACTTGCCCTACCTTTCACCTGTCATGAACAGTCTTTTTTTTCTTTTTCTTTTTCTTTTTCTTTTTCTTTTTCTTTTTCTTTTTCTTTTTCTTTCTTTCTTTCTCCCGTTTTTTTTTTTTTTTTTTTTTTTTTTTTTTGTGCTTTTTAATACTTCCCCTAGTTCCTCTTTCTCGCCAGTTCAAACCAACTATGACAACGCTTATTGGATCCCCTCAAGACTTGAGGCCAGGACTTCGACCTACCTGTGTTTCTATCAGCTCTCTTCGCTTCTTTGGTGATTTTACAATAATGACAATTGCATGGTGGCGGGACCTGGGGAAATTTTGGGCGTTCTTGGGTACAAAAGCATTATATCACTTCATAGTTAGCAGAAGATCTTGTCTTCTCGAATTCATTTATCATCCATACACTGCCAGTTGGGTAGTTAATAATTCCGATGGGGATGAATAAGCAGAGCCTAATAATAAATGCTGGCTTCGATATCCTGGTCTATTGGACTCATCTCCTGTTGTCCACAGTCAACATCATCCAGCAAACCCCGATATTTCCCGCGCATTTAAACCGCTCGGAGCGTCTCGACCGCCTTCTTACAAGGGTCGATATCAACACTTGGTATCATCTTTATTCCCCTTTGAAGTCTGATTTGACAGGGGATTGGCGAATTGCCTAACCCTGGGATATTCCACGCACGATCTTCAGGATATATACATAGTAAAGGGTTCTTTTGATAACTTCTTTGTAGATTGTAGTTGCCTAACGGCCGTTACATGCTATCCGTGCTGCTAAACATGCTGGTTTTTATTCTAGCTCGCCTTGATATGCCTCCTTTAAAATCTGTATTCAAGATGGCATAGAAATGCTAGTAAATTCCAAACAAGCATAGCTGCTGCTTCTTTGTGTATTTCAAAATAGTCACATTCAGGGAATGGAGGAATAAAAGAAAAGAAAGGAAGGACCTGTAAAGCAGCTGGAAATCAACAGGTCTGGGTTCTAAGCAGTGCCAATACTATAACCGACAATGTTGCTGTATCTCTTGATACCAAAAAAATGGCCTCCAATCGCAGTGCCGTTCCGCCCTCTGTAGGTACTACCAGGACCATTATATACGCAATTATTTTTCATATCCGAGATAGATAAGGCAAGATTGACGGCCGGTGGATATTTTACGTCATTATTCTATGCGGTGTATGAGCAGCTTTAGACCCCAAGACTGTAGGCTTTAATGACCATAATAAGACGTACATAGGAAGACCCAGATCATTACGCCAAAAAGATCGTTTAGTTTTCTTTACAAGTGGGAATGTTGCGCTTCTCGTGGCCGGCGGGAACTTGTAACATGTTTCTTCGTCTCCGCAACCCATTGATATCATACCGGACAAAAATTATGGTCGACCACGCTGCTCCTTTGACCAATTACACAAATGTTTCCTTCTGAAGCTCCAGTTTTAGCACTCCTCCATAAACATCACAATCCATCCAAAGTTGGATATAAACTTGTTTTCCTTTGTCTAGTAAGTTTTGTTTGGCAAAGCTTGTCGTAGGGACGCCGCCATGATCGTTTAAGGACCGCGGGTCTCTTGGTCGTTTGGCGTCGCCAACGAAGATTCAAGAATGCGAATAGGATGACTGTGCTAAAGGGTATTTCCCGGCTGTAGTCGAGAGAGCGATGATTGTTGCTGTAAAGTTGTACATGGTTGATCCTCGGGCCGATACAAATATTTTCATCGAGGCAAAAAGACGATTTATGCACTGCCTCAGGGCGAGGGTCAGGTTTGTAAAAGAATATTAATTCCAACAATCTCCATCATATCACACCAAGAAGCATCATTGAGCCACTGGGATCAGTTATCATGGCCGTTCTAGACTGATCCCTGCCTCGAACGACCTGCTGGTGATAACACATAATGACGAGAACCTTGCGGTGGGAGGCACAAGGCTCACCTAGAGCAGAAACTGACAAGTATCCCGCCCAGTGCAAAATAATATGCTCGAAGATAGATAAGGTAAACCTAGAGGAAATCTCCAGCTAGAAAGATTGGGCGACATGAAGTTCAATCTAGTCTTAACCTGGTCTTTACGAAATGCGTGAATAGCATGGTCCTGCTGGAGGGCACCAGGAATCCAGCTCCCAGGGACTAAATATATATCAGCAGTGCCCAAAAATGTTTTAAACACAAAAGAGGTGCACAAAAAAAGAAAATCAGTCCCCAAATGATGTCGTGAGCTTGCTGAACAGAAACATGGACCTCATGGACCGACCGGCCATCACGTGTAGAAAAGGGGTTTCCAAGGTTTCACTGAAGTAAAATAAGGTTGGGGCCGCCCGCAGCGCATCCAGGGACCATTCCATCCAGTTTGAAGAGTGCTGGGTAACTTATTTCTCCATATATCTTCTTTGATTGGCGTTGTCCTTCAGCTCAGAAACATGTCTCCCATAGCATATACAGTAAGTAATAGCCTTCTCAGCGAACAGGACAGTCCTTTCACCATCCGGGGTCCCCATCAATTGGCATTCATGTGACCGTCGCAAAGTGCGTTCGCCTCGGCTTCTCGAACGACGGAGCTGCTAACATCAACCTGGAGACTTGGTTCGCAAAAAAAAACCGAAATTTTGCCCGCCTTCGAACCGTTGCGTCGATCCACATAGTTCACCTTCATCTGCCTCTGACCCCCGCTCCGTTCACTGGGAAATGCGAATTCTGTGGGGGGCGGCTCCGTTGGCGTTTCCTGGTGCTCACCCTCCCCGCAAGCCTCTTCTTATTATGGACTGCTCTGCCATATGATAGCTCTATCCGCCTTGCCCTCCGCTTCAATCTTAATGCTCTTGGTTCTCCCTTCACAAGCCAGCGGTTGTTCGTCAAACCACCCGCTTTTCCAGTGACAATCTCAAAGGATGCTGGCATAATTCTCAAGTCTGGATTTGGAACAAAAGATCGAATTTCCGCATGGCTTGAATGGCACCAAGAAAGGAGTTTTGTCGACATCCTTGTTGTCGGCGACTTTGCAACGCAGCCAGGACAGCACTATAATTACAGCGGCCGTCAACTTAACGTCCACGACTTGTTGGCGCTGATGCTGGAGAATGGATCCCTACCCCCAGGCTTATCGCATCCACGATTGCTCAAATATTCAAACCTAACAGCTGCCATTGCCACTGGTGACACGAACCTTGCACTTGAGCTATCCAAATCCTTTGGATGGGAATTAGATGCTATGAAGGTAGTGATCTTTTACAGGGCTGAACACCAACTCGTTGATCCATTCGAGTACCTCATGTTGCTATTTCCCGCATGCTAACTCCATTCCAGTTTATTTCTGGGCTTGAGCTGGCCTATAAACGCATGCCACTTAAAAAAATTGTACATTTTGGCGGATGACGACACATACATCGTGGCCCCTTCACTGGAAGGCTTTTTAGGCCATTTCGACTCAAATCTTTGCTACTATCTTGGAAATCCTGTTGGAGATTATAGAGGCCGCTTCGCCCACGGAGGATCCTCTGTGATCTTATCCCAGGCGACTATGCGCCGACTTTTTGGGAATCCTGAAATAGTTTCTGCGGCGCATGAAGAGTCGCTTTCAGAAACTTGGGGTGATAAACTTCTTGCAACAACCTTAATCAAACTTGGGATATACCTAGAGGAAGGATACTCCCGGTTCTTTAATGGGGAACCGCCTAGGAGCGCGAAGCTCCGATCGGATCGATTTTGCATAGCCATTATGGCTTTCCATGGGTTATCTCCTTTAGCCATGCTACAGACCGGCAGAATGTTCAGACATGCTGTAAAGCCTGTGCGATGGATCGACTTATTGTCTATTTACCAGGCACTACTCCCTGACACTTTTACAAAACAATCAATTCGACAAAATTGGGACCACGTTGGTAGTCTGGATGAATCGACAAAATCAATTAACGTCCCGACTGCCGGCCATTGTGGCGAAGCATGTCACGCCGATTCTAGTTTCTGTCTTGCCTGGACCTGGGAACTAGACACCCAAGCTTGCCACATGAGCCCATGGGTGATTGTGGGAGATAACGCTCCTGGAAAAGCCTCAGGACTTAATACACCACGAGTAAAAAAGCTGGCTACCACATGCTAGACTGCCAGCAACTGGTTGCTTTTCAATTTTTTCAATTTCACTCAGGGAAGCAAATCCCTTGTGATGTCTCGTTGTTCCCTTCGGCGAAGCAGAGGTCATTATCTAGATTAAATCGTGTACCTACGCCACCACATGTTCTAGATTGGCGTGGGTTCTGTAGGGACTTTAGCAATGTAATTTTAGGGGGCTAAGGCTCAGGGCATTTTTTGGCATTTAGATTTGAAAATCTTAGGTGTGGTTTTTTTTTTTTTTTTTTTTTTTGTAGGCATTCCACCCCCACTTTGGGGATGTTTTCCCGTTGGTAGGGAAGAATCTAGGACAGCACTCTGAATCAAACTATTCGGTTGCTACATATGTAATTTTCGAAGTAGCCTAGTAGGCTCATTGATGGTTGAACTGAGGCAACATTGCCTAGGATTAAACCGCAAGAAAGGGCCGCCATATTCATGTGAGCATCGGTGTATGTACATACATGTAGTGACTAGCTGGGCTAAATTACTGGAAGCCATGCCAGCTTTTGTCTTGGATTCCGTATCTATTGTTGAGGGAGAAAACGCCCTAGCGACTATTTTAAACGACAAACAGGTTGCTAATCGGTACTCCCTGAGACCTGATCTCATACCTCTTTCTAATTCCCACGCCCAATGCGCGCTTAAAGCAATCGTACGTCTCATCTCCACCACCCACCATTACCATACTGATCGGATGTGGCCGGGGAATCCCATCAGCAACAACCTGCATCTCGTCAAGAAGTGGACGGACAAGCCACGACTCGTCCATTTCAATAACTGGTGTTGAAATTGGGGGTTCATTTTCTTTGGAGGCCGAGGTAGGAGGCTTGCCTGTCGAGCCGAGCCTCGCACTTTGCGTAGAGAGGTTGTTATTATCCCCTGGCTGAGGATAAGAGACGACAATGACAAGTTGCAATGCGGACCGCGTTGGGCGAAACCCGGGTATATTTCTTAATTTCTTAGAGAAGCTGCAGCTTCCTCGCTTGATGACAATAACTTGATGGGTTCTTGGAACAGAAGAAGGCAACGGGCCATCGCAAAGTTCTCCTGCAAGGTAGATAGTAGACCATGCAAGGCGATTGACAATCTGTTTTCCCGACGAGCTGGAGACCCACGGAGCGGGAAGTGTCGCCTCTTCGACATCTGCTAGTGGCACTGCACCTTTACCTGTGGCCGTAAGGGCCGGTAGCGACACTCGAGATACAGAGCGACCAAAGAATGCCGATCCAGCAGAAGACGCCATCACTTCGTCCCGTAGCAATGAAGTAACCTGACTCATAAACGATGAAAATGCGAATTTCATGTTTGAGCTATCGTCAACTGGCGTATGAATTTCTTCCAGTAGTTTCCCAGTACTAGTTGGACTGCTGGTCGCTGTGATTGTTGAAGACGAGGTATTGCCTGGAACCTGTGACGGTTTAAGATCGATAACGATGTCTATCACGGTCAAATCTTCAACCTGAGTAAAATTGGGATCGGTCGGCTCCAAGTTAGTAACAGTCTCACGGGAAAGGTATACCTTTTCGTCTTTCCCAAGCGCTATATTATTGATCACCTGTATACGAAACCCATCCATGGGGGTAGATGAGCTCTCAGTAAGGAAAGGCATGTCTTGAATCATGCCCAGTCGCAGCCCACTCATGGACTTAACCCAAATTCCATCCGCAACACGCTCCAAAGATGCAGAACTGAGGACAGTGTTTGGCATCGGAGGAAAAGAGAGGTCAAGGGTAGGTCTCGTTGCCATGGGAGCGCTTATTGCATTAGGTGGTACCACCTCAAGGGGCAATGTCCACGGGAAGTAAGTGTAATTGGACGGAGAAACGAGATCTGAGAGTGTAATGCTTGGGTGATCTTTTGAATATTCAACAATGGCAGATTCAACTTGGGCTCTGGGAGGCATAAGAGGCAGCCTGGCTAAACTTGCTGCATGGAATACATCTGATCGCGCTGCAATTGTAGACAACCCAAAGGGAAGCGGAGGGTGTGGTCGAGGGCAAGTCTCTACCTCCGACGCGTGAAACTCTATATGCTTTTTTTTGAATTTCAAACGTGTGCTGTGTTGTGCTGATTTTGGTATCACAAGCGGATGGCCTTCCGTAGTGAATACGAAGGGAGAATCGAGATGGTTCAAAGGATGGGACGGGTCAAACAGTAGAAAGAGATATTTTGCAGTTTCTCCTAAGAAGAAACTCTCCATTCTATTGCTTAATTCTCCAGTTCGGACATCTTGGAGACCGGCCCAACCGCACTTTGTCCAGCATCTTCGCTTGATATCCCTCATGGCCATTTCCCCGACATGGAGGTACCACGGATCCTCCGTGGCGCGATAGAGGTAATACGTCGATTCAATGAATTCCGGGCGTCCTCCCCACCAGGTTAAGCCACCTTCGATATCACCGGTGGCAATATTCCATCTTTCGGGTAACGACGAGAATCGCGTCCATAACGCTGTAGTCAAGAGATGGGCTTCGGTAGCCCCGTCCAAATCCCCAGATAGCGTTAATAAACCAGGAAAATACGCGCTTAAGCTATCCATCCAAAACGCGCGTGTCGCTCCTGTAATGATGTCTCCCTGTATATAATGAGGATATTGGTAGCTGGAGCCGCGATACAAATGGTGCTTGATAGAGTGTCGCGCTTGTTGCCATGCCTTGAGGAAGGCATCAGGAGAATGGGCCTCTTCTGACAATGGCGTAAAATGACCGTCTAGCTCATGGAAAGGACCAGACGCATTGAAGACCAATGGTTGACCTTCAGAAAGTAAGATATGAGACTTCAATGCATACTCAAAAAAACTATCGATGCCAGCACCAATCTGGAAATGGATAATCAGCAGACAGTCTTTAACGAATGGTGGCAGCTTTTGGGGGTAAAGCTTGGGAAGAACGCAAAAACTAGCTTACCCCCGTATATGAATTGACCCATTTCCCAGACTCCGCATCAATGCCAGCACCTATTAAACCAATTTCACTGCGTCTCGCCCACACAGACCAAAATGCTCTTTTTGCAAACTCTTCAAAGCGGCCGTCACCAGTAAGTCGGCTAAGGACCGTAAATTCTAAGACCAAGCTTCCGGCGCCCGCGCTACATGTCTCGGTGATTTCCGGAGGGAACGTCTGCTCCGAGCGAGATGTTCCCCCCTTAGAATTGGCATTTAGTGGTGACTTAGGATAAAACGGTACGCCATGGCGTAAATTAACTCGAGGGTACGGAAGGCCGGTCGCCGTGAAGAACGCAGGAAGCAGGCGAGTCCCCAGGTCCATTGCAAGCCTGAGCAGTTGACCGTCATACACAAAACCGTTTGCCCAGCGTATCCCGGGACGACCTGAAGAGTCATCCTTCTTATTCCATAGCTTTGCATAGGACACTTCGTCTGCAGGAGGATGGTATCCCCGAATTGGCAGATCACCGACGGCAAAGAGGTGAGCACTCAGAAGGCCACCTAGAATGGATCTCGATCCCCGAGTAAGAATCACATCCTCATATATAGAAAGCATTGAGAAAGGCCAAAGTGTCTTACCAAGGCCACGAATGACCGTCTCGAAGACTTGGACTTTGCTATCAGCGTCAAATCCTTTTCCTCTCGAACCTGTACCCATGGCACCGTTGGAACCATCGCCATATAGCTCAACAAGGTGTTTCACCCCATCTTGAAAGTATTTCCATGCCTTCCAACCCTTGTGAGCCCTCGAGCCGGCATCCGATAATATTGCCAATGTCGACAAACTATCCACCAGGGTAAGTGAATAATTCCCGAGGACATCATTCAACTCAATATGCGCGGGGTTTTCGCGGTCGCGTGTCAAAGGTCCGCAGGACAAAGGACGCAACTCGTCTTCCGGAAATGCATATTTCATATAATTATCAAATCCATGATAAAACATATGCTCTGCCTCTGCCCTATAAGGTTTTCCTTTACAATCAGTGACTGCGTTCTAAATTCTGTCGCATGACAGGAAGCGACAAACCTGAGCTCTGCAATCTGGCTCTCTCTCATCGCTTGCACACACGAGAGCCATGGCAGCAGCGCCAACGCCCAGAAGACCCATGTTTTGATAATTGCTAAACCGGACATCTGGGGGCGCCGGCATCTCGAGCGCATCACCGGTTTTCTAAATTTCTGAAAGTGGTCATGAGAGCGTACGCTTGGTTCCAAGCAGCCAGCTAGGAACTAAATGGCTTACTTGATAGGAAACAAAAAAGTCAGATGCTCAATATATATATACAAGAAGAGCCTCCATCGCGAGGTCATAGGGTTTGCCAAATGTTGTCTGTACATTTGCTCGTTCTACTTGCTGGGTAACTAAAGGACAGATAACCTCCTAATTATGTCAGCAAAAATTCCACTCAACCTTGTCAGATACCCTGTGTCTCAATTTTTCGCGTCAACGGCGCCAACAACTCCGTGGGATATATGTACATAATGACCTGCATGATTCGATGCAGTCTATATTTTAAAAATAGAATATAGGACAATATAAAGGAACAAAGGTAATCCCAGACCAAGCTCCGTCAAATCAAAGGAAGACTCGCTCCCTGTTCGCCTGAAGTTCAAAAAGAAAAAAGGGGACAAAAAGCTTCAGTTTAGACCAGCCGGCCCCTGATGACGGGGTTAAAATATTAAAAAAAAAAAAAAAAAAAAGGAAGGAGGGGGATTCAATGGTTGGAAGTCCTTAGGTTCTTTAAGCACAATTCCGCTCGGCGGGATGTATCGGGGATGGCTCCGTCGGTTGTATGCAGGATGGTTGTTGTAACGACCGCGGTTGTACATCAACAACATACCGAACTCCATCTTCGGAGACATAACTGGGTGGCCGATTCGCTGTTGAAGGCCGTGGCTCTTCAGTCTGAGAGGAACTCTGTCCTTCGGAACCACTTTCCTCCACTCGTTGCCAGTAGATCAAGTTGGGGTTTATTCTCTGTGGTTCGAAAGTCAGCACCGACTCGTCGACGTATGTGGCTGTTACTATAAATTTTAAATCAAGCGTCGAAAAGTAAACAAACGTACCATACTGCCTCTCCACAGACCGTATGCAGGAGGCGGGGAAGCAATTGGGGAATTTTGGCCATCATCTTCCGTGTCGCTGGCGGCGATTTCTTCGTCCCTGGCAAATCTTACATGAATCGGCCGGTCTATTTCCGCAAATCTTACTCGCCGACCGTCGTAAGGTCCCTCATCCGAAGGACAATTGGAAGCAACCATGAAAAGGCGCACGAAAGAGTGGCAAAAGTATATCGTAAGAATCATCAAAATGAGAATAAGAAATATGTGAAATTCGCGTCCTTTTATCGATGTCGTCAATGCAAGCGTCATGTCTATACGGTTGATAAGCTGCTTGCACTCCGTACTGTACCTATAATGAGAAAAGTCCGCGAGGGGGTACTTACATACTGCTAGCACGATCGCAAGAATTGAGCCGGATATACCGCAACTGATCATTTTTCTCTTCGCTTCCCTTGTTTTAAACCCCGGGCCCAATCTAAATCGGCTTCTTACGGTATTCCGTCTCGTCTTGCGGGATGGCCTCACCCATGCAATAGGATATCGCCATCTACCATTGGATGGCATAGACGAGTCTCCATGGCTGGACGGTGAAGTTTGGGGAAGCGGCCCCCGTGCTTCTCCACTTCCCTGACTCGTTGGAGTTGTGTTCGTTGAAGATATTATGTGGGCGTCGATGGCTTCTGCTGGTGGTGACGGCCCATGGTCGGTGTGTGAAGGCAATTGGCTTCCCTCCGAGCGTTTTGGGGGGAATAAGCGGAATCCTAATCTGCGGCTTCGCGAATTCACGGATAACTGGTCCCCATCTTGCCTTGTAGACGCTGGCTTTCCAGCAAAAACGGATGACACGCGATTGCGAAAAGATTCGAACCGGGTTGCCATCGGCTCTGGTCCCCTTAAATTCCTCTGCGATCGACGTCTAATAAATCGAGACTTTGTTGATGCGTAAATAGCGACATGAAAAGAGTCCCAAGTCTTATTTCCGTTCTTTCATTAACTTCTCTTTTTGAGTATCTGAAAAATATCCACAATTCACCCCCTTAAGCTCTGCGTCCGTTTCTTTGGCGATTAGTGTGTGCGTGTGGCTGAACCTTGGAAGGAGAGACTAATTTTTCAGGAGGTTATGCGGAGTACAATGTCCTCAAAAATCGAACTGCCCACAATCCATACCATTCCACCTGCTCACAACAGTCCTCACGATTCGAGTTGCTCTGAAAAAGAGGAGCGAGGTGGGAGGGTTTTTCTCAGTGGGAAACGACAGAACGCACCATATCAAGAGAAGAGGCGGTGCAAACCATGAACGCAGTAATTTCAACCTGAGACTCGACGGGGAAAGCCCAGTGTTGCAAATCGAGCCGATGAACCAGCAGGAACAGGTCGCCAGCGACAATTCCCAGAAGCTCACTGCCCTACTGAAATGCAAGCCCAGTCCGGAATGAATCCAATCCAGCCCAATTCCGGCTCAAGGACCGACCTTTCAACGCTGTCCAGAGTTCGACAGGGCGATAGATTCTCAACGCCATAGGACGAGGGATCAGCAGCCGGAATTACCAAGAGGGCGAACACCCCATAGCGAGGTCACAAAACGCAGCGTTAGAAAACCTAACCTGTAACTCAAGTCAAACAAGCTGCCCACAATTGTCGACAAATCTGGCAGGGGTCTCCAGTCAGTGATCTCCCCAGGCCCCTTGGCCAATTGATGCTCTTGAGCTGATTCGCCTGCAGCAACTGTATCCAAGCACACGGAGGCACGAAGCCGAAGGCGGTTCGAAAGCTCCAGCCCCGCGTCTTCGTCCGAAGAGGCGAGGAAAGAACGCGATACATGCTGAGAGGTGTGCGGAGGAGGAACAAGGGGGTGATTTTGGTTTTTTGAGTGGCGTTTCAAAGTTCGTGATCCAGGGGCTATCGTTGGCCAAAAGCCCGCCGAGTGTCCGTGATGTGAGCGCCAGAGAAGGCTTGGCGACACCCTGATTCGCAAACCCATGCGCAACAATACCCAATTCTCCGACAAATCAGACAAGAAAGGATAACTCTGTTGGTCAATGACGGTGAGCGTGACCATCTCAATATACGAGATTTTGATGTTGATCAGGGCAAGGCATCAGTTCTATCCCGTCTTTTCTCAACATTGGGCACATTCCTTTCTCGGGCAGGCGGTGGTAGAACCCGATTCTAGAGACTGCGATGTTTATATTCCGTATGCGAGGGAGATAAATGGGGCATGGACATGGCTCCAAGGAGTTTAATTATAACTGATGATCATTTTTTGAGACAAACACAGGGTGGGAAATTAGAATTGTCAAGAGAAACCCGCTTTTCATGGGCAAGATAAGAGATTTAATTCGAGGTTCTAACGGAGTACTCTGTAGTTCCTTAGAAAATGGATGATATGAAACAACGAAAATGATCCCAAAAAAAATAAAAATAAATATGGACAGCGGGGTATATTAAGAACCAACGTTCCGTTATTCATACTCGTCGTCGCTTGACGACGAATCACCCTTTGACCCAAGCGCAAACACCACAATCATCAACGTTGAAACAATCATAGTAAACGCGATACCGCCGGGCCACGCATTCTTCGCCTCGTGCCGAAATTCCTCCGCCGTACGGAACAGTATCACCCAAGCATTCGCGCCACGCTGCAACACAACCCCGTGACACCAACAGCTATCGTAAAGTCCAATATTCTCGAACAGGGTGCTGACGACCAACCATGCCGCATTCATGACGGCGACTGCTCTTCCGCCGCAGCGTAACATAATGGCCATCCTTCCTAGCAAGGCGGGGCCATAGGGACTCGCAGGTCGCGCCATTGCAGCATGCGACAACACCATTGACACAAGCAGAGCCACCCAGGAGATTGTCCCGAAAATACCATAGAGAGCATAGCTCCCTGACCGACAGCCGAGACCTCCGGGTGGTGTGAGATACGCCATGAGGATCGACGCGCCAGTAGCGCCCCATTGTACCGTGACAGCCATGATCGAGGCCAGCACCATCCGCCACCAAACGTCTGGCGGGATGTTTGAAAATCTCGGGTACGTTGCGAATCGTTCACTGTGGATAATGCGAATTTCGGAAATCTCACTTTCGGATACCATGTTGAGAACTTGGGATCCTTTTCTCTTCGAAATCCTATCCGTTTGCCAGGTCGCTTCCGTCTCCGCATCGTGTTCTATAGCAATACTCTTTGATGTCTGAATGAAAGCGTTGGCCGTCTGCCACCATGTGAATAATCGCGCATAGTTATACACTGGGCCCTTTTGGAGTTCATCTCCGGCAAAATTTACTCCAAGCCAACGGGAATGATTACTGTTCCAATTGCTGCGAATAGATATGGGGCTTTCTTCTCCGTCAAAAGAGGGCTCCTGGTGATCGGAGTCACCCTGGGGCTCGGCTGAGCGATCAAAATGCTTTATGCGCAGGGCGTCTTCCACCGCATCGTGCGTGCTCTGAGTTCCGACGATGACCCATCCACATATTACGGGTATCTGTGACAAGCTGTTAGTGTCGATTGATATAACTACTTAGCCACAGGGGAATCCATGAACTCACCAACCACACCCAAAGTGTCCCTGCAGTAATCTCCATAACCGGGTCTAGGCTATCGATTGATGTTAAAAATGATGCGATAACGGTGAAGGTGTAGGCGATCACAGCGGAAAGTGCCTGAGCCACAAGAGACGCGGTAACCCCGCGCCTCGAACGCCGTAGCCGCCCATTCAGACCCTGCCACCAGACTTCCATTTGGGGCTCGAGCAGCCTTCGCAAGCTGTCTTGATCAGATGGCACCTGCAGAGGAACCTGTTGCGCCTCAGCAAGGAAATACTGCACGGCGCTAATTTGACGTTTGTACCGTTTCCGGGTCTCGCGACGTAAGCTACCAATTAGCAAATTGAGTTCCCGGCGTACCCAATATCGGTTGAGCATCGTGATGGTCAATGAAAAACCAAGTAGCGCAGGACTACCGAGGGCAAGACAGAGGCTCATGATGTCACTCCACGGACTTCCGGTTTCGTACGGCAGTTGCGCAGTGAGGGCCAGCCATGGCAGAAGATAATTCGTAAAAGCCGAGGAGAAGGAGCTGAAGTTGAAATTCTATCCCTCGTTAGTATCTTAACCTAGTATAAAACATAGGTAGACGGATATATGATGTTTACCGGCCAGGGTAAGGAATCAGAGCTGCAATATGCATTGCATGTCTCGATATCAATCCCCCAAGTACGGTTGTCCAAGGAGAAAATGGGCCGTCCAAACTTGTCAGTTAACCCGTGTGTCAGATTCTCTAGGCCGTCGCCCAGATATTTTGTTAAGGAATCAAAGCAATAACGTTCCCAGCCAGAGACAGGTATTCTTTCTTGAAAGGAAGGGTCCATCTGTGCCGAGAATGTGAGTCTAGAAAATAGTTTTGGAGTTTCATAGTTCCACTGGAATGAAGGGTCTGGATGACATGATAAATCATATTTTATCTGCAGAAATATGTCCTGCATATATTGGTAGGAGTTAAAAAAAAGAAAAAAAGACCAGTTGCAGCCTTCTTGTGCTGCAAATGAGGCTGTGCGGCTCTTCTGGGCCTGGGGTCAACGGTCCCCCTCTGACCGATTATCAGAGTCATGCCCAAACCCGAACGTGACACATCTATTTTTAAAAATATTGTCATCTACTCACAAGCTCGACCTGGCGGGCATTTGCAGAACCGATGAATGTAAGCGAGGCAAAGTTGCCGGAGCACTCGTATACGTACAGCATGCTGGGTTAAGCCCCTCGTCGAAATTCATCAGATCGCCGTCAATCAATCCGCCAAGCAATCAGTCAACAAAGAAATCTATTCGTATATCTGGTGCGTCAACTGCCTTGATCGCTGTCCTTGACTTTCTCCCCCCGCCCCGTATGGAATAATGAGGCTGCTGAGGAAGAAATGACTATCTGGCAAGCTTGCGGGAAGTACCCCAAGGCGGGAGGCGCACGGCACTGTATCCACGTGACATTGCACTGCGCATCCAAGCGGACGGCGGAGCGGGTAAACGGTATTTACTTACTTCGAGCGCGAAGAGAAATGCCATATCACTGTCTACTGCAGGAAAAGGTCAAAGGCAATAACACATATCCGTGGTGACGGACAGGAACACACAAAGTCAGGGGAGGCTTTTTTTCAGCCACTCTTGAGGAGTATACAATACAAGAATCCAAGCCAAAGCGCTAGAAGAAATGAAAAGGTGCACACGTTGAATTTTGGAATTTGCCAGATTCGAAATTATTTGCTAATCTCGCCAAGGAAAATGCAACGATCGGACGATCCCGAAACGACTGGTCGAAGAGTATATGTCAGTAAACAAGGCTTTTTTTTCTTTTAAGGAGGATGGAACTTGGGACATGGTCTCTCCGTGACTTACTTATGGGCTCGTCATTTGGCGCAAAGCGCACATCATTGACAACTCCCTTGTGGCCTGGAAGCTTATATAAAATCTTCGCTGACTTTGTATCCCAAATCACCACACTTCTGTCCCCACTTCCCGCAGCAATCTTTTCTCCGTTAGGCGACCAGCTGGCTCTAATGAGATTCTTCTCGAGGCCTGTCGTTGCGCCGTCATAGGTCTTGATGTGTCGATCTGCCGGCGCGAACGGTCGGATATCCCACGTTCGAACAGTGGAATCATGGGAATTTGAGAGCAACGATTGCGAATCCGGCGAAATCTGTAGAGATGTAACCGTATCTGTGTGGCCAATCATGGAGTATACGATCGATCGTTTTCGAATATCCCAAACGTGAATATCGTTATCGATGCCGCCGCTGTAAATTTCATTTCCAGCCTCGGCCAATGCAACCGCCGTGATGGGCATTTCAGTCTCCAGAAAATCTATCGCGTCTTTCTTCCGGGGATCCCAAATTCCAATACATCCATCATCGCTGCCGCTAATTAGGAGCTCTTGTCCGCGCTTGCTGAGATCAAGGCAGTTGATGACTTCTTCATGGCCAACGTGCCGACGTATCCTTTCTCCAGATTCAAGGTCCCAGCTAGCGAGAGTCATATCTGCAGACGCGGAAAAGATAATACGAGAGTCGCGAGACCAATGTAAGTCTAAGACAGCGCCTTTGTGTCCGGTCATCACTCCGTAGTTTTCGCATTGCCCGTACGTTCGCCATAACACTAATATAAAGATGGAGATTAGTTTCCATTGCCCACAAGTTGTTGACCTGAATTGCGTACATATTGACCTGTCCATTCCACCAGATGCGATGTGTTGACCGGTTGGATCGAACCTCGTCGCAAACACCTCCCCCGTATGGCCTAAAACCATGCACGATCAGCTGATCCGGTCAATCATCAGGGCTTTTGCCACACTACTAACCAGTAAGTTCCATAATAGGAGCTTCGAGGCCACTCGTCCGGGGAATCTGTGACCACAATCAGCACTCTTTTTCTCCTTCCCCCCAATTCTTCCACAGGGAAGAGATTTTTGGAGCACGGCATACAGCTTTCATCAGCGCCCCATTTTGAGAGGTGCTACTCGATACAGCAAGAGCATTGTTATTTCCCAAATCTGCATCTGAGCGCTGTCGTTTAACAAGCTGCGTTGACCCGAACGAGTCTTGAGCTGGTCTTTTCTCGGCGGACATCATTATCATCGCATCAAATAAATTGGGAAACAGAAGCGGGAGTCCGCAGTCGATCTCGGCACAAATAAAGCAGGGTGCGATTTAACCGGGAATTATTTAATGCGAGGGCGTGCGACAATCCAGGGGCTGGTATATCGAAAATCACCAGCCGCTGCTCGTGATGGAAACGAGGGTCGAACGGGGTTTGGAGTTGCTCCGCAAAGCAGCAACCTGCTGTGAAGGTTTGCTTCCTTTCACTAGCGCGAGAAACCCCCCAAGCAGACGGCGTCTCGGCGGCTGGAGCGCTTAAATTTAGCTCAGCTCCACAGGTCAGCACGCGGGTCTGATCATCGTATTCTAATTTCAAGAACATAAGCATATTTGAACTCATACTCTTGGACTCTCTCCTCCGACACAGCATTCTTTCACTATCCCTGACTCAGAACTCAACAACATCCATCGGCAACTCCCTCCCAGGGATTTATTGCAGACTTACAGCTTGGACCTTCCCCCCCCCAAAATCCCTGATACTGTCAATATCATGTCGGCCACAAAAGCCGCCAGAATAGGAGAAGAGTATGGTTTATCTTCCCGATGCTACACTCCACCCACTATTATTCGGATCGATGCTAACACTCTTGCTTCCATCCAGGATATGGAAGTGAGTAAAAGCGAATCCTTTCCATCCCGGGCCGCCTATGTTCTTGAGACCCCTTTCCATCCAGCCCGATGGATACTCGCGCAAACAATGCAACGTCCAGATAGCATATTACTCACCGAAGATATAGGACGAAGGTTGACAAGGTGAATGCGGAACTGGTCACTCTGACATACGGCACCATTGTCGCGCAGCTCTGCAACGACTATGACCATGACTACATCGAGGTCAACCGGCAACTAGACAAGATGGGATATAATATCGGAATGCGCCTGATTGAAGATTTTCTCGCAAAGTCGAGCGTGGGGAGATGTTCAAATTTTAAAGAGACCGCAGATATGATTTCCAAGGTCAGAATGCCTCCAGCTTGCCTAGGATGAGGAAGAGGGATCGACGCTGAAAGATCTGCCTTGAATGCAAATATACAGGTTGGCTTCAAAATATTTTTGAACATCACGCCTACTGTGACGAATTGGACTAGCGATAATAAGCAGTTTTCTCTGGTTTTTGATGAGAATCCGCTTGCGGACTTTGTGGAGCTACCGGATGATGGACGGGCACAGGATGAACTATGGTATTCAAACATTCTATGCGGCGTGCTAAGAGGCGCATTGGAGATGGTAATTGCGCCCCTAAATATTCTCCAGCCTAAGCTTGCTCGCAGTTCCACTAAACAGATGACTATGATGCAGGTACAAATGCAGGTAGAGGCACATTTTGTGAGTGATGTTCTACGCGGAAACGATACGACAGAGATGCGGGTCTCGCTGGTGAGGTACCTTGAGGACGAAATGCCGCCTGACGATGAGTGATGTTGAAAAAAGGAAAAGAAAAAGAGAAAAAAAAAGGAAAAAGGAACAAAAAGAAAAAAAGACAAAATAAAGCAATGGTGAAGATTTCCCCTGTTGAATTATACTGCGAACTGGATCGCGATCAAATTGTGCATGGAGTTTTTGGGGGCCGTGATTTTCTTTTCTGCCAGCATGTTCCTCTTAGGCGCCCATTGTCCCCCCCCGTGATCTAATTTGAGGATGTCCTCCCCTGGAAAGTAAATCTCGCGAAGCCTGGTCCCCGAACCTAGCCGCCTGATGTCGCCTGGAGCAAGCGCGGGGTGCTGTCCTGCAACACACGCAACTCCTCCTCCGGCTGCGATCGATGGTCTCTGGGAGAGAAAATGAGAAAAAAAGAGATAGAAAGAGAGCCCTTTTCTTTCTTAAGGAGCGAGCGACAGAGGCACGTGACCTGTGATGTCTGTTTCCCGGCCAATCAGCGCGGGCGGTCGGGCATCTCTCTCGCAGATGATTTTCCGTTACAAAGAGGGGAAAAAAAAAAAAAAAACGTCAGAAACCCATCAAGAAGCCCATCAAAACTTCCCCCCGCCTCTAGTCAGGCGGTTCTTCCAATCCACCGCAAGGGATGAGGTTGCACAAGCAAAGAACTGTGAGAAGAAATCAATTGTCTGGCAACTTCACCAATGACGCAGCGTACTGAGATTAAGCATAATAACCTCCATGCTCAAGCAATGAGATTATCGCCATCCGTACGGGAGTGTACCTAACATACATGCTCATACATGCACGGAAGCCGGAGTGGGTGTCCAGTGGAGGTAATGGCGTTACCAGTGCACCGTATTGTGAAATCATGCAAGTCTTGGCCGTGTATCAACCGGTTTGACCTGAGTAAGGGACCCTTTTCTTTACCCCAACTCTCTCTGTGTGTGTGTGTGTGTGGTTCTCTCCCACCCCACAGCGAGGACAGCTACACCGGCCAACATTGTAGATACAGCAGGCATTGGCAGCCCTGTAGACTGAAGCCGGAGAGGGTGCCTTCAGATGCAACTGTTCCTGTAGGCATGGAGATACGTACTTGCGGTCCGGTAAGAATGCGGCGGTACGGTAATTTCGCCGCCCCCCCTGGCGCGTGATGGGTGCCGTGACAGAAAGTGCGGCGGGCGGGCGTAACTGCAGGACCTCCCGCTGGCAGCCTCCCCGAGCCAGCGAGAGAATATCATGGACGATTTCTCCCCCCAGCGCCGCACCGATTCCGCTTCAACAAATTCGCTGCTCGCCCGTGATCGCGTCGGAAGCGAACGAAGAGATGAACGTCGAGGCCGTGCTGCTGTATTCACGGGTCTAGGGTGAATTGGCCTGTTCGAGCGTGTTGAGACGTCATCCAGTCCTCTCCTTCAACCGTCAAATTCCACAGTCACCGCAAACCCAAACGCCAAACCCAATCTGCTGGTCCCTCCTCGCTGCCCTTTTTTTTTGCCTGGTAAGCAAATCCCAGCGCCCAACCACACCACTTTCTCCGCCCCCCGACTGGAAAACAGAGGATCAATCGCCCTGCAACTCTACCCGCCAGTCGACTTCATCCACACACTTTCTTCGCGAACACACGCAATCCTCTTCTTTATTCTTCGTCGTCTTCTTTTTTTCTTTTCTTATCTTTTTTCTTTTTCCATCGCGAAGACGGCGACCATGTGTCGCTAGCGCCCATCTTCGTGTGGTTATCTCAAATGACTGACGCGCTCCAGTCGACTATCCAAGGTTTCCATCCTCCTCCCTCCAGCCATCGCCAGCCCGCCTCCCGGCCACAACCCTAGAACCTAGCTTTGATATCCCACTCTTGTCTGAGCGCATCTGCCATCATTTATTTATTTCTTTCCACTGTCGCTTTCCGTTTCCCAACCTACGTCCCGCTCGTCGCGACATCAGGCTCTTCCGCCCGAATCTATACCCGTACGTTCATTCGTTACCGGTTGGTTCCAAGCTTTGTCATTCCCGTGGGACATCCTATTAAAGTTGTTGTGCCCTTCGCTCGCCCACACTCAATCAACTCGCCACCCCAACGCCCCATCTCCAACAAGAACTCAACTTTCAAGTGTCAACAGGTGTCGCTGGATCTAGTTGCACCCAGCCATCTCGCAGACCCAAGAAAGGGGAGATCTAAGCAGCAAGGCTATTGTCAGAGTAGCTTCGTCCTTCTTTCCTCTTACCTTCTCTGGCCGTCTTCTTGTTGTTGACCCGGCAAGCTTCTGTCCCGCTCTCCTCAAGCCCCTCACTTCCATCCATCGGCCCCCACCCTCCTCCCGTCGCTTCTCGCCGGAGTATCTATCCCAGCTTCGTGGGTAGGAGTAGGTCAGATCCTTCGCTGGTTTATAACACCAAGTGACTGGCCCAACTCGATACCGTCATGAACCAGATGAACATGCAGGGGATGCACCCCGCCGGAGGCCCAGTGGGTGGCATCCCCATGATGAACACAGGCTCTTCCGCTCCCCGTAGCGACCCTAATGCCAATCCGAACGTCTCCCCGGACCACACCATGGTCGTACAGCTTAACACCTACATCTACGATTACTTCCTCAAGCGTGGCTATATCGACTGCGCCAGAGCTCTCGTCAAAGATAGCAACGTCCCGATGAACACAGCCGCACCGTCAAAATCCGGCCACCGCGACGGTGAAGTTAATGGCGTCGATCCAAATGCGATGGTCACAGATTCAAATGATGATGCAAAACCAAAAATTCCCGACGATCTTCCACGGCCTAATCTGAACGGAGATATGCAGCAAACGTCTTTCCTTTTTGACTGGTTTAACCTCTTCTGGGATGTCTTTTGGGCGCAGAGAAAGAAAGGAAAGAGCACTGATGCGATGCAGTATCTTCAGCACACACAAGTATGTCGAACACGCTTGACGCCTTTTTCTTCTCGCTAATAAACTATTTTACAGAACATTCTTCGTCTCCGTGACCACCAGCAAAACCAGCTTTATCGCCACTCTCAAATGATGCCCAGTCAGTTTAATATGAGAATGGGGAATGGCATGATGCGAACGAATATGCAAAAGTCATTAATGCAGGCAAACGCTCCTAATATGTATGCTATGTTGTGCCGATAGCCAGGCCGTTGGGATGTGCTGACCTTACACCTTTTGCTAGGACTCCACAACAACTTGCGCAGCTGCAGCAAAATAAAGCTCAACTGATGCACCATCAGATGCAGCGCGAGCATTCGGACATTGAAATGAATGGGCATCGCCCTCAGTCACCCTCCTCTGTCGAGAATGCGCCCTCCCCGTCGAAACGACCTCGCCTTGATGGAACACAGGTTAATGGACAACAGATGACACCGAATGGTCGCGCGCAGTCACAAGGAATGCCGGGTCAGCCAAATCAACAGACCAATAATCTGTTGATGCAGCACGGGATCAACCCAAGAAATCTGACTCCGGCTCAAATCCATTCACTGCAAGCACAAAATCCATCGGTACAAGCAAAGTCTCTCCAGGTATATAATCAGAATCTGGCAATGCATCACTCGCGCTCAGCTATGAATAACCAGGGTATGCCAAACGGCTTAATGAATCCCGGTGTGATGCCAAACCAAGGCGAAGTCATGCCCCTACACGACGGTCAAGGAATGCTGCCGATGCAGGATTACTACGCACCGAACGGCCAGATGGCGCAGATGCGACCCGGAATGCAAACGCCCGGCGGACAGGCTGGTGGTGGGAACCACGCGCTTCAAGATTATCAAATGCAGCTGATGCTCTTGGAACAGCAAAATAAGCGTCGACTTATGATGGCTCGACAGGAGCAAGATAACATGGCCCGGGCTGATGGCCAGCCTGGAATGGTTCAGCCGAACCTGGCTCCGGGAACTTCTCCCCAGGGCAGTAGAACCGGTGCATCTCCAAATCCAAATGAGCAGATGAAGAGAGGCACGCCAAAGCTACCTCAAACTGGTCTCCCCGGTTCGCCAAATGTTGGGGATAATATGGGCCAAAGTCGTGGCTCGCCTGCATCAATGAATTTCGCTGGCGGGCAAATGCCCCCTGAGATGGGTGGAGCTGCGTTTTTCAGTATGAAACCCGAAGGGGTAGTTGGCCCCAACGGGATGCGGCCGCCAAGCTCGAATCCCGCATTCAGTGGTCCTCAAATGACACAGCCGATGGATGCGATGGCGCGTCCGCAACCGCCTGGGACAGCAAACAGAATGCCTGCCGGCAACTGGCAACAGACCCCGCAAGGCCAACCTATGATCCCGCAACCGCAACAGCCCGGTCAAGGTCCACCTGGTGGAACTCCTCAAGAGCGAAACGCAATGCCGCCACCTCAAGCTCCTGCTGCGGGCGCAGGTGGTCGAGCTCAACCACCTTCTCCTCAACCCGGCACTATTGCACCGCCGACTCCACAACAAGCGAACAAACCAGCTCCAAAGACGAAGAAAGACACCAAAGACAATGCGAGAAAGGTAATGAAGGTTAATATCGTATACTCCATTGCTACGTTCCAATGCTGACTGGATTTTTAGCGTCCCACAAAAGCCAAGGGCCCTGCAAATACAGGAAACACGGCTGCAACACCGTCATCCGAAGCGGAACCACCACCAACTCCTACGCCATCGACCCCAATCACCCCTGTGCATCCGAATTCATTCAACAAACCTGGCCCCAATGCTAATGCGCCGCAACCAACATCAGCACCAGCACCGCAAGCTATCGGGCAACAACCACCGCCTCAGCCGGCGCAACAAGCACCACAGGCCCAACCTCCACAACCTCAGCAGCAACAATCCCAACCGCAGCAGCAACCTCAACAGGATCCCAACCTACCTTTCGGTGATATGAATCTCCCAGATGTGAGTCGAGTTCTGCATGATTCGTAAACGAACCGTGATCTAACATGTTTCATTTAGACCAATAACTATAATCTCGACTTCACCACCCTTGATAATCCTGATATCCTTGAAAATTTTGACTTTGACACATTCCTCAACACCGACGATCCAACCACATTTGCTTTCGAGCCCGGTCTGAGCTATCCCGCCGACGGTGTTGAAGCAGGAGCTGGAGAGACAATGTAAAACCCGTGTTCCTTCCTTTTCACCGGCGTTACTTGCTTATTTTCTATTTTCATTGTTTTCTACTCCTTTGTTGAGTTTCAGCTAATCTGGCGTCTGCGAATTTTCTTTCCGATGTTGTTTACTCTTCACCTTCTCTACATTTCTCCTTTTTCTCCTCTTTATCGTCTTCACTTTTAATATCGCTTCTAGAATACAACAGGGCAATCATCACACTGAGGATACCGACAAAAGAGCTTTTGACTTTTACTTTTGCTTTTGCTTCCCCCCTCTTCTCGCGCTTTTCTCGCTGCTCTGTCTCTGGGTTTACTTCTTGGTTCTTTTCTCTGCCCTCGTTTATATCGTTTATCTGCGATTTCCATAAATTGGATGTGGGTGATTGGATGGGCGTGGAATGGTGGTAACAAGGTGCAGGGCGTGTTTTATCCTTATCTTTTTTGCTATACTCCCCGTATACGGCCGGCTCCTTTTCTTTCTCATTTTCTTTTCTTTTCTTTCTTTCCACCCCCTAAACAGCAAGTGAATTTTGATTTTCCCACATGTTTCCTCATTTTGTCCGGCGCGCGAGACTGTTTCTCGCACTGTTAACGCAATCGTCCCTCTTTGACTCCCTTGACACTAAGCACCACTTTCCCCCTATTTTTCTTTTTTTCCCCCCCTTTTCTTTCTTTCTTTTTTTTTTTTTTTTTTTTTTTTGCTTTTGTCAAAATTCCTTTTTCTGTGGGGTTCACCATGTTCCTTATTATTATTTGATTATACTTGGATTTGAGTGAAATACCTAGGTGCATGCTGTGTTTTCTATCTATCACCTAACCTTTCATCTCGCCTCACTCCATCCATCCATCCATCCATCCATCCCATCATCACCAAAACAGATCATGATGCCTATCTATGAAACGCTGTTATATCATTCAACCAAGCCTGAAGTAACTTCTCTCTCGTCATGTTCCATCTGGCATAGCTAAGTATGTATCTATTCAGGAGGTCTTTTGTCTCTCCTCATCCCACACGAGATCCATTCTCGAATCCCAAAACCTACTTATGGTACAGTACATACATATTTAAAACCCCTCGCACTTTATCTCTGTTCGAATCCTTCGTATCAACGTACTTCCGTAGCCTTCAGATAGCAGCGCTCTCTTCTCAAATCAAGCATTCCTACTTAGCTTCCTACACTCCGTATTCAGGCACCACTGAATGAAACATTTTTCTTTTCTCCAATTTCCTAGGTAAGGACCCTGTAATGGCATTCGCGACATGACACCAAAGTGATACTGTGAACAATTTCTTAGACTATTATGTATAATTCCATGCTGGCTAGTTTAATGGCTATCAACAACAATAATGTATACAATACACAGACGTATCGATGCGATTTCCTAGCAATCCTCTCATCACAAGGCCAACCGATAGTGGGCTAAGATTCACTCCTTTATCGATCTACGTTGCTTTCTATACATCTGCCTGGCTCTATCCTGTAGCAGCTTTCGGCTCGTCAAAATAACCGCCTGGATAGAATTTACGCTACACTCCTCCAGAACTGTGCGGCACCGTCATCTCTTCGTTCGGGCATTGAAGCCCATTCCAAGCATCCAACTCTATTCGACGTCGGAGATCGACAATCTGGTAGCCCTCGTGGCAGACAGGTCCGAAGAATTTTCCTTTTCTAGTGTTTCTTTCTCCTTTCGGCGAGAGATCTTTTTTGATGGGGTCGGTGACAACGATGACGTTGAATCAATGCTCTTTCTATCTGTTTTTGGTGACCTTTTCCTTTTGCTATCAATCGAGGAAGTAACTGGAAGTGTCGGCTTCAAATGAGTCCCGCGTGAAACAGAACCATCTCTGCTAGAGGCCGGGGATAAGCCTTTTTCTTTGCCGAATGCATTTGGGCTGGGACTAAGAAGGCTACCAGGGAGTTTTCCGCCAGAAGATGCATCAGACACAACACTGGAAGCAGAAGACACCCTTGAACCAGGCTGGGAAATCTCTTGCAGCGGTCCAGAACGTGTTGCCTTAACGCGAGTCTCCGCAGTAGCCGACGGTTTGGTCTTTTTCGGAGCAGTCGAAACTGGCGTGTTGGCAGGAGCACATGTACCGCCACTAACAACCTTTTTAGGACTCAATGCCTCAATTAGCTGGTTATACTGTTCGTCATCAATCGGAGCTGGTGCGCTAGGTTCTTGGTTCCTTGAAAAGCTCATGTTACTAGATATGGCTCGGCTGCTGCTTGTAGTCGAAGCCACGTAATCTGGCATCGAAACGTCATCCAAGGTCGAGCGATTATTGCTACAATTCCTGTAAGGATCAACAAAAGGATCCACAATTGGGGGAGTCGGGACAACCCATCCCAGATCGCCTTCGGGCCAAAGATTGTGCTGCCATGGCACGGCAGCAGTCCCTTGAAGTCGGTAGGGTAAGTTAGCCTGGCCGGGACCTATGTTACCGATTGTAGGCCGAGTGTCTTGACGGCTTGGTGAATGCGAATGCGCATCATCATCTTTAACATAAGCCTTCTCTCCCCCAACACTATACGGCAAAAAGGCACGAGGGCCTTGGAGCCACATTCCTGGATTTGGCCAAGCGATATTGGAGTGTTCTAGAACATCTATTCCTCTGGTAAGCATAGAGAACATTTTACTTGACGTTCCATCCATCCTGCTACTTACTTAGAGGGGCATGCTGAAAGGAGAAAACGATAATATCCTTCACTCGTTCAAAAGGCGGAGAACGATGGGGTCTTGTGAGCCCCTCTGCAACAACAACCCTAATCCGGCCGTACATCTCCCCGGCGTCCCAGTGGGTATGGCGCAGGATCTCTTCGTGAAAGGGAGGGAAGCGAATGCAGTCTTGGTCTCCATTTTTGTCCAATTCTCTCCAACTGTCAGTAAGTTATACAATATGTGCAAATACGCCCTGCATGGACTTACGAGAACTCCATTCTATATGCACGTCAGCCTTGGGAGTCAGACATTGGGTATTTTTCCATAGAAAAACACTTACCGATGACATGAGGCCAATGAGCTTTTTGGTTGAAAAGGCTTCCCCTTGAAGTTTCTCAGCAATGATGCCAGGGTCTACCCGCTTCAGCTGAGACTTCTACTTACGAGACGCAGAATCCATCAATGAAAATCCGCACCTCATACATGACAGAGTCATCCGGCTGCATCACACCCTCCAGAACCCTGGTGGGGCGAGGCCTCTCCCAGCTATGAATGGAGACCCTAAACGGGTTGTCCTGGGGAAGACTTGGAATGAAAGTGGTGAGGACTGGAACCTGGCCAGGGCCACCCTGAAGACTGTTGTTATTCTGGGGAAAGAAAAGACTCGGGTTAATGAATGCTTGGGTCTGCAAGTACGGAGATTCTAAAAACTCCGCCATATAAAACTTAGCACCTAAAACTTGAAGGTTCATAGCTGAAACAGAACAGAGAAAACGAACCACGGTCTTTGGTAACGAAGCACTGCGTCCTAAACTCCTGGATGGGCACCCTCGACCCCTCGGCAAAGAGGAGGACGTCCCAATTCTCGTAGCGCATGGTGTTAGTCTTTCGAAGCTATACCAGAGCGGGCTGTCCGTGGAGCGAGCAACAAGAGGGGGAACGGAGAGGATCTGCAAACAGCGAGCGAGGGAAAGCTATCCAGATGAACCATCGATGAGACTCGCCAACGACTGGTGATGGAGAGCGGAGGTTGAATGAAGGGCGGTGAATGTGTGTGTTTTCGTCAAGAGCCCAGCAGAGCCGCCAGCCGCCCATCAAGCCTTCTGGTTTCAGATAGGAAGGTAACAGGATGCGCCTCTTCTGCCCATTGAAGGAAGTAATAATGGATGCAAATGACGTCGCGAATTCTCCTTTCTTTTTGGGTAAAACATATTGTCCGGAAAGCTCAAAGGGGGGAAAATAGGTGCTTTCTTGTCACGGCAACTCATCCATGCGTGTTGGACTACGCGCTTTCCACAACTCCACACTGTGACTACCCCCATTTGTATGGTTATATATGATTATGTGTAGCGTAGTATGTTATACCTATGTATACATGTTAGTTGGATAGTTGCTACATGTTAAACTAGACTGTTCACACCTGCTCATCTTGATTTGATAGCACAAGCAGTTTCTAGATGAAAGCTAGCTTTCTCTTGTAACACTTTTTGTTGACTGGATTGAAATCTGACAGTCTAGCATTGAGCTTGAAATCCTCATTATATATTGATACTGATGTCTCTCGTTTATTTTTATTTTTTCGTCAGAACTGTTCTCTTCTGCTGTCCTTGTCTGAGCTGCTTTTCTTGTAAAGTTCTGATCTGCTAGGTATAGTCAACTAATAACTAACTAGTTAAACTCCTGACTTCCCATGTCTTTCACCCAGGCTTAGAAAGTTGCATTGAATCAACAGTGCAAACAGAAATCTTTGCCTTGGGGTCTGTTTTGCAGGAGATTTGCACAACAAATCAACCTTACCACAATCAAGATGATCATGAAGTAGAAGCCTTGTTCTGTGATAATATCTTTCCTAACACGCTACAGCTTCCTCTTGGTAAAGTTATAGTGAAATGTTGGACCAGAACGTATATCAATGTGGGAGAGATTATGGTGGATGTCAAGCAAGTCCAAGATGAATGTTACTGTGAAGGAGAAAGGATGGGACAGAAGCTTTCTAAATGAGATGCCTACCAGTAAGTTTGCCTCCTTCTTGCTTACTCTATTGTGAGAAATTTCTTTGAAAATACTTTAGCTACTTTATTGGATTTTTCTACCTTTACCTTTACTTTTTATTTTTATGTTTGGGCCTAGCTATTTTTGCTAACCAGCATTTAAGGTAGTTCACCACTAAACAAGCCAAATCTTCCACCACCAAAATTCCTCCAACATTCAACATTCAATATGCAATAATATAGTCAATAATGTTTCAATTAGACTTGTAATTAAAGATCTTGAATTACAAGAGATTCTAAATTACACTGCAACTACAAGAAAGTACTCAGTTAATTAAGAGATTCTGTACTAGTAATATAAAGACTTGTAACTTACTTAAAATAAAGCAGTCTTCTGATATAAGAAAAAGCTCTCTAATATACAGAAGATAGAGCTTCTAAATTATATAAATAAACTCTCTAGTTACAGTCTTGTTATTACATCTCAGATTCTACAAAATATTGTACAAGAGATGACAGAAGAGAATGTTAGAATTAATTAGATTAATTAATTTTACAAGTAATATAATAATAAGATTAAATATATTTATCTTAAAGTAATTAATTAAAATAAACAGATAGTAGATAACTATTAGTACTTTAAGTACTTCTATATACTTGTAATTTAATAATTTATTTAATTACTTATAATTACAGTTGTTAATGCTGGCTAACTATTTAACTACTACTTATAGAGTAGTTGGAGCAGAAAATTAATTAATATAATCTTAAGCTCTCAAATATCTATAATTTTAATAAAAAAGAATTTCTTCTAGACTTCTGTTATATCTTAAAGTGATTAGTCTTTATTAAAGCTTTACAAGCTGGAAAGAATGCCATCACTTAAAATAATAATTAGAAATTTCTCTTATTACTCTGCTCAGTCTCTTCTAAAGAAATTATACTATCTTCAGCTCTTATTTATCAGAATGAATCACAAGATCTTCAGAATATATAACTAGATAATTATAATAAAAATAAATAAGTCTACTTTATAGCTTCAACAAATAGTTAAAGCAATAATAAATATAAACTGAAGTAGTTAAAATAAATTTTCAATCAGTATACTAAGAAACAAGCTGATTAAGAAAGACATCTGCTTCTACTAAATAGTCATTCCTCTCATATAAATATAAAATTTATTGAATACACTAATTATAAAAAGATTCTTCTTATGATTCTTTTACTATATTCAACTTACTATTTGCAATCTCTTAATATTAAAATCTTTAAGTCACTGAGCAAGGTATATTTCAATAAGCTAAAAGCACTACTATATTAAGAAATAAGCTATATTTAAATAACAAAAAGAGATTTCTGAAGATTATTTAATATAGCTTGAAAGAAGACTTTAATAGTTAAAAATATACTTGCTGGCTTTGTAAAGACTAGAATTAATTCTCTGAATTCTCAATATTAACTATACTGATTTGAAACTGCTCAAGTCTCTATACTGTTAGTTAAATCTTCTATTTCTAGCAATATGTATCAGCTTTAACAAGAGATCAAGAATATATATCTCTGGCACAGTCTAAATCCATAAAGTATTGAATAGATTATTCAAGCTAGTAAGCAGTTTGCTCTTCATAATAAACTACTGAAACATAAGAATCAGTAGCTAAGATTAATTCTAGTGATAGAGAAGCAGTATTATAAGCAAGGCAAGCTTCTAGATCTACTTAATAAAGATAATTCTAGTTAAGTACAGTTCTGATCTTCAATAAAAGTTCTTAAGACACACAAGCATCTGGATAAAATAGAGACTGAAAAAGCTAATAAAATTACTCAAACACAAGAAGTAAAACTTCAACAGAAGCTTCAAAAGAAGCAGACTGCTAGAAATATTAAAAATAAACAGATTAAACAGGAGAATGCTTATAAAAAGATTCAGAAGTAATAATGTAGTGGGGATTCCGGTACCTCATTAGGACAAAGGTTGTTCCAGTCCGAGGCACAAACCACCCTAAAGCTACTATTCTTGAGCTATATAAACCACCTGTAGCCCCTGCATCTTGCTTATTACCTTCATGCACCATTGCTCTTTTCTATACACTTGTTCCTTACTACCAGTTTGGCTATTAGTTAGAGAATATGAAGATTTCTTGTTCATGAAATGTGCTACTGTTCCTTATTAGAGCTGTCTGTGTTAGTACAGGGCTCTTTAGTACTATTACTCCTTGCAAGCTTAGGCATCTGTTAGAACATATCTATCTCTACACTTACTACTCAACCATACCCTTACTATATGGTGATTTTTCACCTTTCTTGTGCTCTCACCATATCAACCAACTCACCTACTTTGACAAGGCATCCCATTGTACCCCACTCCATTTGGTGACCAAGCTGAGACCTGAAGATGATGATGCAGTGATTTGGTGACTGCCAAGGAAGAGAAAAACAAATTCTGAGACACATGAAGCAATACACTATTTCAAGATAAGATCTTATGGACTAGGAACACAGTACTAATCAGTTTTTTTTATTTAGGAATAAGGTTAGGGAGCTTAGATTTGAATGCCTCTTATCTAGAGCTTGCCTGATAAACAGGTTTTTGGAAGATATTGACTAATAGACAGAACATACTGTGTGATATGACCAAAGATCAAGAAACCAAGAAATTGGAATCAGAATCAACTATGGCTGAAGGTACTACAGGATCATATGTAACTATGTCACTGGGTGAGGACAAGAGAATTGTGGTTTATTCCCACATTCCTATGTCTTCCCCTGGCATGGCAAATGCACCTTGGTTTGACAGCAGAGATGCTACTCTGTTTATTGAAAGGTTTTATCAGATGTGCAAGAATCATGGGGTAATTGACTCTAAAAACATTATTGAACAGTTGGCTAGGTACTGTGTTACATGGATTGGAGAATGGATGAAGACCTTGGAAGACTATAAAGAAGATAATTGGGAAGTATTCTCCAAAGAGATTATTCATGAATTTCATAATCAAGATATCACTTACAAGATTCACTGTCAGGATTACCTCTGGGCAATTATAAAGAAACTGTGTGCTTGGGATGGCAACATTTGCACCTATGTTTGAGAATACACTACTATTGCCAGTACAGTTCAAGCAAATGGAAGGCTTGATGAATTCACTAAGATGTCTTGGTTTCTTCAGGGGCTACCTGAGAAGCTCCAGAATAAGGTTATTGACAAGGCCAAGCTCAATCTTTCAGACAATATGTTGCCTATTGATTTTAGGAAAGTTGTTCAGGTGACCATGGATTTGATTGACCAGTATGAAGGGAATAAGAAGATCTTTGAAGAAGATGAAATGAAACAAAAGGAAATGGAGAAGCTTGGTGAGTAATATCAATTGGCTAACAAGCCTCCTACAGTTGAAGCTCCAAAGAAAACAGCTAGTTTTGTGAAGACTGAAGAATCTAAATCAAAAGCCAAAGCCAAGGGCTCTGACAGCACCAATATTGAAGCTGCTATTGAAAAGATGATCAATGAGTTCACAAATTTGGCATTGGTCATGAGAGTACAATCAAATCAGATACAAGAGAATTCTGATCAGTATTATATGCTGCAGAGAGAAGGACCTCCAAAATCTATACCAAATTATCCAATAAATGTGATTGTTAATCCTACAACTGTACAAGAGAATACTCAACTGCCAGTCAACCCCTATTTGGCTTGAAATGGCTCTCCTATGACAGACTATAGTAGTGCTTGTGGACAAGGAGGAGCTTGAACTGGAGGAATTTCAACACATCCCTCATGCTTCTACTGTGGAAAACCTGGACATTGTCAATCTCAGTGTTATGAATACCAATCTGATATGAGTAATGGATACTGCCATATTGATGACAAAGGGAACTTACACATAGGCT